GCATTGTCAACCTCAGCGAGGACCCTGAAGTGCACTTCAAGTACATCGAAGCTGCTACTGCCATGAATCAGATCACCGAAGTCGAGCGTATCTGTCGCGAAAGCAACTACTACAACCCGGACAAGGTCAAGAACTTCCTGAAAGAAGCCAAGTTGACCGAGCAGCTGCCGCTGATCATTGTGTGCGATCGGTTCAACTTCATCCATGACCTGGTTCTCTACCTCTACCAGAACCAGCAATACAAGTCCATCGAGGTATACGTCCAGCGGGTCAATCCTTCGCGTGCGCCCGCCGTCGTCGGTGGCTTGTTGGATGTCGACTGTGACGAGAGCATTATCAAGAACCTTCTCTCTACCGTCGACCCTGCTGTTATTCCCATCGATGAACTTGTTTCCGAGGTGGAAAGCCGAAACAGGTTGAAGCTGCTTCTACCCTTTCTTGAGGCCACACTTGCGACTGGTAACCAGCAGCAGGCCGTTTACAACGCACTGGCCAAGATTTACATCGATAGCAACAACAACCCCGAGAAGTTCCTCAAGGAAAACGACATGTATGACACGTTGACCGTTGGAAAGTACTGCGAAAAGCGGGACCCCAACCTGGCATACATTGCTTATCGCAAGGGACAGAACGATCTTGAGCTTATCAACATCACCAATGAGAACGCCATGTACCGTGCTCAGGCGCGCTACCTTGTCGAGCGGGCCGATCCCGAGATCTGGTCGTTTGTCCTTAGCGAGAACAACCAGCACCGTCGCTCGCTAGTCGACCAAGTCATCGCCACCGCTGTGCCCGAGTCGACTGAGCCGGACAAAGTGTCTGTCGCCGTTAAGGCCTTCCTTGAGGCCGATCTCCCTGGCGAGCTGATTGAGCTCCTGGAGAAGATCATCCTCGAACCCTCGCCTTTCAGCGACAATGGCAGTCTTCAAAACCTGCTGATGTTGACTGCTGCCAAGGCCGACAAGGGCCGTTTGATGGACTACATTCAGCAGCTCAACGAGTTCAGCCCTGACGAGATCGCCGAGATGTGTATCTCAGTGGGATTGTACGAGGAAGCCTTCGAGATCTACAAGAAGGTCAACAACTTTATTGCTGCTGTCAATGTCCTGGTCGAGAACATTGTCAGCATCGATCGTGCTCAAGAATTTGCTGAGCGTGTCGAGCTGCCTGAGGTCTGGAGCAAGGTTGCTAAAGCCCAACTCGATGGTCTCCGTGTCTCCGACTCCATTGAATCGTATATCCGTGCTGGTGACCCCTCCAACTACCTTGAGGTTATTGAGACCGCAACCCACGCTGGCAAGGATGAGGATCTCGTCAAGTACTTGAAGATGGCCCGCAAGACACTGCGTGAGCCTGCTATTGACACCGGTCTCGCTTTCTGCTACGCTCGCCTCGACCAGCTCGCCGAGCTCGAGGACTTCCTGCGGACCACTAATGTTGCCGACATCGAGGCCTCTGGTGACAAGGCTTACGAGGAAGGATACCACCAGGCAGCCAAGATCTTCTATACCAGCATCTCCAACTGGGCTAAGTTGGCCACCACTTTGGTCCATCTGGAAGAGTACCAGGCGGCCGTGGAGTGCGCTCGCAAAGCCAACAGTGTCAAGGTCTGGAAGGAGGTCAACGAGGCTTGCGTCAACAAGAAGGAATTCCGTCTTGCCCAGATTTGCGGTCTCAATCTGATCGTCCACGCAGAAGAGCTTCAAGACCTCGTCCGCCAATATGAGCGCAATGGATACTTCGATGAGCTCATTGCGGTCTTGGAAGCTGGTCTCGGTTTGGAGCGTGCTCACATGGGTATGTTCACCGAGCTGGGCATTGCTCTCTCCAAGTACCACCCCGATCGGGTCATGGAGCATCTCAAGCTCTTCTGGTCTCGCATCAATATTCCCAAGATGATTCGCGCCTGCGAGGACGCGAGCTTGTGGCCTGAGTTGGTCTTCTTGTACTGCCACTATGACGAATGGGACAACGCGGCCCTGGCTATGATGGAGCGTGCTGCCGACGCCTGGGAGCACCACTCTTTCAAGGACATCATCGTCAAGGTTGCGAACTTGGAGATCTACTACCGTGCCCTCAACTTCTACCTTCAGGAGCAGCCTTTGCTCCTGACCGATCTGCTCCAGGTCCTGACCTCCCGCATCGACGTCAACCGTGTTGTGCGCATCTTCCAGTCCTCCGACAACATCCCTCTTATCAAGCCCTTCCTGCTCAACGTTCAGACCCAAAATAAGCGGGCAGTGAACGATGCGATTAATGATCTGTTGATTGAGGAGGAGGACTACAAGACGCTCCGCGACTCTGTGGATAACTACGACAATTTCGATGCGGTGGCCCTTGCACAACGATTGGAGAAGCATGATCTGATCTTCTTTCGTCAAATTGCCGCCAACATCTACCGCAACAACAAGCGCTGGGAGAAGTCGATTGCATTGTCGAAGCAGGACAAGCTTTACAAGGACGCCATCGAGACTGCCGCTATCTCCGGCAAGTCGGAAGTGGTTGAAGAACTTCTTCGCTACGTAAGTTTTTCCATGACCTTACCCCCCCCCCCCAATCCCTCCCCCAATTTCTCTGACTGACTGTGACCTAGTTTGTGGATATTGGCAGCCGCGAGTGTTACGTTGGCATGCTGTATGCCTGCTACGATCTTATTCGCCCGGATGTGATCATGGAGCTGTCCTGGCGCCACGGGCTGCACGATTTCACCATGCCGTTCATGATTAACTTCCTGTGCGAGCAGACGCGGGCGATTGAAATGCTGAAGGAGGACAACGAGGAGCGGAAGGCGCGGGAGAAAACACAGAAGGTGGAAGAGGATAACACACCAATCCTGGGCGGCTCGCGATTGATGTTGACGCAGGGACCGGCGGCGCCGGCCCCCGCGCCCATGGGGTACGCGAACGGTATTACACCGCAAGCGACTGGCTTCCGGCCCTTTTAAACGTACGACTTGTTATGCCCTTCCTTCCCAGATCTTTCTGCAGCGTCTCGAAGGGGTTTAGTGTATGTATAGCATGAGCGATGGGAAGCTTCGGGGCCCGACGGGGGTTGAGGCTGGACTAGAGGTACGGACGGACCTTAGCCTGTCCATTTCCTCGTGGGCAGGATGCTCGGAGTTCCCTTCGGTTTACCCTGATGATGATCTCGATATTATTCTCCATTGATTTAAATGGTTGTTGTTTCTGCTTCTTCTTCTTCTTTTTTTTCTTCACTCTTCTTCTTCTCTCCTCTAATGTATTCAATCGACCTTACAAAAGCTGGTGGCCGTTGTCTCCTAAGCTCCCGGAGTGGGATTGAGTGGATACCGTAGTTAGATTATTCCAATGGAGTTAATTGACTTCTCACGAGGGGTGTTGACACTGCGCTATGAAGGTGGGCGGCGGCGGCGGTGGCCGCGTGACTTGGGCCGCGGGTCAGATAGCCGTCAATGGTTGTGGTGGACTATCGGTTCTCGAAGAGCGATCGACGATCTCGGTAGATGCAGCCGCGGCAGGCTCAGACTAAGCAGGGGTTGACTCGGTATCTTATTCCGCCTCAATCCGGCGAAAAGGAACCCGGTCAGAGCAAGCTGGTTCGTAGACGCGCCGTGCAGGATTGTCAGGTAAAGGATTTAGCCCCCCCCGGGGGACTGTGATTGTGGGTGATCTATTTGTGGGGAGTGGGTGGGACAGGCAGTGAGTGATTACTAGTTATTTCATTTCAAACTATGTACTTTCCTGGAGAATCATGCTGTGTAGTGTGGTAAGGATTTATCCTGGTGCGCCTATGGACAAAGGGAAATGGGGGGGTATCCCAGGGATGGTTCTCTCATGCTTTCAGCCGACCGGAACCTACTCAAGAGATGATCTCTGTAGAGACTGCAGTACGGAGTACGTAGTAAGATGGGCGAGTTTCGGGACAGAGAGGTCCGGAGATACTTGGTCACTTCAATTCCGTTGGCATGTCATTGAGGGGCCTGGAGGGGACCATGGGACATGACCAGGGCCTGGAATTCATGGAACAACTTTCGTCAAATTGCCTGCCTACCTGTCTGGCCAATCTTTGTTGCCAAGAAGGCAACCCGGCGACGACTCCGTCCTTCGGTGAAGGCGTTCAAAAGTCGACGGGCTTGTCCCGGGGGGGGGGGGGGGGCACAACCGGAGACGGAGGGACCGGTGGACGTTCCGGGATGCATTGGACTTGAGCTGAGCATCAGCGGACGATGGTGGTCGGGTTACAGGTTTACCGGATTTGAAGAAGGGCAATCGGCGAGATATTATTGGGGAAAAACGTTTTACTGATTTGATGGGATTTGATATCTGCATGCTTCTTCGGACATGGGTGGATGGTTGCAGGGGCATGGAGTACTCCGTACTTGGAGATGGATTGGTCTCTAATATCATTGTAACTAGCGGACTACGCAGTAGTAACCGGCAATAAGCCAAGACCGATACTGGAGGAAATTCCTCTCGGTTCACATAGTCCTACTCAGTATCTTACTGTTAAAGTTCGGTTTGGATCGTCTTCCAGTGCAGAGTTTGACACTTGGCGTCTGGAGGGGGGCCTTTTGTTCGGGATTACCGCGGACGGCAAATGAAAGCCCTTCGTTGTTTATTCGGCGATATGCTGGAGGGGGCTGGGCGGCGGGCATGTGCGGACGATCTGCGCCTTGCCTCTCTCGCCTATTCACGGATGCGGTCCAGTATGGGAAGGTTCACTGCATGCTTGTCACTTTGATCAGATCGAATCGCACGCGGGGCCCCCCCTATCTCCTCAGTGTTCACCAACCTTCATCCTTAGAGGGAAACAATTAACCCGAGCACCCGAGGTTCATGTGTGCAAGGGAGAGTGGTCCTATTTCACCCGAGCAAAGGGGGTTGGTTTCGTTTCCCCAGGATTTCTGGAATCTGAGTATAGAGGGAAAGTGAAGCTGTAGATTGGAGATTCTACTACTCCGTATGTGGACTGTAGGTTGTATGTAGTATGACTATGTACTCCGTACACATAATTAGTCTGCTTCTGTCTTTCGGTGGGGGTTGGGAGGAGGGGCAAATCTGCTTATCGATTCGTCTGAGTACGTCAATTCAATAGTCATTAATTCAATGAGCCAATGGTTTCTCCGGACGAACGGAGAGAGAACAAGGCAAGAAGGCAAGCAATTCAGTTAGCAAGTACTCTCCGGTAGGGCAGGTGAGGTTGAAGCGAACTGGAGAGGAAACCAGATGTGGGAGGGGACCATCCCTCAAGCTGCAGTCCGGTGTGCCGGTGAGACACCCTGCCATACTGAAGTATACCCTTTCTATACAACCCCGGAATTGTTGCTGCTCTCCGCCTTCCTTTCCTTCCTATTGCAGCATCAATGCTTTTTTAATTCTTCAGCCTCCCTCTTCCTCTTCCTCCTGCTCTTCTTCTTCTTCTTCTTTTCTTCTATACAACTGCTTCTACTTAAATCTTCCTCTACTTACCTTAATCCTGCCGGGGTCACTATCCCTAAATCTTCCACGCCTCGGGTAAGTGCTTCCTCGGACCAAGCTCCCTCACCAGCTGCTCTCTCGCTTTTCCCCGCGTGTTGCGCTGCCGTTCCGAAACCGGGCCTTTTTCTTCCCCTCCTCGAACTTCCCCCGGAGTTCTGTTTCTCCTAACAGTGACTCACAATTGCTATTTTTCCGGCTATCATTGGTTTGTCGGCTAACAATTGCTTCTCTTCAACTTTTTTTTAATAGTCTCTTGCAGCCAGTCCTGTTGTGGCTCTTCTTCCTCTCCCGAATCTCGACCCGTATCTACAGAGCTTCTTCCCTGTCTATTTCCCTCCCTCCCTCCCTCCCTCCCCCACCAACGTCATAATCCTCTTATCTACTACCCACTTTCGCCGCAATAGCTCTTTGACTACAACCCACCCCCTCCCATCCCTCACTCTCCCACTTACACTGCTTTATTTTCTCCCCTCCTCCCCTTCTTTTCCGATCTTCTCTTTCTCCTCAATTCCTGATCTTCACCACCACGAACACATTATCCATCATGGCTGCTCCTCAACGTCAGCCCGAGGAGGCAATTGATGACACTGAGTTCATCGACGACCACCATGACCACCACCGGGATTCGGTCCACACCCGTCTGCGCGCCAACTCGGCCATCATGCAGTTCCAGAAGATCCTCGTCGCCAACCGTGGTGAAATCCCCATCCGTATCTTCCGTACCGCCCACGAACTGTCTCTCCAGACGGTTGCCATCTACTCCCACGAGGACCGTCTGTCCATGCACCGTCAGAAGGCCGATGAGGCCTACATGATTGGTCATCGTGGTCAATATACGCCCGTGGGGGCCTACCTCGCCATTGATGAGATCGTCAAGATTGCTCTGGAGCACGGCGTCCACCTCATCCACCCTGGTTACGGTTTCTTGTCCGAGAACGCCGAGTTTGCTCGCAAGGTCGAGCAAGCCGGTATGGTCTTCGTCGGTCCCACCCCGGAGACCATTGAGGCCTTGGGTGACAAGGTCTCGGCCCGTCAGCTGGCCATCAAGTGCGAAGTCCCCGTCGTCCCCGGCACTCCGGGCCCCGTTGAGCGCTATGAAGAGGTCAAGGCGTTCACCGATACTTATGGCTTCCCTATCATCATCAAGGCCGCCTTCGGTGGTGGTGGTCGTGGTATGCGTGTCGTCCGGGACCAGGCTGAACTGCGGGATGCCTTCGAGCGGGCCACTTCCGAGGCCCGCTCGGCCTTCGGTAACGGCACGGTCTTCGTCGAACGCTTCCTGGACAAGCCCAAGCACATTGAGGTGCAGCTGCTGGGTGACAACCACGGCAATGTCATCCACCTGTTCGAGCGTGACTGCTCCGTTCAGCGTCGTCACCAGAAGGTCGTCGAGATTGCCCCCGCCAAGGACTTGCCCCAGGAGGTCCGTGACAATATTCTCGCGGATGCTGTCAGGCTGGCCAAGTCTGTCAACTACCGCAACGCTGGTACTGCTGAGTTCCTGGTCGACCAGCAGAACCGCTACTACTTCATCGAAATCAACCCTCGTATCCAGGTCGAGCACACTATCACTGAGGAGATTACTGGCATTGATATTGTCGCGGCACAGATCCAGATTGCTGCCGGCGCGACGCTCCAGCAGCTGGGTCTGACCCAAGACAAGATCTCCACTCGTGGCTTTGCCATTCAGTGCCGTATCACCACCGAAGATCCCTCCAAGGGCTTCTCTCCTGACACTGGTAAGATCGAGGTGTATCGCTCTGCGGGTGGTAACGGAGTCCGTCTGGACGGTGGTAATGGTTTCGCTGGTGCCATCATCACTCCTCACTATGACTCCATGCTGGTCAAGTGTACCTGCCGTGGTTCCACTTATGAAATCGCTCGCCGCAAGGTCGTTCGTGCCTTGGTCGAGTTCCGTATCCGTGGTGTCAAGACCAACATTCCTTTCTTGACTTCCCTGCTCAGTCACCCTACTTTCGTGGACGGCACTTGCTGGACCACCTTCATCGATGACACCCCGGAGCTCTTTGCTCTGGTGGGCAGTCAGAACCGTGCTCAGAAGCTGTTGGCTTACCTGGGTGATGTTGCTGTCAACGGCAGCAGCATCAAGGGTCAGATCGGCGAGCCCAAGCTCAAGGGCGACATCATCAAGCCCACTTTGTACGACGCTCAGGGCAAGCCCCTCGACGTGTCGGCTCCCGCCACCCAGGGCTGGAAGCAGATCCTGGACCGCGAGGGTCCTAAGGCCTGGGCGAAGGCTGTCCGGGCCAACAAGGGTACTCTGATCATGGATACCACCTGGCGTGACGCTCACCAGTCTCTGTTGGCAACTCGGGTGCGTACTATTGACTTGCTCAACATCGCCCACGAAACCAGCCACGCCCTCTCCAATGCTTACAGTCTGGAGTGCTGGGGTGGTGCCACCTTTGATGTTGCCATGCGCTTCCTCTATGAGGACCCTTGGGACCGTCTACGCAAGCTCCGAAAGGCCGTCCCCAACATCCCCTTCCAGATGCTGCTGCGTGGTGCCAACGGTGTGGCTTACTCCTCCCTGCCCGACAATGCCATCTACCACTTCTGTAAGCAAGCCAAGAAGTGCGGTGTGGACATCTTCCGTGTCTTCGACGCTCTCAACGATGTGGACCAGCTTGAGGTTGGTATCAAGGCTGTTCACGCTGCGGAGGGTGTCGTCGAAGCCACGATCTGCTACAGTGGAGACATGTTGAACCCCCACAAGAAGTACAACCTCGAATACTACCTGAGCCTCGTGGACAAGGTGGTCAAGTTCGAGCCCCATGTCCTGGGTATCAAGGATATGGCTGGTGTGCTGAAGCCCCAAGCCGCTCGTCTGCTGATTGGCTCCATCCGCGAGCGTTACCCGGACCTTCCCATCCACGTCCACACCCACGACTCCGCCGGTACTGGTGTGGCTTCCATGATTGCTTGCGCGCAGGCTGGTGCTGATGCCGTTGATGCGGCCACTGACAGCCTGTCTGGTATGACCTCGCAGCCCAGCATTGGCGCTCTGCTCGCCTCCCTCGAGGGCACTGAGTTCGACACTGGTCTCAACCTGAACCAGGTCCGCGCGCTCGACACCTACTGGGCTCAGCTGCGTCTGCTGTACTCGCCCTTCGAGGCGGGTCTGACCGGCCCCGACCCCGAGGTTTACGAGCACGAGATCCCCGGTGGTCAATTGACCAACCTCATCTTCCAGGCCAGCCAGCTCGGCTTGGGCCAGCAGTGGGCTGAGACCAAGAAGGCCTACGAGGCTGCGAATGATCTGCTTGGTGACATTGTTAAGGTCACCCCTACCTCCAAGGTTGTTGGCGATCTGGCTCAGTTCATGGTGTCCAACAAGCTCAGCGAGGAAGATGTTGTTGAACGTGCAGGTGAACTCGACTTCCCGGCCTCCGTTCTTGAGTTCCTGGAGGGCTTGATGGGTCAGCCGTACGGCGGCTTCCCGGAGCCTCTGCGCTCGCGGGCTCTGCGGGACCGTCGCAAGCTTGACAAGCGTCCTGGTCTCTACCTGGAGCCTCTGGATCTGGCTAAGATCAAGAGCACGATCCGCGAGCAGTTTGGTGCTGCCACTGAGTGCGACGTTGCCAGCTATGCCATGTACCCCAAGGTCTTCGAGGACTACAAGAAGTTTGTCGCGAAGTATGGTGATCTGTCTGTCTTGCCTACTCGCTACTTCTTGGCCAAGCCCGAGATCGGCGAGGAGTTCCACGTCGAGCTGGAGAAGGGTAAGGTTCTGATCCTCAAGTTGTTGGCCATTGGCCCTCTGTCCGAGCAGACCGGTCAGCGTGAGGTCTTCTACGAGGTCAACGGTGAGGTCCGTCAGGTCAGCGTCGACGACAAGAAGGCGTCCGTCGACAACACCGCCCGCGCCAAGGCCGACTTGGGCGACAGCAGCCAGGTCGGTGCTCCTATGAGCGGTGTGGTCGTTGAGATCCGTGTCCACGATGGTCTTGAGGTCAAGAAGGGTGATCCTCTGGCCGTTCTGAGCGCCATGAAGATGGTAATGTTCCTTGCCTCCCTGAGATCTACTGTAATATGCATGACGCTAATTGTACTAGGAAATGGTTATCTCCGCTCCCCACAGTGGCAAGGTCTCCAGCTTGCTGGTCAAGGAAGGTGACTCTGTGGATGGTCAGGATCTTATTTGCAAGATCGCCAAGGCTTGAAGCAGGATGATTAACGCACGATGCTATAAAAATTCCATGATTAATGATCCTCGTGACGCGCGCTCGTCGTGAACCTTGAGGTGAGGATATAAGGGTGTTTTGATATTTGTGGTCAAGCGTGTTTTCTGGGTTGGTTCGTTTCTAGTATTTAAATCAAGTTCGTTCTGAACATGACAGTGTGATTCCAGACCTATTCTCAATCATACAAATGAAGTAGAGTGCACATGAGGCATAGTTAGTTCTGAAATGAGCTAGGTTTCTCACGTTCTAAAACTCCCGCCAATAGATTCACGTAAGTATGCACATAACATCATTCAAAACACGCTCAAATCCGTGGCACCTATCCAGAGGGCCATATATACCGAATAATCTCTCCAGTACCCAAAGGTGGGGAGATGGGCTGGAATCACCAAGCTATAGTCTGGCAACCGAAGCACTGTCCGGCTCGCCGATCTCCCGCAGGGCCTTCCAGACCCTCATTGCTTCATCCCAGAAGACATCTTCCTTGATCTGGACGGAGCCATCGGGCATCAGGGTCCGTAGCTGCTTATGGCCCTTGGTGCCCCACTGCAGCCCCCGGTCACCATGGACGAACTTTTTCAGGGGCTCGACCAACGCGGTCCAGACCACCGATTTCTCCTCGCGCTCGAGCCGCTCCCCGTTACCCCAGAACCAGATATACTGATCGGTGGCGTGGGTCACGCCCCAACTGGGAGGAATGGACTTATCGGCGCACTTGAGTCGATACTCGATGCGGTACCGATAGACTAGGTTCTCATCGTCTTCTTGACCATGTCCATGACTGTCGTCGGTGTGACAGCTGCCGGAGGTCGGTGGTGTCGTTCCCGCCACCGCTCCGCCTGTGGCAGTTACCGCTGGGGGCCGCCCCTGCACCGCTGCCGCCGTCATCGGGGCCGTCAACGCATCCACTAACCCCCTCTGCATCTTATGCACCTGCATATCGGCATAGACCCGGCCAAAGGCATCGGTGCGCCAGTTCTCGACCCCGGGGGGCAGCTCCCCAGTGGGGTAGTACAATTTCAGCAGGGTCTCCACCAAGGGCTGCGGGTACTCGGCGAGCAACCGGTCCCGCAGGGCGGGGAGAGAGTCCTCCCGGGGCGGGAACCAGGTGGCGTACAGGTTGCGTTCGTCGCGGCACTCGCCGCAGAGGATGCGGATGTCGCGCGCGCGAATGCGGCGGGCCAGCGTGCCATCGTCCAGGGAGGCGAAGAGGTTCGAGCGGATGAAGGTGCCGTCGGTGGTGGGGCGGAATTGGTTGTGGGCGGGCAGGGACATGGCGGCTTGGAGGAGGTGTTGGGCCGGGAGGGCGCGCAGGCGCCGGAGTTTCTCGTCCGGAGCCAGGGTGAGGGGGATGGAGAGGTGGGTGAGGAGTTCGGTGAACTGGGTTTGGGCGGTGGTGGGTAGTTTAGGCTGCGCGACGGGGCTGTTGGACCAGATACAGACGCGTTTGATAATGGATTGGTCGGGTGGGAGGGTGAGGTCGTGGGTGAGTTGGTAGAAGGTTGAGTAGGCGCCTGTGTGCCATCTGTGTTTAGTGTGTGTGTGTTTGTGTTGTTGATTGAGGGTCTGAGGGGAGGGAACGGTATGAGGGGCTATGAGGAAGCTGTACCTGCTGAGTATCCTGCTACTGTGATCTCCGAGGCATTGCCCCCGAAGAGATGGATGTGATCTCGTGTCCATTCAAGGGCCAGGCGTTGGTCCCAGAAGCCGTGGTTGCCGACATTTTCATTCACAGCGGCTGCGTCTTGCTCCAGCTCGGAGGAATAGAGGAAACCGAACACATTCAGGCGGTAGGCTGGTAGGATGACAATGGCGTCCAATTGGGCGTCGCCCAGAAGAGCGGCGGCGGAAAATGCATTGGGGTCGCCGAACTGGAGGAAACCGCCGTCTTGGGATGTTTAGATTTGGTGGCACTCGAAGGGAATAATTGGAGTTGACTTACGGATGAAGAAGAGGACGGGCCAGCCTGCTCGCGGTCGAAGATTAGAGAAGCACTATTCACAGCATATATTGACACAGACGGCAGTCATCAATAGAAATGGGGTCTATTGCCGTGTTGAGACAGAAAGATGATACATACCGTTCTTGGGCGCATCTCCGATAGGAATCCATATATTGCACTGGAAACAGTCCTCCGTCCAGCTCTCCTCCGAGACCGCATCCAAGAAGCGAGGCTGCGGGCAGATCCCTGTACGTCCGTCTCCAGGTCCAGGTTGCTCTTTGGAGCCGTACGAGTAAGAAGGGGACAGCTTTCGAGCCATGCGCCAGCGTTCCGGGGGTGGGTGGGCATAGCGAACCCCGCCGAAGTAGTGGCAGAAGGGTTTCTTGGTGGCTTTTTCATGAAGGGTCACGCCTTGAATATAGCCGTGTTGGCCGAGGGATTGAAGGCAGGGTTGTTTGGTGTATTCCATGGTGGCTAGTATTGCTCAACGCGGTAGATCAATGATTGTAGACAACTTAGGTGAATCGGTCTGGGCTATATAAACAATGGCATCGACGGGTTTGACCGAGGAGCTGATAAGTAGCTCATCGAGATAGTTGACAAGGTCAATTGTTCGATTGGTAGACGAGCCGACAACCAGGTGGGGAAATGAGATGATTGGCAGTAGAAAGCACGAGGTCGGCAAAGGAGGTTGAATGATAAGGAGCAAGATGTTTTGATTGAGGGGAAGATGCGGAGAAGGAAAGGAAGCCATTCCGCTTCGGCCTCAACTTCTAGACTCCGAAAGATTGTTTGGTGGCCTGAGGCAACAAGGCCGTCACTACTTTCCCCGGATTCTCCTCTTTCGGGGCTTTTGGCAAGCGGCAGGATGCATGCTGATACATCCTCCTCCATGCAGAGTAACTACAACTTGTATGACAAGAGGACATCCGTCATCCTTTCGAATCAACGAGACAGTCTCTCGTTATCTCATGTGCTCGATCGACCTTTCGATTAACTTTGGTTTGGATCGACAGCTCCCCGCATACGTCCGTGCTGATCCGGTGACTGTGAGGCACTGGAGCATCCATGGATGAATGATGATGATTCATGGCCATTCATCCAACGCCCCCGTTATTGGCTCACAGGCCCAGACTCGTACTTTTGCCCCCCTTCTCAATGGAGAGCTTGTGGTTCTGATGCATCATCATTTTCCGGGGTTGTTTCACAGTCCTGGCTGCACCCCCTCTTTCACCCCCTCCTGAGAGGTATATTACCTGCTGCTCAGTCGTTCCATGTGCTCCAAGTAACTACCAACCATCTACAGAACTAAGTATACTTCCTTCACAAATCAACCCCAAATCCACAAAACCAGTCCACACGAGTATCTGAACTCTGGTAAGTGGTCTTTAGCTTTAGGATCGCGAACTCTTCCTACCAAGTTATTTCGTTGTGTCCTGCCATCAAGATGACGCTGAGACTGTCCATGTCCTGGAAGAAAGTATCATGTAACTCTGTTTCACCGGCTAGCTGCTTCTTGCCTTCAACCTGTCGCACTCACCCTGGTCCATCAATCCCCATTCTTTGCCCTTTTCTCAATTCTATGCTTCAACTCACGAAGTGAGCAGTTGACACTGCATCTTCGCTCTACCATCCTGCTTTATCCCCAATCGCACACCTGAACCATGAGCAACGATCAGCCGCAGTCTCCCCGTCACTGGCACGGAGACATCGGGAAGCGGTACGAGCATCAAAACGTCTGGGTCCGCGGTGGGCAGTCTGCCCCCTATTTCCGCCGGCCCTCGGTGCCAGGCGGATCGGTGTACACCACTGCGACCGGACCGGAGATGACTACCGATAGACGTGTATGTCCTCGCCTGATTCATCGCTGTGATCCCTGTATCATGCCCCGTTGCCAGCACAGGTCGTTCATGCGTGGAATCAAAGACATAGCCAGCGAAGCACACAACATATCTCGAGATACTGATACCTCGAACAGGGCTCTGACTCCTCTGATATGTCTTCAAACTCCAACAACATGGCCAGCAGCCCGCCCACAGCACGGGACAGGCGACGCTCCAGTGGCCAGAACTCGTCTCTGTTCGAGAACCTGACTGCTCAGAAGCGCAACTCGGCCGACCCAAACTTCGCATCACGCCGTGAGAGCTACACCGAACAGTCCCCATCGGGTGGGATGTTCTCCAAGTGGTGGGATGGATACACTCGGGGAACTAACCAGAGGAATTGATCATGAGTATCAGCTTCTGCTCCGTATAAGGTGATATTGTGTATTTGCTGTCATGTCTTTTTCTGTGCGTCGGTTATGTATCGGCGGAGAAAAAGGAACGCCTTCAATGTTCCGATTGTATGGAAGCACAACGTCTTGACGAGCTGGTCCGGTTTTATGTCAATTATGCATCGCGGTCATATAGTAAAATCAGGGAATTAGTGCCTGACTCAAGTGATTTTGGTGACACTTTAGTTCTTTACCGTAGACCAGGCAACAGCTTGAAGATCGACAAACACAATCATCAGTACCCCAGTGAATCACGAAGTGTAAGAGCCACCTTCCTCTTACTAGGTGGAATAGGATCGTAGACCTAACCCCAAGAGCGCAAGGCTAAATCAGATCGACCATGACATGAGTTTAACCATCGAGTCAAGGGCGTTTTGGGACTAGTGCTGTCCGGGGTAAATGAATCTAAAGGCAAGACAGTGTGGGTTATCTGCTTAGGTCTACAGTGGACTACTCTACGGTCAGACTACGGCCCGACTGGGAACATAGAACCGGGCCACACTTTGCCCGTGCCTCTAGCACCAACCTGAGAAGAGTGACAGTCCAGAGACCTCGCCAAAGCGAGGATACCCCAGAACGAGGGAGAGAGGAGAGACTGACCCGAATCATCTGGATGAGCACAAGGTTCATTCCAGATGAGACGAAGCCATAGGCCAAGATGCACACCATGAGACCATCATCCCGGATAAGTCCAGGAGGCATCCGACAACAAAGAGCTTTCCAACCGAGGTTGGAAGCATCATTGCCGTCATGAGATAGAACTTTTCAATCAATGGTTATGCGGAAAATCATTCACCCTTTGTGAAAGCCTTCATTGAAGAGAAAAGCGGTAGGTTTGGGGTTGAGGAAAATTGGGGGGAATTTCATATCTCTAACACGCCTAACCTCATTGCCGTGATAGAAACAATGTCTCAGAGCAGAGCGACAAAAAAAAAGTTGGAAAGAAAAACGCCTGCCTCTTTTCTGTCCATTTCTTTTCGTTCGGTCCGGATTTTTCGGGGTTCCTTTCCGTCATTAAGCATGCAGCCCTTTCGAATTGTTTTCCTTTTCCCTCTTCCCGTCATTGAAGACTTTCATAGGGGAGAAGAAAATCAATGGTTTTTCTTTCTTTTTTTAGAGAAAAAAAAAGGCATTTACCGGACGATACCGTCGAAGCGGTTCTTGAACCACTTGATGGTCTCGTTCTGGTTGATGCGGTGCTGGGAACCGATTCTGGCCTTGCAGCGGCGGCGCTTGGCAACACGCTCACCGGGGCGGGTCCTAGTGGAATTCCAATGTCAGTTCCTTACGAACTTCCTTTCTTGTCGAATCGTTGACGAGTATCGGTGGGATTTTGTGATGATGCAGAAGGTCCGAGGGCTACTCACATGCAGCAGTAGAAGTCCATGCCGTAGATACCGATGCCGGGGTCGTACTTGATACCAAGATCGATGTGCTCGGAGATACCGAAACCGAAGTTACCGGTCTCGGAGAAGTTGCGCTTGCGGAGCTCGTACTCCTTGACCTTGAGGCCACGCTCAAGAATCTCCTCAGCCTTGGGGCCACGGACGGTGACGTGGACGGAGATCTTCTCGTTACGGCGGATACCGAAGGTACGGACGGTGTAACGGGCCTTGCCTGTAGGTTGAAAGATGTTCCATCAGCCCAATTTGTCCTTCTGATTTCTCCTTCTCTTTTCCTTGCGGACTTCTTGTCGTGCTGTCGTTCTTCATCCATCGTAATAGGATCTGGCGTTCTTACTGTAGACCGGAGTCTGACCGCTCAGCTGCTCGAGCACCTTGGCAGCGCGGGTAAGTCTGTCACCAGACTCGCCGACAGAGATGTTGAGCACGAGCTTCTGGATGCGCAGCTCGCGCATAGGGTTGGCGCTCTTGTCCTTTCCTTCCGACTGCATGGCGAGAAAAAATATGTTAGAAAACCTTTCTTCTTTGGAGACAATTTTGCGATGGAAAAAATTTCGAGATGTAAAATCTCGAGATGCTGGATATTCAAATGCTGGATAATGAGCTGGTTGGAGGAACACCTACCATGGCGACTGCTTTTGGCGTGAACTGGTCGACTGGTTGAGTGAAAGAGAGACAAGATCGAAAAGTGTGGAAAAGGGAAGTGTGTGGGTTGGCCGTGTGGGAAGCGAGAAGCCCTTAGTGGCTTGGCATCGACCGTCCGGCGCCAAGACCGCAAGAGCCGCGCTTTCATGGAACCTCAAGGCCAGCTCGGGTCGAAAGCTCATGTCAAGTTAGCCCCGACTTCGAGTTTCTGCTTGCGCGCTTGCTGTCTCCCCCGGATCACGGAGTGAAGATCTTAAGAACAAGAGGCAACTCTTTCTTCTTAGCCCTCCCTGACTCCCAGCTTCCATTCTTTGAATCCCAATCTCAAGTCGCATCCGTGCGCAAAACATAGCCTAACATGGCCAACAAGCAAGGCAAGATGGTATGCTGCGTCACTCCCCCTCCCTTCTCCCCGCGAGAGGATTGAAGTATATCCTGGAATTCACTGAGCTAACTGTTCTTCTTTCTTAGCAAAACCTCGTGAGTACCCAAAGACGCTGCCGATGCTTGGTGGTCGCCGTGTTCCAAATCTAACTTTCGATGCAGATCAACTATCGGATGAGAGTTACTCTGAACGATGGTCGACAGATGACGGGACAGATGCTCGCTTTCGATAAGGTACTTACTCGCTTTCATACCGTTGCGAATCCAGCTTGCGTGGCTGGATGTAGGCTGATATCTTCGCGCAGCACATGAACCTCGTCCTCGCCGACACAGAAGAATTCCGTCGCGTCAAGCGGAAGTCCAAGCCTGCTGCCGGATCGACCACTGCGAGCCTTGTCGAAGCCGAAGAGAAGCGGACGCTCGGTCTGACTATTGTCCGTGGTACTCACGTCGTCTCTTGCTCCGTTGATGGTCCCCCGCCTGCCGACCCCTCCGCACGTCTTGGAACAACCGTTCCTGGTGCTGCTGCCGCGGCGGCTACCCTCGCTGCTGGCCCTGGCATTAGCAAACCCGCTGGACGTGGTCTGCCAGTCGGACTTGGAGGTCCTGCCGCTGGTGTCGGTGGACCGCCCCCTCCCCCTGGTGGTTTTCCCGGCTTCCCCCCGGGTGGCTTCCCTGGCGCACCGCCTCCGGGCTTCGCTGGTCGCGGAGGACCTGCTGGAGGACCTCGTAAGAGTGGCATTTCCTGATGATTGATGGTTTGGCTCACTAATTGTTACTATAGCCGGCTTCGCTCCCCCTCCTGGATTCGCGCCTCAAGGTGCTCCTCGTAAGTTGCTTCTATGTCCTACGTCCATGTAACACATTGGCTGACATCAATCCTGCTGCAGCGGGCGCTTTCCAACCTCCTCCGGGTTTCCAGCCTCCGGGTCAGGGCCGGGGTTATCCTCCTCCCGGATTTGGCGGGCGGTGATTTGGTACTAGGTGGCGTGACATGATAGCTTACCATCTGGCTATGGCTTCGATCATGGCGGATATGAGTTTGATATTGAGCATAAGGCTTAGAAATCTCGCTCTCGGTTGTTGGCCGAAGGAAGCTCCAACCACCCAAAGCACAGCAACCCAATTTTTTATTATCAGGCAAAGGCGTTTCGGCGTGTGCGGATGCTCCTCAGATAAGAAAAGGTCGACCAAAAACAACAAGGCTACGATCGGCGGAAGCAATGTTAGAATTTCTTCCAGCAAGCAAGCACTGTACTATTCTATCATAATGAAAACCCAGAGCTTCAGATTCTTCATTCTGTTGAACATGATTTTCGTAACTAAACTACTGCAGGTTTATATGTACGCATGTAAGAAAAGCCCCGTAGACCGGAGTCAATCAACTCCGGCAACTAGCAAACACGTGACCCCATCCGAGCCTCTCCGCCCGGCGAACGGCGCCGTGACGGGGAAAGCAGCAAAGCAACTCGCTCTCTCTGCCTTCTCTATCGTCCCTCTCATCTCTTCAGCGTCACTCTCCTCCCCGTGCTTCCTTCCCCTCTCCGCTCACAATGGCTGCTGCAATCAAGGCAATTAACGCCAAGATCCGTTCCAACAAGGTTCTGGACTATGTTTGCTCTACACGTGCGTGATGCTCTCCAGCTCCCTTCCCCGTGCCCTGACCGAGATCGGCCGGCAATGAAGTCCTGCAGGGAGACAAACAGAGAGACGACGAACGGGCTCGTCTCCGACCTGCAACAGACCTATCGCCGGAAGATGGCATCATATATCGTCGAGTGTTCTCCTACAATGCCATTAAATAGTCAATTGACTTCTTTAATTGTCATCTAGATTTCTGGGGCCCTGCTTCCAACTTCGGTATCCCCATCGCCGCTGTCATGGACACCCAGAAGGACCCCGAGATGTACGTTCACAGCTAATACCTCGCCTCCCCTTTAACATTCATCTTCCGTTCCGACCTAAGCAGTGGGGTAAAACGAGAGAACATCCACCAATTCCAAAGCAGCCGAAACCAAATAAACAAAACCCACTTGGAACCATAAAGCTGACAGCTTTCGTCCTCTCTAGCATCTCCGGTCAAATGACTGGCGCCCTCGTCATCTACTCCGGTACCTTCATGCGTTACGCGCTCGCCGTCTCCCCCAAGAACTACCTCCTGTTCGCCTGCCACGCCATCAACTTCTCCGCCCAGCTGACCCAAGGTTACCGCTACCTGAGCTACTGGAAGTAGGTGTTTTCTCGCACTCTATCTGTGTTTTTTGTTTTTCCTCGCAAGAATTTAAACATGAAAAAGACAAGCTGACTTTCAATTCTTCCAATCAGCTGGGGCGGCCGCGAAGCCAAGCTCGCCCAGGCTGCTCAGCAGGGCAAGGAGGCCACCGAAGCCGGCCAATAGACCAGGAAAATCCCCCCCCAATCCATCTCCATTCTATCAATCCTGGGTCCTCTTCCTGTTTCTCTTCTACAACCCTAATCCCTATCTCTCTGGGCGCTTGTCTTCTTGACCGCTTGCGCGCGGGTGTTGTCTCAATCTGTACGATTTCGCAGCAAGGGGGAGGGGAGGAAGGGAGGGTGTTTTTGATTTCCTTCCTTTCTCTTGGTAAGGAGGGTCTTCTGATTGTGGTCTGGTTCCTTTCGGCTCTCCGCTTCGTTACCTTGCAGGTTTGTGCATGGCGGGTGCCTTCGTGTATATAGCTCTTTTTTTGCTCCCTTCGTACTAGAATTTGAAAATGATTCGGTTCGGATCCTTTTCGTCTTTTTGCGACTTCTATGTTGTAGTTGAAGTCTGGCTTCGACGATGCCTACGCAGGGTTCTCGTTTAACACGGGCAGATTGAGAATCGCGGTGTATAGTTTGTAAATTGACAATCTCGTCTAGAGTCTATACCAAACATAGCCAGAAGCCCATGCAATGGATCAAGCAACAAGGGAAGAGCTGGCTGGAGCTTTAAGCAATGATCCTGTAACCAAGCGCAAATGACAAGCAAGCAGGAAAGCAAATAATAGAACAGGCAGAGGTATATATCCTGTATGGAAAAGCAGACATTGAAGCGGCATCACAGTGTCCATCATACACGTACTGGACTGTCCAGTAGAGAGAGACTGAAGTGGATCAAACGTTATGTTGTGCAACGACTATATAGTCTAGGAGTCGCAGTATCCTGGAGGCTTGACGTCACCGCCATTGATCCAGTTACTGAGCGTCAACGAAGTCGTGTACAGGCAGCTGAGAACGCCGAAAACGGCCAACGCGATATCGGCGATTTGCTGTCTGCGAGACTGGGCGCAGGCTTTGAGGTGCAACAGAGGCTGTTGGTTATATGTCGTCAGTGCTGAGAAACGATGAGAGAAGGAGACGAGGATCGAGAACTTACCGGATATACATAGATCAAAGGAACACAAGCAAAACTGCCAACAAGCGAAACAAACTTGTCAAGATCTTCGGCGCCGCCCCAGGCGACGAAAGCGCAGATCATGACAAGGAAAAAGCGGAAACAGTTCTTCTTCCACTTGATCCAGGGATTGTACTTTCCGCTGCGTGTGAACAACTCGTTTTCCATGATACGAATGGCAGGGAAGAGTTGAAGAGGAGTGCTGAGGAGAATGGCCAAGGAGTAGAGGAATTGCACTGCGTTCACAAACTTGTCATCCTGCGGTAGGTTGAGGATGACAACGGTCTTGGTTGCGGATCCATAGGCCGCATAGCTGACTGCGCCAGCTGCAAGGAACACAACCGTGATAATAACCATCACGCCAGCCAAGACACCAGGGAAGCGATGAGGTTCCTTCATAGATTCCTGGATGGGGATAATCAAGCCAATTCCCTCATAAGTGAAGATAGCTGTTCCGATAAACAAAGTCCATGTCGACGGGTTGAAGGAGATGATATCGGAGATACCACCCTGGTTCGAGATGGTCAGGAAATCATAATAGAAGAGATAGATCAGGCCAAGCAGAATGAAAAGATCGGCTATCAGTGCGGTGAAACCCAGTTTACTGATGTCGCGGATCAACGAAAGAGGTAGGAAGATAACCAGCTGAAGCAATACCATGAATTTGATGTCGATGAAGGACTTGCAGTTGCTCACAGCGAGGACGAAGGCTTGGAGATTCTCCGCGGTAAACACAATATACGCCGACACGAAGCCCAATTGACTGAGGACAATAGAGCCAAGGATAATGCGCCGCATATGTTTGCCATAGAGATGGCCACCGATATCACCAAAAGAGCCGTCGACCTTCAACCGCGTGTTGACCAGCAGGATGAAACAGTAAAAACTGAGAAGTGACACTGCAAGTAGAACCATACTACTGAACAGCATTCCTCCATTCAGAAAAGCTCTTGGGAGGAACAGGACACCCGTTCCGACAAAGGACTTAAGTAGGAGAAGAGCCGCTCCCGTCACGGTGTTGTTTCCAGTGCCTCCGCGCGCCTTGCGCTTCCTTCTACCAGCTGTATCCGGACGAAGCAGAGCCGAGTCTTCCCCGGGTTCTCTGCCTTCTACCTCGTCATAGGTATCGGACGAAAAGTACTCGTCAGGACCCAGGACCTCATCATCTTCTTCTAGCTCTTCACCCGCAAAGTGACCGTATAGGGTCAAGAATTCAAGAAAGCTGCTCGTCGGAAACTGAGGTTGGCTGACGGGCGCCTGCACGCCAGAATCCTCAGAGTCACCAGGGCCGACCGCTCTTCGCAGGTAGTCTCTGCGAAACCCTCCCGGCACGCGAATACTGTTTATATTCATTGTCTCGTCTTGAGGTAGAGGCCGATTATGGCTGAAGCTCCGGCTCCGCTGAGGTTTGCGCAAAGAGCCTCCAACTTCCGCGTCCTCCGCCCATCTGTAAACCTGGCGGGTTATGTCACCTCCCTGAAGCTGCAGGCTGGAAAACTCGTCATCCGCGTTGCTGGCCGCGTCGCCCGAGAGATAGTAATCACGACCTTCCCCATTCTGAGGTTGTACAAGATGTCGCTTGACGACTTCCGGATCTTCGTAAGGGCCCGCGGAATATACTGAGCCCTCGCGCCCATCAAAAGATCCATAGTTCGAGCGAGTGGGTTGGTTGAGCAGAGCCGGAGACGCTGCTTGTCTGGGAGGTGTTCCTACTCTTGCTGGCGGCGATTTACCCATGTAATCCTGAAGAGCTGAGGAAATCATCGAATGGCCCGGACCTGGTATGGAGGCGGGGTGATCGACTTTGCGATAATCCTCGATGGTGCTGCTCGCCGACTGCACGGGTACGGGCACCTGTCGGGAGGAGTAAGAATGATTGGAGGGAGAGGGGATCGGAGACGCCAGGCGGGCGATCGAAGCATGCCTCACCGAGGCGTCGGTTGCAGGGGACCTGGACCGCATTGCAGAGGTGGAAATTGGCGATGACGATCGAGGCCGTAGAGACGAAGAGCCCTCCCCGTTGTCGGATGCCTTTGGGGACAATGACATTTTGGCAGCTGGAACAGTGTCCTTGTGCAACGATCAAACCAACCCTGGAACAATCCCGAAAACAATTCGTCTATTTGAGTTTTCGGTAGTAAACCAAGATTAAGAAATAACCTGTCTGGAAGGAGGAGAAAGTAATGAGCAGAACGGAGAGGTTTGCGGAGGCAAAAATACAGAGTTAAGTGAGTGTAAGTGAGAGAGAGAGAGAGAGAGAGAGTGGAGTTAGTGATGAAGATCGAAAGAAAGACGGGGGATAAGTGCAAGCCACAGTCCATTCACCGCATTAGACCAACAGGGACACTAACTAGCTAAGCCTCCTGCGAGTTGACTTAGCTAGACTAATATTCAGGCTGGTTTCCGATGCAACCCCCCCAGAAATGACCTGTCCGAAACATGCGTTGAAATTGAATAGTTTACCACTGCAGTCGAGTAGTAAGTAGTAGTAGGACGAAGACGAGGCAATACGAGTTGTTGAAGCACAGACGATTTGCACTGTTTGTTTGTGGAGGACATGAGGTCATCGCCGCCCCCGATGATTTGGCGATAAGCTAAAGTTGCTTCAACACGCGATTGACATTCCATCCTCTCATTCCCCCCGTGCTCCCTCCCTCACCCCCAATCCAGAGATTTTACTGCTGTCGCGGTTGTCACATTACACTCCTCGTGACCGGGTCAGCAGTATTCTCCTTATCGCTACTGTCAATTTTTGACCTCTCCCTTCACTTTCAACTCCCCCCCCCCCAGACTTGACTATTACCCGGTTCCCACCTGGGCCCCCTCCACCCCCACATCCTCTAATTGATCAGTGGTTGCATGCAGCCCCCCAAGCGGACACACTCACACAAGGAGTGGAGGTGCTGGTATCGATGACTGACCAGCGGGTCGGCAATTCTTCGGACTCTCTGTCTCGACGGAGGCCCAATTTTTCCACGCGTACCGCTGAAGAAGATGTCTCCAGATTAGACCCTAGTGAATCGACCAAATTTTCACCAGAATCCAGTAGTAAGGTCTTTCTAGGGAAGGGGACGATTGAATCACCAGTTGCTGAGAATCATCGCTATGAACCGCTGAGCTCATCCACACATTCGCCTGAACGGCATCGTCACTCACTTCCCAACGATGTCTTCAGTAATGTCACTCAGTGGTGGAATGGGCAAGGCAGTGATGGAAAACATGATTTTCCCAGGGAGAGAATTCTTCCTCCGGCTCCAGCTACAGGTCCTTTCAGAGAGTCTGGCGTAGACCAGAAAGAGCGCGAGGCTCAGATTCGAGCTTCCGACAATTCTGATAAGTTGGGAACATTCTCGGGAGTTTTCGTACCGACGACGTTGAATGTCTTGAGTATTTTGATGTTTCTCAGGTTCGGGTTCATTCTCGGACAAGCTGGACTGCTGGGAATGCTCGGTAATGAATATGCATGCTGTTCTAGAGACCGCTGGTTGACTAACACAAACAAGGCCTGCTTTTCATCTCATACACCATCAATCTAGTGACGACCATGTCCCTTTCTGCCATCGCCACTAATGGCACAGTCCGTGGTGGTGGCGCATACTACCTGATCTCCCGCTCACTGGGACCCGAGTTCGGTGGCTCAATTGGCATTGTATTCTACCTTGGATACGTGCTGAACACTGGTATGAATGCAGTCGGTTTAGTGGATTGCTTCAGTCAAAATTTCGGCACAGAATCGGGTACCTGGGCCAATTTCCTCGAAGAGGGCTTCTGGTGGCAGTATCTATGGGGTACCATAATCCTAGTCCTATGTACGGGAATATGCTTGGCTGGGAGCTCTATCTTTTCAAGGGCCAGCAATGGGCTGCTGATTATCTTGCTTGTCGCAACCTTCAGCATACCATTGTCTGCCATTTTCATGAAACCTTTCAATATTCCCAAGATTGGGGTTGAATTCACAGGGTTTCGGCTACAGACACTGTTAGACAATCTCAAACCCAAGCTCACTAAGGGCGCGGCGGGCAGCCAACTTCCAGGACGCGAAAACTTTCAAGACCTATTTGGTATCTTGTTCCCTGCAACTGGTGGTATTTTTGCGTAGGTACGTCTCATATGACTATGGTGTACGAGACTAATACATCAACAGCGGTGCTAGTATGTCTGGAGACCTAAAGAATCCCAGCAAGTCCATCCCGAAGGGTACTCTGTATGGCCTGGGACTCACGTTCGTGACCTATACCTTGGTCATCGTCGCCATGGCTGCTTCTATAACACGAGAATCCTTTTACAGAAATGCTAATGTGGTACAAGTCGTAAGTAATCGAACTGATCGCCATGCATCAACATGTACTCACTGTTTGATAGGCTAATCTCTCAGGAGCTGTCATCCTTATGGGAGAATTTGCAACGAGTTTCTTCTCCTCATTGATGGGAGTTATAGGGTCGGCCAAGCTTCTTCAAGCGATTGCGCGAGACGGTCTGCTTCCAGGGCTCGGCATCTTTGGGCAAGGCACGAAAAAGGCTGATGAACCCGTCTATGCAATCATTATAACGTTCATAGTCGCGCAGGCCACAATGCTGTTCGACATTAACCAAATTGCTTCCTTTGTGACCATGACTTATCTCATGACATTCTTGGTAACGAATCTTGCCTGTTTCTTGTTGAAGATTGGGTCCGCCCCCAATTTTCGTCCCTCCTTCCATTACTTCAACTGGCAGACAGCAGCAACAGGTACCCTGGTCTGCGGCGCAAGCATGTTCTTCGTCGATGGCGTCTATGCTTCGGGATGTGTCGCAATACTGATGTTACTCTTCCTCCTGATCCACTACAGCTCACCGCCGAAGCCCTGGGGCGATGTGAGCCAGAGTTTGATTTACCACCAAGTCCGAAAGTACTTGCTTCGTCTTCGGCAAGAGCACGTCAAATTCTGGCGGCCTCAAATCTTACTCTTCGTGAACAGCCTAGAGGAACAGTCTCGGATGATTGCTTTCTGCAACTCTCTGAAAAAAGGGGGCTTATTTGTTCTAGGCCACGTTCTTGTCACGGACGACTTTTCCGCAGCCGTACCGGAAGCTCGGCGTCAACAAAGTGCATGGACCAAATTCGTTGAAAATTCTCGGGTCAAAGCTTTTGTGAACATCACAGTTGCCCCCACGCCCGAATGGGGCATTCGAAATGTAGCCTTGAGTGCCGGACTCGGTGGCATGCGGCCTAATATCGTGATTATCGACCAATTTCGCAAGGGCCGAGCTTTAGTGGAGAGGTTTCATTTCACGAACCGAAGAGACTCGGGACGCAAGGACTCAGGAGGCAGGCGCATCTCGCGCGAAGCACTCTCTACTACTGAAAGCTCGCCAGAGACATCAATGGCTTGCAGAAGCTATGTGACCATTTTAGAGGATCTTCTTTTCAGGTTGCGGATGAATGTCGCGGTGGCCAAAGGTTTTGAGGACCTCGAGCTGCCGGGTCCTCACGGACAGCATATGAAAAAGTATATTGATCTGTGGCCGATTCAGATGAGCGCAGAGCTCGGTGCGGACACAGAGAGCAAGAAAAATGTCTTGACTACGAATTTCGACACCTACACGCTGATCCTGCAATTGGGATGTATCCTCAACACCGTCCCGTCTTGGAAGAAGACATACAAACTGCGAGTAGCCGTATTCGTCGAATACGAGTCTGACGTTGAAGATGAGCGGGGTAGAGTTGAGGCGTTGCTGGAGAAGCTCAGAATTGAGGCAGAGGTTCTGGTGTTCTGGCTTGCATGTGGAGATCTGAAAACGTACCGCATCATTGTGAATGGCGAAATCACCCCAGAGACTGGAGATTATTCCGACCGTGTCCATGAAGCTCTCCAGGATGAAGATTGGTGGCAAGACATTCGACGAGCTCGTAGCGTTCATGGAGCCTTAGACCACTCCGAATCGAGCGATCTCATTCACTTGAGGGAGAGGATGTCTAGTTGGCCCGTCCAGAGTCCGGAGAGTATTCAACGGCCATCGCATCAGCTGGTTGGTGGATTGCGAAAGCTCATGCAGTCGTCGAAACGAAGACGATCGATATCCAGCTTCCGTGGTCTCGGAAACGTCAGTCTGGGCATGCAAACGCATCGCCTTCTTGATGCCCTCGTCGACTACGACATCTCCAGCGATTCCAGCACAAGTGACAGCAGCGACGAGGAGTTTGTCCCTTACCGAGATGATGTCGACTCTGATGAAGGAGAGGAGAATCATCAAGACTCCTCCCAGGGCCCCGACCAGAGCTCCCAGCAGCACATGCTCGGCTCCATCAAAGCCAAACAAAGAGCATCATCTGACTCTATTGCCCCCGACCAACCCGTCCCCTCGATCATCATGACCGCCGACACCGACACAGAGCCTGCAGAAACTCCACAAACCCCGCCATCACCCTCAACCGTCCTCGCGAGGCCCAAGCCCTCGCGGTCCCCCTCCAGCAACCGGTTCAGCTCCTCGCCTATCCCCGAAGCCCGTGTCAACACCGAAGAAGGTGCCGGCCCATCTATCATGTTCGCGCCCAGCGCCTCCCCGCCGCGCTCGACCTCTAACCACCGCCTTGAATCCATTTACACTCGTCGCTCATCCTCCGGGCCTTCAGCTGTACTCGCAGCGCGAGCGACATCAGCATCTGGGTATCCGCAGCAGGCATCAGTGCCCTTCTCGTTCAACGATCTCCCCAGCCGGGCGCAGCATCTGATCTTGAACGAGCTGATGGTGAGACATAGCGAGGATACGGCGGTGGTTTTCACGACGTTACCGTCGCCGTCTGAGGGGACGGCGCAAAGTGAGGCGGCGAGTGCGTCCTATCTGAGCGATTTAGAGATCTTCTGGCAAGGGCTACCGCCTTGTCTGTTGGTGCATAGCAACAGTATGACTGTGACGATGAATCTGTGAGGCTTGTATTCTCTCCAGTTTTGAAGTTGAACAAATACTGCTGCAAGAAAAGAGGAATACAAAGTGAAGAGAAAAAAAGAAAGAGAAGAAAAACGAAGACAGGGAGAGAGATGAGAAGACAGTCCGGTCAGATTATTAGGGCTATCGCAACTATCGCATGTATCATATAACGCGGCATTGATGTATATATCTGTAACAGAAATAAAGATACCATCCGCCATTTTAATCTTATTGATCCAAACTACATGCTCAGGGCTAAAGCTTATGCCCTGGACCGTAATTTGGGCCAGCAAGAATAGAGCCAGCGGATACTCGGGGTTCCGCACATTATTCAGGTCTGAACTTGGAATCTGAAGATTTACAAAAAGGCTACTACAGGAACGCAAAACTTACTTAGGCAGGAATTTCCCTTGTAGCTGGCAAGAAGAACTCTCATAAATCGAAAACCAAACTCTAGAAACTCATGCAAAAAACACAACACAATACAAACCAAAAACAGCACAACAGGAACACAAACGTCTAAATCTGCACACCGTCACATACATGACAGACTCTGCTCACTTATCATAGTCAAAGATCCCCGAACCGGTCTTCACCCCCAAATCGCCCCGGTCCACCATCTCCCGCAGATACTTGCGAGGACCCTCGGGGATACCAGAACGGATCTGCGCATAGTGCTCTTCAATCGCCAGGATGACGTCCAGCCCGGCCACATCCATCTGCTCGCAGGGTCCCTTGGGGGTCTGCAGGACGGCCTTATACATCTGATCGACCTCCTCGGGGGTGGCGACGCCTTCCTCTAGCACCATCAGCGTCTCGCGCTTGATGGCTGCCCAGATCCTGTTGGCAATGCTTGATTAGCATATGGTAGATTTCGCGGGAGGCTTGAAAATATTCTGGTCTGGGTTATATGGAGGGGGGTGGGGAGGCTACTTGCCGGTTGAAGATGTATCCGGTTGAGGGTTTGCGGACGTGGAAGGGTTGGAAGCCGTGCTTGCGGGCTTCGTCCATGAGGAGAGGGATGATTTCAGGGCGGGTTTTGTCGGTGCCCATGACTTCGAGGACTATGTGGGGAAGAAGGTCAATAGATGTGGGGAAGAATCGATGGAGATGAGTGTGGGCTCAGACCTTGGGTTTCTGGGGGCCAGACTGGGAGTAGTGATTGATGTTAGTCCCGGGGTGTGAACAGTGATCGACTCAGGGTACTATATTTGGGGATGGGAAGACTAACAAGAGTGCAAGTTCACGAAGCGATCATCAGCCTTGAAATCAAGCCCCTCGCAGACCTCTATGATCGAGTGGCTGCTCGAGTTAGACGCAATGATGATCTCTGGATCGGCTTGGTCGTCCAGCTGCTGGATTATGGACCGTTTGAGGTCCAGATTCTCGGGGAGACACTAGTAGTGAAGATTTCAGAACTGACTACCATGTTCTTGAGCAATGAGGCATTGGAGAAGGAATCACTACCTCGATGACCAACCAGGAATCGCAGAGTGCCCGGTCCAGGTCCGCGACAACTAGTTGGGTGATTGGACCTTGTTTCTCAGGTGGTGACTCCTTGCGGCGCAGCTCCTCAATGAAGTCGAACGCTTGGGATAGGTGACTCGATTCCTTGTCCACAATGTACACCGGTGTTCCTTGACGTGCCCACTGACAAGACAACGATTGTGCTCAGTATCCACTGGAGGGGACTATGATGGGATTGATGGGGCCTACCATGTAGGCAAGACGTGAGCCTTGTGTGCCTGCACCGAGCAGGGTGACAGCGTTCGCAGTTCGAGTCATCTTGAATGTGAGTATATGGGTTTGTTGTGATCTGAAGATCTAGCTGAATGTGAAAGTGAGGCACGAGATTTTGATGTCTCTTTGATTTGATTGTTCTCTCGAGGTGGAACAAGCCTCGCTTTATAGACCTGATCCGAGGGTCATTTCCGCCAGAGTCGCAGTTGCTCGAGAATCGTCATCTTAGGGATCTTTCCAAATCGGCCATCAATGAACGCATCCAGGATGATGATTCACGCACCAAGTGGGAAGTCGAACAGCGAGATGAAGCTGGGAAGCGAGGTCATGCGACAGAAACTTGGAGATAAGCAGAAAGAGTGGTTTACTGAGTGGGCGGAAGCGACTCCGATTTCCTGCAGCAGACGAACCTGTTCCTGCACTGTTCCCGTGAAGGAAATACTTTGTTCGCAGGAAGCAGTCAATCACCACCATGGCTGACGTTTGCTGCTGCATATTCCACTTGTGAGTCTGCATAATGTTGTCAATCCTCTACGAGAGACTGACGGCTGGACTTCCAGCAAGTCACCTGCTCTGTGCTGCCCAGTTTAATGCCAAGGTTTGTGACTTGCATGGAGCCTCTGGAAGAACCGACGAACTCAGACCTACTAAGATCGATCCCACGGATTTACCTTGCAGATGCCAGCCAAGGCCTCGAACTTGCACCCAACTTGCGAAATGCCCATCGTTGCCCTGGAAAATACTCGCCGGGCTTGCGTGTGAATTATCCCACATCCTCCGCAAGTCCGCCAGATTGACTTCACTTGACTCAAGCTAATCTAACCATATTTCTAGCATAGAGCATAGGAAAGAGGCTGTTGCGTATGGTCAGGGAAAGGCGTGTACGCATGGAACACAGCTTGCTGGAATGCTCATGCTCTGATCATTCCATATTGAACCAAACCCAAGGTCGTCATGCAACACCCTCCGCAGGATATGAAAGATTGGCAAACTCTCAGGTTTGACAACACGGAAGGAAAGCAGCCCGAGGGCGTAATCGTCGTCCCCTGCACCATCCTGATTGTTTTAAAGATAGTCACCGATCTCGTCGGGTAGTAGGGCCAGAGGATTCGACGTCACTTCCTCTGATAACTTTCGCCAAAGAGGTCACTGACTACTGTTCCCATAGACGACGAGGCTGCAACGGATGTTACTTGTACATGTCCTGTCTGTGAGCATAGCTCGCAGCTTCATTGGATCCGATCCTCACAATCTGCACTTCGCACCCTCCGCTCTCGAGCCGGTCACCGTCAGTCGACGGACCTCTAGTCAACCCTTTAATTTGAATACACGGTTTCTGTAGACCTAGCTTGATGTTGCCATCCTGCATGATACTATGATGTATAGGGCCGCCAGTCCAATGTCGCCTAGGACTAGCAGAATCATGCTCAGAAAAGCTTCGAGACCAAAGCAAAGATGATGCTGTCTCCCTTGCTGCAGTAAATTCAGCAGACATAGGGTCGCAGCCGAGCAGGTGGTTTTGCGATTCAAAAAGACGTACGCTCCCAGAAGTGAGACATGAGAAATCGAGATCCTTTTCTCGCCCACCCAATGGGCCGCTCACGGCTGCGTCTCGACTCAAAGAACCAGTCCATGGCCTGATTAGTCCCTGATGATGTAGCTCCTATTACAGTACTCGGGTTTTACAGGATTGAATGTCTCAGAATCGGAGGGAAGCTTTTTCAGTCAGCTGATCGCGATGCCTGGTCCTTTGTGTTGCATAGGTAGATGTCAGAGTAAGCGGAGACTTATTTTCCGAAAACCATTCCATTTGCGCTCGGAAATGCAGCTGAAGGTCTGTAGCACTCAGACCGACGACATTTGATCATTGCCGAGTCTGTTCTGGCTGTAATTCGATGGTATTTAAGCTGAACAGCAACCACCTGCCGTGGAGGAGATGTTTTCCGTTCCAGATCATCGAGCAACCACCGCCATCGACTTGCGCGAAAGAACCGTCTGAACCGCCATCATGCAACTCAGCAGTACTCTACTGCCCTTTCTTGTCGGCTGCAGCTTCTTGACGGCCGTGGCTGGCCAGCGCGATCGCTGTTACGAAATTCGAGATTACGGTCGAAGTTCACGATGCCATCGCTGCCGAGACGGATATCGCTTCTATCAACATGGCAACTGTGACTATCAGTCCCGGTGCTGCCGTGGATATTGCATCGATGACCGCTCCACTGATGCAGCCACGGATAGAAGTATGCTTGATTCAGTCTTGCTTTCTGCTTCGCAAGAGGACTGAAAGCTCTTGAGCCCAGAATGAGTCAGTGCTGTAGTCGACGTCGGGGTCGAAGTCGTTGAATTCAACATTAATAACGGATGGAAGGTCACACCAACTGTGGCCGGAGAATTAGAATGTTTTACACTATCACTGCACGGTGTTACCATCTGACTCGGACTGTAGTTATTGAATTAAGCTTACTTTGCATGCTGTCATGTCACCCTTTGATCGTTTCCCGGGCGGCTTGATGGGGGAATCAGCTGTCCAGTTAGTATCAGTTAGTTGAGTGCGTAGTAGACCCTGCTCAATGCGTGTGGATTCAGCTATGAAGTACGGAGGAAAGTGATTGCGGAAGTGTAGTGTAGCAAAAGCAATTAAGTACGACGTAGTAACTACTAAACTAGTAACTATACGTGGTCCGAGCAGCAGCAGCAGCTAATAAGGATGTCTGCTATTGACTGGGGCCAACGACTCCGCAACCTTACTGTGGAGGTACTCAGCCGACAAAGCAGACTCACAGCTACTGTGTAGAATGCAGTCTTCAGGGATCCTTCTGCACGGATAATCTCATTTGGAGATGGGGGAGCCTGCCAGGTGGATGTAATTTAGATACCGTGGAGTGACTGACTTGGGGTACAGCTTAACTTACTAGTTCGGGTGAGTAATGAGCAATAGTTGATGTGTGATTGGTGGAATAAGAGCAGCGAAACAGACACCTCAGGCCAAAAGCATCCCCGACTAGTACAACTCCGGTACAATGAGTGTTTGCCAAATGCGTGAATCTTACTCCTCCTCCTCCTCCTCCACGTTCTCTACAACTGCACTCATTCCCCTTTTCTTCTTTCCCTCCCAAATTTCCTCCTTCTTTATCCTCCTTGTAAACCTCTTCTTTTCTTTTTCTTCTAGCGCCATGTTTTCTACTCGGTTCTACCTCTAGTCTCTCCTTTGATTAACTCCTGACCGTTTGTCTTTGCCAACCCTGACATTCGTTGCGCCGCTTCTACTTGCCCTCCTCCCCTTACATCTCCATCTCCGCTATCTACGACCCGCCTTGGATTCCCACCAACCCCCCCCCTACTTCCACGCTTCCACCACCCCCTGTCAACTTAATTCCACCAGGAATGCCCAAAGGTCGTGGCCCTCGCAAACCCGCCAGTCTCAGAGCGTCCCAGAGCGGTCAACGTCACACGATGTCACACCTTATTACCGAACAATCCCTCCCCCCTCGTGTAAAGACGGTCACCGTTTGCGATGACAGCCCTGATAGCTCCGACGCCGCCTCCACCACTTCTTCCAACACAAACATAACCACCTCCAGTCTGCCCGCTACCTCTCCTACCATTGAGACCACGTCCGTCAAGAAAGCCATGGCCCGCAAATCTTCATCTCCTATGGCCCCGCCGTTCATGGTGTCCGCTCCAGGAAAGGTCATCGTCTTTGGGGAACATGCTGTCGTCTATGGTAAGGCAGCTATGGCCGCTGCTATCTCTCTCCGCTCCTATTTCCTCGTCACCACCCTATCCAAGTCGCAGCGCACTATCACTTTAAACTTCCGAGACATTAAGTTCGATCACACCTGGAACATCGATGAACTACCGTGGGACCTCTTCAAACAGCCTTCCAAGAAGAAGTACTACTACGACCTGGTTACTTCCCTCGATACGGAGTTGTACGACGCGATTTTACCCCACGTTCAAGACATATCGCCCCATGCGCCGGAGGATTTGCGCAAAATCCACCGTCGCTCTGCCTTGGCATTCCTATACCTCTTCTGCTCCCTGGGCTCGCCTCAGAGCCATGGTGCTATCTATACCCTTCGATCCACCATCCCCATTGGGGCTGGGCTCGGAAGCAGTGCTAGTATCTGCGTCTGCATGAGTACGGCTCTACTACTTCAAATTCGCACACTGGCTGGGCCACACCCCGATCAACCCCCAGATGAGGCGGAGCTCCAGATCGAGCGCATCAATAGATGGGCTTTTGTGGGAGAAATGTGTATGCATGGCAACCCGAGCGGAGTGGACAACACTGTCTCCGCAGGCGGCAAGGCAGTGTTCTTCCGCCGCGAAGATTACACTAAGCCGCCTACCGTGGTGCCTGTACCGAATTTCCCCGAACTGCCCCTTTGGTTGATCGACACACGACAGGCACGGTCCACAGCGATCGAGGTCGCTAAGGTGGCAAAGCTCAAGGAGGAGCATTCCTTGGTGACCGAATCGATGCTGGATGCAATCGAAAAGGTGACCGTAACCGCCAAAGACGCCATTAAGAACGCGGACGGCAAACCTCTGGACCAGAAGGAGCTCGAGAGTTTTGGTTCCTTGCTCCGCATTAACCATGGGTTGCTTGTGTCGTTAGGCGTGTCGCACCCGCGACTGGAGCGCATCCGCGAGCTGGTCGACTTTACCGATATTGGTTGGACAAAGTTGACAGGTGCTGGTGGAGGTGGATGTGCAATCTCCATTCTTCGCCCGGATGCCAGTAAAGAGGCTCTGCAAGAGCTGGAGCAAAAGCTGCTCGAGGATAACTTCATGAAATACGAAACCACCTTGGGTGGTGACGGCGTGGGTGTCCTGTGGCCGGCGGTTTTGCGCAACGGGTCCGATGAGGAGGGTGGTGAGGAGATCGACCAGCAGAAGTTCGAGAATGCCGATGGCACTGATGGCATCGAAAGACTCGTCGGTGTGGGCGTCCAGGAGAAACGCGAAGGCTGGAAGTTCTGGAGACGGGCAGTATGAACAGGCCTCGTGATCCTCTGCGGGTGCTTCTACTGCGGACTCCTCTGTCTTTTGACATCTCTTCATGACCTTTAGTCCTTCCGCAGGGGACTGAGCATGATATGATTGCACTTTATTTACATATGTTTAATCACCCCATCTGAAGCCCTGGATGCTATTTCCTTATCTTCTTTCTTTCTTTGATCTCTTCAGCCCCATTCACTTCTGTGTATCATATTTCCCCTGGCACTTCACTTGGCCATGCATGCCTCTTGCACGGAATATTCCTCTTTTAAACTCCATGGGTGCAGTCTGCTTTGAATTACCCTCATATTCTTCTTGATTTTCGACCCGTTCAGGGTTTCTCAGCACCAGCTTTCTTCTTTCTGCTGTCTATTTATCTAGTCCAGGTGTCAGCCGGAGTGAGAAGGGGCAATACGCGATTGAGGTACATGAAACGCCGGTCCAATGTGGGTTCTAGTTCGTGTGTTTGAGGTTTCGTATGTCGATATCATTTATCTGGGGAAAATAATTGCCTTCGCAAACAGGAGCTATTGTGTCTAATTCATATTCCCTGCTGGACTTGACTACGCACATCATTGTAGATGATGCAAAAACTTGGGTATCCGACGTTCAAACCGCACATCATTGTAGATGATGCAAAAACTTGGGTATCCGACGTTCAAACTCATAAGTATATATATGTACAGTGTAGATTATTCTCGCCCGAAGACCTGAACGTCAGCCCATTGTCGTCTCCCATCCCTTCTCCATCATGACGTCCATCCAATACACCTCCGGCTCGCCGGCGTCCATCCGGCGCCACACCTCGCGCACTAGTTCCAGACAGACGCTGATGGGTTTTGGGGGCAGGACATGCATAAAAGAGGTAAGCCGACCGAGGATGAACCGCCGCGTCTGGGAGACGTCGATGGCGTGGGCGGAAATGTTTGGGCCGTTGCTGTCGAGGTTGGTCTCCAGGGGCGGAAGTCGAGGGAGCCGGAGCTCACTGCTCGAGGCGACAAGGAGGAATGGCTGTAGACAACGGGTGCGGGATTCGAGCGGGATGGTTTTCAGACGTGAGAGGGTGGTGAGTGCGAGTTCGGTCAGCCAGTTGTCGTTTTGCGAGGCCGACGAGGGGGTGTGGAGGGGCTCGAACGGCGGCGCGGGGGCGGCGGCGGTGGTGGCTTCGGGGTTGAGATGTAGAAGGGCAGGGTCGCAAAACCAGTGCGGACCGTTCAACACGGGGGACAGGAAGGAATCGCGATGGTTCATAGACGCTTCTTCAACGCTAGTGGGGCTGCTCGAGGTTCGCTGTGGACGTAGTCGTCGACGTAGCAGGTCGGGAAAGACTCGGTAGAGCTGCATCAGCCCGGTGCACCGATAGACCTCAGCCATAGTGAGGAGATGCCACACGGGTGTCTCGTCGTCGCCGGGACTGATGATCTCGGCCTCAGCCGGGTGCGCAAGACCCAAGAGACGCTCCTCGAGTTCCTGTGCTCGTTCGATGGCTCGCTGCGCTTGTGCCACATCGGCGTGAGACGTAAAGGTGCGGCAGCGCATTCGTTTCCTCTCGCGACGCACAAGCCGTCCCACCTCTTGGACTGTGAATTGCGTGTCACGCGCAATTCCCGTCCACGGATGAGGCACACGCTGTAGGACGAGTGATTCCTCGGGCCCTGCGGCCGTGGCCCCGCACAAAACAGCCGAATCGTCGGCCACAAAGGACAGGAGCATTTCCCAGTAGATCAAGGCCTCTTCGAAGAATTGATGATTGTTGCCGCGGCCTGTTGTTGCGCTCCTGTCAGACCTCGTATCGAGGTGATTCCTTAGTAGATTGAAGAAAGAAATGCCAAGATCTTTAGAATCGTGCCAGCTTGCTGTCTGGCCTAGCATAAGAAGTGCCAGCAGGGATTTATCGTCTAGAGTAGGCTCCTTGCTAATGATGTCCACAGCCTCGTTGCGCATCTTCCGCCCTAATGGCCCGAACTCAGGGAAGTCATTGACTAGGGTGGCTGCTGCCATGCTCTGCATAGTCCGACACATGGCCAGTGAAGAGCCCCATAGACGAGACACGGTTGATCGGAAGGGGTTCATTTGACTGTCATAACTTGAGAACAGTGCTGCCACTTCCTTGAAATAGTACTCGATAAGGGTCCATGATGGGTTGTTCAAAGGCTGTGAGATAGAGGTAAAGTCCCGCTGCGGTACCTTCGAGTTGGGAGGAGGATATTGGCGTACGATGGCGGATGGCGAGAACTCGGAGAAGCCGTAAGGTTCGTCCTGCAGTATTGGCGCAGCTAGGGACGAAAGACCAAAAGGATCGTCTGCGTGGCTGGGTGAGCCGAAGTTAAAGATCGAGCCATCCTGCGCCGCTGCTGGAGATGGCCCCGAAGCTGATGTCGGAGTTTGATTGCATAAACCTGCGAGTTCGGGAAGTGTACCGGACTGTTGAGAATCCCATAGATTATCGCACAGAGCATGCGCACCTTCCAGTGCCAGCGTGCCGGTCTCTGCGTGGACGTTAGGAGATATGGGGTCGAGAGCACCATCGTTGACATCCAAGGAAGGCTGTAGCTGTGGGTCGATGTTATCTTGAGGATCCGGGTGACCTGGAGGTCTAGAATCCGATTGAGCGCCCGGCTCAGCTGAGGGTTCGTCGAGTGTGTCATCGGCTGTATCAGGGTTGCGATCCGGGTATTTAGTAACCCATCGAAGGGACTGGACATATCCAGGGCAATGAACACCTAAGCGAGTGCACCGATGGCAGTGAGGTCGTTCTTCTCCACATTTGACCTGTAGAAGTGAGATGACATCAGAAAAATTTGTCCTTGAGAGGGTACTGATAGCACCGATAGCAGCGATAGGAAGGACTCACCCGTTTGCTCTTGCACCTAGCACAGCCGTTACGGGATTTCTTGACACGACGCATTATCAATCGATAGCGGGCTCATGGTCAGTTGAGGATAAGGCTAGGGATTGAGTTGGCATGGGCATAAGGCGAAAAGGACGGAAAGGCGTTGATTCCAGTTTGCAGATGACGGGTGAGTGCGGAGGCTCGGGGGTAGTTGTGCGGGGAGGTAATTTTATCCTCTTTGGGAAATGCTGCGGCGGTCTGGACATTTACATAAATTGTCCGAGGGGAACTCCAGGGCGGTGAGTAACGTGGATCCTGATTCAATTGAAGACAAAACTCAGAAAATAGATGCAAGGGAACTGATTGATCATGAGACAATAAAGAGTTAGTCCCAGCATAACGGGAGGCACGTGTGAGGGAAGGGAATGAAGCAGAGGGGAAATGAAAGAATTGGAGAAGGGAGGGAGCAACAATAGATGGTGGCCTTGATATTGTTCTTGAGTTGCCTCAGGCAGCAACATACCCCACCAGACTCTCGCTCTCATTTCAATCCATCGCATTCAAAGCAGCTGAAATCATCACAAACATCAACTCTCTGACCCAAGCTCCTTGAAATAATCATATATGCTCCATGAAGCTGATAGTAACTTCCTGTCTCTGAACAACATCTTCCGTGTGGCGATCAAGTCCTGTTTTAGCTGCAACAGTCACATTTCCAATCTTGACACACCGACGCCGTCCTCGCAGTCGATCGAGGTTTGAAGCTGCAATTGGAATTACTGGTGATGAAATATTGCCGGGCCTATCAGTCACTCCTGCATAGCTCGATACCAGCTCATTTCTGAACGTGCTCAGTATCGCCTGTCAAAGTCTGTCCAGCATTTCCAGGCTTGTGTTAGTTTCCCGAGCATAGGCAGCCTACACCACCACATTCAAGATGGCAGGCAAATATTCGTCTGATCCTGAGTGGGCCTCGATCCAACCGATTCCCCTTAATGATGGCTCCGAGTCTGGTGCTCAGCCTCTGGCTACAATTGCCTATCCTCCAGCATATCTCGAAGCCACCTCATATTTGCGCGCGGTAATGGCCGCCAACGAGATGTCCGAAAGGGCACTAAGATTGACACAAGACATTATCTCCATGAATCCGGCTCACTATACAGTATGGTAAGCTAAGATGAGTCCCGAAAGTGGCAATCTGCAAGCGATATTGGCAGCAGGGCTGACACAACAACCAAAGGATTTATCGAGCAGAGATTCTTTTTGCTCTGGGAAAAGATCTACAAGAGGAATTGGAGTGGCTGAATGGGGTATCGCTCAAGTATCTGAAGAATTATCAAATTTGGTAGGATCAACCACCCTTCGCGTTGCGTTGTGTTCTTGCCATCTAACCCTTCCAGGCACCATCGTCAAGTCCTGGTGTCTCGCGAGGACTTCTTCCCAACACCTCCGCACAAGGAAGCCGACTTTTTGATGGAAATGTTTGCTCAAGACTCCAAGAACTATCATGTCTGGACCTACCGCCATTGGCTGGTGCGACATTTCAAGCTGTGGGATGCTCCGCGTGAGATGCAGGATGTGGAAGCCCTGTTGACCTCGGATGTTCGAAACAATTCGGCCTGGAATCATCGGTTCATGCTCCGCTTCGGACCTCGTGACGGTGAGCCCGATGCCGGAATGCCAAACAGTGATGGAATCCCCTCGGAAAAGGGTCGACTGGCAGTGGTTGATGAGGACATGGTCGACGCCGAGTTGAGATTTGCCCAGTCTAAGATTGTGCGGGCACCAGAGAATCGCAGTCCATGGTCTTACGCGAGGGGTGTACTGCGCGCTGCAGGAAGGCCACTCTCTGAATGGAAGGAGTTTGCCAGCAAATTTGTAATCAAGAAGCATGAGGATTTCGAGGTGAAAAGCAGTCATGCCATAGAATGGCTTGCTGATGTGCTCGCCGAGGAAACGGAACCAGCGTCAGGCGAAGAGGCGGTCCAGATGCTCACGCTATTGAAGGAGAAGTATGATCCCATCCGGAGAAATTACTGGGACTATCGGATTCGAGCCATTGCAGGAGCAGATGCCACGGTCTCTGCGTGATTCTGTAAAATCTGCTTCATGTTACAGCGTTCACAAATGTATGTATAGTCTTCGATAACAGAAATTGCTTGGCAGCAAGGAAGCCCGATAAGAAGATTTCAATCCTTATCGGAGGCGGTGAGCAGAGACAGAATCATCGCTGCCTCCAGGCCCCTCCCTCCACTTTCTGCAACTTTTCCCCATCTCCCTGCTTCATAAAACAGCCATTGCATTGAGAATGAATGAAGTCGAATTTCGAGCAGATCCTCTTATTGTTTTGCCGCCAGAGATTGTTCTAAGAATCCTGGAATTCACCCCGGTATCCGCCATCGCGTCTCTTACCGCAGTATCCAAGGCCTGGCATCAATTCATCGACGTTACACACCAGGAGGCTATTTACGCCGCCGCCTTCAAGAAAAATCTGCCATCTGGACAGTCATCTCGGCTAGAAAATACCACCTTCTCCCAGTTGTTTGAAGGTGCTTTGCCATGCAAAGATTTGTGTAAGCGCTCCGCGCTGCTCGCCCGCAATTGGGCCGAGTCGCAACCAGCTTCCCAAGAATCGGTGCTACAAGTCGGCAATGAACCTGTCTGGCGTTTCCGCGCTGATTTCAAGCGTCGGATCTTCATTTCAACCTCTCACGCAGGCGGACTCTACGTCACTGACATGGACACGGGCGTGAATCTATGGCGTCTCCCCTCCACGCTGGATCGTGACGAGGATGCCGTTCGCCCTTATGCCCATCTCGAGTATCAGGACGGAATGGCCGTGTTTGATCGTGAAGGGGATGCACTTGAGGTTTGGCAAGCGGACCTCGAAGGTGCCCAGCGTGGCGAATTCCGGCGCATCGCAATTTTGGATCATGATTGCCAAACCAGAGGCTTTCAGCTCTCGTACGGGACACTCTGCGTCGTCTCAACCCAGGGACAAGGTTTCGTCTACGACATGACTCAACGGCCTCCCCAGTTGACTACGCACTTGGCGATTGAGCAAGATGCTGTTGGTCATCTCGACCAAAGTCAGGATGCCGTGATTTATTCCATGGGCCCGAGAGGGTATCATGCTTACGATAAAAGATCAGGAGAGTTTCTGGGTGCATTGAGGCCGTCACTTTGCACGGAGAAGTATCATATTCTTTCACCTGTAGACGGCCCTTCATCTCCCAGAGCAACTTTTGCGGGCTTTGCAGAAGCTGTGCGTTCAGGTCCTGCGCGTTCATCGTACCGCAAGGGCCCATCTCGCAAAGATCATCTGGTTCCGATCGAGGTTGGCAGGGGCCCTCTCCCAACGCCGACCGACCCCGAGCATGTTCGAAATGGAGAGGATGATTGGGGTGCTGGCATGTTACATGGCGACCTCTTCGTTGGCTTCTCCCGTGCGGGTCGTGTTTTCGTGTGCTCCAATTGGCGCAAGGCACTTGAAAGTGATCTCAGTTTGGCGGCGCACAGTGATCTCATTGAGTGCGAGTCAGATGGACGGAGTTTTGATCTCGGCGGGTGGTTATCAGTGCGTAACCACCGCGTGATGTTTGAAATCCAAGAACGGGTATATGTTGTCGCACTCAATGACAATGATCGGGTACAGGATGTGGACTGTCCTGCTCGAGGCTCGTACTCGTTAATCACCAGCTCCGTGGCACAAATTGCCGTGCCGGTCAGTTTCATGGCCTTGTACGATGATGCTATCATGACTACCTACACCGTATGTTCCATCTGTCCCGGTAAAAGAAGTGGCAGACGCATGAAGACTAATCTCTAGGGCTAGACTCTCGCATGGAGGCAGCCGCTTCCCGATCTCCCTGGAGTCATACCTCTACCAGCAGACCAAGGCCCCGCTCGCATCTTCCCCAGCAAGGCTATCCGTATACTCAGTTTAGCGCCCAATGTGGACGGCGGTAATACGTCCAGCTCGAACTACAGTACAGACGAATGTAAAGGAAGCTCGGCCCAGGGAGGTCTGTGGGGCTCTAATTCGGATCCCCTTCCGGTGGGCGGCGTAGCGATCTCACCTGCTGTGGTAGAACTGATTACTATGCTTGGCGAGGAATTAGAGGCAGCGGACGAAGTCTACGATGGGCCTGTAACATCTGTGGATCCTTTTGAGGGAGATGGTGAAGAGGAAGAATGGGAAGATGTGGACGAGGAAGAAGACCACCAGGAGGGCCATGGCCATGATGGTGCACCCATATAGCATGTCATACCACATGGACAAGGAAGAAACCAGGCTTTTTCTGACAATCTCGTTACAGGACATGCATGCATGGGAAGATTTTGCCAGATTGCCCCATTCGATACTTGGACAGCGCGCCTGCAGCAGTCGTTGCTGGAAAAATTGTCCTTACTGACACCAAGAGCAATCAACAATATAGCAGCATTCGATCCTATTCTTTTCCGGTCGCCTTCTACAAATGCGATAACTTGAATCAACACTACAACAGAGTTAAGATAAATCATCAATTCATTAGTGCTCGTAACAGAACGCCTGCGCCGTCCGATCTTGGACCAAGAACACAAGTATGTTTGTGTGTCCGAAAAACAATAATCCCAACGCAGTCAAGCCCAGCCCTCGGCCAGCAATTTGCGCCATTCCGCCGCCATATCGATGGTCACATTGCTACCACCGCATACAATGATAACCACGCGGCTGTCTTCATTCAAGTCGGGAACCAGCTGTTTCAACTTCGACGACAGCGATGCTGCAGGAGTAGATGGCACAGGAGACTGCACCGGCGAGAAGCCCTCCTCGTCATTCTCCCCGGCTGACAGGCGATCATCCCCATAGCCTTCGTCCACATACTTCCTCTTCTTCCCCGTCGACGACGAGGGCGTACTGCCAACCACCGCCTCGACACAAACCCCACACGCCAACTCCACCAACGACCGCTCCTCGTCCGCCAGCCTCAACACCCCCCGCGCAGCCTCGGCGTCCGACAGAACGGTACTATGAACCTGGACGCCAGGGGGCGGCTTCACCGCATACTGGAACGTGCGCTCGGAGACCCGAATGGCCCCCAACGAGGTGGCCTGCGAGGTGATCTTCGGCAGGGAGACGAGCTCCTCGTGCTGCAGGGCCGAGGCCAGGGAATCCGTCCCTTTCGTCTCGACCGCCAGCAGATGCACCGGCTTCACCAAATCCTCCGAGGAGCCCGACAACTTCTTCGCCGCCCTGGCCCTCTCCACCCCAATCACCAGTCCATTCAACAACCCGCCCCCACCGACGCTACAAACGATAGCATCGACTGGCAACGCCCGGCCAGCATGCACGGCGACTTCGGCCGGGCCCTCTGGACGGGGCATCTGCTGCACCAGCTCATCGACAATCGTACTGTTCCCCTCCCAGATCGGCTCGTTGTCGAACGGATGCAGGGCGATCTTCACCACATCCTCTGCCTCTGCCGTGCCCGCCGCCGTGGACAACGAGGAAGAAGTCTTGCTCTGCTGCATGACCACATCCTTCATGTACTGCCCGGCCTCGGAGAACGTCTCGCCGTGCTGAATGACGTCCGCGGCGCCGGCGCGGCGGAGCTTCGTCACCATCAGCGGCTTGGTGGACATCGGCACCACGACGGTGCACGGGTAGCCGAGGGTGCGGGCAGCGCAGACGGCGGCCAGGCCGGCATTGCCGCCGGAGGAGGCGTAGAAGTGCACGGGCCGGTGGGCGTTCTCGGGCTTGCGGAGGTGCGAGAGGATCTGGTTGCCCATGGCGCGCGACTTGAAGGAGCCACTGGGCTGCAGGTTCTCGAGCTTGAGGAAGATTCTACACCCGGCGGCGCGGGAGAGGGTGGTGGACTCGACGAGCGGGGTGGGATTCCATGGGTTCTTGAAGGTTGGGCTGCCGGTGGTGATGGTGTCGTCCACCTGGGATAGAGAGATGCTGCCCATGACTGACTTGGGGTTAGGATTTTGTTTTGTGCTCTGGCCCCTCGTTCTCAGGGGAGATGCGTTATTAGGACGAATGAGATCCGTGTTGTGAACGACCGAGAAAGGGGATTCGGAGATGTATAATGAAGCAAAGTATGTATGATGCAAGTAGTATGTAGAAATCTAGTAGATGATAGTCGATGGTCGAGGATAGGGAAGATGATAATGTACAAGACAAGAGAGGAGAGGAGAACAGCGCGGTCAAGAATAAGATATAGTAAGTTTGAACAGGACAGACACAATTCGAATGCTGTCTATAAGACGAAACGAAAAAAAAAAGTAGAAAAAACAGATTCACCAACAAACCTGAATTATTCTCCTTATGATATAAGTTCCCTTCCCAAACCTCTCTTTTTCTCCTCATCCCTCCAGAAAGTGAATGTGATATACTCCGTACAATGCACGGTTCCCGATATAGTCGGAGTCTCGTACCGACCCAGTTTGCCGCGGAAAACCCTCAAGACCCAAGTTTTCCGAAAACCGATATCTCTCCTTCATCAAGGCCCTCTCCTCACCAAAACCGCCCAACCAAACGGCCAACCGTCCTTCCCCTTTCCCGCTGATAAACATTACGAAATCTGGCTCCAGTCGCCATCCACCCATGACATAACATAAACACACTCCCTTGCAGATTGGAGATGAGGTGAGGGGAGGGGAGGGGGCCTATGGGTCACGACTCACGGATGAAGCGCCCGCACCCACCATGCGCGTCCCCCCCCCGGTGGCAACCGTAGTCAAAAGCGACTAAGCGGTGAAAAGGAACGCTCTGGAATTCCCGCTATCTTCTTGTTTCTTGCTTGCTGGGGCGGCAGAAGATCGTGTGGCCCTCCCATGGTCAGTAGTAGATAGATCCGCAACCACCGTTCTCCGTAAATCCTTTCCTCACAACCGGGACTGACCGGCCTTGCTTCCAAATTGGGTGACTTGATTGGGCCCCCCCCTTGGGACCTTATTCGTTATCTTTGAATGGAAGACGGGGGAACAGGTGTCTCCTCTTGGGACTTTCTCCGTAGGTTGGGTCCGACCCATACTCGGCCGATGCGAAGCTTCTCCTCTGCGGGTTCACCTGAAACATATCTAGGATTTCCTTTGACTTAGTGGGCATAAATGGATGGAGCAGAATTCCGGTCATGCGGATGGTCTCGGCGATGTTGTAGATGGATCGCTGGCGCGCCGTAGGGTTCTCCCACGGGGACGTGTTGTGGAAGTATTTGTTGCCCTGGTGTGTGGTATTTTTTGTCAGCGTAATTCCAGAATTCCCATGTGCAAGTGAGGAAGGGATTGAGAGACGTGTCTGGCTTCCTTACCAATTCAATGATGGCCCTGATTTCTTGCAACGCCGCGCGGGGGTTGAGACTGTTCATGTGACTCGCAACCTTCGACGGTAGCTCTCTCAGTTGCGTTTCGTAGTCTGTGTCGGCGGAAGTCGGCGAAGGAAGCTTTCCCTCTGCCCCGTTGGCAATGTAAGTCGGAACTTCACCCTTTGCGCACCCAATCGCCCGCGAGGCGAGGTTGCCGAGGCCGTTCCGCAGTGTCTTGTCGTAATCGCGGATAATGTAAGCGTTATCGTAGTTCGCGTCTCCCGCTAGTTCACCCTGGAGGATGAGGAAAAAGCGCATCGTGTCGACGCCAAAGCGGTCCAACGCGAAAAATGGGTTGACCACGTTGCCTGTGGACTTGGACATCTTCTCGCGGTTGATGGTCCAGTGTCCATGAACCAGGACATTGCGAGGGAGTGGAAGGTCGAGGGCCATCAGGAGGGCTGGCCAGTATACACAGTGAAAGCTGCCAATCGATTAGCCACGTTATCTCATTTAAAAAGCGCAACATGCCAGCTCGTACCGAACAATATCTTTACCAACCACATGTACATCTGCCGGCCAGCCTAGGCGAGCCCCTTGGCCCGGGGCAAAAGGATAGCCGGCTTTGGTCAAATAGTTGACTAGGGCATCCACCCAGACATAGATGGTTTGCGTGTCATCGCCCGGCACTGGGATACCCCACGTCAAGCGCTCTGCAGGCCGGGAAATCGATAGATCTTGAAGACCCTCAGAAACGGATTTGACAATGTTGTGTGCGTAGGCGGTCGGGGTAATAAAGCCTGTTTTGTAGAGATCCAACAAGGGTTCCTGGAAGGCCGACAGTCGAAAATGATAGTTCGTTTCCGAAGACCATTCCACTTCCTTTCCGGTTTCCATCGAGACCTAGTTCGAGGAAGGTTAGAGCCTACCCTTCATGACGATCGAAAGGAACAGGCAGATCTGTGCATACCGTTCTTGTATGTCCCGTCGTGGGATCTAAAGATTTGTGCACTTGAGCCGCAGGATAGAACGTCTCATCGCTGACCGAATACCACCCCTCGTGCTTGGCGGTGTAAATGAAACCCCGATGCTGCAGCATTTCCTGTATCCTCATTAGTTGGAAGTATGCAGTATTTGAGACCTTGGTCTATCATACCCAGAAGTACTGGACCGCGTCCTTGTGCGCCGGCTCGGTGGTTCGGATGAAGTAGTCGTAGTCTATGCCTGCAGCTTTCGCCAGATCCTAGAAATTGATCTTAACATGACTAGAACCAGCCGAGGACAACTGACGAATACCAACCTCGAACTTCTTGTAGTTCCGATCACATAATGCTTGCGCTTCCATTCCTTCAGCTAGAGCGGCCTGCTGGATCTAGATTCCCGGCAAGTCAACCTCTGTTGTCATGTGGTCTCAGATTATCTGCATAAGAAAAGCCTTGAGATACCTTCATTCCGTGTTCGTCGGTCCCCGTCAGTAGCTGAGCGTCCGTTTCGCCGATTAATACCCGCCATCTCTTCAGGACGTCGGCAATGACCATAGTATACAAGTGACCAACATGAGGTGCTGAGAGAAGCCAGGTTCTTAGCTATACTCGTTCTCTTCGTTCGTGAAAAAAAGAATTGCAGCTGGCTTACCGGCATTAACATAAAAGATTGGCGTCGTGATATAGTACGGTTTGCCCGGAGTGGGCTCGGAGGCCGCTGTCGCAAATCGACGCGGACGGATGGTCGTCGCGGGGAGCGCTGTCTTGCAAGATGCGAGCTTCCAGGAGAAGCGGTTTGAAGCCATGAACCGGCCTGCCCATGGCAGAGCGCAAGTACCAGCCCTCAGCGCTGCCATTGTTGGGAAAGTCTGGAGACGAATTGAAGGTGAGGGAATGGGATTGCGGACTTGCTTGCTGCGAGTTCGCCGAAGCTCATCTCCGGGAGGTGGTCCAAGCTTCCGTGCCTTTTTTCTGCCGCTTGTGTTTGTTCTTCCTCCTCCGCAACCATCTTCTTTTTATTCCCAGATTCTTCATTCTCCAGAGACATACAAACACACACACACCTCTCTTGGCTACGACTCATCATGGCCCCTGCAACGGAAGATGCGCTGACCAAACAGTCCACGGACGGTACGTGATTATTCACGTCTCAGTGTCCACAAGTCTACCCTTCTCGATCTCATATACTGATGAAACCCCTCTACTATGAACAAACAGCGGCGACTGAATTCGTCAACTCATTCTACCCAGCCCTCCAGTCCAATCGCGCCACTATCGCCTCCTTCTACAGTCCCCAGGCATCCACCATCCTCTTCAATGGAAACGTTGTCGCCGACGGACCCGCCGTTCAAGAGATTTTCGTCAACCAGATGACCCCAACCCACTACGAGGTGCAATCCTTCGACTGCCAGATCATCAACCGCGCCTACCCTACCCCGACTGCCACGGGCTTCAAGACCCCAGCGGAGGCCACCGTCAAGGACATCTCCATTCTGGTAATCGTTAGTGGATTCGTCCGCTTCGGCGAGTCGCGGGATCTACCGCAGCGCGGATTCAGCGAGACATTCGTACTGGTCCCGAACCCCACCGCCGACGGACCGAAGGGCAAGCGCCGGCGCGAATGGCTCATTCTGACGCAGAACTTCCGGCTGGTCGTCTAGACAGAGGGATGGTGGAACGAGTTACATGAGTGCTGAGGCGTGCGAAAGAAAAATCGCTGCGCGACCATATGACGGCATCACTCCCATTGCTGGCATTGTGACGGCTACAAATTTCCCATAATGTGCTACGAATCAACGAAAGACATTCCACGACATCCGTTTCGACTGAACTCAAACACGATTCAAATTCAATCCAATGAACCATTCAACCCAGAAGAACGCCTTTGGCACGCCATTGATAGAACAAAACACTATTCCGGAATTCGTCCAGCATTATGCGGATGTCCAATCGGATAAATCAACCTTGACTTCTGCGCGGCACGCGCAAATTCGCTTTGATGCGCTCAAGCAACTCTTCGCGCGTTGCGCTGTCATGAGGCAGCAGACCTCTCTATTTTGACTGTTAGGAGGAAGGTGTCTGAGAGAGGGTCTCTGCAAGTCTCGGATGCATAATGAACATCACAAGGCTAGGTAGACTTACAGCTCGAAGCCACCTTCGCATCTCATCGTGAGACCAAGTTTCTGGGTCTAGAGACCGTCAACTCCGTCAAGTATGATATAATCCCAGAGATGGATCCATACCTCCAGTCGGATCGGGCTCCGCAGGAAACATGTCGCTACCCCAAATGGCCCATACGGCCGCAGCGGTCACCATCCCCGTGAATCCTAGAGAAAGTTAGAAATTACGAGTGAAGTCAACAATCATATGCTGCTTTCAAGACCCTACCCAGGAAAAGATTCTAGAGCGGTGGTTTATGTTAGCTAATCATGATAGACCTGGGGACCGTGGTCGCAATGCGCGTTTTACCTTGGAGTTCAAAGCACGATCCAGCGGTGTCGGCATTTTGATTATATCATGCAGTGCTAGTAATGTCCTAGACGCCGAAGACTTGATCCTTAATGTGAGGATGGGCTAGGGCGATTATTATAAACTAAATTTAACAAGGAACTGGCCAGATATGCTACAAGTAATTCGACAACAGTAAAACCTACGGGGAGAATAAACCCATACTGCCACCGCAAAGTGGCAAGGTAGTTAAAGCTGCCGCCTGGGCGGAGGTCCAGGCCAGGTTTGCACCGCCACTTCTAGCTTTAAGTAAGCCTCAAACTCAAACCCAAAGCAGCCATGAGCTATGCCAGCCCCGCCACATGCTATGGCACAGGGGCAGGCTCAGGGCTTCCCTCGGCGGCAACCCTACATCCCACACAAGAGACCCGACCAATCAGCGAGACCCAATGGATGAAGCAGGAGGAAGACTTGAAGCCGGGCCACCGCCCACCGAGTTGAGCTTAGAACGAGAGAATTGGTTAGAGACTGAGAGAAACTGCCCACTGCATTCAGTCAGGTTTAGTTCCCCCCAGCTCATCAGCTTCTCTTCTCACATTCAACTCTACCACATCAATCCCCTTCCCCCCATTCTATACCCAACTCGCCCACCATGCCTCGTGAAGTCTCCGACATTAAGCAGTTCATTGAGATCTGCCGCCGCAAGGATGCGTCCTGTACGTGAATCCCTCTCCATCCACACATATATTGAATTGCACCTGGACCGAAACCCGGATTGGAAGCTTGGGGTTGGAAGGCGGGGGTTAGAGGGAGATCATCCCGCGGAGGAGCAAGCCTCGACTGGACCAACATGGCCCCGATCTGGGTTACTTCACAAGGAGGAGGAACATGATGGACAACACATGACTCAACTCAAACTAATGCTCGTTGTCTCGTCTCACTAGCTGCCCGCATCAAGCGCAACCGCGGTACCCAGCAGATCAAGTTCAAGGTCCGCTGCTCCCGCAACGTCTACACCCTCGTCCTGAAGGACTCCGACAAGGCCGACAAGCTCAAGCAGAGCCTTCCCCCTGGTGCGTTGAATACCTCTCTTCACCTGCCTGTGCCCGCCGGTGTTCATCTCATTCCCGTCTTGAGAAGTTATCCGCTGACGTCAATGCTTTTTTAAATCAACAGCTCTCCAGGTTGTCGATGTCACCAACGGTGACAAGAAGAAGGCTTTGTAAATAAGATCTTAGCTTCCTATTCATGACACAAATCTCCTCGGTCAATTGATTCTTGTCACGTCTCAGGACTAAGATGAAGAGGTCGAGCTCGGAATAATTGCCAACCAACGGCGCTTGGACATTCTCCTTTTATCATTGGAACAGGATTGCAGTTCTTGTATCGACCTTCAACAGGGTTCATCTTGCGTGGATGCATTCGCTTTGTGGGCGAAGCGCGGGACACGAGTGTAACTCAGCCTTTCGACGACCGAGCTGCTGATGATCAATTGGCATGTTGGGATCCCCAGCGTATATCTTGAACATGACTGGGGTTTCTTCGCTAGCAATTGGTTTTCGTCAGAGCTGTCTCGAATCCACGCGGCTTGAATAAAGCGAAACAAGAAGAACAGTTGAAAGCTCCGTGGCTCTTGACTGTTGTTGTTGCTGTTGCTTCTGTCAATGGAGCAGGTGATGTCTAGCTTGTTGCACAACATTTCGCGTATTGTAGACTTTCATCGTAACACGGGGTCAGTTGTAAGCCACATTGAAGTAGAGTGTGCGTTCGACTAGAGATGTCACCAGTCCTTCCGAAACCCAACAACAGCATAGACCACAAAGCCATTTATTGCTGCCTCGTATACTTCAACTCGATATACCCCGTTACCCCAGCCCTATCGAGACTCTCATCAACCGCCCCCCGGTCCAAGGTTTCCCGCGAGCGCCGCAACTCAAATTCGCCAAAATAATTCGGCTCTGCGGTGACCCTCTGGAACCGCGCTCCTTCGAATAGCGCCAAACTCCGTTCATTTGACTGCCCGATCTTCACACTGAGGCACGCAAAATGCCAGGGTCGTCGTTGCCCCTGACCCGCCATCAGCGCCTGTGCCGCGGCGGTATCTCCCGCCACAAACTCCTCCAAGATCTCTTTCTCGTGGTCCACGATGTACCGCAGAAACGTATAGAGCGCGGCCTTGCCGAACCCTTGCCGTTGGTTTCGCTTTTCGGCGACCATGAGCTCAATCTCCCCGACGAGCTGGGGCTCCGACTCCCCTTCCTCGCCGTCGTCAACGCGGAGGAAAAGGTTAATGTCCCCCACCATGCAGCTGGAGTCGTCTGCGGAGTGATCGAGTGTTTCTTCGCCGGACTTTAGCCCAGTCGTCGTGGTCGTAGGCTGGCAGACGATGAACGTCAATTTGTCGGGATCTTGACGCCAGCTCTGCTGCATGGCGTACTCCTCTTCCAACGAGAGGGGCTCGGAAGCCGTGGCTTCTTGGATTTCCTTATTCGCGGGTTAGTATCTCTTACATTTAGTTTGGTAGGTGCAGAGACGAAAAGAAAGCAAATATGAAGAACAAGCGACTCGAACTTACCTCATCCTTCATCCATTCATGATATCTTGGAACATGCCACTTGGAATACGGTACAAGCAAAACCTTAGAGGTTGAAATGGCTGTATAGATCGGGGTTAAAAGCTTGGCTAGGACACAACGTGCGGACGTCTCCATGCTGCTTACCAGCCTGCTCGTTGAGTAACATTCTTACAGTCTGCAGGTCTATCACTTTTACCGAGTCTGTCTTGATGGCCGTAATTGCAACAGTCCAAAGCTGCGGGCGCTTCTGTGTGGATCAGATTGATGGCAAGATGTGGTCAGATATTGGGCAAAGCAATGACTTTTCCGCGCGGGTCTTGGCATCGGGCCGGCGTTTTCAAAAACTATACAGTCGTCGGGAGGTATCCGCCTGGATCCAAAAAGGTGGTATAAAGAGTGCATTAGGGTATTCATGATATCTATGGTTCATTCCTCTTTTTGCTGTAAACGTCGAAATTGCTCATTTTTTGTCTTCTTGTCCGGCAAATGCTCCGAATTTAACCACTTCGACTTCCAGTGTTTGAACATCGACCAGGACCAGCTCTCCGGTTTCTTTGAATTTCGGGATCGACAAAAGACGAACTCGCGGCCCCGAGTTGCTGTTATCAGTACCAGTCATCTCAGTGTCTGCGCCGTTTAATTTCAAGGGCATATCGCCCTCAATGACCGCAGTCTTGAAGCGCGGTTGGTTGCCCGCAAAGAAGATGTGCGGGCAGGCTTCGATCACAAAGGGGTCATGCGTTTGGAAAGGATATGACCCTGATACGCTTAAATTAGCTCAGCCTTGCAGCAAGCGAAACGACAGTGTTGGCTTACATATGGTGTCTGGCGCGGTTGGAACTCCACACCTCCAACGCAACATGGCCTCCATAATCCGTACCCTAGCGTCAATGTCTCCGTCCGTGGATGCGCCGTTGCCTTCGTTACCTGAGAAGTTCAGATAACGAAGCACATCATCCACATTCTGACCGCTGCTGCCCCACAGACGCCATCCTTCGACATCACCCTCCCATGGATTCGTCACACTATCGAACCAGCCGGGTTCTTGTTTCGCGTCGCCAGTTGGAGGTGGAGCGCAGTATGCCCTGGCTCTCGGGAACATCGCACGGTGGATGCCTTGCTGCGGGAGAGAGAAGTTGGCGGGGTCCGTTTCACCAGACATCAGAGTGACGGGTATGCTGGGTAAGATCTCCGCTAGGAAGGAGTCGAGCTGAGTGATTGGTGATGCGTTGTATGCGGAAGCATCGTATCCGTACTTTTTGGTACCTGATTTCTTCTTCGCGGCGGCACTCTCGGCACTAGCATCATTGGTCATATTGATACCGAGCGAATTACCAGCAATGACCAGTCTCGTAATTGCAGAGGGGTTCGGGGGTAAGTCGTCATCTTGCTCCGGCGAAGAGGATCCGGTGTAGCCTAGGAGATAGTCCGTCAAGAGCTCCAACGCGAGCGTATCGCTGGATGTGCCTGTGATGCTGAGACCACTAACAAAGGCGATCTTGCCCTTGCTGGACTCTTTTTGTGTCGAAGGCACCTCATCCCTCTCCCAACGATGAGGCTGGCGAGGCAGATCAGGCACCTTGGTGTCAATGACCTCGAAATCACCATTGGCATTTTCCGTTCCTAGGACCGCAATGATAGCACCGGTCGCAAGCTGTGTAGAGCTGAGCGTACTGCCCGTCAGGCGCAGTCGTCCGGATTCATCTTCCAGCATGATTTGTGTCAATTCTGGGTGGGAGGGGTCTTGGTAGGTTGGGCGAGGAGGAGGGGCGAGAGTGTAATTCTAACGGCGGGGAGTCAGTCACAGGACGCGCGCACAAAGACTCATGCGTAACCATCTTACTTCTTTGGTCAAGTCATCAAGAATATTAGGCTTTAGTGGCATGTCCATGTAGATTGTTCCCGCAACCCAGCAGAGTTCTCCCTGCCGCACATCCAGCACTCTTTCCACACGACGCGCATGCTCTCCGGCGATCTGCTGGCGAAAGCATAGTTAGAACATGGCTCAACTGGTGTTTATCGTGTCATCGCCGGTGTTGATAGCTTGGGCGACCATGATCAGGACATGCTGTACTGACGCTAAACCCTTCCCATGCCTCCACGGCAATTTCCTCCACGGCAGGCTTCAACTTGGCCAATCGCAAGAAGTACATGTCGCCATATTGTTGCTGGTAATGTCTGTCCTGTCCGCTGGGCAGTCGAAATGTGTCCAAAGGATTGTAATATGATGATTCGCGGTAGACTGGCTCGAATTCTTGATCGCTGTTTAGACAAGGTGTCAGTGATGGATCCGATCGCAGAACAGCAGGCAAACAGGCGAACCTCGGAGGGCGGAGAAACTGGTTCTCTGAAGTATTGGTGGTCATTTTAGCGCTTTTCAAAAAGCCGCATTGAATCCACAAGGATAGCAGCTGCAAACGGGAGTTGAATTGATGGATGAAGGAAACGATGGAGGACCGAGCCGAGTGTATTGTTGCCTTTGGAGGCCCGCCTTCCGCCAACGCGAACCACGCGTCTTTTGGCGTTCGGTAATTACAGTCCCGCTTTTGGCTTAAATCCACCACCACTACTGAGCTGCAACCACTCTTAGAGATAGTATGTTCAGGTTGCTTGATTACCAGCTGTGTTCACCAACTTTTCCTCTGGCACCAAACTGCATTCATGCTGTGCTCATCGTCTCATCCAGCTGCTAGCTCCATCACCATCAATTGAATCTGATGGCCGCGACAATTCTACAGACCATGAGCTGAGCTTCCAGCCTCTCAGATGCTTTATTGCATGTCAAATATGATGTCTTTATCGCAAGGCATGCTATTGCTGATACTGAAACGTCAAATCCTGAACTCTTTTGGTACTTCCTTTGAAGCTTGTGAATTTAGCAGCATGCCACAGGCGCCACTCGTGGCGAAGGAGACAGGGCGTGCCTAGAGAGCATTCTCATCTTCACCCGGCATGTTCGCATCCCTCGACAGGAACCCTTGTTCGTCTTCAGTCACAAGATAGAATGATTTTCTCTTTCTTTCACGGAGTTCACTGGCTCCACGAGAGTTTGATTGGGGTCTCTGTATTGTATTCGAATGCACTCTGATCGGTGGTGTTCAGGAAGAGGTATGTACTATGTACACACCGGCCCCAGATCAAGCATGTAAAGAAAGACCGATGGAGTATGATAAGCTCTCAGACATAACATGCCGCTATGCTTCATATTCTAGGGCTGGCATTCTCTCGCGTTTATAAAGCGTTTGGTGTCCCTCATCGCGTTGCTCGTTATCAACTGTTCACTGATGATAGATATCACCCTCCGTTCATAGTTCTTCGCATCATCTCGCGCCGGATCATATCTGCTATTACCCCCTTTGAAGATGATGATGTGGACTTCATTGGCTTGCTTGATGCGCAACATCGTGGTTTTCAGCCTTTTAGCCTGCGGCTTCACCTCGGCATATCCCGGAGCTCTGCTGCACAGTTCACCGTCGAACCTATTGCGCCGAAGCCTGCCAGCCTCACTCGCAACGGCACCTAACGGCGCGGTTGGATATCAGCCTCCCCCCAGGCCTGTTGACAGTCCGACTACCACGACAACCTCACTCACAACGGGAGCGACTGCCATGTCTCTGAAGTCAATTGAGCATGGTGACGCTGGGGAGTAAGTGCGAGCCATTGCGTCCATCTTCAACAACATGGCATCGTGTGTTGCTAACCTCTGGCATTTAAGTAGTTCATCAGAGAATGTGATAGTCTTGGTCGGGACTGCGACAAGAGCTCAAGTTGTACTCCAGGAAACGCAAGCAGCAACAGCGGGCAGGAATCTTAGATTCCAGTCGAGTGCTGGCCTACTCTCCATAGCCCTGTGTCTTTATTACCTGTGACTCAACTCCCCTGCATTCTATGCGGGCAAGGTATCGTTGGCTGATTTGCGTGTTTTCAACTTGGCATTTCCTTTCTGTCAATAGTAGTTAGGTATGAATGATGACGATTGTACTGTACATGCTGGGAGATTTCCCTCTTTGCTGTCTCCTAATTAGTTCCATTGTAGCGTGGAGATAGTGTTTGCCAGGAGACGGTGAGGGATGGTTTGACATACAAACTCGTAGACGCATGAATGCATAATAATATGAATATGCCGACCAAATACTACTAAAGTGATGGACATTGCCTCGGTTCGGTCGGGAGCTTCCCCCGCATTTGTGCAGGCACAGCAACGTCGATCGACGATCAGAATGGGATCACAGACCGCTCGCTGTTCGTAAATAAAGACCCGGCATTGCGATGTCACCTGGAACTAGCAAGTAATTACATGACAATCTTGACAATCCCTTTCACTTGTAATTAAACCTCCCTTACTGACTGCCCACTGAGAATCACCAAGCGAACACATAACACGACCAGCTCACAACTAACGAGCGGTATCTATACTTCCCCCTCACAACAGCATCGCCTCCAAGCAACACAAACACACCGTCAAAACCACCACCACCAGAGCATTCAAAGCTACAACCACTTTCCAATTCATCTCCTCCTACGATCCTACAAGAAACAAAGCCGCAAGCATGTCCCTCCAAACCCCCCTCTGCACCCTCCTCAACATCCAGCACCCCATTCTCCTCGCCGGCATGGCGCGGGCCTCGAGCGCGCCCTTAGCGGCCGCCGTCTCCAACGCCGGCGGAGTCGGCACAGTGGGCGGCCTAGGCTACACACCAGCGCAACTATCGGAGATCCTAACAGAACTAAAATCCCTACTGCGGGACCCGTCGCTTCCGTTTGGCGTGGACCTGGCGCTGCCGCAGGTCGGCGGCGGGGCGCGTGCCACGAACCACGACTACACGCACGGACAGCTAGACGAGCTCATTGACGTGGTGATCGCGCACGGGGCGAAGCTCTTTGTGTCGGCGGTGGGGGTGCCGCCGGCGCACGTCATCACGCGGCTGCACGAGGCAGACATCCTGGTCATGAATATGGTGGGGGCGCCCAAGCACGCGGAGAAGGCGCTGAAGCTCGGGGTGGATATCGTGTGCGCCCAGGGCGGCGAGGGTGGCGGTCATACGGGCGATATCCCGTTTTCGGTGCTTATCCCGGCCGTTGTGGACGTCGCGAGGCGGTATCGCAGCAAGCGGACGGGTCAGCCGGCGCTGGTGGTCGCGGCGGGCGGCGTCAGCGATGGCCGGAGTCTGGCCGCGGCGTTGATGCTGGGCGCCGCGGGGGTCTGGGTGGGAACGCGCTTCGTGGCGTCGGAGGAGAGCGGGGCGAGCCGGATGCATAAGGAGGCGGTCGTCGCGGCCAAGTATGGGGAGACCATGCGGACCCTCGTCGTCTCAGGTCGGCCGCTGCGTGTCCTGCCGAATGAGTATGTCAAGCAGTGGGAGAAGCGGCCCGAGGAGATTGCTCGGTTAACGGCCCAGGGCATTGTTCCCATGGAGTATGATCTCAAGAATGATAAGGAGGTCGACTTGCCATTCTTGATGGGGGATGTTTCAGCTAATGTTGGGAGTATCAAGCCAGCAGCAGAAATTGTGAGGGAAATGGTTCAGCAAGCTGTGGACAGGCTGAAGACAGGAAGCTCTTACATTCAGGGCCCAGCCAGTAGACTATGAGGTGCGAACGCAAGGACTCTCTGTGATAGTAGGCATGATGGCATGAATTGTGGTATTTTCTCATGGTAACGTAATAAGTACGTTCGGATGCTGGTGATCTAGCATGTACAAGTACACGAACAGGAATAAAAATAAACAGAACGTCCACGGATCACACTGCGCAAAGGGCCCTTAGCTGTGACATGACGTGCTGCAGTTCGGAGGTCTCGGGTTGTAGGGGGATAAAGGCCTCAGCACAACTTCTCTCGCAACACCTGGTATGACTCCAAGCTTTGCACCAAGAGGTAAACATTCTCGAGGGCGTAGGAAGCATTGACTTGTTTTGGCCAATCTCAGCCCTTGAAGGATGTATGACCTCCAGGTCATCAGCCCCATCACTGACCCTCAAACAGACGGCAGTGGCGTCAGTGCCGCCAGGAAATCCCTCTGCCATTTGATATCAAGAACAAGCCCAAAAGACCATATTCGAAAACAACTTCTGCGTGGAAAGAAAGGTATTAGTGACATCCGTTGATCATCGCCTTGTTTCCGTTGGCTCGCGCTTCCAGTAGATTAGGTGGCGGAGGGGGTCCGAACACAGGCTTCTCGGGCTGCTGAGCGACACTTCGGTCTCCGTTCATGTCGCCATCCCGGCTTTCCAGTTCGTACTCGTCGTCGCTGATTCCCTCATCGTCTTCTTCGTCTTCATAGTCCTCGTCATACTCGCTCTCCGTACCCTCGTCATCGCCTTCCAGATCCGCCGCAAGACCTTGCCCGCGCCCTTGGGCTTGCATTCGTCGGCAGAGCGCTTCGAGGTGGTGGCTTTTCTTCCGCCATTTCTCGAGTTCTTCATGATTTCGTGTGCGCTCTTCGGCCATCTCCAATATGTTCCGATTCGTCTGGTCGTGCTTGCGTGTGAGAGTAAGGTTTTCCTTTTCTAGCCGTTTAGTTTTCTTGGACATCTCTTCCATCTCTTTGCGGAATGTGAGGAAAAGCTCGTTGCTGTTGTTCAGCGTATCCTCCACCTGCGATATTATTACTACCAGCGGTCAAGAAAGACAAATGGCTGGAACAGCCTCAAGCATGGATCCATACCTGCTTGAACTTTTCGACGTAGATGTTCAGCTGACTGCGCAACTCCGCCTCGGTGTGGGAGAATGTCGAAACTTGAGTACTCAATGCCCGACAGCGGGAGGCTTCATTCTCCGCCGCTCGCCGTTGTTCCTCAAACTTGGCGGTAAGACACTGTATCTCTGCATCCTTGCTACGCAACAACGCCTTGTAGTGTAGTTCACGCATTTCGAACTTCTCGCCGATCGTCTTTATTTTCGCACGCAGACTGCGATGTCACACAAAATCAGTCTACCGGGCGATACAGCGACTAAGCAAGAGCAACTCACGCTTCGTCCAAGTCGATATCCACCTTCTCGTTGCGAGGATTTCCTTTGGCAGCCATGACGTCTTGAATATCGTACAGAAGCGAATCGAGGCGTTCGTTGACGATCAGCCGTGCTTTCTTCTCAGTTTCTTCGAGCTTCTTGTTTTCGTCCTATCGTGTGCACGGTTTTCCTTAGCCCTGGTTCTGCATTGTTCGAGTCGGAGTGCGGTGCTGGCAAGTTGATAGCTACCCACCTTCACCTTTTTATTCTCTTTTGTGAGCTCTCTGCACAACTTCTCGAGTTTGTCTTTCATGGTGACCGTCTTGTTCAGTTCCGATTTGCCCTTGTCCTGATCCTTCTGGAGTTGGTCGGCCCGCTTCTTGCTTTTGGCGTAATCACGATCCAGTTTTTTCATATCGGCCAGCAGCTCGGTGTATTTCTTGTGCACAGTCTCGAGCCGCGTCATCGGGGATTCGATATTATTGAGGAGTTGATTGAGGTCTCTTGTAGCCTTCTTGACCTCGCGCTCTGTAGGATTGTCAGCAACCAGTCGCAGTCGCATTTTGTCGGCCGGACACAGTGACGGGATCGATTAGACGGGCATAGATCATAGTGGGTGCACGCACCAATCTCTGCTTCTTGATCCTTCTCCCCGGCAGCATCTTGCTCCAACTGTGAGATCTTGGCGGCCAGGAGCTTCGAGGTCTCGTTCGGATCCGCAACCTTCTTTCCCTGCTTCTTCTTGGACATGGCCGCGGACGACATGATGTATCGTTCGTTGTTTATAGCTAGGGAAGCCGAGCGGTAGTGACGTGGGTTGAGGTGCTCGCGTGGCCAACTCTCAGCGGTGAAAATTGCGAGGTTGGAACGGTTTGGCGGAAGACGGCAGGGACGAATGCGTCACTGCCTCCGATGGCCGCGACAAGACAACAAGGGGAAGGTCTTCGCGGCGACAAGGCGAACAATGATTGACGGCAGGTGTTATGATCCAATGTGAGTTGTATCAGCCCGCCGAGTCTAGTGGAGAACCTCGGGTGGCCTCTTCCTAGACCTGCAGAACTCGGAGGTAACTGGAACCCACAAGGTTGACTCGAATTCCAGTCCTGCAAAGCCAACCGGAAGCTCACTGCGGAAGGCGTCGGGATCCGAGAGTGGAGGAGAGGGTCGAGCGGTAGGGAACGGAGAGTATTGGCGAGAGAGATTCGACTGCGAGAAATCGACAGGCGAACGGATCTCGAGGAACTTGCCGGGGAAGATTGGATGGGAATAGTCGTAAGAGGGGAGGGGGATGCGCACTTGACCTGCACTAGCCTCTTTCGAAAACTTCTCTTGGCACCGCCTGTGCGGGTTTGTCTTTCTAAGCAGCATCTGCGCCGTCGGAGCGAAGTCACCTTTCATCAATTCTCTTTTCCCATTTCTCCTTATCCTTCTTTCCGTTTCAATCACCTTTCCTAATTTTCCTGGGGCATTCATTTGTTTCCAGATTCTTGTCCTCCGGAGCTTGACCCAGCGAAGTACGATCGTTCCACAGTTGCGCATCCCAGATCTTCACACTCATTCCGTGCTGCCCGGTCTGTCCGGTTCCCAGCTTCCGACAACATCTCGGTACTCTAAGAAGCTCCGCCGCGGATTCGCTAAAAATACGTCAACGGTGCCGTACGTTGTGTTCGAAACGCTGCGGGAGTGCCGCTTCTCCTTGAAACCCCCAAATTGATAGTCACCATGTTGCGTTCAACGCTTGGGGCGAGCCGAGGCCGTGTGCTTGTTCTACACAAATCCGCCAACAGACATCTACTGAGCTCGGGCAGCATCCTGCCTCGCTGGAGTCAGGTTAGAAGATCTGCGTCCACTGTGACGAGCTTAGACAATTTTCCTGGAATCGGAGACAAAATCCATGGCTTCACCGTTCAAGAAAAGAAGCATGTGCCGGAATTACACCTCACGGCTGTCCGGTTAACGCATGATAAGACCGATGCGGATTACCTCCACGTGGCCAGGGAAGACAAGAATAATGTGTTTGGAATCGGCTTCAAGACCAATCCACCAGATGCCACTGGTGTTCCCCATATCCTGGAGCATACCACACTCTGTGGTAGCGAGAAGTAAGTGCCCTTGTGCGCCTGCGAGCGTGCTGTTCAAATTTCAATAGAATGTGGGCTTACTTGTCACCGTTCTTCAGGTATCCTATCCGCGACCCTTTCTTCAAGATGCTTCCCCGGTCGCTGTCAAACTTCATGAATGCCTTCACCTCTGCCGACCACACCACATATCCTTTCGCTACCACGAATCAGCAAGACTTCCGGAACCTTCTTTCAGTGTATCTGGATGCCACCTTCCACCCTTTGCTCAAGGAAGAGGATTTCAGGCAAGAAGGCTGGCGTTTGGGTCCAGAGGATCCCCGTGCTATTGAGGGTCAGACGGCTCAGACACCCGAGGACATCCTCTTTAAGGGCGTTGTGTACAACGAAATGAAGGGACAAATCTCGGACGCCAATTACCTCTATTACATCAAGTACAAAGAGAGCATCATCCCAGCACTTAACAACTCCGGGGGTGATCCGCAGTACATCACCGACTTGACCCACAAGCAACTGGTCGACTTTTCCAAGCGCAACTACCATCCCAGCAATGCCAAAATCTTCACATATGGTGACATGCCTTTGACTAACCATCTCGAGCAAATCGGCAAGGTTCTGGACGGATTTCAGAAGGGTGAAGCTGATACGTCTGTCAAACAGCCCATCGACCTTAGCCAAGGGCCTAAGAATGTGACTGTCCAGGGCCCCATTGACACGTTCGCTGGCGAGGACAAGCAACACAAAACCTCAACTTCCTGGTACATGGGAGATTCGACTGATGTAGTGGAGACATTCTCGGCCGGAATTGTCTCTTCGCTGCTCTTGGATGGTTACGGCTCCCCGATGTATCGGGCTCTGATCGAAAGTGGCCTCGGCTCTTCCTTCAGCCCTAATACAGGGCTTGATACGTCCGGCCGTGTGCCTGTCTTCTCCGTCGGCGTGACTGGTGTCAGTGAGGAATCAACTTCTCATGTCAAGACTGCTATCCAGACTGTATTTGAAGAATCATTCGCTACCGGCTTTAGCGATGAGAAGGTTCAAGGTATCCTTCATCAGCTAGAACTCGCCCTTAGGCATAAGACAGCAAATTTTGGCATTGGTGTCATGGAAAAGACCATTGGCTCTTGGTTCAATGGGTCCAACCCTATGAAAGAGCTGGCTTGGAACGAAGTGGTTGATGAGTTCAAGAGGAGGTATGCGCAAGGCGGTTACCTGGAGTCGCTGATGCAGAAGTACCTTATGAATGACAATTGCCTGACATTCACGATGGTTGGCACGCCTACTTTCAACAAAGAGCTCGATGAGCAGGAGTTGGTGCGAAAGGAGAAGAAGCTTAGTAAGCTCGTTGAACAGCATGGGTCGATGGAGAAGGCCATCGCCGCATTGACGGCGGAAGAGCTTCAACTTCTCAAGGTTCAGGAAGAGGCACAGAAAGCTGACCTGAGCTGCTTGCCGTCCCTTCGTGTGTCTGATATTTCGCGCGAGAAGGAGCGCAAGCCCGTTCGGGAATCCAAGGTCGACGACGTAGACGTTGTCTGGCGGGAAGCTCCTACTAATGGCCTGACCTACTTCCAGGCCTTGAACACCTTCGATGGTCTCCCCGATGACCTTCGGTTGTTGATGCCCCTCTTCAATGATTGTATCATGCGCCTGGGGACGGCGAACCGATCCATGGAGCAATGGGAAGACTTGATCAAACTGAAGACTGGCGGTATCTCCACCTCCACGTTCCACACGGCTTCCCCGACGGAGCTTGGAAAATTCAATGAAGGCCTTCAATTCTCTGGCTCTGCTTTGGACAAGAATATTCCCGACATGCTGCAGATCCTCACTACCCTTGTCACCGAAACCGACTTCACTAGTCCCAGCGCGCCTGCCATGATTCAGGAGTTGCTCCGTATGACGACCAACGGTGCTCTGGATGCTGTTGCAGGAACCGGTCATCGCTTCGCACTCAATGCGGCTGCGGCCAATCTCTCGCGCAGCTTCTGGGTACAAGAGCAGCAGTCCGGTCTCGCACAATTGCAGGCCACAGCCAATCTTTTGCGGGACGCGGAAACGTCGCCCGAGCGTTTGGCAGAATTGATTGAGAAACTTCGCGCGATCCAGGCTTTCGCCATCTCCAGATCGTCTGGTCTCCGCGTCCGCATGGTGTGCGAACCCGACAGCGCGAGCCAAAATGAATCTGTGCTGCAGAAGTGGCTCGCGGGTCTGCCTCAAGTTCGCTCCCCGACTGCCGCTTTCGAGATCCCTGTGTCGAAGTCCAAGCTGATCAAGACGTTCTTTGACATGCCATACAAGGTTTATTACTCTGGATTGGCCATGCACACGGTTCCATTTGTTCACTCCTCTAGCGCCAAGCTTAGTGTTCTCTCTCAGCTCCTGACACATAACTACCTCCATCCGGAGATCCGTGAGAAGGGAGGTGCTTACGGTGCGGGAGCCAGCAACGGCCCGGTTAAGGGAATGTTTGCCTTTACCAGCTACCGGGATCCCAATCCCACCAACACCTTGAAGGTTTTCCAGAACAGTGGCATTTTTGCTAGAGACCGGGCTTGGTCCGAGCGGGAACTCAACGAAGCCAAGCTGGGTATCTTCCAAGGCCTCGACGCCCCAATGAGCGTTGATGAGGAAGGCGCCAGGTATTTCATGAGCGGTGTCACCCATGAAATGGATCAGCGCTGGAGAGAGCAGGTCCTCGATGTCACGGCGAAGGATGTCAACGAAGCAGCACAGACCTTCTTGGTCAATGGTTCTCAGCAATCCGTTTGCCTTCTTGGTGAGAAGAAAGATTGGATAGAGTCAGATGGCTGGGATATGCGCAAGCTTTCCATGAGTGTGGCAGAGGAGGCGTCTGGACATGTTGAAGACGTCGCTGCGTCTGCGTGAAAATGCAGACTTCGAACCATTGACACCTCACTCACCAAGCATGACTTTCTTACTCTTTGGCCTGATGACCTTGATCATGACGTCCCATTATCAGTTTCCTGACATGCTCGCCATGTGTACCATATAACCAATGTATTTGTATGATGTTCCTCGACCTGAATCTTCCTGTACATAGAATTCCGTCAGCATAATACCCTTCTCACTCTTGTCTCGTTTACCTTGATTTCATTATCATTTCAGGTTACTTCACTCATCAACGCGCATTCAAGAACAGCCTACCCCGTCTCCACTCGAACACCACGTTGGCAGATGGTTGGTCCTCCTCCAGGAGCACGCGCAAGATCAACAAAAATGTGAACCAGAGGCAGACGAGTTCAGCTCGTCGAGCCTCACCATGGTACACTTTTTATTTCCGTTTTTCAGACCCTCCTTGATAACCTTGAAGCCTACGCAAGGCGGACTAAAAACGCGAGAACAGACGTAAGCTGGCAGGACCCGCCAAGTCCTATGAGTTGGTGTGTGTCCTGTATTCATGCCAGGATTTACTTAGTATCGGAAAAGAGTGAAATTGACGATCGAGATTGATTAGTCCCGGCTCACGTGGTGGCGGACGACTCACTTGTTCTTAGTGTCGCGCGACACTTCAAGTTGTTCGCTTTCGTCCGCCGCCGATCTGTAGATAAGGCAGACTCCTTCGTCATTATCATCCCCTCAGTACATCACTCAATGCAAAGACCCACGCAGTGTCAGTTCAATCAAGATGAGAGAATCCAGTGCAAACGCCCTCGGGCCTAAACCGACTAAAGCATGCGGCAAGTTGCATACGGCCAGGCCATTCATGTCCGAACCAAAGATGAACTAATGCACTTTACTAGTCAACTGTCGCAGGCTAAAGGTTTGCTCTAGAATCCTGCTCTCTACATCGGTAGCCTCAACATCACACTGCTGACTGTCTGCGAGATGAAATGCGTGGCTGACGGCATTCCGCCATGTCGCCGATGTCGTCGCACTAATACCATCTGCATCTTCAGACCTAGATCAAATGTGAGGCTGCTTGACTGGCTGCGCCGCTGAATTTAATGGTCGACTCACAATCTTCAGGCTGCAGCAGCAGCTCGAGACACAGTGGCATTACCACAAGCGTCTATAGATCCCAGCCGAGAGATGTCATCAGTCCTCAGTCGACTAGACCGGATTGAAAGAAAATTGAATATATACAAAAGCGACGGATCAGGGCCAACAATTTGTCGAGACTTAGACCATGAAGAAGGATTTGGGTATCCTCGCTTATGGAAAGCTGTCAAGCACCTGAGGAGCATTACGCGGCCATCTCAGGAGGATGCTGTATGGTCACGTCCTGTCGTCAAGCACCTTTGGACCTCGTACGTCATCTTTCACTATCGATGCCTTTCTTAGTAGGGTAGACTTGATTGACAATAGCTCAGCTTTCTCGACAACCTCCCACTACTCCATTTTCTCAAAGACCAGAGCGCATTCGCATCGCCATCCCCCCTTCTCCTTGCTTCCATCCTGTACATCTCTGCCCTACATGGCCCATCTAAAGACTTCGGAGAGTTCGCACAAAGCTACTTCATTGCTCAATGCTGTGCTATCGCTGAGCTCAGTCAGCCCGATGTCTTCCTCCTATCCGTGGTACACCCCGACAACAGTCTTGACTTGAACCCACAGCCCAGACCGCATCCGATTCCGCCAAAGAAGTCACAGCCTTTCAGGACATACTCGGCCTCATCATGGCTAGCCTGAGCTCCGAAGCGTACGTCTCCGTGACCGGCCAATGGATCGCAGTCGCGTATCGACTCCTCCTCGACCACACTCTCCCCACCACTGATCCGGGCACAAGTCGAGATTGGAGCGGTCTCTTCTCTGGTCTCCAGGTGATCGATATCGAGCACGCGTCGATGCACATGTGCTATCCACTACTCCCGGAACACTCTCCGGCTCCGGCTCTCGCGTTCTTCCAAAGCAGCGATAATGATGAGGAGGAACAAGCCCTCCGCGGCCTCACGCAGATGATGCACCGGGGACTGAGCCACTTTGTCGGACGAGGGCTCCCGACCATATGGTCGTTTGTAAGCGCACAGGAGCCTGATGGCTCTTTGTCCGTCCGGACACCATTCACGGACGAAGACGCTCGAGTCATTCGGTCCTGGGCGAGAAAGCTGGACGACTGGTTAATCAGATACAACGGTGCCTCGCGTGAGTTGACTTGCAAGACATCAAAATCCTCCGTTCCTTTGTGTTCCCTATAGACAGCGTGTCCTCAACAGAACCATGGTGCTGCCAGAATTCCCCAACTGATATAAACACACATTTCAGAGCCGTCTCCCTCCGACCGCCAAGGCATCCTCATTCTCCTCCAATACCACCTCCACAAGCTCTACGTGCTCTCGATCTATCACCCAGCCAGGGGGTTCGATCTCGGTTCCTCTCCGGAGATCGCCCCGGCAGAAAGACACGAACTCTTAGTGTCAGCTCGCGCCGTGGTCCGATTGCGGTTAGATGACTCGAGCATCTGGTCAAACTGGGACATGATTGTACGTATAATATAAACCCTTGCTCTCATCCAAGCACGCAAAAAAACAAACCCACACGGAAATATTGAGATACTAGGCTAGATGATCACTTTCGCGGCCATGTTACTTCTACGTGGAATTGAGGACGGGATGTCCCACCCAGACGGTACGTTCCAATTGACCTTCCCCTCCTTTGCTCTCCCCCTCACCCCCTTCTGTCGTTATACACAAGACGAGAAGTAGATACCGAGAACTGAAAGCAATCACTAATAATCCACCGGAAATTCTGTCCTCTACGATGATGTATAGACCGCCACCTCATCGAAAAACACATCACCAGACTAAAACCCCGCCATCCGTCCATCCCAAGCATCCACCACGTCCTGGCGGAGCGGCTCGAATCTAATCTTCAGGCCATGCACACGCCGCCCGAGATCGGCAGTAGCCTAAATTTCCCGTGTCCAGCAGAGGCAGCAGCAGCAGAGCAGGCGGTGACGGCGGCGGCGGACTTCTCCTGGGCGATTTTCGACCAGGAGATCCTGTCGCTGGCGAATCCGCCATGGCTGTTGGAGGATATGCCCGGTGGCAGCTAGAAGTCTCAGTGTGTTCTGATAGACCAGTGGTGAGCTATCGCTGTTGATGGAATTTTGTTCCTTGCGGTCAGCTTGACGATTGGACAACTTCCATGTTATCCTAAATCATGTGGAGAGTGACAACCTAGCCTGTTACCTATCACTAGCGATAAAGGGCCATTTGCAAATTACGTTGCGTTTCATTCCTTTCTGTTTCTACTAATATGACATGTATGTCACATGAGAGGGGCATTCTTGACACACGTACAATCATTCACGGTGAGGAAATCTGCATGTGGAATAATATGTGCTTGCCCGAGACTTATTTGTTCTTGCACTGCACATGCAACTAGCTCTTACTCTACAAAAGTGCGGCCGCTCTCGTAAGTCATGTCATATTACACTATCCACTATTGCTAAATAGGTAGATATAGTTCAGTTTCCCAGTGCCTGGGCAAGTAGTAGAGCACGGTGCACCGGTGTCCGAAGTTTGGCCTGCAAACCTTGTCGGAGATTGAGTATTTGGTGTCCTATCCGCTTGCATGAGTAGTATCACGTTGAAAGATCCGCTCCGGGGTTGTGGGTTCATGTGGAGCCTCCATCGTTGCTCTGGCCATGGGAGCTGATGTTCGGCGATGTAAGCATTGAATCATGGGTTTCGGGGGTTGTAGGAAAGGGCGGAAACGGCTCTGTAAGCGAATTATCCTCGAATGTTTGCGACAGTTGCCGTGAGTCAGAGTACCCCTTGAGATTTTGCACAGAAGGGTCTTCTGCTGCCGACCCCGGCAACGACCGGTGAGGGTCTGAATAGGTTACAGCGGATGACGTGCCGTGATTCGCCAAAGAAAGCTAGTAACCTGGTTAGAGTGTAATTCTGAAAGACGAGGCAGAGTAAGATACCGACCTGCTGATTGAGTCCACGGTCCGTAGCCAACTGCCGCGCAGCCAGCCGTTTCCGTGCAATCTCTGATTCTTGCTCATACTCGGCCTGCTCCTCCTCCTTCTTTAGGTCGGCTAACGACGGTGTGCTGACGTCCCCGGGAATCTCTAAATCAGGCTCTTGCGGGGAGCGGAGCCGGCTGCTCTTCTTTTCCTTCTGTTTTTTCTTGGATCCCTTTGACGACCCGGTGGTACCGAGACTGAACGTCCCCGACGCGGACCGCATACTCGCCGGCTTATCGCCAATCATATCGATCGAATCCAGTCCAGTACCTCGACGGCTACCCAGCGCCATGGCGAACTCATCGTCCAAGGGGACTGCATCCTCCTCTTCGTCACTAGGGATCAGGTCGCCGCGCGAGCTCAGCGAGTTTGTGGTCTCGCGCGACGATTGGGTCGAACTCCGGAATCGACCATTGTTTCTTGACGACTGGGCCTCATATTCCTCCGCGCCCTCCATAAGGGGCTCGTCCTCGTAATTATGTCTGTGCAGTCCCGCCGGATGCTCCTGCAAATCGGCCGCCGAGGGACGATATTTCAGTCCCCGCGCACCCACGCGCCAGGGGAACCGCTCCAGAAAACCCAAGAATGAGGAGCTGGGGATGACAGTAGGGTCATTCCGATCATCCTGCACCAGAGCCGTGCTCTTCCGGCGCGCCCGCCGCGTCCCATAGCTCATTCGTCTCTGGCGGCGAGGCTGGCCACTGCCCGCCAACAGGCGGTCGAGTTCGTCAGTGCCCCATCCAAGGAGTCCTGCGTTCGAATCCTCATTGTCCCAGTCGTCGTAGAAGTCGAAGTTGGCTTCCGCGCGACCGCGTCGGCGGCGACGCAGTTGGTCCTCCCGATTGGGCAGACATGGTGCAGTACAGCTGTAGAGGCAGTTCCCGATAGCGGTGAAGCACGGCAGGATGTAGCTGTGAGAAAAGGTGTAAAGGCCCTCCTGGGCTGTTTCATTTGCGGATTCTAGATTGTGGGAGAGTTGGTTTATCCTTTGGCGGACACGGGGGTCTTTTGATCGCATCATGGCGGAAGCGGTTAAGGGGACAAGGGTTGCTGGCGTAACGGTTTGGGAACTACTTGTTTTATTGTCATGCCACAGCCGAGGGGTAAATCGCAGAATGGTCAGAATAACCCTTCAACCCACTGGCCCCATCAAGTCGGCACGACGATGATGGGGAGGTGACTGAAACAGTAAAGTTGGCAGTCTTGTCAAAGGTAGAGACTGCATTGAGGGAGGGAGACACGAAGATGAGATCTTCGAAGAAGGATGCGAAGAGGGAAGAAGGGAAGAAGGAATGAAGGAATGGGAGCCTGAGGAAGAAAGCCTTCCAGTCGTGGTTCGATGACATTGCATCCACCGCTGAGTCAGCAGCCACTGCTTTCCCGCTCTTGGTTGGCTTCCTACTCTTCTAATTCTCCTACTGTCCTTCAACATTGTTGAAGTGCCAGATCATGGTATACTATATTCGCTTCCTCAAAACCCCCCGACTGGCCAAGCAGAAAGGCGCGGTCTCAGTCTCTGCCTTGACCTGCATCACCACAGATCTGGGCGATGCTTTTCTCACCGAAGATGTGGATTTGTATGTGACTCTGCTCGCTCATGGTACAGAAAAGGTCCTGTATCAGGAACCTGTGACATGGAAGGCTGGCAAGCGTGAGCTCTCACTCTCGCTGGGGCCCTTCCCAGCCAGTCTGTCCCAGCATACGCTCGTGCTAGCTGTGACAACAGCTACCTCCGGAAAGCTGCAAGGGCCATCACCAGACTCACTAATTGGAAAGTCCGAACTTCCATTAGTGGTATCTGGCTGGAGTGCTCCATTCGGCGGGTCACAGACTTTAGTGGCCGAAAAGCTGGTCGAACGACGCTTTGGGCCGAATGATAAGCTCGGCCTGAGAATCTGGGAAGAGACCGGCAACAGTATTGCTCGCCATATCTGGTGAGACATCTTCTTACTAGAGAAACATGGCCCCTTCAAAGCTGACATTGTATGTCAGGGACGCGGCAGTAGCGGCAGTCATCTACCTTCAGAAGATTATAGCGGGAGATCCCAAGATCTCTGCACCATTCCTGCAGGCCGTTCTTCAAAGGTCCCGCAGTAGCCCCTTACGTGCCATTGAGTTGGGGTCAGGATGTGGCATTGTGGGTGTCGCGCTAGCCGAGCTTCTCCCAGGGTGCTCGATAACGCTCACTGACTTACCTGAGGTCGAGGAGATCGTAACGAAGAATATTGCAGTCGCACGGCCTGCTGAGTCTTCGACGCTCCAGTTTCAGACTTTGGACTGGGATGAGACGCTTCCGGCGGAACTGTGCGGGGGCTCAATAGACTTGGTCCTTGTCTCAGACTGCACCTACAATGCGGATAGCTTGCCTGCGCTGGTTTCGGTGCTAGAACGCTTGCTGCAGGTGTCGCCTGATGCAGTCATTTTGGTGGCGTTGAAAAGGCGGCATGAAAGTGAAACGATTTTCTTCGACCTCATGCGGTCTGCCAAGCTGTGCAATCTGCATCTGGATCATATGCAGCTTCCTTCCGAGCATGACCAGCATGATCAAATTGAACTGCATTGTTTTGGTCGAGAGGGGAGACAACAGGGCTGACAGCCCAAGCGGTATTGCAGCCGCTTCTTGACTTCTCGTGGCACCCAGACGAGTCTTTTGACTACCCTCCATGCAGAACGAATATCTGTGCTGCGCAAGAGAAGGAAGTACATGGAAGACTTCTTGCGGCTTTGGTTCCAATAGCCGGATGCATGAGCATATTACCACACCCTTGGTGCCAATGTCCTTGGAGATGCGCAGTCTCGCGAACCCATCCAACCCTCGAGAGAAGCGAGCGGGCACGATCTAGGTGATAAGACGATGATGGTGTGAGTTGCATCAAAGGCTTTATACGGCGCAGAACCAAAGATCATCTTCAAGTTCGATACATGAGGAATGCAATCAGAACAATCGGAAGCGACCACTCACCCGCGAATGATGTGCTTGCTTTGTCCAGCCTGTCGCCGTGACAAATATACGAAAAATTGGATCAATTGTCGGGGCCACCCTTCGATCGTCTGATTCTTACGAGCAGCTACTCGTAGTTACATCCAGAGACCTGGATTTTTCTGGTTATAAATGTGGCATGCCTTTTTTAGAAGTCATTTATGTCTTCCTAACCCTTGCGGAGAATCTATCTAGAGATGACTATCGTAGGAACTAGACAATATGATACTAGCTGCAACAATATCCTTGCCATGCTCAACTCTCTCTCTTGGTTCGAGTTAGCCGTATCTACCGTCGCGGACAAAGCATCAATGATGTCGTGAATCAAGGGAATCATACGTGTCAATCACCTCCTTCCAAGCATATGCCAAAATCTCCGGCTTGCCAAAGGGGTTCTCCTCGTGTTCGGTGCCATGGGTTGCGCTGGTGCATCAGCTGCTGCAAGTGTTCCTAGAAATTGGGGCAGACGAATGCGCCAGTTGCTCAAATTGGCAAGGAGAGGCGCGAGGTGAAGATTGAGAGGCACATAGTCCGTGGCGATACATTCTGGTGCTACCCTGTTGAGTGTATCAGATACAACTGCTGAGAGGACGATATGCCGCGATTCCAGTCGAGCCAACAGGTTGCTACTTGTAAGACTGCATCCACGAGGGGGCGGCATCACAGGGAGTCCGTTGCCAGGATATCTCGGGCCGCTGGGGAGAACTTCATGCTCCGTGCATCTTCGGATGAAGGCACTGAAGTTGGCCGCAAGTGTTACGGCACAAAGAGGCACGAATGCAAGACGCACTAGCAGACTATTAGTGGACTCGCCTGGATTCAGCGGGCGAGATATAGATGAAGCCCTGGCACATTGGGCCCACAGATCGGCATAGATATGGATGACGACTAAGACCTCTCCGGCAACAAGTTCGAGCTCGTCCCATCTCCGCGGGGCATGGCTGATACAGGTATAGGATGGGTCGAGGCACACAACCAGAGAGCCTTCCTGTATCGCCCACCTCTCGCCTTGAGCTAGGCGCATGTCCTTGTGTGACCCGACAAGGATGCCACCATGCAGCTCCGCCGAGGGGATCGGACGTTGCCTCAGGTGATTCGCATCTAATGGCAGCGAAGTTTTTGAGCGGGGAACTAATCCCAAGTATCTTTAATTTGACGGACCTGAACTCATTGTGTCTGTATGCCATACTGGTTAGAATCTGGGCCCAAGGTTCAATCCAGGCGGTTGGTTACCCTTGAGGTTTCCCGCTCAGAGTCGGGTGTATTTGCTATTTGATCGTAAGTATATAGTTTGTAAGGATGATTGATATTAGAGAATGGAAATGCCATCTCGGAGCTCTGCAAGCCCTTCAGCTCTTTTGTAAAGTTGAGGATTGTAGTTGAAGATTGGCAGGAGCGATCAATCGTTGACTGCCTGAGACACAACCCATGAAGTACTATTGAAGTAGTCCGCACTAATGTACGAAACTGGGATATATCGGTCTCGCATTCATCCTTCAGCTGACGCATATCTGCCTCAGAGGGAACATAGAGATTATTCTCCTTCAGCACCTGTAGCTGTAGCTCTATCCCAGCTTTCTCAGGAGCAGGTTGTACACTGGCTTGAAGTCGGCGGATGCAACACGACATAATCAGCCCGAACAACCTCGGCTTGTGACGCTGAGTCAGCGGTGAGGAGAAGCTATCATCTGGAAGTGTCTTTGACCGACTTTTATAGATATCGCTACCATCAATCCGTCTGAGAGACAAAGATCTTCCTCTGTGTCTGAACTGACCATAGCCTGAGCCATGTCCGTGCCCCGTATAAACCTCTACATCGACACCGTCAGTCCGTTCGGCTACATCGCCTTCCATGTGCTCCGCGTAAGAACCACCGCTTCGACTGAGTATAACAACTTAGCACGGCAGCACAACCAATTGACATTTCCAACTAGAACTCCCCCATCTTCTCCAAGTGCAAAATCACCTACATCCCCATTTTCCTGGGTGGCCTGATGCACTCCTGCGGAAACACCCCACCTATTGAGATCAAGAGTATGCCAGGCCTCCCTGCACTGCATCATATATATAGTACTATATATTTCCCCGCAGGCCCCGTCCTCTTACCCCCAATCGTACCCCCGATCTCCCCCAAGAGACTCCCAACAAATCCCACCACTAACCCCCAAATCAACCTCAGACAAAGCCCAATGGATCAACAATGAACGCAACCGCTGGGCCACCTACTTCTCCGTCCCCATTATCCCCCGCACCCCGCCCAACTTCCCGCCGCGGACCCTGCACACGCAGCGGGCTCTCAGCGCCGTCTCGCAGCTAGCGCCGGACCGGCTCATCGCTGTGCAGGAGGCATTCTACCAGAATTTTTGGGTGGAGGGCGACGGCCGGATCGCAGAGCCGAGCTGTTTCGTGCCCGTGCTGGAGCGGGTGTTGGGGAAGGCGGTGGCAGAGAGGGTTGTTGATGCTGTAAGTCGACTCTCCCAGGATAGAGTTGCTTGGAAATGTAGATCTAATATGTTGGAATAGATGCAAACCCCCGAGATCAAAGCCCTCCTCACGGCGAACACGGAGCGCGCATTCACGGCGGGGGCGTTCGGGGTGCCGTGGTTTGAGTGCACGAATGCGCAGGGCGAGACGGAGGGGTTCTTTGGGGTGGACCATTTAGGCCAAGTGGTGGATTTCCTGGGGTTGGATAGACGCTTGGATCAGGGGTTTCGGGCGGTGTTGTGATCCTTTGCTTGCATTCTATTTCAGCAATAGTTTATTTGTATTGAAGCTGGAAATGGGTGCCAAGTCAAGTCAACTTAGTAACGTAGGACGAATAGTATAGTTATCCTATCCTGTTCATATAAGAAACAACGAAAGAATCACTGTTTAGTCCCACTCCCGCGATCATCCGAACGATGATACTTCTTCTCCAAATCCGCCGTACTCCGCTGCCTGTTCTGCAGAAACTCCACGATGCGTTCCTTCTCCAGCGCGTCAATGCGTTGGATCTCCTCCGGCGAGGCTGCGAACCGGTCTGCTTCATCTACACTCACAGATACAGAATGGTCAGTCAGCCATGCCATGCCATATGCCATATGCCGCAACCACAATTCCCACTTCCATTGTACCCAGCAGCAATTCAATTCCCCAGCATTGAAGAAATCAAACGAGAGAAAATAAAACTCACCATCCTGCTCCCCCTCCGCTCCCTCCGCTAACCCCGGCACATACTCCCGCACCGTCCGCACCGCCCTATTGACCAATTCGCTCTCGTACGCGGCATTCAGCATCGACTTGACCTCCTGGATAGAGCTACTAGCCACCTCGGTGATTTTCTCCGTCGGAGGGATGAGTCCCGAGGAGGAGGACGACGACGACGAAGAAGAGGAGGTCGATGAGAGGGATGCAGTAACGGAAGCGGAGGGGGCGTTGTGTAGTAGTGCTGCTTGCTGCTGCTGCTGCTGCTGCTGCTGTTGTTGTTCTTCTTGTTGAAATAATTGCTGCTCCCGTCTCTGCACCTCCTGCTCTCGCTCGTATTCTTGTTGTTGGAGGTGTTTTTCCTCGTGGGAGTTCACGCAGCCGAGTTCGCGGGCGGTGTCGTCGACGGTCTTCATTTTTGGTCAAGTTCGTTTGGGTTGAATGCCAGATAGTAGATGCACCACACAGACAAAAAATATAAAAGAGTAAATTGTACAGTACAGTACAGTACAGTCAGATGAAGGAGAAGCCGAGACAAAAGCCGCAGTGGACACACAAACACCAAGGGAAGGTATAGGAGGTGAAAAGAACAAATAGAGAGATAAATCAGGCAAAGGGAAAACGATCTAGATCAACTAACAGCTTTTCGACGGCGGGCGGCTGTAGCCTAATCAGTAGCCAGCCTGGTAGGGCTGGAAATGACATCAAAGCGGGTTTAGAGTGACGACGGGGACTGGAAGATGATATCATCGGGGGAGGTCGGGACTGTCAAAACGTGGTCTTCAGCCCTGTGGATCAGTTGCGCTGAGGTGTCCCCCCTCGGGATTGATAGGTTTTATGCTATTAGATTCTGGATTATCCTCTACTAATGCATACAGTTTGTACTGTGAGGATTGGGGGGGGTGGTTGGTACTGGTACTAGTTTCTCTGCTGGAAGAGACGGGTGAATGTCAGTGAGGCAACAGTCGACGGGTTAGTAATGACTACTAGTAGCTTGTCTGTCTAGTTGCACCAGAATTCGACCAGTACCTGGTGTGGTTCTCGTTCTATGAGATTACAGTCCGATATAGCATGACAGAGTGAATCGTTTGAAGTCTCTACTGTACCATTGTCTACTCGCCCATGATCATGCCACTCAGCCCTGTTTCATGGGTGGATGCACACAGGCCGATCATTTTTGTGGTCCCAACCAATTACCGTGTCGTGTCTTCTAGACATGGGTGCTGCATAATAAATTGCCATTTGGGTGTCTTCTCCTCGAAGTGTAAGTCTCCCATATAATCAACCAAGCCATCATCCGACCTACTGCGTACTACTTGTTAAAAGTCGACAGTCTACACGTTGGACCTACTTAGGGTTCTCCCCCAATCGAGACTAGCGTCCTTCTGCCGCCTTTCGCCGCTCGCCGCCTCTTCGCCGAATTCTGCCGTCGAGTCCCTCCGATCAATCTTCATTCCTCCACTCACTCAGTCTCTCTCTTCCCCTCACGCTCTGCCCCTCTTTCATTCTCTCTTGAACGCTAATAGACCTACCTAGGCCTTTCTGACTTGTGTTTTCATTCTCTATTTTGCTCACCAAAAAATGCCTCCAATTCCTATCACCATCGTCACCGGCTTCCTCGGCTCTGGCAAGACCACCCTTCTTCTCAACCTGATCCCGCAACTGCCCGCCACCTACCGGCTCGCCCTCCTCAAAAATGAATTCGGCGACGTCGCCATCGACTCCCAGCTCGCCTCCACACAGTCCATCTCTGGCGTGCGCGAACTCCTCAATGGCTGCATTTGCTGCAACCTCGTCGGCCAGTTGAGCGATGCGCTCGAGCAACTCCGCACAGAAGTCAACCCGGACCGCATCGTCATCGAGACCAGCGGGAGCGCCTTCCCCGCCACCCTGGCCATGGAGGTCAACCGCCTGGCGCGCGAGACGCCCGGCAGCTTCGTGCTGGACGGGGTGATCAGCGTCATCGACGTCGAAAACTGGGAAGGATACGAGGATACCTCGTACACGGCGAAGCTCCAAGCCAAATACACAGATCTGATTGTCTTCAACAAGTGGGAGCATGTATCGGAGATGCGATTTGACATCTGCCTGGACCGGGTCGGGGATTTGGAGGTCCCCACGCCCTGGGTCAAGTCCGATCGCGGCAAGGTTGACAAGGATGTGCTGCTAGGCATTGACGGGGCTTTGTTTGCCAAGGAAGAAGGCCATGCGCACGCCGGCGATAGTCATGACCACGACCACGACCACGATCACGATCACCACGAGCGCAAGAACGATCATCAGTCCGAGGTGGAGGTCCTCTCTCTCACGCTCAAGTCGACCAACTCCACTCAGATTATCGACATCCCGGCTCTGGAGCAGCTACTTCGCTCCGCGTCTAAGGAAGAAGTTTACCGCATCAAGGGTATCATGCGGTGTTCGACTAGCGCGCCTCCGGCCGAATCCTCGGAAGATCAGGCCGCCGTGAAGACCACTTCGACAGGCGAGGCTGACACTCGCTATTACATTCTGAACTGGGCTTTCGGTCGCTGGACCTTCACACCTTCGGACATCGTCGCTGAAAATGCTGACCCCGCTGTGGTAGCCCGGATTACGTTCATCTTGGCCCGCTATGAGTCTGCCAAGTGGAAGAAGAAGCTCGAAGCCGGCGGGCTCGTACACGTCGCTGGAGCCAATGACGCCGAGTTGGCTGTGGAGCGACTGCTCTAAGTGGTTTGATATGCTCTACCTTCATGCTGTTACCTACCATATACGATGCACAGGGGCTGGCTCCTGTGCATGATGATTGTCTGCACTAAACCTTAGTTTCTCGATTTCAATGTTCGGCACATGACTTATGACGGAGGACGAAACGGTGGGGAGGCTTCGGAGGAATCGTTCGGTGCTATAATAGTTAGATTTGACTCCCATAGAGAATAGACAACTTCTAGAGATTGAAGGGAGGGCCAGGAGCACAGCAGTAATGGACGAGGTCTAATCAACGGAACGAAGAAATGAGAACATTTCCAGAACACACCCAAGAGACACATTAAGTACAGACTTCTCTGCGCGGATTCAGCTGCTTCCTGCAAGTCCTCCTTGCATCTAGTCTAATAAGAGATAAAACTTGGATAAAGCATAGAACAAGAGAAGCGGGCTGCAAAAAGAGCAGCACTGATCGCCCCATAACAAATAACAAGAGTTGCGCAAAATGATTCAAAGTGAAAAACAAACAACAAACGCAATCTGACTTGAGCGACACCTAGTACTCGAGAAGAGCTGAAGCACCAGCCTCGCTGGAGATGTAAATCACCTCGTGGTTGTCGGAGAAACCATTGAAGCGGGTCGCACTACACTTGGTGTAGGCTCCCATTTCCTCAAAGTATAGCCAATCGCCTACATTCAGGAGTGCCGGGAGGTTGATACGCTTGCTGATGACGTCAATACCATCGCAAGTCGGTCCCCAAATAGAGTAGGCGATTCCCCCCAAAGTCGCAGCATTCGGGGGATTGACATTAGGGTCGCAGGTTAAGACCTTCGCTACAGGGTGCTGGTGGTCAAAGATGATGTTGGAGAAGTTTCCATACACCCCATCATTGAGATACAACATGTAGGCATCATTGGTCGGGTTCTCGGGGTCCCGCACGTCGCGGCGAGCAATGACATTGGCAGCCAGGGTGAATGCGCTGGCAACGTAATAGCGGCCGGGCTCGGCAATAATACGGATGTTGGGCGGGAAGTAGACGTCCAGAGCGTCTCTCAAGACACCTGCAAACTTTTCGAAGGTGTCCTGGCTAAAGCCGCCACCAACATCCAAGGTGTGAAGCTCGTGGCCCACCTCGGCAGCTTGATCGAAGACCAGCCGGGCATCCTGAACGGCTTTCAAGAAAGCCTTCGGGTCCTCGGCACCAGAACCTACGTGGAAGCTGACGCCTACGACCTTCAGCTCGAGCTGATACGCCACCTCCAGCAGGTGACGGGCGACATCCATTGAGGCCCCGAACTTCATGCTGAACTGGCACATGCTGGATGAGTCGTCGGTAAGGATGCGCAGGTATAGCTCTGCATCGGGGTAGCACGCCTTGATCTTGTACAATTCATCGGCATTGTCAAAGGTCATCTGCTTCACGCCCATCTTGGCCGCATAGCGCAGGTACGACTTGGTCTTGCAGGGCTGCGCGTAAATGATGCGGCTCGGATCGATACCAGTGGCGAGAGCCAGGTCAATTTCCGCCTTCGAGGCACAGTCGAAACCGTTGCCAAGCTTCGCCATGAGGCGGAGGATTTCAGGGTCCGGATTGCACTTGACGGCTATTCCCAGAATCAGTGGCTGGTCTCCCTTACCGCGGCGAATTGCATTCCAACTTACCATAAAAGGGCCGGACACGACTTAGGTTCAATTTCCAACGCAGATGCTGGCGATAGATTTCGCCCATGTCTGCCACGTAAAAGGCATCCTCGGCGCCAGGGGCGCACGAGTCAACGTCCACCTCGGACGCACGCTTCTTCAGAACGTCCAAGACAAGCTCCTTGGCAGCCAACCTAGACTGCGGCTGATCGTCCTCTCCATGATAGCTGACTTGACCATGATCCCAATTGAGATTATAGTCGATTTTGTCGGGAATATGTTTGATAGTGGTGCATATTTCAGCTGGCAAACAAGCAGTCGGTGCCATAACCATGCGCGCTGCGACGAAGCACGGAATAGGTCTTTTGAAGAAAGATAAAAAAAAGATAAAAAAAAAGTGTTTTTAACGCGACTGCGTGTTAGGGAGGACGAAAAGTTTCGCAACCGAGGTTGACTGGACCAAGCCTCCTAGACCCTTCCTCCTTGAGAGGAAGAACCTTCAGAGAAGTCCTATGCGGCAGCTCAAAAGGCGAGGGAGTAAATTGTGAGGGCGTCAATTTATGAAAAAATGGCGCACCGGACGGAGGAACGGAGATCGAGACCAGGAGGAGGGGGAATGTTATTAAGAGTGTCGCGTTGACGTCTATGCGATACAATTTGACGAAGGAAACGCGGGGCTGTGAGAGCCGTGGTGCACTGCGGTGCCTTTGGAACTTATGGATTCCAAAGGCCTTGAAAATGCGATGGACGAAGGTGAGGCAATGAGGGAAAGAGAAAAAACAGGGTTTTTTCTAATTCCGGAGAAATAAGAAACGATCTGAGCCGTGTCGCCCAATGTTAGCGGAATTGGAAAAGAAAAAAAAGGGGGGGGAAGAAGGATTGAGCAACGAGGAATTGGACCTGGAGATCCGAAGGGTGCGAGATTTAATTCTCTGGGTCGTGGGGGTAGATCGAGGGGAAGACCGCCGAGGTGGTGAACAAGAGGTGCGTGCAGAGTTTTAATGGTGACTCTTCCGGTGGAGGGGGGGAGATTTAGGGCAAAGGGCACAGCGTCAGGCAGACACCGGGGGAAGGGGAATGAAGGTGATTCCTTGATCTGACAGGAAGATGACAGATGACCTGAGGAGAATTGAGGAAGGGGAGGGTGATGCAGGCAGCAAGGAACAAGGAAGCGCAAGGAGAACTCACCTCAATGGATTGGTGGTGTGGGAGGGAACGAATGCAACGGAGGCGAAGAAGGGGGGAGGGGAAAAATGGAGAGAGACGGGGAGAGAGAGAGAGAGAAAGAGGGAGAGAAAGAGGGCTCGGGAAAGGGTAAGCGGTGAGTAGTGGGGCAAAGCATTGTGACGGTATTGTGACAGTTGCAGCCTCGCAAAATCAAGGACTCCAAGCTTATCTTTTAGCCTCTCACAACAGTATGGTTACGCAGGCATGGTTGACGTGTTCGTCTCTCTCCCTCACTGCCTCCGGTTGATTCCATTGACCTCGGATCGAGAATCTCCCATTATTTCATTTGTTCAAACGGCATGTCGATTATCCCTCATGACCCCAGTCGGCTTTTAGACGCAAGACTCCTGACATTGGAAGACAACACAAGACTAAAGTTTGAGCCTGTCATTGATGATTGATGAGTGATTTTTTCTTTTTTGGTGTTGTGGGCAGTGCCAGCCACATTTACGTTGCGTCATGCGGGTCACCAAGAAAAATCGCTCGCCTGGCCGGTTCCTGATCGGCGGCGCTCTGGCCCCGGACACGAGGGGCTCCCCCTTCAATGATCCCAATGCGAGATATCCTCGAAATGGATGGATATCAGTAGTTGCATTCTTTGTCCTAACCTCATCGGCAACGGACAACCGGAAAGCAGTTCTCCCTGGTAGAGTAGCAGTTATACATTGACTTACTACGTACTCGATGCTCCGTCAATCATTCAAGTAAGTACCTACTAAGGTATGGGTGATCTCCACCCCAGGGGTTGTCCACAGTCAGTCAGTCTTATTTCTGGAGTTTCTAATTGGGTTACCCGCTCTGACCGCCTGAGCTCCTCCATGATTTTGTCACTCGCTCGTTCCTGAGGTTGTTTAGGCGGTAAAGGAAGGGTCCGGACCAGAGCACGTCAGGCCCTTCTTATTGTTCCATTCCTTTGTTGGTGAATCAAAGGCATGTCTTTTACAGCCAACACGGCAAATACAGAAAAACCATTGTCCTCCAAGTTCATTTCGAAGAAACTCACATCGATAGAATCCATTGATCATAACCATAGCCATAAATCGTGATTCTCATTCAAGATATACAGAACAGCGTTCCCATGGCCCAAACTCCCACAATGCATAAAAGTCACCGCGTCAAGGCTACGCGACCAGCACGTAGCCCTCTCACACTTGCCATACCGTCTTCACTCTACCTACCTACCAGTGAACCTCTGCCGATATAAGGCCCGGCGAACCACCTCTCTCTGGTCTGAGATCTCATCCACGGGCGACGCGACCCGAGACTCAGGAGGCGAGTGCGGCGTGACGAAGCGCACCTGTTTCCGGGCTTGCACGGGCTGGACAAACTTACCAGCTCTCCTTTCCCCTTTGGTCAAAATTCTGTCCTCATAGTGGGTGGTACTTCGGGCAAACTTATCAACCTCACTATCGCTCCTGAAGAACGGGCGCCGAGTTGTGCTAGAATAAGAGTTCTTGGTAGCGGCGGCAGTAGTGGCAGTCGAACACTGCACTACAGGCTGAGACCATTGCTGCTGCTGCTGCTGCTGCTGCTCTGTGTATGGTGGTAACGGTGGCAGAGGCTTTCGCTTCAGCGTAGACGAGGATTGTGCCACAGCCGAGCGCTGCTGCTGCTCCATCACCCACTGCTGCGTGCGCACGTAATGCTCATCCTTCCGTACCTTTCCCCGCTGCTCCAGTGGTGATGGTGCTGGTGGTGCTAGTGGTAGTCGCTTTCCCCGAGTCTCTGCCTCATGTATCTTGCCAGGTATGAAACTCCACTCGGAACCGCTCTCGGTGGCCTGCACGGCGAAGGTCGTGGCTCGCAACCGCGGCTTCACCATCTTCGGGTCGCGCGCCACGTTTGGAGCGGTGTACGGAGTAGTGTTCGCGCGGCCTTCTCGGCTTACGAATTTCATCCGTTCCTCTCCCGCGAAGGATGCCTGCTGCTGGTGCTGCTGGTCAGGGTGTTTGACTGCGTTGGAGCGTCGAAGGCCGCCTTCTGGGAACTGAGCCCAGTCGGGGGTGACTTGCCGGCTATGCAATAGACCTTGCGACGACGGCGGCGGCGGCATTGCGATTCAGGACGGTTATTGCTAGGGAAATTTTTGTTAACGGTTGTATAAATGTAGGGTTCTTGTGGTTGAGAGCTGGAGAGGCTGATCCGCAACTGTGACAATCAGTATATATAGTTGGTATATACTTTGGGCGACTTGGATCCAAACTGAGTGTAAGTACGTAGTTTAACGAATGCGTTTGTGGTTTCTGAGGTTCGAATGACCAAGCCGGCGAACAGGTGGGGGAGCAGCAGTAGCATATATATACTGTTGACTCGTACCTGACCTTGGACTATATTTGAATCATTCAAGTCGATCAAGACGTTACTGGAGATCGCATCGATGAGAGCTTTGCGTTTGATGGAGCCTTTCCGCCAGCCCAGTGACAAAGAACAAAGCCCTTGTGCGGAAAGGACTGTTTGTGATGAAGGATCATATAGTCAGGATGGACAGTGAGGCACTATTGTCAGCAGCACAATGCAGTCTTCTTGTGCAGCACTCCCTAGGGTGTCAATCAATGCGAACTACACCTCATATCTTTCCTCTAGACCCCAGTCTGTTCGCTTTCTTCTATGCTTATATGACAAGAAATGAAGGCCGTCTCATTATATCGATAATATAGAGAAATCTCGTGATTAAAATGTTTCATACAAAAGAATGGGAAGTACGAAAGAGAAAAGTCCGCGTTGCAGGCCAACACTTGTGCACACTGCAATTACAGCCACAGAACCCATCGAACACCCGAGAGAAACCCGCGAAAGATGCCCCGCAACACCTTGAATGCCATGACGATGAGCCATACCCACCATAGCATGCCAACGAGCGCCCATTCCAGCATGACAAACCCTGTACGCCGAACCCAGCGCAATCTGCGATGACGCCGGCGGATACCTTTGTCGAGGGTGTCGCTCAGTTGCTTCACCGCGAGAGTGCTCGTGGTATTCAATTGAATGCTCAGGTCTTCGGCATCTTGAGTTGCTGCCTGGACGCGAGGGTTGATATCTTCGTTGACTATCTTTTCAAGTCTACTTAGTTGAGCATTGAGGGGCGACGACACCGAGCCTGAAAAATTGTCCATGACCTGCCGCAAGGCACAGTGGGTTTCGTCGAATTTTCTGAGCAGCGCTTGCGCGGCTGCATCGTGCTCGCAGAGTCGAGTAACCCGTGGTATGGGTACGGAGGCATCATCGTATGAGCGTAGGAGGAACTCAGGTGGTGGTTCACGCACAGTGCCCGCGCGGCGGGTGATCTCCCGAGCCTTGATCCCCGAAGAAAGGAGAAGCGCTCGAGTCCGTTCAACTTCGCGCTTTCCAGGGACACCAGTGACAATTGAAGTAGAGATGCTGCGATTGGAAATACTCCAACTTCTAGACTGTGCGTCCAGCGCAGGACGCCTATTTTGCGATGCTGGTGAGGCTTCCACTTTGGCTTGCGCAAGGCCCGTAATAGGTGGCCGGGTGAGACTGAATGGGACCGACTGGTCCCTGATCCTACCTTTCTTGATTTGTTCTAGGATTGTATGTAGCTCGGGGCCAAATTTCAACTTTTCAAGGCGTGTGGGTGGTGCGTGCAGATCTGGCTTACTCGCAAGAGACGTGGAGAAACTACCAGCGTCTCTCTGTAAGCCGTCCCTGCTATTATAAATATTGGCTTCCGCAGACTGGCCAGCCACATCAGTGGAATCAGAACTTTCCGGGTGAGTAAGTCGTTCCTGTCCAGCAGGTGATGTAAGAGATGGGGACAACATTGCATCGTTGCTTGTGCCAATCTTGTCAAGATTCTTGCGCGAAGGCCGACTGGCATCATCAGCAAACGCTGGAAGCCGGCGTAGAAGAGACTTAGCGCCTGACAGCTTATCGCCTTTTGTCTCATCAGCCTCATCTTCCAATTCAGAGTCCGAACTGCTGAGACTAGAAAGCGAGGACTTGCGTGCATGCGCTAAAGAATCTTTCTTCATGATCCGATCTCCAACCTTCGACATCTCGTTGCCCACTTTCTCCGCTATTTTTCCAGGCCCTTTAAGGATACCGCGCAGCCTTGATTCTGTCTGGTTCGTATCCTTCCGCATCGGTGAATGCATTTTGTCTAATTCGTCTTGGTAAGACGATGACGGCATCTGATGCGCAAGTGGGAATGGTTCCGATCCAGGAAGACCAACGGTCTCTGGTAAGCTGTCTTGACGTGCGGCGTCCGCATCCTGCACATGTTCGTCGACATTTTCCTTGGTCCGAATGCTACTCTTGCTGCGCTCATGCCTTGAAACACGAGCCCGCGGAAAACGACCCTTGGATGGCGAGGGAGACCTGCTTGATGGCGGTGACAAATTGCTTGCAATGCTTGGGAAGATACCCAACTGATGTTGAATATCAGGATACTTGCCCTCATGTGTTGCCATGTTCGTCAAGGTGTCATAGCGATCATCGATGCTCGGAACTGAAGACATAGAGCTTCGTTTCCCTTCTGATCTAGCCTGGGCACCACGTTTGTGACGAGAAACCGAACCATGGGTAGGGGTATACCTGACACCTGTGAGACTGTCATCTTCAGAGATTGCCCCAGAGCCCCTGGTTTGAGATGGACCAAGAGTTAGCGGGTTAGATTTTCCAGGAGAGACTGCGCTGTCAGCATGCAAGTACTGATATAGACGGTCATCTGCGCTAGATGTGCTTGCAGAGCTACTAAACAAGCCAAGCCTGCGGCTGCTCAACTCGACATCCTTCGCGGACACATCACTATCATACGTGCTACGGCCAGATGTGCGAAAGCGGTGCCGCTGCCTTCCACGCGTGCCGCTTGTTAGACTAGGATGAGCGTCGGATAAAGATGCACGTGAAGTGTATTGTTCAGAGTCCATGGACTGTCGATGGCGCTGCAGGTTCTCTTCTAAGCTTAGATTGGCATCATCTATACCCACATCAATCAACAGGTTCGGGTTCGGGTAAAGATGGTGGCCGTCCTTGTCGATCAGTTTGCTCTTGTTGTGATCATCTTCCACCCACGCAGCATCTGCAAGCATTTCTGCCGGGTCGATCACCCAATCTGATCGAGGTCTGCGTGCTTTGACGCTGCTGGCACGGCTCGCGCGCCTCAAACTCGAAGGAGGAGAAGCTGCAAGATGATCAACATCAATGTGATGTTCTGAAGACACATACTTCCTTGACTTTGGGAAAGAAGGAAGTTGTAGACGTTCCACGGCACTGTGGTTGCGATGACTGTACAATGACTCCACGGAGTCAACCCATTCATGCACCCTATCGGTGTCATACCATCCTTCGGCTTCCGTGTCAATAGTACAACGCTCGCGAAACCTCACTTTTCGATTTCGAATACACTGGAGAGGATTGTATGTCCGGGAGGAGAGCCCGCTGTTACTCGCGACCGAGACCGAATCGGTAGCGGATGGGTCGATACGCTCGAGAGGAGGAAGCGAGGAAATAAGTCTCAAATAATCGGAAAACAGCTCGAAGTGGCGCCGGGCTTTCTCAGCCCGGATCAGAGTGCTCTCTGAAACTCCAGAAGGCAAGGTTTCTGAGTCGACTGACTGAGGCAGCAGACTCAGCACCGAGGACGGAGCATGTGCCGGCAAACCCGCCCCTTCGAGGATGATAGGCTTGTTGTAGCGATCGCTCAAAGTATGATGCACTGCATCTCGATGTCGGGGGCTACTGTGACGAACGCCGCCCACAGAAGTAATAGGTTGAGTGTCGGAGTAGGGAGCAATAGGCTTGCCGGCCGACAGTATCCTCCGATTGCTTGGAAAGCGAGTGGAAGCAGAATGTCCCAGGCTGTTCCTCTTTCTCGACTCGCTCAAGTTCAGCGCAAGATTGACGATCTGCAAGGAATCTCTGTCTAGACCCAAAGCAGCCGAATTCTCAGGCGTTTCCGACGCCTGCCCCTGGTTTGCCGTAGCTTCTGTCACTTGCGAAGGAGTGGTAGTCTCATACGCTGTGCTGCCTTCGCCGGTCTCCGACTTCTCCTCCTTCTGACGACTCCACGGGAATCGCGATCGTTTCTTAGGGAGTTCCAGACCCGGCCCAGGAGCTTCTCGCTTCTCCTTGCGATCTGAGCCCGAACGGCGAAGGAACTGATGGTGACTGTTCCTCAAGCTCCGAGAACCCGGTAGAAAGGATGAGTCGACGAAGAATCCGCCGGAGCTCTGTGTCCGACGCTGGGCTCGACTTCCCTTATCGCCATCTCGAGAGCTACTGCCTAGCGTGCTTCCCTCTAGCTCCCCGCTCGCCCGTCCCTCGTTCATCTGCAGCTCTCTTAGTCGAATGGATGCGTCATGAGGGGTGTTTGTGGGTTGAGGAGGATCTGACAGTGTCTCATTCGGGCCTAGAGTAGAAAGAGCTGGGGTGGGCGATTCAATAGTGGTCTTGGGCGACATTAGAACCAGGGTGACGAATCGGTGGTCCGTCCCGCCGGAGTGAAAAGGGGGCCCGGCTCACAGAGCGAAGAGGACATGAGGATGCTCGAACAGGGTGCTAGGAGTCGATCGAGCATGGCACTGCAAAGCACGGTCAAGGAACTAGGGGCCACATAGTAGGGTCACGTTCGTCGGTCTGTGCTGTCGCGACAACGCAGCGCTCCCTCCCTTCTAGGTACATCCCTCCTTAAACGCCCTCCTACAACTGCATCATGCGGCGGAGCACGTGGAGCTGCAAACACGGCAAACACCCACACCGGCGACAAATGACGTGTAATGATCGAAACCATACAAACTATGGAGTATGGTCTCACATACAAAAGAAAAATCTAGCATTGACTCTAACAACGCATGTGGACAACTAGAGGTACAATTCCCGTAGTAGGAGGCATGGAATACAAGAAAACTAAACAAACGCTTGAGGGTATTGATCTACTCGACCCTCAGACACTGTAGACGAGCTTCAGTCTCAATCACCTGTACAAAAAAAAAAAAGAATTGTTAGTCTGCAGCACAACAAGATAGGGGATCTCTAGCAAGCACAGTCGGTCTTACCTCTAAGGCCTGCTTCACTTCCAATACTCTGCGTACTTCGCCCAGCCAATCCTTGCTCAAAATCTTGGCCCAACCCTTAAGGCTGTTCATCTCGCGAGCAGCGGCATCCAGGTTACCCTCTTCCAGAAGGCTCTCAGTCCGGCAGAGAACACTCTCGACATCATCGCTGCCAGCAACAGCGTCCTTCTTGAACATGACCTTGCTCAGGACGAAGCTGGCAGCATGGCTGGCGATACCCGCATCCTCGGGCAAGAGACTTGCCTTACGGACCTCATCCGCTACCCGACGGAAACGCTCGATAATCTGGGATGTGGAGGGAATACCCCGCTGGTAGGCGGTAGGGTTAATAGAGGCAATGGCCGCATCAACAACAGGGTCTTCAGCAGCCAACTCCTTCACGGCAACAAGCTCGCGGACGAATGGGCGAGAAGCAGAGCGCTCAAGAACCGAGCGCACAGCATCCACCGCAACTTGGAGCTGCTGGGTCTTGAGGTTGGTGTCAATGACCTCTCTCCAGCCGGTGGTAAGCTGCTCCAACTCGCTGACATTAGCAGTCAATTCATTGAGCTTGCTGAGGCGGCCTTCACGCTCACGCTCCACGAGATCCTTCACTTCATGGAGGTACTTGCGGTTAAGCTCAATGGCTTGCTCAACAAGCTCGTTCTTAAGACGCTGTTCGGCAAGCTCCTGCGCTCTTTGTAGCTCCGTGCGGATCTTCTCCTGATAAGCGTGCGCCAGCTTCTCACGCTCTGCCTCGAATTCCTCACGATACTGGGCAGCATCGGCCGCACGGGCTTCCTCAAAGCGGCGGATGAGCTCGCGCGCGGATTCGTCGAAGGTAGCATGGGCCTGGTTAATCTCCTCCTGAGCAGCACGACGCGCGTCTTCCCGAACAGCAATAATTTTCTCTCCGACCTTCTGGAGCTCCTCCTTGGCCTTCTCCACAGGTTTGGAGAACTTATAAGCACTTTCGTCAGCACCGATGACGGTTATGATGTCGTTGAAAGTCTTGACCAATTCTTGAACAATGGCCTCGTCACCTTCGTTGACCTTAGCAAATTCTAGAGGAGCTACGGCGGGCAAGGCGGGTTGTCTGGGCTCCTCTTTCACAGCCGGCTGGGATGGCTCTTCCTTAGCAGTCTTCGCTTCCTTGGCCTTCTCGACTGCTGCGGTTTTCTCCTCGGGCTTAGCAGCGGCAGGCTTGGCTTGTGCTTCGTTGCTCTTGTCCTTCTTAATGGAGCTCATGTGGGGACCCTTCTGTGAAAGATCAGCAGACTCCTCCTCCGCAACCTTGGAGGTCAATCCGCTCTTGCTCGGAATCGTGACCTGGTTGCTGTCATCCCTACGGGTAGGGAAGCGGACTTGGCTCTTCAGAGTGTTCGGGAACCGGCGGTAGAAGTCTCGTTCTTCAAAGTACAGAACACTCTCCTCGCCATAAGGGATGAATTCAGTGAAAAAGTCGTGGAAGTTATCGAATTTGAGGGCCAAGAAGATACCACCACCGTATGCGAAACCCGAGGTCAAGAGCAAGTAAAGAAGGAATCGGCGGAAACGTCCACCCTTCTTAGGAGCCGGAGTGGGCGCAACTGGAGGAACTGCGGAACCTGTATCCGAGTCAGTATGTAGTTTTCTGCTGTATAATCAAACGAGGCAACAGTACCCTGCTCGATAGGCTCCGGCTTAGGAATGACGATCTCCGGAGGCACAGGCGACGTGGAAGACGGGGTAACAGGAGTGGGAGCACCGGTAGTAGGAGGCTTGGCATCAGCAAAGAATCTCTGGTGAGCAATGGAGATATGTTAGTGATGAATTTGCCATTGATGATCCGCAACCAAGGATGCCGTCACTGTACCTGATTTGAGAACCGGCTGCTTGCTCCAGCTCTGGACAGCCATTGCGCAGCCGTCCGTTGGCGAGCAGAAGACAGTAGCACCTGGCGTCCCGTGGCAACAGAAGAGCGCAGCATCGTGGGCCGCACTACTGTAAATAAAAGCGCTGGGAGCGGGAGTAGTTGAGGGATTGATGTTGACGAGCGTGAAAATGCGGACCGGAACTGGGATAGGTGCTTTTACGATCCGCTCCGATCCTGCACCGCCAAACAGTGGCTCAGTCAGCTCGGGTCTGATCGCACCCACCGCCCGCCCGCCGCTTCTCCTGGCCCCGACAGCTCCGAATGAGTTACGCCAGTGCATCATTCCTTCATCAGTGGCAGGCTCACTCCGTTACCCCACTCGCTAATTGAGCACATCTCGGTGTAGGCCCTTAAAAGTGATGTATATTGAATGTGAACGATAGATGGAGCCATTTGTTCTACCTATAGAAAAAGCCACATGTTTGCGACCTAGGATCAAATACGTCATCCCAGGGACGAGGAAGATTATTGAAGTATTATTTATATAGGCATAGCATACTGAAAGACTTGGAGGGTGGAAAGGGAAACGGATTGTTAAAAACAAGAGCTCAACCCACAACAAAGGTTACGGACGCCAGCAAAAGGGAAACAGAACAAACTGGAACACCGAATATCCTAAGCTATCTCCTGCAACATGAAGTCGAGTTCGCCAGGGCCAATGGTACCCGAGTACATGGCCAAAGTTCAATTTCGCAAGTGAATATTAGAGGACCTCGAAGTAATGATTCAAAGACCTTGAGCAATGGGCGAAGCAAATGCGAAAAAAGTGCACGGAGTTGGATCCTCAACGGGGGACAGGGAAATAATCCAGCACAGTACCACGCTGCTCGACATTCAGCCGGGGGTGCCCTGTAACCGTCTCGTGAGGAACCGTGGTGGCCAGGCTAAGCTGCAGATGGAGAATATCAAGGTTGGCACAGCACTTAAAGTTCAAATTCAGGCAAGAGAAGTACGTCTTTCGCATCTAGACAAGTCATACCAAAGAAAGCGGGAGCATCCATGAACAGAAGCAACGAAATGCGAAAACTGAAAGGCAGGTATCGAAATCTAGCAGTTGCAGGCGCCCGCGCCCTGAGTACCAGGGGCCTCCGGTCGCAAGTCAACACCAGGGCGAGGAGCAGCTCGTAGGTTTCGCGGGCCAGCCTGATCAAGTGGCAGCTTCTTTGCGATGGCGGTGAATAGTTCTCGCACATTTGATGACGTCTTGGCCGAAGTCTCGAAGAAAAGCAGACCGGCTTCACGTGCGTAGGCCTCGGCATCAGCAGTCGGGATCGCGCGCTTGTCGGGGTTCTCTGTCACAAGATCGAGTTTGTTGCCTGCAAGAGCGATAACAATATTTTCGTTCGCTTGCCTCTGTAATTCCTTCACCCATGACTTGGCCTTATCCAGCGACGACTGTGCGGCAATAGCCACATTAGTACTCGTTCCGATCATAGTACTTCGATAAGGCATGGAACATACCGCTTGAGTGATGTCGTACACAACAACAGCGCAGTTGGCGTTCCGATAATACATGGGGGCCAAAGACTTGTATCTTTCCTGACCGGCGGTGTCCCATATTTCGAACTTGACCGTCGTGCTTTCATCGAGGGAGATGGTCTGTGTGAGGAAGGCTGCGCCGATGGTCGACTCGCGGTAATCGTCAAATTGATTCTTATTCATGTAAACTGAGGTCCTGAGAGGCGAGGAGAAATTCGATATAGACCAACCTTAACAAATCTCAAGACTAGCGAACTCTGCCAAGCAATGAGAACATCAGCCACCGCCCAAACCATGAGTATAGCAAAGTATTCACCTTTCCAACGGCACTTTCTCCTGTTTCAAATATAAAAGCATATGTCAGTCATAATTTTCTCAAGAATCTGAGTGGGGCTGTAGTCAGGGGGAAAGCTAACCAAGCAACACCAGCTTGAACTGAGCGAATCTGGCACCGGGACGGGCGCCTGCTGCGGCTCTGGTGGCCATAGTGAATGGGACTTGAGCCAACTTTAAAGAAAGAAAGAACAGAAAAAGCGATATCGTAGGTGACGGTGGAAGTGTGGCTGAAAGGACTTCAAGTATGGAGTGGGTGGAAAACGTTCGGGAGTAGGAGGAAGAGATGAAGATACTGGAAAGGCGGAATCGGGACGCTGGGGGGAGGTTTGATGGCGCCGTCGACGGCGGTGATGGAGATGACGAAGGGGGGTGGTTCAGCCACAACTGGCTCAAGCCGGCTGGACGGTGTGCGGGGCGGTGTGGCGCTCATTGGGTCGGAGGCTGTAGGGATGCTTGTACGCGGTGGAGATACTGCCGGAGTTACGGGGTATTGTACTCTGGGTATTGTACCGTACCTGACTTAAGACCAGCATTGGCAGGCCCTGAAACCACCCACCACATGCTCGTCTCATACAGCCTGCGAACTAGATAAAGTACGGTCCGACAAGGGCTACGTACTCCATACCCCGTTTACTTCCCACCCTTTTCTTTGGAAATCGTCATCACCTTCATTTCTCCTCCTCCTCCTCCCTCCAGCTTACCTTCCTGGCTTGACTTTTGAGTCTTCCTTCCCTTCACTAGAACCTGTTCTATATCGTTGTTCTTCGCACCATGCGCTGAATTGCTGATCCACTCTTTCTTGTTCATTTCTTCGATCACTGCCACACTTCTTTTTGATTGCCTGCTCTCTCCATACCCGTAGGGGTAAACTTCAATGATGGCTGCCTCCATTCTGCCGTTCCGCGACATCAACCTGCACGCTTCGTCCTCTCATTATGCCTTCACTTCTCCCTCGTCACCTAATGCCCCAACTCTTGTCGTCGACCGTCCAACGGGTGACTTGCGCCTCACAAATGGGACCCTTTCCGATGCAAAGCGTATTACCAGTATTGCTGGTATCTTGGGGATCATCAAACTAAAACTGGGTATGCCTCTCATCGGTTGATGCTTGTCACGAGGTGGATACTGACCGGTCTAGACAAGTATATCATCGTGATCACCAAGGCCCAGCCGATGGGTAGACTGCGTGGCCACATGGTGTACAAAGTTGCTGCGACAGAGTTCCTTCCCTTGCGCGAACGCCCTCTACATGATTCCGATGAGGATGCTTATCTGGCACTCTTGAAAGAACATATCCGCAGTGGCCCTATGTACTTCTCCTACGCCCTGGACATCACCAACAGCTTTCAGCGTCAATCACAAAGCGACCTCCGTCTTCCCATGTGGAGGCGAGCGGACGATCGCTTCTTCTGGAACCGCTTTATTCAGTCGGATATGATTGACTTCAGCCTTGGAGAACATGACACGACCGGTGTACGGCTTGGTCCACAACCTGGGATCGATCCGTATATCCTCCCAGTCATGTTCGGAATGTTACGTATAACTCCGGCAAAGGTGAAATCGACGTCTTTCACATTTGCCCTTATTACGCGAAGATCCAGGTACCGTGGAGGCACGAGATACTTCTCGCGTGGTATTGATGATCAAGGGCATGTCTCAAATTACAACGAGACTGAGCAAATTGTCATTCTGAACGATGCAACGGGTGGTCTTTCTGGTTTCGCCGGAGGCCAGTCTCTGGCGAAGGAGAAGTTAGGTGGCTCTGGTCAAGATCTCCAGGTCATGGCCTTTGTGCAAACCAGGGGCAGTGTCCCCGTCTACTGGGCCGAAGTCAATAACCTCAAATACACACCAAAACTCCAGGTCCGTGGGGTGGAGACTGCTGTGGACGCTGCTCGCAAGCACTTTTCCGAACAGATTCGACTATATGGCGAGAACTACCTGGTCAATTTGGTGAATCACAAAGGTCGGGAAGAACGAGTCAAGAATGCCTACGAGCAGTTGGTCCGTATTCTAGTGACATCTTCTACCGAAGACACCGAAGCAGATGACGCAACCTCGGAAAAGGTACATGCCGTAGAGCCCGGACTCAGACAAAACGAGATGGATAGATTGCATTACGTCTATTTCGACTTTCACAATGAGACCAAGGGACTGAAGTGGCACCGCGCAGAACTGCTGCTGGACCGGTTGATGGACGGACTCACCCGGGGTGGCTATTTCCGCGGAGTGGAAGATCCTGGTCTTCCTGGTGGACAATTAGATATCCGTTCCGCGCAGACCAGTGTCGTCCGGACCAATTGCATGGACTGTCTTGACCGCACGAATGTAGTGCAAAGTATGTTGGGACGTTGGGCCATTACACGCCAGCTCACCGATGCTGGAGTTTTGCGTCCAGGAGAAGCTGCAAATGACGACCGGGAGTTCGAGAATCTGTTCCGCAATATTTGGGCGGACAATGCCGACGTGGTCTCAAAATCCTACTCTGGCACAGGTGCACTTAAAACTGATTTCACACGCACGGGAGAGCGTACTCGTGCAGGGATGTTGCAGGATTTGAACAACTCGATAACACGTTATGTGCGAAACAACTTCTTAGACGGTCCACGGCAAGACGGCTTCGATGTGTTCTTGGGTGCCTACCTCCCTCCTGACTCTACTTTGGGGAGTCTCCAGCTCTTCCTCGACCGGCGACCTCTGATAATTCAGTCAATCCCCTACATCTTCGCGGCTGGAATTTTCATGATCATGGTCTCAACGTTCACTAGGCGCCTGCCAGACTCTGCTGTGTGGCCACTTCGCTTGTTTGTAATCTTTTGGCTTGTTGTCAGCGCCTGGTGTGCCCGGTTTATACTTGCTCATGGGATGCTTTATGTAAGTCTTGTGTCACGCCTTCAATCTGTACCTGATTACTGACGCTTGACCTACAGGTGAATTGGCCCAAATTGAACACACCCGCAGCTGGCTCTGAAGGGTACCAAGATGCACTGATTAAGGCTCGCTCGGATCCGATCATCGGCCAATGGCTACCTATCAGAAGACACCAGAGAGGCTATAGTAATGCCAGGCTGGTCTTCTTAGAAGAAGGTAAAACAAGGATCGAGTAGTCTCATCGACACGCTTGCCATGTCATCACTTCGTACACTATATTTCATAGATCGTTTAACTTATCAGCCTCCGGATGGTGTATATCTAGCAATGCACAGCTTTTACCCCTCTATATGTTGGGCTTGTCACAACCTGCTTGTAATGCCTCCATGTTTCAATAATACTTTCCTATGACCTCACAACTTGGCAGAATTTGAAGCACCCCTGCAGCTCTAGACCCCTAGATAGAATGTTCGATTTGTTCAAGCCTTTTTGACTTACAATCCCGGGCTTGTTCCAGGAACATTGAATGCTCTATTTTGTTAGTTCATCCACGTGACCTTATCGGAAGCGCCGACCTCGGACTCACCGCGTTTGATGACAGCTACCCCGGCCACAAAGACTAGTACGAAGTGGGCAGAAAGTCGCCTAGTCAATGCCCAGCAGTCTTTTTCGCACGTGAGCAGTGACTGACTCAAGCCTGATGAGGGGCTTTCGCACAATTCTTCCCCTTTGCCAGATCCAATTTACTCGTCGTTTGTCGTCTAAGTCCACCATCATGTCTCGCAATTATGAGGCAGGTTTCCCCGCAGGCAGGCAGGTCATGAGGCGTCGAATCTAACACTGTCGTGCAGGCTGCGATTGCAGCTCTCAATTCACTGCAGACCAACTTTGCAGTAGTGGAGGAGCTACGAAAGTCGCGAAAGGATATGAATATGCTGTCCATCCCAGAAACCGTGGAGTGGCTCCGTCGCATTGGATATCAGGTCCGCCTGCCGCCCCGCATTTCATTGTCATGACTTCAGGATTGACTCGGATCCATATTCTTTGATCTCTAGCCCTCCGATCTGAACCGCATCAATCCCGTACACGTTGCTGGCACGAAGGGGAAAGGCTCCACTTCGGCTTTTATCGCATCAATCCTTTCTCAGTATACTGCCTCAAAGTTATCCAACTTGGACTCAGCCTCGGGCTCACTCAACAAGGTTGGGCTCTATACCTCTCCTCATTTGCGCTTTGCGAGAGAGCGAATTCAAATCGACAACGCGCCACTTTCAGAGGAGAAGTTTGCGAAATACTTCTTTGAAGTATGGGATCGTTTGGATGAAGCTGCTCGCCTGGCCGGCGAAGACCCTACGAACCTTAGAACGAAGCCCCAGTACTTCCGGTACCTGACTTTGATGGCGTTCCATACCTACATTAGTGAAGGTGTCGATGCTGCGGTCATCGAGTGTGGAATAGGCGGGGAGTACGACTGCACCAATGTGATACAAAAGCCGGCTGCGACAGCAATCACTAGCCTGGGCATTGACCACGTCGCTATGTTGGGGAACACCATTGAAGAAATTGCGTGGCATAAGGGTGGCATTATCAAATCTGGTACCAGAGCGTTCAGCGCACCGCAGCCTCCATCCGCTGAGAAGGTTCTGCTTGAGCGTGCTGCTGAGAGAGGAACTTCACTGGAATTTATCAGGGGCCACCCTGAGCTCAGCATTGAAGGAGGCGTCAAACTCGGATTGGCTGGCGACTTTCAATACACTAACGCGGCAGTGGCCGTTGCAACAGCGGCGGAATTCCTGCGTACTGTCGGCATCGAGCAAGTATCGTCAGATTCCCTGCAGAAAGCTTTACCAGCTAAGTTCCGTAAAGGGCTGGAAGAGGCCCGCTTAGGCGGTCGTTGTGAGACGCGCACTGAGAAACACATCACTTGGTACATCGACGGGGGCCATACGCTTGAAAGTATCAAGCTGGCTGGTCAATGGTTTGCATCTCAGATCCAGGCAAATTCTTCGTCTACTGCCGTTGCGCAGAAGAAGCAGCGAGTCCTGATCTTCAATCAACAAACCCGGGACAGCAATGCCTTGGCCCAGGCTCTTTACGAGACCTTGGCTGCGGCTTTAGGATCGGAGCAACCATTCACTCATGCAATTTTTTGCACCAACGTTACCTACAAGACCGCAGGCTATCGACCCGATCTTGTCAGTATGAACACAAACGCGACCGACGTGGAGAAATTGCATGTTCAGAAGAGCCTCGCTGAGACATGGCATTCCATTGATCCTCGCACTGAGGTTAAGGTTTATAGCACCATTGAGGAAGCTGTTGACTTTACTAGGGAGCTTGCCATGAGAGAGAAGGACCTGGTAGGTCAGTATGAAGCTCCTGTAATGACATTCGTTACTGGCAGCCTGCACCTTGTTGGTGGCTTCTTAGATGTGATAGAAACCAAGCCTGCTCCGCAATGAGACTCGCAATCTGCCTACCTCACCACGAGGTTTCAACAACAAAACTGGTGATACCCGGACAAGATATGGATGCCTTGTCTTTGCTCTAACATTTGATAATCTCGATACATTACAGGAGGCGTTCTATAAGCACAATTCAACAAGCCAAAAATTTTTTTTCAAGAATTCTCAAATGCCATTCATGATGATCTAGACATCGATCAAGTTCTCACTTATTTAGCAAGTACAAGACACAAGTACTGTCCGCACCCGCTAGTACACAGTAGTGAAACGTAGTTAAACGTGGGGCAGGCTTAGAAAACCTTCCCGCACCCACTTCTGCTCCGAATCTCCGACCACTGAACCTTGCACTTGTTGTTTCGATTGCGCCAGCTGTCATGCCCGACTCTAAGGATAAGAAGGGCAAAGCCCCTGCGTCCAACACCGAGGTCAGTCTCCTCCCTTGCAATTGCGACCAGCGGTTCCCTCAACGCTCACTGGAATTCTTTTAGGATGCTGCGAAACAGAAGTTGACTCCCAAAGCCGCCGAGGCGCTTCTGGAAGCCAATCCCGCCCTGAAGAACGAGCTGGCCGGACTAGACAAGGATAAAGCTGCAGAGGCCCTGCGCAAGATGGATATCTCCGAGCTCTTGACTGGGCTGGCTGTTGGGGGAAAGAATCAGAAAGATATGGCCTCTTACAAGTTCTGGCAGACCCAACCTGTGCCTCGTTTCGATGAGGCCGCTGCCGCTGCCAGCAATGTCGGGGGCCCGATCAAGATGATCGATCCCGAGAAGGTGTCGAAAACCCCCGACCCGCTGATCGAAGGTTTTGAGTGGGCCACACTCGACCTCACCAAGGAGGAAGAGCTCCAGGAGTTGTGGGATCTCCTGACCTACCATTATGTCGAGGATGACAATGCCATGTTCCGCTTCAGATACTCGAAGTCCTTCCTACACTGGTTCGTGCATTGTGAATACCATGGCTGAGTTCCGAGAAGAGGGAGCTGATTGAATCCATCTAGGGCCCTGATGGCACCGGGTTGGAAGAAGGAATGGCACGTCGGTGTGCGCGCCACGAAGTCGCGAAAGCTCGTCGCCGCCATCTCGGGTATTCCCACAGAATTGCGGGTTCGCGAGCAGAAGATCAAGGTCACTGAAATCAACTTCCTCTGCATTCACAAGAAGCTACGATCTAAGCGTCTAGCTCCGGTTCTTATCAAGGAGATCACTCGCCGTTGCTATCTCATGGGGATCTATCAGGCCATCTATACCGCGGGTGTTGTCTTGCCAACCCCCGTCAGCTCATGCCGGTACTACCATCGTCCCTTGGACTGGCTTAAGTTGTATGAGGTCGGGTTCTCGCATCTGCCAACTGGCTCCACCAAGGCCCGACAGATCAGCAAGAACCATCTTCCCAGTGTCACCTCTACCCCTAACCTCCGCCCCATGGAAGTCAAGGACATAGATGCTGTCCATGACCTCCTCGAGCGCTATCTGAAGCGGTTTGCCTTGAACCAGGCCTTCTCTCGCGAGGAGATCGAACACTGGCTCGTACACAAGGGCGGGGAGTCTGACCGGGAGCAAGTGGTTTGGTCTTACGTGGTGGAGGACCCCGAAACCCACAAGATCACCGACTTCTTCTCCTTCTACAACCTGGAATCCACAATCATTCAGCATCCTAAGCATGATTGTCTGCGTGTCGCTTACCTATACTACTATGCCACCGAGACAGCGTTCACCGGTGACCTCAAGGCGCTCAAGGAAAGACTCTTGTTGTTGATGAACGATGCTCTGATCCTGGCGAAGAAGGTAAGCTCGATATCCAAATTTTCGAACTACCTTGGGCGTTGAAAACAGATGACTGATACCAATAACCACGACAGGCTCGTTTCGATGTGTTCAATGCTCTTACCCTTCACGACAATCCGCTGTTCCTGGAGCAGCTGAAGTTCGGGGCTGGCGACGGTCAGCTTCACTACTACCTCTACAATTACCGGACAGCCCCCATCCCTGGTGGCGTGAATGACAAGAATTTGCCGGATGAGAAGAGAATGGGTGGTGTGGGTGTTGTTATGCTGTAGAGTCCGGCACTCTCACATGTTCTTCATAAGTACAAATAGCCGTACCTCTCTCTTTTGTGCCATCTGCCATAGAACTGGCTAATTGACTTGAGAGAGGACAATTGTGAATAGTGTTAACTCAATTGGAAGTGTGTATGTATCACTAGTGCATGTAGTCACTGCAGCGAATACTGAATTTTGAATACCGTAGCAGGTCACGGGAGGCTGACGAGGAGCTGACCGTAAATGGCAATCACCCCTGCTCGAGTGACCCGCTGAGGGGCCGAGGCCGTTCTTCAGCCCGCATGCGGAACCATCCCATCCTACACTCCCTGTCACTCCGTACTTCCCCCATTGTCTACCGAGTACTTCCACCGTCACCATACTTGACCTGGATATTGAGATGTCATGGCATCTTACAAGCAAGTCAAGCCCTCTATGTGCATCAAGACTTGCTAAGTATTTCGATTTGGGTGGTCTAATCCACAGATAATCATTGTAGTGGGTTCACGTCGTCATCCCCCGCGGAGTCTCCCGAGCTAATACTATCAGTGCTAAGGCGACAGCTGTTCATCAATCTCCCTGTCACACCTCTAAAACCTCGAAGCCATTTGACATTCCCAAGCTCTAAAGGAGACGGAATAAATTACTCTCCTCTCATTATCCTCCACAATGGGTGCATATCAGTCTACTGAGTCTGTGGGTCATAAGTCATCTCCAGGTAGTGTCACGCTAAACCCTCCTATCAATTCCAATTAGAGGCAACAAGCAGATCTAACAATCAGCAGAGGAACTGAGCTACGTGCTTGCCGATCGCTTCGCAACGAAATGTTTTACCCCTCTGGAGCTCACCCATTTCAAAGACAATTTTTATAGTCGCGCAATTGACCAAGGCGGCGTGAGATATTGGAATGAACAAATACTATCGGACTTCCTTGGGGTCCCAGACAGCAGCGATGCCCAATGTCCGCTTGACGCTGGCCCGGTGATCTTTCGCATGGTTTCGTATCTAGGAGCATTTCCGTTTCAGAATACGCTGGCTCCCAGCGTACTCACGTTTGATGCTATGGTGAAGGTGGTTGTCTTACTCACGGAACGATACGGAAAGGTGCTCAGAAAAGCCCGCAGAGACCGCATAAGACTACTATTTGGTAGTCTAGCTGACGTTGGACGAAAAGATGCTGAGAAGCCAGAAAGTGGTCAAATTGTCGAACAGGACGCCCCGATTCCTCATGCTCCTGGTTTTGCCGTTGATGCCCCTGCTAACGACTTTTACGAGGATGAGGAGGATGATGATTTAGCACTGGCTGCCTTAGAATCGCTAGATGCGATCGAGGTCTTCAAGCATGACTCTCGCGTAGACAGGGCTGTCTATGAAGCTCGTGTCTCGGATAATACGTTCCGTCGTCTGCTTATGCTACTGATTGCAATTTCAGATCTGAAGACGACCGAGTCCGCAGCGGCCTACACCTCGAACCTCAGCAGAACACGCCTGGAGTCAATTCGAAAAGAAACGGACAGCATCATGGCAGCCTTTGACCACGAACCAGCCGGAGGGTTTGGGTACAAGTCTTTCGCGACAACCGTGACTTCGTCGTTACCTTACCTATTTGATCCCTTAACACCTCTGTTCGAGAACTTCTTGTTTAGCAAGAACCTGGATCTGTCTCAAAAGCGCGATAGGACAAATTCGACAGACTCTACATTCGAAAAAGCCGCTGTGAACGAGTCGCAGTCTCCACCCTCGATCATGCTCGAGGGTAGTTTCAAATCAACGATACTAGACATGAGCATGATCTCGCACCTCTCATTCTTCCTACCCTCAACGTCCGCGAACCTGAATTTCCTTCGCGGAAATACGCGCTTGCACCCGGTCTTTTCGACGGCCGCACATGGCTCCTCACTAACATCCTTCTCACATCATGTCCTCACCTGGTCATCCGGTACGCTGCTCATTCTGGAGGGTGTGTCAGAGACCAGTGCCGCCATTGTTCTCGGCGCCTACCTGCCACAGCCATGGAAATCGCCGTCATCATCTGCCTCGTCTTCCACATTCTCCAACTCGGTTCTCCCTTGTCTTTTCCAGCTCTCCCCGAAACACATGCTTCTTCAAGGAAACACTTCTCCATCTGTACAGAGACCAGATACTCCCCCAGCCTATTTCTCCACAAGCTCTGGAATATCTATTGGTTGTCGCATCCCGCCTTCATCACGCAGCAACCACAAGCCTCCCTCCCCCTTAGGGGCAGGCAGTCTAACCATCGATGCCCACCTCGAGACAGCGACCTTCTATGTCTCCTCTGTGGGTCATGACGGCTCGTTTCTCCCTCCAGTGCCGAGCACTGGCACCGAGACCACATACAAGACTACTATAGACATCTATAACCTAGAAATCTGGGGTCTGGTTCCAGATCCTACGACCACAAGCTCCGAAGAGGGGAAAAGCGCTGTCGAGCTACAGCAGGAGAAGTGGGAGTTTGAGGCGCGGGAGGCGGAGCGACGACGAAATCTGAACCTCAAGGCTGGCGCCGGCGACTCCGCTGCTGAGAGTGCTCGCTGGCTGTTGGAGACGGCCGGCATCATCGGGGACAATAGTCGACGAGGCGGCTAACGCAGAGTCTGATTGCAGGCGATCGCGGCTTTATTGCGGTCCATCTAAATTGTTCATGGGGTTTGCTTGGAAGTATTCCTTCGAAAAACATTGATTGGTTTGCTGAAGCATAAACTATAGCTAGCTTACCTATTTGGCGCATGTGGTTTGACATGAACATTGTTGCTATCTTGGTACCAGAAACAGAACCGAATGCATAGCACGGTCATTGGTGACTATATAAATATACAAAGTCTGCATTTGGCTTGTCTGCAGCGACAGACCAGGATTGTAACTGGTTGCAATTTTTGGGATTCTATAAACCTGTACTATGGAGCTCCAGATTCCAACCCAGCAGTCAGTGGAAAGTGCAGTTTGTGCTCTTTCTTGCGTGTTGAACCCTGCACCCAGGCACTGATCATGGCCACAACCACAGCCACAGAAGAAACACGACCACGCAAGAAAATGGTTTCTGCACCAGCAGGAGTCACGCATGATAGTCCTTTATACGGATGGAACTTGAATCCATTTGTTGCGATTAAATCGCGGAACAGTGGCTGAAAGAGTACGCTTACTCAAGCCCCCAGAGGTGGAAGCCCAGTCGGTGGCCCATAGAAATCCCTCAACTCTTCCTCCTCCTCCTCTTCCTCATCATCCCCATCGCCGCCCGGCTGCTGCTCGCTGAGTTCAGCATCCGAATCCACCTTATTACCAGCACCACCACGAGAACTGAGCCGGCTCCGCTGGCCCGGCACCGGAGTTCCTCCCGTTTTACGGCTGGCGCTGTCTTCCACCTCCTTGCTTGTTGGGTTGCTGCTGCTGTTATTGTTGGTTGAGTCCTCCTGCTCTTCCCGAGGCAGGCGATAGGCCAGCCAGCCCTCGGGCGCACGTTCGGCGCGGTCCATGATCTCGTTCATGTACTTGCGCACCTCGTCGGCGGGTTTTACGACTCGACTCAGCGGCTCGAGAACTTTGGGGTTGTTGCTGAAGATCCGGAAGGTGACCGGTTGGTAATACTCCTTGAGGTTCGGGTCGTCTTTCTTGCTGCTCTTCTCGGCGGTGGTGGTGCCGGCAGCAGAAGAGGTGGGCTCTTTGTCTGCTGCAGCTTTTGTGCTGGTTGATGTCGCGGTCAGGTTGGAGGCAGCGCCCGCTTCTGCGTCGGGTTGCTCCCCGCCTTTTGGCTTGTCGCTGCCCTCTGTCGCTGCTGGTTTCGATGGGTCGGGTTTGCCGTCCTCAGCGGTAGCGGTAGCGGGCGTGGGTTCCGAGGCGGGTCTCTCTTCGCCTTTATTCTCAGGCTCTTGCTCTTTCTCTTTCGCTGCCTCCTTGGGCTTCTCGGCTTCCTTGGGTTTCTCTGCGGGAGGTGCCGGGGTCTTCATCTTGTCGGCTGCCTTTTTGGATTTGGACTTGGAGCCCGATTTACCCTTTGCCCTGGAGGATGGTTCGGAGCCCGTCTCCAGAGGGAATGTGGCGTTGCGGTCCACTTTACGCACGAGCAGAAACGATGCAAGCACAGTAGTTCCTCCAGGGAGCCATTCTAAGATAGTGTACTCCGGGAAGAGATAACGGTCTCCAGACCCTGCGTGTCCGGAAGTACTGCTACCATAAGGAGTCAGAGGGGAGGTAAATTCAAAGACAACGGACTTGTAGTTTAGCCTTGGAGGCGGGGGCGGGGGCGGCGCAGGGCGGTAGTATGGAGTCGGTGACCCGTACTTGGGCGGCCGAGACTGGATTGCGGGTGGATGACCTTGATAATGAGTTTGTTGATATTGCTGTTGGGAAGGACCTGCGCGGGACCCAGTCGCCTGAGCTGGTTGTGGTTGCTGCTGCTGCTGCTGTTGCGTAGGCGCGGGACGTCCTCCTGGAGTTGACTGCTTGGTGATTTCTACAACTGGCCCTGGCCCTGGCGTAGCAGGAGGAACGGAGCTTTGCGGGGTGGCAGGGTGAATTTGCGGGACTGATCCATGCTCATGCTTGATCGGTTGCGCTTTAGGGCCTTGTGGGGTTGGCGTGTGAGGTGTTTGTGACGAAGTGCCAGGTTGTACTGGTGTACCGGAGGATGTTGAGGGCTTGGAAATCACTTCAACGCGCGGATGCAGTTGAGCAGGAGGCTGTGTTTGCGGGGCTGGTTGAACTGACTGCTGAGGAGGTCGTTGCTGAGGCGGAGCTTGCGGCGCCTGGTGCGGCGTCTGAGGTGGCTGTAGAGGAGGTTGTTGTGTTCTAGACGTGGTTTGCGAATGAGCAGGGGTTAGCGGCATCTGTTGTCTTTGTTGGAGCTGCTGCTGTTGTAGTTGCTGTTGCTGCTGTTGCTGTCGTTGTTGCTGTTGTTCCCTCGCTCGAATGATAGCGTTGAGCTCATCTATATGAGCCTGGAAAGCACGCAGTTGCTCTTGGGACGCTTTGCTGGAAGCTACCACCCGCATCAAGGCCTTGAGGTCCGGGTCGGAGGCGGCGCGGGTTGCGAGCATCTGAATGACTGGGTCTGGACTGGGTTTCGGCGGTTGAGGGGGCTGCGACGGCTGAGGATGATGTGAGGGAGATGGTCGCTGCGCTGCTTGAGTTCCGGGAGGAAGCCGAGGAGTGTGTTGAGGTGTTCGAGCAGGATGCGGTGAGGACGGATGGCTAGCAGGAGGATAGCCGGACTGAGGCGTACCCGGAGCGGCCGGTGTTCCGTGAGGAGGTTGTTGATGTTGCTGGGGATGCTGCTGTTGCTGTGGCGGTTGTTGTTGCTGCTGCTGCTGCTGCTGCTGCTGACGAGACTGTTGTGACGGGGTGGGAGCATGCGGATATGGATGGTATTGCTGAAAGTTATTAGGGTGTCCGTAATGGACCATCGGGCGTTGAGGTGGTGTATACTGAATCGGCGGCGGCGCATTGGGGTCTTTCACCGTATATAGCATAGCATCAAACAGATGAGGACCGACCACGATGTTGCAAGCTCCAACCTTGGACATGCTCTCCTTAGGCGGGTTTTTGCCTTCAATCTGCTCCCTCTTTGTCTTCTTGGGCTTGGTCCAGTACCGCTCCAGAATACCGTCGCTAAGCCATTTCTTCTTCGATCGTTCTAGGGAGGCCAAGAGAACCGCGCTGCATGATAGTCAGTCATTAGAGTATGCCCCTATACGCGTATGCTATTGCAGCGTCCTCGCGGAGAGTGATTCGCACCTTTCCGCGATCGACTGATACTCCTTCGAGGAGAGGTCCTCCGGCTGCGGATTTGGCAAAGTGGGGAGACCTTCTCCATCCTTAATTTTGGTAGGCAGAGGATTTTCAATGACCTCTGGCTGTGGAGGAGGCGGCGCTGGAGCAACAACGGGAGTTGATGCCTTTCGTTTCGATGCTTGTTGAGGCTGAGAAGAAGATCGAGGCGCGGCTTCGGACACCCGTCGCTTCGCCGCGGGTTCGCGACGATCGCGGGCAGACAGCCTGCGTTTTTCGGCCATGAGAAAGGTATCACGGTGAGGACTAAAGGAGGTAAGATGTATGCAAGTGCCCGCTACAATAGAACGAGAGCATTGCGGAAAGAAACGATGTGGAGATGACAGGAGGAGTGGAAGAAGGGGTTGTTTGCGGCGGAGGAGAGAAAAACAGCCCGCGAGATGGATTTGACCCAATCGGGCAACCGACGGCGCCGCCTCTCCGCCTCCAACCTCCGCGTACTTCCACCTCAATTATGTCCTCACAGCGTCATTGATAGTCTACTGCTCAGTATTCCATCAATTGAATTGAAGTGAAGTGAACCGAGTCTGTGGCCTGTCAGTTCAAGGTCTGCCGGGTCTAATTCCTACGATACTCGTTGATGGGAGAACCCGCTAAAACCTCCTCGTCCTTGAGCCGCATCTATACAAGCACAACAAAAGGTACGTCATGCAGGTCTGGATTGATGCAATGCTATGGCGTCGCGGATACTAACGGTATGCTCTGTCTCAGGTCCTCGAGAGATTATGGCTGAGCTTCAGCCAATCTTTCGAAAAGCCTTCTGGTCGCTGGCAGCCAGTGGCTTGTTATATGCGTTATTCGTTTTTGCTCTTACATTTCCTGTCGTTCAACGGTTGTATGTTTCTGCTGCGGATTTCGCAACTGGAAGGACTCTCAGCGCAGCTGACATTGCTACTCTTCTACTGTCAGTGCACTCTATGTCCACAAAGTAAATCCTACACGATGGCAAGATGTCAACCTCGTCGAGTCTTTCGGGTTCCTGAGTATGTCGCCTTCTCGATCAAGGCTGAATTGGATCTTGCTGACATAGCGACAGAAACGCAGGTACAACCTTTCAACCTGGCTACTCCTGACAATGAAACACTCTATGCTTGGCATCTTCTTCCTTTGCACTTGTGCAAGGAGCATGAAGATGAGCTGCATGCGAACGAACGCTACGGCCCAGCGGAGGACTATACCAAGACTTCTGCTTTCAAGCTCCTCGCCAATGACCCCAATGCGAGGGTAGTCGTCAGCTGTGAGTTCCACCAAGTCTCAGCTGGCCCTCTAAGTTGCTTACTATCGCGATTGCTTGATTCAAGTCCACGGCAATGCTGCCCACCTCGCATCTGCCCAGCGACCAGAGATCTACCGGCAGCTGCTCGGTTTATCCACCCCATCGCAGCCCGTCCATGTCTTTGCGATAGATTATCGGGGCTTCGGGCTCTCTACCGGCTCGCCAACAGAAGAAGGTCTGATCACCGATGGAGTCGCTCTCCTCAACTACCTCACCGCAGGCCCGTTCAGGATCCCCCCTTCGCGCATAGTCATCATGGGCCAGAGCCTGGGAACAGCCGTGACCGCCGCAGTGGCTGAACGCTTTGCATTCGGATCCTCAGATCCAGCTGCCGCCCAACCCACCCTGAAGGACCCCGAGCCCTTCGCCGGCGTGATCCTGCTGGCATCTTTCAGCAACGTCCCGAGTCTCATCGAATCCTACAGCCTGAAGGGAATCACTCCACCCATGCTCTCGCCTCTCTCCGCCTATCCCGGGATTAAAGACTGGGCCAAAGGCCATATCGTCGACCGCTGGGACACCGCCGCCCGGGTTGCGCGCTTGTCGGGCGTCACCAAGACCGGCAAAGACCATCCATCCCCGGCCTATGCAGAGAAGGGGCTTAACATGTTCATCGTGCATGCAGCCAACGATGTCGAGATCCCCTGGCAAGAAGGCCGACGCGTCTGGGCAGCGGCCACCGGGGAAGCTGTCCACGACAGCCCTGGAGAGGTTGTGCTGTCCAAGAAGGACTCGAGCGGACCCACTGAGGTCCAGATCTGGGAGAGCAGATCTCATAGTGACAATACGGTGATCAAAAGGGTTCGCTGGGAGCGTGTGGCCTATGGAGGTAAGTCAATGGGATCCAAGCACAACTCCTGGTTGCAGAGGTCTCATTTCGATGCTAATCTTTGCCTCTAGGACACAATCGCGTAGCAACATTTTCAGTCGCCGCTCTGGCTGTGTTGCGAGCGTTTGATGGGTGAACCAGATTAATTGGTTCTAACTCGAACCGTCTGCCAAACATATATCACACAGTGGAAGCGGAACCACCACAGTGTCCGCTGAAACGTATGATCAAACAACACATCCCGCACCAACAAGGCGCTGATATTAGATTATGCGTACGTAGAACGTACACCCAAGACTCGCGTAGATTTTTTTATCATAGCTGGTTTGGAGAAGTGCATTCGGCTCTTGGGGAGAATCTAGACACGAGCTTAGACAATACAACTGCAGCCTTGGAAAGTACAAGCGTGGCAAGGGTTGAGAGACATCAGGGAAGATCCATCATCTGTGATATGTCATATGTCTAACCGCCTCATAATCGAGGTACATAACATATCTGATCAGTTTACATGTCTAACCTGATCCATTCGGGAGAGGAGATGATTATAACGCAACTAACAGAATGTATGTACAAATTGTGTAAACCGAGTCCAAGCCTTTCAGCCGGGCGTTGCATGCCAATGTGATCTCTCAGAGACGTTTCTAAACACGCAGAAGGGTAATCTATTTTGCTTGGTAAATAATACATGAGGCCGAAGTATTCTGGACAAGAGGAAGAGACACATTATTTTCATATTCAAGCACACACGCGCGCTGGACCATTTCGGGGTGAATCAGGTATACAAGGAAGAAGGCGGAGCTGGAGCGTGGTGGATTGGTAGCCAAGCCCCTCGTGTATATGAGGGCGGGATCGAGAGTCAACGTGACCCAGACCCCCGCGCGATGCATGAGAGGTTCTCTCCCTGCAGTCGAGTGGACGCGGTCGAGAAGCGATAAGTCGCTTACTTCTTGTGCCTGTCGGCCTGAGCCTTCTGGTATTTGGCAATGAGCTCTTTCCTACAGGGTTGATTAGCACGTTTGATCCTCCATGCTGCAGAATGCAACGTCTATGGGCAAGGGTGAACTTACTGAAGGTGGCCGGGGGCCTTCTCATAGTGGCTGAACTCCATCGTGTACTCACCCTTACCCTGAGTGGCAGCGCGGAGATTGCTACTGAAGCCGAACATACCGTTCAGACTGCAGTCAGCGTGGACGGTGAACTCATCTACACCAACTTCGGAGTCGTTGATGGTAGCGTTACGCTTGTTCAGGAGAGAGATGACATCACCCTGGAACTCAGCAGGGGCGGTGACAACAGTCTTCATCATAGGCTCAAGGATCGAGGGGTTGCTTTGGGTGAAGGCTTTGCGGAAAGCTTGCTGAGTGGCGTTCTTGAAGGACATTTCAGACGAATCGGTCATGTGAGTAGCACCATCGTTGATGACCATCTTGGTACCAAGGACCTTGTGTCCAATAAGAGGACCCTTGTCACAAGCCAAGTGGAAACCTTTCTCACAAGCAAACAAGAACTTCTCGGAAATACTTCCACCGACAATCTGTTCTTCGAATTTGTTCTCAGTCAGGTTGCCGGTTGGCTCCATCCAACCCACGACGCGGGCAAAGTCACCAGGACCACCGCTCTGCTTCTTGAGCAGGTGGTCGAATTCGACATGGCCGCCGATGGTCTCACGGTACGCGACTTGGGGAGGACCAGTCTCACAGTCCACCCGGTACTCACGGCGCATACGCTCGATGTAGATCTCCAAGTGCAACTCACCCATACCGGAAATAATAGTCTGTTCGCTCTCCGAGTCGAAGTGCACACGGAAGGTAGGATCCTCTCTCTGGAAACGGGCCATAGCCTTGGAGAAGTTGGCGCCATCCTTGTTGTTCTTGGGCTTGATGGAAAGAGAGATGACGGGTTCAGGAACGAACATAGACGACATGGTGTAACCCAGTTGACCGTCAGTGAAAGTATCACCGGAGGCACACTCGACACCAAACACAGCGCAGATTTCACCCGCTCCCACCTCGGTGACATCCTCCATCTCGTTGGAGTGCATACGCACAATACGAGGAATTTTCACCTTCTTATCTGTGCGGGCGTTGAAGACGTTGGCACTCTTGCGGAGGGTACCCTGATAAACACGAATGTAGGTCAATTGTCCGAAGTTGCTTTCTTCCAGCTTGAAAGCAAGACCGACGAACGGGAGCGAGTTGTAAGGAACAAGCTTCACAGAAGTTTCGTTACGCTTCTTGTCGAGGGCAAGGTTTTGCACCTCAGAAGGGTTGGGAAGGTAGTCAATGACACCATCAAGCATGGGTTGCACAGACTTGTTGGCGAGGGCTGAGCCCATGAAGACAGGGGTGAACTTGAGGCCAATAGTAGCGCGGCGGATGGCCTGTCTCAATTGGTCCTCCGTAGGCTCGACTTCGCTGAGGAAGAGTTCTGCAATCTCATCGTCGACGTCGGCAAGAGTCTCGATGAGCATGCGCCTGCGCTCCTCCACAACGCCCTTGACCTTCTCCGGAATCTCATCCTTGACCACAATGTCTTCACCATTGGGTCCATGGTTGTAGAGAGCCTTCATCTGAAGAAGGTCGACCACACCCTCAAACTCATCTTCAGCACCAATCGGGACCTGGACAGCAGCAGCAGGGATCTTGAGCTTGGTGTTGATCTGATCGACGGCCTTGAAGGGGTTGGCCCCCATACGGTCCATCTTGTTGACAAACGAGATTCTCGGGACGTTGTAACGTCTCATCTGACGATCGACGGTAATGGTCTGGGACTGGACACCGGAGACGGCGCACAGAATCATGACCGCACCGTCGAGAACCCGCAGCGCTCTCTCGACTTCAATGGTGAAGTCAATGTGACCTGGGGTGTCGATCAAGTTAAGGTGGTACTTCTGCTCCTTGCCATCCTTGTCCTTCTTCACCCAATCACAGAACGTGGCAGCAGACTGAATGGTAATACCCTTCTCACGCTCCAAGTCCATGGAGTCCATCTTGGCTCCTACATTGTCACGGCCACGAACTTCATGGATAGCCTTGATACGACCGGTGTAAAAGAGGACTCGCTCGGTACATGTTGTCTTACCGCTGTCGATGTGCGCCTATTAATTCGAGGGGGGAGTGTAAGTAAGACGTATACAAGCGCAGCCAAAGATTGGGAATGAGGATCATACAGCAATACCAATGTTGCGGAGTTGACCCAGGCGTGCCGCCTCAACGGGGTCAAGATTGTCAATAATAGCTTCCTGCGACAGAGCCTCCGGGTCGGCAGCGGCAGCCTCAAGGCTAATTGATTCAAAGACACGAGTCAGTTCAGCGCCTTCAGAAAGATGAAGAGTAAGGATGGAAGACAAGATCTGAAAAAACTCACACAGCACTGGCAGTGGCGGATGCGTTCCTCCTCTGTTGGCATTGTTTGTTGAGGATGGACTGATAAGCCGGAGCAACAGTGGCTGATCGGAAGAGAGCGGTGGAAGCGCATCTCCGCGACAGGAGGTTCTGAGACTGAAGACGGACAGGAGTCCTGGCCAAGCCAGAGAAAGCACGGTGTGGCAACCGCGAAAGAGTAGGAGAACACCTCATGACTGTGACCGACAACGACGACACCGAGACTGTGAAATGGAGCGAGGCGCTGGGCTGTCTTTGCGGACGCCGAAAAAAGTTCGGGGAAGAAGCCAGGCACGCGGTCACGTGCAGACCCATCGGCTGATCTTCGCCGATTCTATGCAATCGTATTGTAACTACATCTTATCGATAGCCCGGCACCTTGAGACCCTGTCCGTCCATTTCTCCCATTCGTGTCTATACATCACAATTGGGGGCTGGTCTGGAATTCCAACTTTTTAAATCAAGTACTAGTCTGGAGAATACTTACAAATTCACTCTCTTCTTCAATAGAGAAGACAATCTAGAGCCATGCGAAGAGTACTCAGGCCGACCAATGCTGTATTAACATTACGGATCATTGGGTAACGTTTCATACGAATACGCACCCCCAAACATGCTTACCGCCTTGCCTTCCGCCACCCATTGTCCGACCAGTCCATCCAGTCCATCCAGGCCAAATAGAGGCATGCCTCGTATGTCATTCTCATAAAAGATAGCCGCTGATTCAATCTGTAAACAATGCGGACTTCATTGCAACTCCTGGCGTCAATCTCTAGGACTCAGCCCTCCAAGCTCAAAAAATCCACCATTGGCCTTGATCATGTCAGTAGTCCCTTCAGCCCGCGAAAGAAATGTGTCTCGCTAACCTTGAATATCCGTCAATAGTTCATTCAAAGACAAAGAGTTTTGGCTTTTTGGCGCGAGATAGTTAGAGCACTGAACTGTTCGTCTGAGACTGCTTCTAATCTTTAGTTTGTGATTTGACTCAAGTTTTATCAAAGCGATCCCTAGTTCATCAACTCGCGATGAGCTGCGCAACTATGCCCGCAATGAGTTTGAACGGCACCGCGAGGTGACAGACTTGGTAAGTCCTTCGCACAGGTACAACAGGCGAATGTCTGGCTAATAGTGGATAGCAACACATTCGATACCTGCTCTCAGTATGTTGGCCGTGTCGGTTGATTTCTCTCAATGCTAATAGCAAGCAGACTGGCAAAGCTGAGTTCGAAACAATGAGGCGATACCTTGACGAGCAAATTGTGGGTTAATTGAACCAACTGGTATTTGCAGTGCGAGCAGTAAAGAGTAGCTGGCGGAGAGTGTGCATTTTCCTCGAACAGTGAGAATGTTGTTTTTATGTACAATAAGGATAGATACCCAGATTAATTGGCAGAAATGAACGAACAACCGCAAGAACTTCCCCCCTTTTGGTGAGATTACTTCTGCCTCGACCATAGCTCCATGACAGCAGTCAACACTCCGACCGACTTCTCTTCGGAAGGCTCGATGGCCGAACGAGCAGCGTCCTGCTCAGAGGTCGGCTTTCTCTGGCCTGCCTCCTTGGCCGCGGCCTCAATGGCTGCGTGGCGCTCACGCCAATCCTTGTCCTCCTGGTCTCGAATCTCCAACTCACGCAGCCAGGCATCCCGCTTTTCCTGGCTCTTGCGTGCCTCCACGACCTGCTCGAATTCCTTGCGTTGCTGGCGCTCGGTTTTGTAGTACATGCCTCCGGCGACCACGGCAATCAGGGTGAAGAACTGGGCGTAGATACGGGCACGGAACATCTTATTCATCTCAAGCGAGTCGCCCGCCTTCATGGATCGGTAAGCCCGGTAAAGGGCATAACAGGTGGCCGCACATCCTGTTTATCAACCCTGCCAGTCAGACACATTTTTTGTGAAGACAGTTACTGGTGAAGAAAGCAAAACATGGTGACGTACCGAGCGGAATAAGCGGTTCTTGCTTGAGCCGCCTGCGGAACTTCTGCAGCGAAGTCTCCTCCTGGAATTGACTGCACACGCAAAGACTGTTAGCACGTCACTGCCAGCTGCAACCGTGCAAGAACAAAGGAAAAGGCCTCAGAACATACGGGTTGTCGTCAAACGAGGAAGGTAGGGGCTCGCTCATTTTTGATAGTAGTATGTGGTGATTTGCAACGAGATTGATGAGATGGTAAAGTGCAGGCAACCTCTTCCAGAAGACAGTCCGCTGCCGGGATAGGAGGATAAGTCAAAGCTGGGCAATGACTGTCTAGACTTTTCGCCTCAAATTTGCCTCCGTGGATGATACGGGGGAAAGGCAGACGTGATATGGGTGAATTGTGCCAGAGGTGACATGACGTCGCAACGAACCTTGAGATAATTTGTGTATTGTACCTTACGCGCAATTACGGTAAAACTCGGTAAGATACAGTAAAAGCCTTCCTTCCCGCCAAGCTTATCAGGCCGTATCTATGCACTAAGTTTTACCGGTAGATGATCACAACAACAAACATCAATCAACTCTTTCAAAGCCAGGATACAAGCCACAACAACAACGGCTCAGTTCGACAAGCAATCGCAAATAAGTCGTACTAACTGAACCAACAGAAGCCTGTTCCGATCAGACCTTAGTCATGTCCATATTCAGGAACCTTGCGCAACAAGACCGCTGGATTATTCAAGGAATGCAAGCTGCTAGAACCCGTAGACCATAGTAGGCCAAACGGGTATAAAATGATCAGTCTAATAATCCATTGACTCTCATACTATGGGGGTACGTTATAATTGGCCACCTGGCTCAGACTTCGACTGTCCTCTGCGTTCTCTAGGGTCCACTAGCCATCCATGGCTTTACACGGGGAGGGGACATTGCCCCATATTCAATACAGATCGAAAATCGTCTGCTCAATGCAAAAGGAGTTTGATTTGAGTAACTAGGACGGGAAATGATAGAAGGCATCTGATTTAGTCCAATAGTGGAATATACGATCATTCAATAGCACTTCTTCTGAATATCTATTGCCATGCCAATGAATACATTGCATTGTTTAGGGCTGGCTGTGAGGGTTTGATGACATAAACTTTTCCGCTCCGATCACGGAATTTTCGCTCCTCCCCGCGGAATCGAAAGGCTGATTTATCCATCACAGTTAGTCATTGCGACGGCGACTTTTTCTCTCAATCTTACTTCCACCTGGTGCTGGCGCTTCATTTCATACTTTCTGCTTTTTGACTTCACCACGTTCATTCTCTGCGATCATCCCACATTGTATCTTTTGAAATGCCCAGCGAAGTATATGAAGACGGCGTGGCGACTCCGGCCTCTGCCAAGGTAAGCAATCTCACCTTGACTGAGTCCGCGCTCGCAACGCCTGCTTCAGAAAAGGGGGATGACTTGGCTGCCCACAACTGGGGCATCCCCGACGACTATCTACTGCCCAATGGCTATCCTGATGTAAGCGCCTTGAAATCTCGACTCGTTCTGCTCGAACATCTTGCTTATGGGTTTGCTATCCACAGTACCTCCGATTGATCTTAACCTCTCGTGTCTACGACATTATCGACGAAACTCCTCTCCACCATGCCGTTAACCTGAGCAATCGCCTGGAGTGCCGTGTGCTTCTTAAGCGAGAGGACTTGCTCCCCGTTTTCAGTTTCAAGCTTCGTGGAGCATACAACAAGATGGCTCACTTGACACACGAGCAACGGTGGAAGGGTGTTATTGCTTGTTCTGCTGGTAAGTATTTTCCTGCAGCAACAGGAGTACGCAGCAAAGGGACTCATGTAGAATTGGTTCAGGAAACCATGCGCAGGGTGTCGCCTACTCTGCCCGTCACCTGAAGATCCCCGCCACCATCGTTATGCCCTCGGGCACCCCCGCCATCAAACACCTGAACGTGGCCCGCCTGGGCGGAAGCGTCGTTCTCCACGGTGAAGACTTCGACGCGGCTAAGGACGAAGCATACCGCCTGCAGCAAGAATACGGTCTTACCAGCATCCCTCCCTTCGATGACCCTTACGTGATCGCTGGCCAAGGAACCATTGGTATGGAGCTCCTGCGCCAGGCCAACCTGCAAAAGCTCGAGGCAGTCTTCTGCGCTGTTGGTGGCGGAGGCCTAATTGCCGGAATCGGTGTTTATCTCAAGCGCATTGCGCCCCACGTCAAGATCGTCGGTGTTGAAGCTCATGATGCCAACGCCATGGCTCAGTCTCTAGGCTCTGGATCCCGCGTGTTTCTCAAGGAAGTGGGGCTGTTCGCCGATGGCGCGGCGGTCAAGTCTGTTGGAGAGGAGAACTATCGGCTGGCCCGCGAGGTCGTCGACGAGATTATCCAGGTTTCGACTGATGAGACGTGTGCTGCTATCAAGGATGCCTTTGAGGACACTCGGTCTATCATTGAGCCGGCCGGTGCATTGGCTCTGGCCGGTCTCAAGAAGTACGCCACCATGTATCCCAGCCCCGATACCAACCGGGAACTTTGCGCTATCACTTCTGGTGCGAACATGGACTTTGACCGTCTGCGATTCGTCGCTGAGCGTGCTGCTCTGGGTGAGCGCAAGGAGGCTCTTCTGAGCGTCAACATCCCCGAGAAACCGGGCGCATTCGCCAGACTCGTCGAAGTCATCCTTCCTCATGCAGTCACTGCTTTCAGCTACCGATATGCGCACGACGCTTCGGCCGATGTTCTTATGGGTATTTCCTTGTCTGCTTTGACCGGCCAGGATGATTTGGCCAAGATCATGACTCTACTCGCAAAGGATGGTATGAGCGTCAGAGATTTGAGCGACGACGAACTTGTCAAGCGACACGTGCGCTTCTTGGTCGGCGGACGTAGCAACGTCCAGAACGAACGGTTGTTCATGTTCGAGTTCCCTGAGCGTCCTGGTGCCCTGGCCAAGTTCTTGACCACTCTTCGCCCCAACCAGAACATCTCCTTGTTCCAGTACCGCAACTACGGTGGTGATGTCGGAAAGGTGCTTGCTGGTATCCAATGCCCTGAACCTGAGAAGGAGGAGCTGGAGGCTTTCCTGAAGGACTTGGGATATCCTTTCAGCGAGCACACCGACAACCCCAGTTATCACACCTTCCTTCGTGGTTGAGAGATTCTTTCTAAATTACTGATATTTTTTCGTGCTGACTTGCGAGAATGCTTAATGAGGGCTTTTCATTGTGGTCTTGTTGTTTCCTTGGCGTTTTTATTGGGCATATTGTCGATAGAGCAGGTTTGTTCTTGATTAGTGTAGGTATGCTAGGCATCATTCCGTACATAGACTTCGTAATAACATCATTTCCATTTTAGATGTTCTGTTCTGTTCTATCAGAAAAGCATAACTTTCTCGTTCTAGAGATGAAGCCACCGATTAGCTGTACGGAACCCCCGTCCAATCAAAACGCGACCATCCGTGGCCGCTATCGGCTGTCGGCGAAACAGAAAAGCCGGCTAAAATGCTCCGAAGGGATTCCGGACGATCAGTAAACGGCCGCACCTTGGGGGTTCGAAAGTCCGCGATATCCTCTGCTACAGCTTCCATATTTGCATCCAAGACATAGCGGAGTAGAATTATCCCCTTCCACCCCGCTCTCCGACCAAACATGATGTCCGTCCGCTCTTTGCTCGGCGCCTCGACCGGTGCCCTCCGCCAATTTCTCCCCTCCTTGTCCCGCAAACCCGCCGGTCTTCTTTCGCGGTCATTCTCGCAATTGGCAAAGCTCCCTTTCAGCAATGGCCTTCGTCTACTGCGCTCCGGAAAGCAGACGGGTGTTGTTAGCGCGACGTTGAGACAGATTGAGCAGGTCCGCGGGATGAAGACACGGTCTTCGGTCAAGCGGCTGTGCGATGGTTGCAAGGTAGGATATTCGCTCGACGGAGATGGGTTTGGGAATTCGGAGTGCACTGCGAGTGCGGAAGGGCTCTCAGGATTGGTTATAACCGGCTAACGAATCTCTCATCGCAGCCCGTGCGGAGAAAGAACCGTGTCTATATCATTTGGTAAGCGCATCTCTCAGCCCTCAATTCTCCTCTCTACCTCGTGAATCTAACACGAAGCGTCTCCAACAGTTCGAAGAACCCCAAGCACAAGCAGCGTCAAGGCAAATAGACCAGAGGGGATGAATCCTATCTCACTCAGGAGCTCGGAGACGACCCTTGTGTGTACTTCGAGTAGGGGGTTTACCTACGTTGAGGAAGATGGCGGAAAATCAGGTCTCACGAAAACAACACTTTTGCATTGTATGCGGTCTCTCTCATGGGTGAGAGTTGGATGCGTGGATCACAGGGCTATAGGCTGTCGGGGTCTTGACATTGGGAAGAACCGTGCATATTCATGGGATACGACCAACTGGTTGGTTTAGGCGCTTTCCTTTCTTTGTTGCATTTTTGTTCTCCATGTACATTAATTCGGTTCTATACACTTCATTCCTCCTTCACTTTGTGGGTGTAGGTGCAGCTAGCTGCGTGATTTGCACGCAGATGTCAGTTGGATGATGCTGGCTACCAGTGCGGCTGAGTCAATCGAGGCATCTATTCAGGACTGAGATTTAAGTCTTGATGATGAACTGCAAGGGGGGAAGCCCATCGTCTAGACTCCAGGGAGAGTCCAGTGTCTCAGATGTTCTGCGCCCAAATAGTCAAACAAAATCCCCTGCGATGCAGACTGCAATCCTTGTCGCATGACTCCATAGGCCTGGATAGGCCTGGAATGCAATTCACGTGGATGCCCAGACTTTCTGTCTGGGAGGACGTGAGGACCAAACAATTGACAGCGAGACACTCTTCAACCGATCTGCAAGTCAATCACCTTAAGACTTGACTCTCTGAGAAACAAATAATTGTAACAGGATGATCCCCAGCCTCGTCGTGATCTCCATCTCCACCCTCATCCTCACCCCAGCAGCCACCGCAACCACCCTCTCCTCCACATTCCCCTCCACGCGCATCGCCCAGCAAGTCTTCGACGGCGACAATTTCCTCAAATATGATGGCATCCGGGGCCCCTACGTCGATCGCAAATCCTACGGCATCAGCCGCGACCCGCCCCCGCAATGCACCGTTGACCAAGTAGTCATGGTGAAGCGCCACGGCGAACGATATCCTGCCTCGGGCGAGGGCCCCTCGATCGAGGTAGCCCTGAAGAAAGTTAACAGCACCGTCCAATCCCTCGAATCCGGGAAGGGCGACCTGGACTTCCTCCGCGGCAACTGGACTTACTATGTGCCCTCGGACTGTTACGAGGCGGAGACCTTCACGGGGCCCTACGCGGGCCTCGCAGAAGCGTACTCTCATGGACAGCAGTACCGTGCACGTTACGCTCACCTCTGGACTAATAACAGCAGCAGCAGCAGCGCGCCGCTCGTGCTTCCGCTTTTCGCGGCGGAGTATCAACGCATCATTGACACGGCCAGGCGGTTTGGGGAGGGGTTTGTGGGTGAGGAGAATTACTCCACGCAGGCTGCTATGAATCTCGTCTCGGAGTCGAGCAGCCGCGGCGCAGACAGTCTGACGCCCTCGTGTCATCAGGATGATAGCACTGCGCGGGATAAGTGCAATGCGTATCCGTATCGTCTCCCGCAGTTCGATGCCGCTGCGGAGCGGTTGAATGCGCAGTACAAGGGGCTTAACCTCAGTTGGTCGGATGTCGTTACGCTGATGAGTTAGTATATGAGATGCTTCATGGCCGTGCTTTGCAGGTACTCGAGCCACACGATAGGACTGACTGAGGAGTCACGCGATATAGCAATGGCGGCGTACGAGCTCAACGCACGCAGCGAGTCCAAATGGATTGACGTATTCACCACGGACGAATGGGTCAGTTTCTCGTACATTTGGGATGTGAACTTCTATTATTGCGCCGGGTGAGTTGGGCCTCCCGCTTCGGAATTTTTAAACTTGCTCGCTAGGTAATACCTACTGAGACATCCACTGTCCAGCCCAGGCAACAAGTACATCCGCGCTGTCGGCGCGAACTACCTCAGTGCCTCGCTCTCGCTTCTCCAACAGGGTCCCTCAGCAGCAGGATCTTTGTTCTTCAACTTGTATGCAACCCATGACCCATGCCCCATGCCCCATGCCCCATGCCCCATCCACCTGTCCTGACCGGATAACCCCCTTTCTAACTACATAACACCGACAGTGCCCACGACAGCAACATCTCCCCCATCATCGCCGCCCTCGACATCGCCAACCCCCCGCAGGACCTCCCCACGGACCGCGTCGCCTTCGACCTCCAGCAACACTGGCGCATCACCGACATCATCCCCATGGGCGGCCGGCTGACCATCGAGCGGCTGAACTGCAGCGCGGGGTCGGCGCTCGGCGCCGCGGGGATCTACGTGCGGCTGGTGTTGAACGAGGCGGTGGTGCCCCTGCGGTCGTGCCAGGATGGGCCGGGGTATTCGTGCTCGTTGCAGCGGTATGCGGAGTTTGTGCAAGGATTGCCGGTGTTTGCGGACGAGTGTGCGGTGCCCCCGGACGAGCCGCAGCATCTGGATTTTTGGTGGAATTATACCACTTCTTCGAAAGAGAATTGGCATCGGGGGGAGAGATGTAATGGGCTTGCTTAGGGGTCCCGAAGTTGTTTCTGGGCTTGATATTTGGGTGGATTGTTTCTGTCTAGTAGGTCATATGGTCGTGACAGGAATGTCACCAGAGCTTGCGTTGGCTGCATATTATTTGATGGTAAAGGCGTGGCCGTACAACTGGCAGTCGCATGTGCACACATTAGAGCCCAGCACTCGTCAGTACCGTCCTCCCTATTTAGGTGTCGTAGCAGCCGACGTCTTTCTCGCTGAAGGTGACGGCTGATAGTTCGGGTGCATCGTTTTCAGATGTTGATTCAGATTCCACCTGCGAGAGAACCCGTTATGATGTCGATCGCAGCTCCGGATGGGACACACCAGGTCGGCCTTGCGGTGCTCGCCTTTGCCCTTGGGACGCACCGTGTCGTCGGCGGAGGCACTCGTAGCTCGGGATCTCGAACCCCCCTTGACGGACGTCGCTCGCGAGCGCGGTCTTTTGGATGATGCTCGTGATACCGGAACAGACTCGGGTTCAGGTTCAGGCTGCTCAACTTCCGGATCAGCCTCAGAATCGGACTCGCTCTCAACATATTCCCAGGGACCGAGAGCGCCGTCTTCCGCCACCTCTTGTCGGACTTTGCCTTCGTGAAAGGTCCGGAATGCCATGTCTTGGCCGAACAGATCCGCGCACCGGCGAGAGGCCCGCATGACCACCGCGGCAGGGAACCCCGTCATGGATGCGATCCCCAGCACCTCGCTCCAGTCCCGCAGCCCAAGCCGGACTCGGCTGACGGAGCGTCGGCCATCGCTGCTGTGGGAGCGGCCGCGCGACTGCGACGAACCCTGCGAGCGCGAGCGCTGACTGGACGTCGTCGCGGGGGAGGAGATGCGCTCGCTGGAAGCACCACGGCTGCTGGAGAGGCGAGTGCTCTGCGATCGAGGAGGGCCGCTGGATTCCGAACTCACCGAGGACCGCCGCGTGCGTTTCCTCCCTCGCGACCGACTTCTCTCTTTCCCTTTCCTCTTCTGCGACTGCGCCGAGGACGCGCCCGAGCCCACACTGGCGGTGTCCGTCTGCCATTCGCTGACGGAGCTGTCGTCGTCTCGCGCGAGATCGCCCTGACGCGCCCGATAGAGGCCCATGAGCAGCGTGTCAAACTGCGTGAGGATATTTCTGGTTAGCGGTCGGAGCTGCATGTGCGACTTCTCATCGTCCGCCTGCACCACCGGCCGTAGAGTCACGGGTTTCGTCGTCTCCTGCTCCTCGATATCCTCACTGTCCCAGTCAGCGGCACTCTCCTCCTGGGTGCCAGTCCCAGTCCCAGTCTGCGACATGGAGGACTTCCTCCTGCGGCGCGGCGTCATGGCGTCCGTGGCAGGTCTCGTCTCCCACTGCCGGGCATTGAACCTCTCCTTGGCGGTCTTGAGCATCACCGCCATGAGCGATTCCTCCAGCTCAGCACTCGGCCGTGGATCCGGCTGCTGGCGCAGCGTCCAGACATCATCGACTGCTCGTCGGATCAACTCCCCGGGCCGCGGCACCTCCGCCGCAGGCATCGGCCATGCCGTCCACCTTTTCGGCGGCGCAAACACTTCTTCTTCTTCGTCGTCGGCGTTCCTGGTTTCCTGCCCGCGACCACCAGCAGCCACGCGCCTGGCCATCGCCCTTGCTCGCACCCGCAACGCATACGCGTTGTACAAATGCGCCGACAGGTCGCGTGCCCGGAGATCGATCAACGCCTGCGCGTTCTGTCGGTCTTCGGCGGTCAATTTTCTCCACGTGGACTCGAGCCCCCGGAAGCGGTTGGGTCGGTACTCGTCAGCACTGGGCGACGAAGATGGAGCACGAGGAGCTTGTTGTTGCCTCCTTGGTTTTGCGATTCGCATGTCCGTTTGTTCTTGTACTGCATCATTCCTGACAGCTTCTTTCGCTGCATCCTCCTTGCTCTTCAAACCGGCCTTCGCAGCCCTCCGCCCTCGTCGACCACCATCCCCCTCATCATCCGACTCTTCCCCTCCACTATCCATATAAGTGAAATCAGATTCATCTGAGAATGTCTCGCCAAGCGGGGGAAGCTCGTCCTCCTCCATGATCGTATCTAGGAGGTCTCCACCATCACGATCATCATCAGCAGCAGCAGCAGCAGCATCCGCATCCCGCTCTGACTCCGAAGCATTCCCCGCGTCCTGACTGCTATCGCCACCGCCAAAGATAGATTGGTATGGCTGAGCAGATTGCGGGGGCGCGAACCGCGGAGAACTGGGGTAGTAATTTGAGGAGGACATTGTGTTACCCTCTTTTGTGTAGTAACACAGAGTTATCACTCAGTGGGTGGTGTTTTGTTGCTCTTGTAAAATGTGGTTGTGATTGTGTTTATAGTGTAGTAGGTAGTGATGGATGAATCGATTGATTGGTTTGTAGCTCGACCCGGGAATGTCACGGAAAAAGTTTAAGGTGGATGAGAGCATCAGGATTCCTGGGGATTTCTTCTTCGAGTCCAAGTTCCAGCTTGGTCTATATACATTATTGTCCCGATTTGGTCTGGATTATCTCCCTTATGGGCGGGGAGGGCGGATGGAAGTTGGTACAAGTGGTGGATGTGAGGGTGTGAGGTGTAGAAAATGTCGAGGTCACGTGATGATAGGGTTGGGCCATAAAATGAGAGATGCGGCGAGTTGACACTCAATGGGGTTTAAGATGTCTGTAGGAGGTTGTGTCATGTCTTCTTGAGCGGTGTTAGACAAGCAGCGTACAGTAAATCGCTTACAGCTGGTAAAAGGTGGTCGGACCACTGATCAACTACAACTTAACATCCGTGGATACGGATCGAACCAGGACAAGGAAAGATAAATCCATTCGATCAAATCACTTATGCAAGACGCCAAACACACAAAATAAAAATCTCCAATACCCAGCAAGGATATCATCAGTCTAAATCCACTTTTTTAAGCACCAGACCCTTTATTGCTGGCCGGCCTTCTCCAACTTTCTCCGCTTCGAGCGTAGCTTGGCCGCCTCCTCCTCCTTCTTCTTGTTCGAGTACATCATCTTCTCCAACAACTTGCGCTTCTTGCGGCTCATCATCATCTTCTGTCGCTCGAGCTCCTCCTCCTCCTTGCGCTTCTTGGCCGCGATCTTCTTGGTCTGCGACTTCTTCTTCGTCTCGCCCGTGGCTCCGGACGTGAAGGGGAGACCGGCGGCCTCGGCCTCCAGCTCCTTCTGGTGCTGGGTGCGGGCGGCTTCCTCCTCGTCCTCGGACTCGGAAGCGGCCTCGTTGTCGTCGAATCCGCCAAAGTCCTCGTCTGCTTCCTCGTCTGCTTCCTCTTCCTCGCTCTCGTCGTCGTCGTCGTCGGTGCCGGCGACGTCCATGCCACCGTTGATGTCCGACTCTGCGTCGCTCTCCTCGGCCTCGGATTCTTCCTCTGCGGCCTCAGCCTCCTCCTCCCCGGCCTCCTCCATCTCCTCGTCGCTGTCCTCTTCCTCAGCAGCAGCGGCTTCGCCTTCCTCCTCCTGGTCAGCCAGAGGAGCACGGGGGTCGTAAGATCCCTTGGTGGGCTTGACCCACGGGCTCAGGTGCGGGGGGAGGGTCTCGCCAGGCGCGTACAGGTCGGGACGGAGGAGCTTGCCCTCGTTGATGCAATCCCAGACCCACTGCGGCTGGACGTAGGTTCTACCGGGGATGCGAGTACCCGGTCTCACCTTCTGGACGGCGCCCTCGGCGGAGGCGGCGGGCACGGCGGGAAGCGACTCTTGGGGAAGGGAGGGACGGTCGACGATCTGATGGGTGATTCTCGTGTCGGTCTCGTCGTGCGTGAAGGCTCCGTCACCGAGAACGGCGTCCCAGCCGATACGGGAGCAGCCGAAAGCTCGGAGAATGAACTCCAGGGGTGCCTTGGGCGCTTCTCTGGAGATGTAGAAAACGAAAGGCGCAAACAGAGAGCCGGCCTGCTCGCCGCTCAGATCGGGTTGGGGCAGGGTATCGGCCTCGGGGGCAGCGGGCTCGAACTTGTCGATGGCGTCGGTCGCCTCCTCTGTCGTCTCGGCGGACTGTTCCTCCTGGGACTGATCCAAACCGGCGCTCTGGATGACCTTGTCTACCTTGGCCTGCACGTCGCTGGAGACTTCCTGGGTGGCAGACTTGCTCGCCTGCTTGCCGGAGTCGATGGCCTTAGGGGCGTCGCCGACCGAGCGGCCTTCGAGGGTGAAAGCCGCCAACTCCGCACCATTCTCGTCACTGCGGGTATCGAACTTGGGAGGATATCTGAGACCGAGGCTGGAGTACAGGCGGTAGTTGACGAAGCCAAGCAGGGTGGTGTAGAACTCGACAAAGGTGGCCATGATGCGGTAATCGACGTCGCCGTTGACACGCTGCACGAACCGGTAGGGAACCAGCCACATGATATCCTGACCTTGAATGGTAGCCTGGTAGTAGATACCCTTGATCGAAAGGAAGGATTTCCGCAGAGAGTTGGTGGTGATAAGGTAGTGCTGGAACTCGTGGCAGAGGCGCTGGCACAGAGCGATGGTCTTGGGGGGAACGTGGGCGGAAGAGGGGAGGTTGGCGAAAAGGAAAAGCAGGGAAAGAGCATCGTCCAGATCTCTCAGAGCGTCGATGAAGGTCGGGTAGCGCTCCTTGATGACATGGTCGAGGGTAAGTTTCGGCGCATGGTTCTTCTCCAGGCGAGAAGCATCTCCGACCTCTCCACGGCCAAGGGAGCGGGCGATCTTCTTCGCAAGTGCCTTCTGGTCGCGGAATTTGCGGAGGAGAGGTTCGTGCAGAAGGTACTGGATATCCTTGGTGTAGTAGAAAGTGGTGTTGGGGGTCGCAGTCTTCGAGGCCTTCTTCTTGTTGCGAGGCTCACGGGGATAGATACCTGTCAGACAGAACCACAGCAGTCAGCATGAGAGCGGACTCGAAAAGCACATAGAGAAAGTGGTTCAGCCGAGATGTCAGTCATACCCTTGAAGATACATAGTCGACGGAAGTCAGGCAGAGAAATCTGAAGTTTGCGCACTGCCTGCGTTCTGGTGATGTAGTTTTTGGCCTGGCCAGAGGTTCCTGCGTCTGAAGTTAGCGCAGACTACATCGCAGAATATAGAAAAAGCATGCGAACCCTTCTTCTTAATTTTACCCATTTTTGCAATGAGGAATTGGTGAAAGATGGAGGGGGGAGTGACTGAAAGGTAGATGCGATAACCAGAAAAATCGTTGGTAAGTTTTTTTTTTTTTCTTTTCTCTTTTGGAGCAGCGGCGCGGACTTGGTCCGTGCACGGCGGAAAAGGGAAATGCGCGGAGGTTCCAGTCCAGTCCGCCAACCAGGCACGTGAAGCCAACAACAACTCACGACCAACTACTGACTATCTGCCTTCGATTCTAAGCTACCTCTACAATTCTGGTCAAAGGTTTATGCCACTCCCGGCATGATCTGATTTCTTTGTCTTGACACGAACCAGGATGGGGGTTGATCGCAGAAAGGCTGCCGTTTTTGGTGGTGCTTTTGTGCTGCGACTTCTGCTGCTGGTGCTGTTCCCTTCGCTCCCCGACTTGTTGACGGGCAGAGTGGAGGTCTCAACGCCCGTCACCAGCTTTAAACGATGTGAGTGATCTGTATCCGCTCGAGCTAGGCTGTTCGACAGCAGCTAATGATGCGCAGTACAAGAGGGTCTCTTTCTTTACACTCGCAATGTTTCCCCCTATGACGGAGGCGTCTTTCACCAGGTACGGCCGGCGAGTAACGACCACATGCGGATGACCAGGCTGACGATGTGAAGGCGCCCCTCCTTCTTCCTATATTCTCTTTACTTCCAAGCTCTCAAGGCTTTCCTCTTCCGACAGTCGTGCTATATTCCTTGATCGATCTACTCAACGCAAATGCCTTGATCACAATCTCGGAGTCGGGCTGGGCAGTCTCGGGGCGTTCGTACTCGGCCATACGCAAGCATATTAGATGGGATGGGGTGACAATTGCAGCATGGTATGGAGACTGAATGGGATACTTGGAGGATTTTTCGCCATTAACATTCTGGTATCAGTTTCTTGTTCAACCCTTTCACCATCGCAACCTGTCTGGGCCGTTCCACCGCGGTCTTCACTTCGGCGGGAATCCTCCACGCGATCTCCAGTGCTGTCACGGGAAAGGCCTTCAACTCAATGCTCGCCTTAGGCTTTGCCTCTTACCTCTCGATCTATCCGGCGCTGCTCTTCATGCCGCTCATGCTTCTGTGCTACGACCAGCGTGCGCAGACAGCTCAGACATTCCCCAGCACGACCGTCTTCGCTCTGCAGCACTTGGCAGTCTTTCTCCTGAGCATTGCTGGCCTGCTTGGAGTATCAGCCCTTCTGATTGGCGACTTTAGAGCGTTCCTCTCGGCCACTTATGGATTTCAGTTGCTTGTCCCGGACCTCACGCCCAATGTCGGCCTGTGGTGGTACTTCTTCATCGAGATTTTCGACTCGTTCCGCGAATTCTTCCTCGGTGTCTTCTGGCTACACCTGGCCTCCTACATGGGCGGTCTGACGATTCGGTTGCGCAGACAACCGCTATTTGTGCTGAGCTCCCTGCTCGGGATTTTTGCTGTCTTCAAGCCCTATCCCAGCATTTCTGATGCGTCGCTATACTTTGCACTTCTTCCGCTCTATCGACACCTCTTCCCTTGTAAGTAATGCATCCGCGGTGTGTTCTAATTTTCAGCACTAACGATGCACAGTGATGCGCTATACCTTTTTCGCCGTCTCGGCGTTGCTCTATGCCACGCTTCTCGGCCCGGCGTTCTATCACCTGTGGATCTACGCCGGCTCAGGCAACGCCAATTTCTTCTACGCTATTACTCTCGTCTGGAGCTTAGGACTTTCGATCTTGCTGGCGGATACCATCTTTGCCGCCCTCCGCGACGAATGGGAGTACGACAACCCCGACGTACGGGGGAAAGATGTGAAGCAGGTGTAAATTATTTCCACTATTTTTTAGGTAGACTATATCAGTCGTGTATTTTTGATTTGTGGTTCGTCACTCTCTTCTATAAACCCGCGACAAGATGCGATAATCCGGGTCCTTAACCGTCCCATTCCTCAGCCTGCGCGGCCGCGGCGAGCTCTCATCGACCTCGAACCCCAGCCGCTCGTAGAAGCGGATCGCCGCCCCATTGGCCCGAAAGACCGTCAACATGGCCTTTTGCATGCCCACCCGCTCCCCGATCCGCAGGAACACCCGCATGAGCTGCGCCCCCAGCCCTTGCCGCTGCACCGCGGCCGACAAATGCACCTCGTAGCAGTAGACGACTTCAAACCCGTCTTCGTAGGTGACCATGAACGAGAGGAAACCCAGGACGTTAAAAGTCGTGTCCGCGTCGTCAGCGACGTCCGCCGCACCACTCCCACTGGTGGTGGCGCGCCGAAGAACCAGGTACTTCATGTCTGGCAGCTTCATCTCCTTGCGCTTCTTGGGCGGCGACCATCCAATCGAGGAGGCTCGGTATGCCTCTGCAGAGGTCGTCTCGATGAGATGGAAGCATTGCTCGAAGAGCGGGTCTGGGATGGTTGATGCGGTGAAGATGTCAATTTTGTACTGGTGCTGTTGCTGTTGCTGTTGCTGTTGTTCGGATGATGAGGGTGGAGGTGGATGTGGTCCGTCGGGGCTTGAAGAGCCATTTGTAATGCCTAGATCTTCATTTTGGACGTAGAGGCGAGTGAATTCCTCCAGGGAAAGGCTGTTGGTGCGTTCGACTAGGGGTTCATTTGTGGGGGTCGCTGGGGGGAATGGGGTTTAATATTGTTTGCGGTTGTGCAATACAGACAATTGCAACTAAAACAGAGAAATTGGGGAGACTTACTGGGTTGCTCTGGCTGACGTGTGGTCTGCAGAGGTGGAGTTGCTGGCTGGCTTGTCTTGCGTGATGCGCGTCGGGACCCCCGTTTGCTGGGCGGTTTGCTTATACGGTGGGAGTGGGTGGATGTGGGCATCACGATTGAACGTGAAAGGTTATGTGTTTGCAATCTACAGGGTGAGTGGAGGAGATGTTGGATGTGGGTAGAGTCTTCTATTTATGGACTGGGATAGGGTGTTTTGAAGCTGCGTGGTGGTGGTTAATCTCGGGATTGAGGGATTTTGACTTGGGGTGTGCACTTCGGATGGGGTTATACTCTGCTGCTGCTGGTTTAGTTCCGTGCTGCATGCATGTCTGCACCACCTTCCTTTCAATCACCTGTGGCATCGTCCAAGTGGTGCTAATCGAGGGCAGACTTTGTTTATATATTTTTTCCCTCGCTTTGACGAATTCATGTCACCATGAAAAGAAGCATGTCTTTGGGTGTGCTGGCGCCTGTGCCGCAATATATTCCCCACTTGCTTTGACTACAAACACCACACCACTGGCAGTCCTGCTGATCGTTCACGCTACTGCCTTTGCTTCGCAGCGAACTCCTCCGCGCGCCTTTCAATCTCTTCGGCTCCTACCTCTTTGAAGACATCTATACCCCACTGGAACGGGACTCCAACTCGCAAGTGGCGATCCAGTCTATTAAGTGTCTCGAAAACTGGTTCCGGGATGATGAAATCTACAGCCCGGCGAGTCAGACCGGGATACGATCATTTTGCTTGCAAAGTTGGATGTACTTTACCTTCGAAGTTGCTCTTGATCCGTGAGGGTGTCACACTCTTGGACAGCACGGCAGTCCCACGTTGTACGGCCCAAGAGATCAGTAATGAGGCGGGTTCCTTGTTCAGCGATTTCGCCAGCTCCTTGACGAAAGGGTCATCAATCACACTGTTTGTTTTAGTACAGGACGACGCTGGAACATCAGGGGCAGTGAGCCTACCGTGGAAGACCAGCAAGGTTGTTACCAAGAGGGCTGTATGCGATTGGGAGGATATCCTGCAGTGGATTAGCAATGCTCGCAAGGTGAGGTCAAGCACCGGGCATTTACCTTGTCTTTGAGATACTGAGTCAACTCTGGCTGCTGCAGATAAGGGTGCGCCTCAATCTGGTTGGTGGCCGGAGGAATCTCCGCAGTCTGCAGGAGCTCCTCGAGATGCTCCTGGGTGAAATTGCTCACTCCGATACTGCGGACTTTGCCTGACTTGACCAACTTCTCCATGGCTCTCCAGGTCTCCGCGATAGGGACATCGGCTATCTTGAATCGTTTGGTGATCGGGTCGATTGGCTTCAAGTCTTCCCCGGCATACTCAAACGAAACGGGCCAATGGATCTGTCATCTTTCAGCAATAGCGTCCATCGATGAGAGCAAGGGAGATATCGCACCAGGTATAAATCCAAATAGTCAGTCTGGAGATCTTCCAGGGTCTTATCGAGTTGTTGTTCCACATGCTCGGGGCGATGATGTGTGTTCCACAGTTTGCTCGTGAGCTGGTTGACCATGCATTAGGAGTCGTCCGAATCAGTCGAGGATTATTTAGTTCGAAGATCCGAAGACTTACAAAGATCTGTTCCCGTGGCACGCCCGACTTCTTCCAGCCCTTGCCAACCTCGTTTTCATTCCGGTAAATAACGGCACCGTCGATATGACGGTATCCTGTTCGCAAAGCCACCTCGACTGCGTCTTCCACCTCGTGTGGTTTGGACAGCTGGAATTGTCAAATTTAACTCTGTGATGTCGGAGCTATCGACACGTACCCAGGTACCCAGTCCCACTGCGGGGATTTCGTAGCCAGAGTTGAGCTTAAAGGTGCGCCCGAGAGACATTTTGTTGGAGGAGGTGGGGAAGATTCTCAATGACTATACGGAGTAGAGGGGAGGGTAGATGGTGCAATATAATTAATCTCACTCCACGGAAGGATTGGGCTAGAATGATTGCAGTAATTACTACTTAGTTAGTTACCCCTCCATCTGTCATCTTCGTCCCGCGGTGTGCGCACCGATCTTCATCTTCGCACCACTGCCGATACAATAGGATGTTTTGATCGATATTCATCCTGCACAACAAGGATTGCGCCATTTCTTCTCGTCAGTGAGTCCCGTGCATGTACTCTGTGAATGCCACAGTTCACACAATGGGAAATGAAGTGAGATTCGGAGGCCGTCACTGTACTGACTATACTCCGAAGTACAGAGTGATAATTGAGCTACAATTGCCCCGCCAAAAAGAACCCATAATAGCCTTTGCAGTCACAATGCAACTTCAAGAGTTACAACTACACAATTCTAGGTACGTCCCGTTTCAAGAGGGCTGTTGCGGCCGAGTTTGCAAGCAATAAATGCAGTTGGCGCGAGAGAGCGACGAACCTTAACTTGAGTGGTGGGGCAGACTTCCTTCTGCATGCCATTCTCTTTTCTTTTTCTTTGCTCCATTTGTCTTGAGGCGCTGGACCTCAGTTCATGGCCCTACATCTTTTTTTCTGTGATAATCGCTAATTGCCTGTGTTTCGATAGCCTTAACATGTATCTGTTATCCGGCATGACCGGCTGCAGTGCCCCTCACCCGGGCGTTCTAGAAAACTCGACGATGGAGGACGATCCCCACTCTCCCGCGCCTCGTCTTGAAGCTCTCCTCCAAGATCGTCTCATATTTCTCAGCAATGAAGATCCATGTTGCAAGAGTTTCGCGACCACTGATTCGCCAGACAAGCAAAATGTCTCCGTCTCGGGCGGTTGTCGGACCGTTTTGGAAGGGTAATGCTTCAAGTATGACTTTCATGACTGATTAATCATACGTCTCCAGTTGTGGTGGAGCTCGCCCTCTTACGTCAACCGTACAGAATGGTTCTCCATATAAATACCTCCCCCCACCGGCAGATTTCTCCAGTGCCGGTGAACCTCCAGAAACTGTCGATCATTGTATTTGCTCACTTCAGATACCTCATTTCTACAATATGGCTCCCTCGACTCAGAAGCAGTGGACCGTCCAGAACAAGGAGGATGGCTTCAATGCCCTCAAGTTCGCCGATGCGCCTGTCCCCAAGGTGGGCGAGAACGAGGTTCTCGTGAAGTTTCACGCTGCCTCGCTGAATTACCGTGACCTGATCATCCCTCAGGTATGGCCGCATTATACGGGGTTGGCTTCATTGTGATGCTATTGTACCATGAACTAATGATCGGACGATTCCTGCAGGGAACTTATCCCTTCCCTCTCAAATTCCCGGTGGTGCCTGGCTCCGACGGTGCCGGTGAGGTCGTTGAGATTGGGTCCAAGGTCTCGCAGTTCAAGAAAGGAGACAAGGTCGTCACCCTCTTCAATCAGCTGCACCAGTACGATCCCATCGACCCGAAAGGCACCAGCTCTGGCCTTGGTGGAGTGATTGACGGCACTCTGCGTCAGTATGGAGTTTTCAACGAGAACGGCCTTGTCAGAGCCCCGAGAAACCTGAACTACCTTGAATCCAGCACTCTCTCGTGCGCAGCGCTCACCAGCTGGAACGCCCTCTATGGCATTAGACCTCTGGTGCCTGGACAATTCGTGTTGGTGCAGGGAACTGGCGGCGTCAGCATGTTCGCCTTGCAGGTGGGTATTTTCTCGAGCATGAGATTTCTTTTTTGAGAAGCTGACCACATGTAGTTCGCCAAAGCCGCTGGTGCCACGGTTATTGCTACTACCTCATCGGACGAGAAGGCTAAGAAGCTGAAGCAGCTGGGCGCCGATCACGTCATTAACTACAAGACCGAGCCCAACTGGGGTGAGGTTGCCCGTAGCCTCACTCCTGATAACGTCGGTGTCGATCACATCGTCGAGGTCGGCGGTAGCGGCACCCTCGAACAGAGCTTCAAGTGCATCAAGTACGAGGGTGTGATCAGCATCATTGGATTTGTGGGAGGTGCCGACCCCAAGTCGCAGCCTCCGGTTCTCGCGACTCTGAGCAACATCTGCACGGTGCGGGGTATCTATGTTGGCAGCAAGGCCATGATGAACGATATGGTCAAGGCAATTGAGGCCAATGACATTCACCCGGTTGTGGACGAGCAAGTCTTCACTCTGGAGAAGACGAAGGAGGCCTATGAGTACATGGTAAGCTAGTAATTGCTTGGATTGAGTGTGGTTGAATCGTCGCTAACGGAATGAACAGTGGGCCCAGAAGCACTTCGGAAAGTTGACCATCAAGATCGAGTGAATCACGTCCACGGCTACAAAATCTAAAACGAGTGTATGAGTAACTAAACGTATAATTCATTAGTTAAAGAATGAGAATTATTGTGTAATCCAAGCATGCATTGATACCTTAAGTAAGCTTAGTTTCCCCTCACCGCATCGCCACCTCATCATTCGGAGCTTCCGTCTCCACCTCCGCATTATCCTTCCTTGCCTTCGCGCCATCTTCCTTCATGAATCCAGACATTGCCGTGTATTGGACTCATCCAGGGCCACTTCCAGTATTGAACCCACTCCTAGCCAAGGTCTTCGCACAATACCTTAATTCAAGCTGTCATAAGTAGTACTCGATGCAGTCCGATACCAGATATAGATCGACTCTCCCCATTTGCGGGCCCGATCCCAAGTATATCAAGAAGTCCCAGGTCAAGTTCATCCGACCAGCGCAGATGAGCTTGTTCGCTCGAGTAACAAGCTATCCACCTTTAGGTCAGATAACTTGTCCCAAGGGTGCTGAGCCGGTAAGCTTCCAATGAGAACATCCAAGAATTACCGATCTGAACACTAACAAGCACTAGTTTCGCTTTACGGTGGTTCTGGAGTCGAGCACTACATTCCCTATTCAACCCTGGGAAGTTCACGTATGGCACAATATCACCGATGATGGAGACTGGACTGCACTGCCGCTCCAGAGATGCGACTCCTCTGTTGCACCACTCCTCAACAGCAATGCCGACGAGTACCACTACTTCCGTAACGTCTTCTCCGGCGAGATCGGGTCGCCTACACATGCCAGGCATGCTCAGTTCACCGTGAGGTACCGAGTCAATCCCGATGCCGAATGGCAGTGGGTCAACCAGCAGCAACACACCAGCGACGGGGAGATTCTCTTCCCTTCCGAGACGCGGAGTTTTGACTCGGACGAACCAGCGTCGGCGGAGGATTTTTCCGCTTACTTTGAGAGTCTCTCTGCGCATGTCGATGTACAATCATGCAGGAGCGAAGCGCCCGGATCGAAGCTCTGGCGTGTTACTGGGTCAATCACTGCGGCGCAGGAGGGTCAGTCTGGCTTGACGACGTCGACGCTCGGGGTGCCGGCTTCCGTCGTGCGGTACTTCGCCCTGGTGCGGATCTGGAGCCCGTGGCTTGGGCCAAGGCATGGGAAGGGAAAGTTCGCGTTGAGCGAAGATGCAATTTTGTGTTCATTTCTGCGGACGGATGGGGTTCATGTTGTTCTCTTAGGGGTGTCAGGGCTGGATAATGTTTTGACTTTATTTGGGTCCGATGACAACGGAGCTGTGGTGGTCAAGTCTAAGAACGACAACCTGCAGGAATCCAAGTTTCAAGTATTGGCTTCCGCTGCACATGATTTTGAGGTGGCCATGAGTGCTGTTATCTACGAGGCTCGGAAGTTAGTACGCCCTTTTGCTGAGCAGACTGAATCGCCGCGTGTGCCCACCCCAGTGTCTCCGCCCGGGGATGATATAGTGCTGGTCGAGAAGGATGTCAAAGCTCAATGGCTCGCCGAATGGTTCGATGGCTTGACGTACTGTACCTGGAACGGACTTGGACAGGACCTGACGGAGGAGAAAATTCTTCGTGGGCTGGATTCGTTGAAGTCGCATGGCATCAAGATAGCCAACCTGATCATTGATGATAACTGGCAGACCTTAGACAAGGATGAGTCTCAATTCAGGAGAGGATGGAAACAGTTCGAAGGCAATCCCGATGCTTTTCCTAAGGGCTTCAAGCAGACGATTCAAAAGATCCGGAGTACTCACCCGAACATTGATCATATCGCAGTCTGGCATGCCATGCTCGGCTATTGGGGCGGCATTTCCCCCGATGGTGAACTCGCAAAGAGATACAAGACAAAGAGAATAGAAATCACCGACCCAGCCGCAAGGGGCGCGATTGCGCACGCCTTTGACCGAGGGTCGATATTGGCCATCGACCCCGATGATATCCAGCGATTCTACGACGACTTTTACAATTGGCTCGCGTCCATCGGTGTCGACTCAGTCAAAGCCGACGCGCAATTCTTCCTCGATCTCATCAAAGATCCAACGGAGCGCAGAAGATTCATCAATCCGTATCTGGATGCCTGGTCCATCTCCACATTGAAGCACTTTAGCACGAGAGCAATTTCGTGCATGTCGATGATACCCCAGGCAATATTCCACTCCCAGCTGCCAACAAACAAACCGACCATCCCTCTCCGCAACTCGGACGATTTCTTCCCCAACATCGAATCATCCCATCCGTGGCACGTCTTCTGCAATGCCCACAATGCACTCTTGACACGGTACCTGAACGTCGTTCCCGACTGGGACATGTTCCAGACCAGCCATGCTTACGCCGGCTTCCACGCCGCGGCACGCTGCGTCTCCGGGGGCCCCATCTACATCACCGACGAGCCGGGCAAGCACAACATCGCGATCATCGACCAGATGACCGCTCCGACCGTGCACGGGGCCACCGTGATCCTTCGGCCGGGGCTGATCGGCCGCACGCTGGACATATACCACGACTACAACGAGGGCCACGTCCTGCGCGTGGGCACATACACCGGCTGGGCCCGCACCGGCAGCGGCATCTTAGGCTTCTTCAACATCTCCAGCGCCGACCGGACGTCGGTCGTCAACTTGCTCGACTTCCCCGGCGTGCACCCGGACTCCACGGGCGAGTATATCGTGCGCGCCCACACCAGCGGCAGGATCGCCGAGAATCTGAGTATCTCCGACACGAAGGCCTTGGTTTCTGTGGAAGTGAAGCACAGGGGCTGGGAGATCCTCACCGCGTACCCGACGTACTCGTTCGGATTGCCGCGCAGGCACAACCCCCCTGCCCCTACCCCCGGAGACCACCACCTGACCACCACCACCACCAGCAGCACCACGAAAGTCGCAGTCCTAGGCCTACTCGGCAAAATGACCGGCGCCGCCGCGATCGTCAACTCGGACCTCTACGTGCAGGACAACGGACGTCTCCGGGCGGACATCAACCTCAAGGCGCTGGGGACACTGGGGCTGTATTTCTCTGACCTGCCGGACTGGGATATCGACGCGAATGTCATGGTGACGATCCTGGGGAAGCCGGTGCCGCGGCGGACCGTCTGGAAGGAGGGTATCTCCCAGGGGGAGAAGGAGGAGGAGGAGGAGGAGGAGGCCAGTGCCAGGGTTTTAGCGGTGGATGTGCTGGCGGCGTGGAAGGAGATGGGATTGAAGCCTGGTTGGAGTAATGAGGTCCTGGTGGAGGTCTTTGTTGGCTGATTGGTTTGTATGTAGGCGGGAGTGTGGGTTGTTCTACCCCTGCTATTTCCTGGCTCGAAATGAAGTTGAGTGCTGGATGTCTAACTGGCGTCTGATTGTTAGTGTATACTGTCTTGGATGCGATGTAGCATGGCTTGGCGGTTATTGTGGGTTGAAGCGGACCGATCTGGGGGTCCAAGCGATATCTTCAGCATAACTAGATAAAATGCATGTTCACTGACTCAAGACCTTTCTACTACCATCTCAGTTGGAGCTGGCTTGTGAATAAAGGAAGGAGACCACGTAGATCTCCGCTAAATACGATAATAGAAACCATTCACTCACGCTCTTGAACACAACGCAGTAGTATTATCAACTCCCGCAGAATGACTATAACCTAGGTATGAATCGATTATGAAACAATTTGGAGCATATTACAGAGACAGACGGAAGAGCAATTCAGAGCAGAGGAGAGCAGAATAAAACCCGAAAACAGCCTGACACACAACACATTAAAGCCAACCTTCCCAACCCAGCATCAGATGATTCAACTCATCCAATCCACAATTAGTAGTCGCCCGTGGGAATCGCCCCACCGGCAACAGGTACATGCTGTCCATGAAACCCAAACCCCACGGGCCCATCCACCCCCGCCCTGCCCAGCACGGACAGATCCCGCGCGTCCAGACACAAGAGATAGCTCTTGCCTGCGTGCCCGTCCAGCACGACACTCAACAGCACCCCGTCATCCTCGTTGGTGCCGTTGGGGTCCGCCACGAAGATCGGCTCCCCGGGGGAATGTGCATGCTGGGCCCAGATCTGGGGACTGTCCGGGTGGTCGCTGTCGAACTTCATGAGGCAATCGAAGAAGGTGGACTCGCCGCGGCCGCCGACGGAGTAGGTGTATCGGTGGCGGCGGGTGACGTAGTGGGGGTTCATGGTGGGGAGTTCGGGGGAGATGGGCTTGCAGGTGCTGCGTTCGAGAATGGCCTTCTGCGGCGGGGGACTGGAGGTGGTGGTGGTGGTGGTGGTGGATGGAATGAGAGGGAGGCGGAAGCGGGCAATGGTCGAGCGCGTGGTTTCGGTGCGGCCTTGGGCGAGGCGGGATTTGGCGACAGGGCTGTTGGAGAGGAGGTTCTCGTAGTACAGGGAGAAGAGGAAGTCGGTGTTGTCGAACATGACCAGCTCGGCGACGATGTCGATGTCGGTGTCTTTGTCGGTGTCTTTGTCGCTGTCGCTGTTTGCTTGATGGGTGGGCGATGAGGGCTCCTGCCAGGCGTTGATGGTGTGGAAGCTGAAGAATGGAGGCCCGCGGTATATGCCTACCAGTCCCTGGTCACCCTGGCGGTCGATGACATACCACACGGATGGCTCGGAGGCGTCAAACGGTTGGATTGCGTCGAGGAAGCTGTGTTGGGGCGTGTTGAAGGTGGACACGTCGAGGTGTGCGTTCCAGACGCAGAGGACCACGTAGTCCTGAGTGAGGAAGAGGGAGTGCAGATACGCGGGCGTGGCAGGGAAGGTCGCGAGGATCGTGGTTTGGCCGGTCGAGGCGGAGATGCGGAAGACGCGATACGTGGGCTCGGGGAGGAAGGCGAGGTTGTAGTTGAAGACGTCGCCGGTCTTAGGGTCTGAGCGAGCGTGGGAGGCGGTCTCCATGCCCGACAGGTCTTCATGAAGGTTCTGCTGGCGGGCCAGACCGATGGGCTCCAGGGATACAGGGTCTAGCTGCTTGTAGAGGTTGTAGTCGGTCTTAGCCCACAGGCTCTTGATCCCCGTGGCAGTGTCCCAGCGGTCACCGTCACCGGGTTTGGCCCCGAGTCCCGGCATGTTGACTGATAAGGTGACGCCCACGTTCACGGCGGCGGGATGAGGGAACTCGGACTTGTCGGCGGGCTCGTATTCGGTCTGCACCTTGTCATAGACGGCCTTGCATGGGTCGCGCTTTTGACCAAAGGTGATCGATCTCTGTTTGCCGGACTTGCGGGTCTGTTCGATCAGGAGGTCGGTCGAGAAGCGAGAGTTATAGTAGACGCGGAGGGGTTGGTCGCCGTCTGGGGCGACCAGCTGGAAGCGATGGGTTTGACTGTATCCATCAAACCAGTGGCTTAACTCGAGCGTCGTGCCCTGCTCGGTGTCGACCTTGTATTTTCCTGGACCGGTCCGATACAGTGTACCAGCCGTATAGGCAGGGAAATTCCCCTCGACTGCGAGTTCAACCGGCTCCTTGACTTCGAAGTTTGCATCAAACTGGAGTCAAATTAGTCCCGCCAGTGTGTAAATCGAGAAAGAATCACTCACGCCTTGAACGTTGGGCCATCCATTGAAGTGGTCTTCGGTCTGGGTGGTTGGGGTCATTGTCATGATTTCGATCAAAACTCTTTGTGAGGTAGGTAAAATAGAGAAAAGCTGGAATGCTCAATGATCAAGTTGAAATCCCCGAGATCAAGACAGGTATTTATATGTCTCTGACGGAGGCGAAAGATGGCGAGGAAGCGGGGGGATCCCGCTATAGTCGGAGGTGGAGGAATCCCGGCGGCATTTGGAAGCGTTTGGGAAATGCATTCACTTGGTATAGACCGGCTTATCTAATCGGGGCAGGGGAAGTACCTACTTGTAGTAGTAAGAGGTATGTAGTGAATCATGTAGAGCTGTAAGCTTTGGATCATACTATTATTGGATAGTAGTATCTGTTTAAGAAATGCCGAGGTACCTTTGACTTTAGTGAGTCTATCCCAGGAACTTGAACAAAGAAACTGTCTTTTTATAATATCATCATCTTTCTCACGGCTGCTAGCTTATCTTCAGCATGTCAGTTCCCTTCCATCTCGTTTGAGAAAAAGTATTCAATTGTCTGTCGCAACGGCTGCGCGCATAAAAAAGAGAAGAATGCAAGTGTCAGATCTGATATAAGCGCTCAACTGCGGGCAAGTCATTCACCAGTGCTAGTTAGCATATAACTGTTCCCCAACTCCACATGGGTATAAGTTACAGTGCGTGCAATTATAGCTTGAACCGATCTTAGTAGACATAAGCCATGAAGCGCCAGACACCTTTGAATAACCCAGAAAGAATAATTGGCCGTGGTACGGTTTGGTTTGGATTTCTCGGAGCCCGGCGGGATTCCCCCACCTCCCTCCCCACCACTTGCTGACCCGAGATCTGCTTTCCAACTTCCTTTCCCTCTGCTCGCCATCTTGCCCTTGCAAGACCATACTCCATATCCATTCTACCTATCGCTTCAGATAAATACCAGTCGTTTGACGGCAGCAATGACCACGCAGCAAAATTCCCCAGAGACCATCACTCCGCTAACCACCTGGAGCTGTACATCCTGCGAGGCAGTCTTCCACCGTATAGACCACTACAAGCGCCACATCGCCTCGCGTAACATTCCCCACCATAATCCCTAATCCCTAATCCCTACCCTCACTTGGATCCTGTGACTAACCCCCACAGCAGATAGCACAGACAAGCCTTATCAATGTTCATTCTGCCACGCCCGCTACAAACGAGGGTAAGTCCTAACTTCAGTTGTATCGCTTCCCTTCTCCCTCTTCCCCCTTCCCCCTTGCAGTATCCTCAGGCTTAAAAATTGTATTACAAGCGACGTTCTCCGCCGACACTGGAAATCCTGTCCCGCACGCCAGAGAACCGGCCACGCCATTCCCGAACCCCGAACTGGGGGCAAGGAGCGCCATGCCTGCGATACCTGTGCCCGGCTGAAGAAGTCCTGTGACGGCGGGAGGCCGTGTCTGGAGTGTGGGATCAAGGGGAGGGGGTGTACCTATCGACGGGTGGATGAGATTGGTGAAGGGGTGTTCGCGCAGGGAGAGAGTAATAGTCAGGAGTCGCAGGTAGGGGACCCGGAGGTCTTGCCGTGGAGTTTGGGGCCGCAGAATTTTTATTCATTGCAAGCTGCTAGGGCGAGTTATGGGGTTTGACGTGAGGGATGGATGGGGGGTGCTTTGGTGTATAGGGTATGGTGTGGAGGTTGTGTAGAGGCTCTTAGGTTGTGCGGCAGGACTGCGCTGGATACTGAGTAAGTAGTAAGAGTCATGGCGTTCTATGTGATTATTGTTATGGCAGAAATGCTACATGATGATTAAATATGGAGAAAATAGAACTATATTTATAGAGTCCCCACCCGACTCTTGCTACGGAATTCAAACACAACTCAGCTACTTAACTACACGACATAAAACAATTCGTCTGCCCCTGGGTCCCCAACGCATCCAGATACGGATCCGGCCGCCGCAAGTAGTCCGCCAGGAAATTGGCGCAGTGATTGACATGGCCGACATCCGCCAGCATGGTATCCACGCGATCACCCCGCTTGTACACATCATGACCGCGCCGCAGCAGATAGAGACAGTGCACCAAGTGCTCGCGGGTCACGGTAAAGTAGTACCCCTGCTGGTTATTGCCCACCTCGGTGTAGTCCTTCATCGGGTGCTGCGCCTCATGGTCGTAGTAGTATTGAAAGGGCTTGCCATCATTGAAGGTCGCAAAGTCCTCGGCGTAGTCGTGAGGACAGTCTTTGTGCAGCCAGCACGCGGACAGCGGGTCGTACGAGCAGCCCAGCTCGGTGGCTTCGGCGGTGGAGTTGCCGCACGAGAGCGTGGTGTGGCGGTTCGTGGAGAAGCACTGGCGTCCGCCGTTGATGGTCGACGAGGAGGAGGAAAGCTTCACGACGAGAACCTGGCGGAACGGCTCGATGGTGATGGCGGCAATGACGGCGAGGACCAGCAATACCAGAACCAGAAGAAGGCCCGAGATCGTGATGGCCGTCAGGTTCCGCTTGAGGAATTGCTGGATCGAGTGTCGTCGGCGCGAGCCGTGCGACACGGTCGAGACACCATCGCCGTGGCCCTCCGTCTTGGGGACGGGCTCGTAGTTGTGGTGATGAGGGAAGATCTTGTCCATCGCCATTGGTCTCGTGCTGGGATTTGCAGCATTTCAAGGCTTTCTGCCCTTGCGGTCATTCAGGCCATGGGCTGTTCTTTTTTGGCGGGGCAGAGGCATTGTATTTCTATTTGTCTGTGCGAGAGATATGAAGTAAGGACTTCGAGGTATGACGAAGGAGGACCTCAATAAGCGTAGATGACTGAGAATGGTGATCAATAGAGAGTGAAGACAAAGAGAACGAGGCTCTTGGCGACAGGAACCTGACGATGCAGTTAGTGGCACACAACCAACCCATGTGGGACAAAGATCCGCGGAAACTCCCGTTGCAACCAACCAACTCCACTTACTCCTCTGACTCCTTTACTCCAAACACAGACGTCTTGAGACTTCAGATTAAACAGTATTGCTTATTTCTAATATGTTCCAGTCACAACTGATCAAGGCCTTTCTATGATTCTATATTAAAGCTCGTCATGGATTGTTGCCAGTTGCCGCGCCCCAGATATACGCTGCCCAACTGCCTAACGTGAGCAGCATCAATCCGGTGAAACACCCGATCGAGATGCGTCTGCTCCGCTGACAATGCGTCACCAGATGGTGCTCGCGCAGCATCGTGAAAAACTCCGCCCCCAGAGCAAGACGCTTCTTGCGCGACCATTGCAGGGGCGCCAGGTCTCTACCCACATATGCCCCGATGAGCAGCAGGATCGAAACGATGGCGCAGCAGACAGCCAGGAAGAGATAGACCCGCACTGCTCGATGGTAAGAGTCATTGTCTGCGTCTTGAAGTGCACCAGTAATGATACCAATGATAATGGTCATGCTGAAAGAGTGTTAGATCACAGTCTCGTGCGATAAGATGTGAATACATACGCGTTGTTCATGGTCACTTTAAGAGAATAGGCAGACCCAAATACTGACTGGTGCCATAGAGTGGTGCGGATGCCATCGATGATCGAGGTGGGACCCAACGAAACTGCTACCGCATAGATTCCGAATGACGCGGCCGTTCCCTGCTTGGCTGAAGCGAAGTTGACGAGAATCATGCTGATAAACATGCCGAGACCGCATGTGCACACTGTTACGTTACCAGTCAGCTTCCCGCAGCTTCTGGCTTGGGGTGATTGACTTACAAACTGAAGCACGATGACCCAAAATATCGATGAAGACGCCGAGACAAGGAACAAGGAAGAAGCCTAAGTCATCTCAGCAAGTACTTCTTTCCACTCAAGTCTTAAGCACCTACCAGCATACTGTGCCAAAGCGCTGTACCAGCCCGCTGTGATTGCGTCGACATTGAATCTCTTTTCGGCCAGTTCTGTCGCGTTTGAGCTGAAGACACTGGCGGTGCTGGTTTGGAACATTGAGAAAGCCATGATTGCCCAGAACATCCAAGGCAGTTGGAAAATCTTCCGGATCTCAAACTTCTTGTTCTTCTCTGTCAATGTCTCCTGGGTGGCCTTGTCTTCGCGACCCCGGTAATGCTTCTCGCAATAGCGGTTGAAGATCCAGAAGAAGACAGTTGCTGCGTTTGTGAACAAATTCATGAACACAGAGGTCCAGAAGACCCAAGCAAAGTTGCCAGTATTCTGCTTGCATTAGAAATATCATTTTCCGAGTTGGTGAAGCACACCTACTTTGGCGATCACATTCGCAGTGGATTTGCCGACGAATCCTCCAATCTATTCCAGTTAACTTTGTGGAACGCTCAGGTGGCCGTGATGAGTACCTTTCCAATGGCGAGCTCAAATCCAAGAGTGGACGCGAATCCGTTGCTAGGCGGAAACCATGAGGAAAACATCTTGTACTGCGCTGTCTGGGTTGCGATGTCGCCGAGGGCGAGAATGATTCTTCCGCCGACCATGAATCGAAATGATCGCACTGTGGTAGCAGCAGCCACCAAGATGGAGCCAATGGTATAGACAGCGTTTCCATAAACAATCATCCCTGGCATCGGTCAGTGTTGTGGTACCACGGAAGGAAGTCAGAAACATACGAGCACCACCGACTCGATCGGTGACAATGCCACCGGCGAGAAGCAAGAGGGTGGCCATGAAGTTTTCACTCGCTTCAAGAAGGGAGAATTGGGTGTTTGTCACATGCATTTGCTTTGGTAACTTCTCGTTAGGTGATTATTGATCAGAGTTAGCTCAGGGAGGACAAACCTTCTTGATTGTGCTTTTCATGGCGCCAGTGACACCGCTGCTCCAATGGGAGCCGAAGCTGATGCAAGAGATAACGACGACAGCAATCAACTTGGCGACCAGCGGTGGCGGCTGCCTTTCATCTCCATCCTTGGTCTGAGAGACCTCTTTTGACGGGAGCGATGAGATAGACTCCGGCTCCTCGGATACGACCTGAGGGCCGTCCTTTTCCCCGCCCATTTTGCAGCCAGACAAGCTATACAACAGGATGAACCGACGTAAGAACGAAGACTAGTCCTCAATCTCACAAACTTGGAAGGGTTAAGGCAAGGTCGTGCGTGAGACGGTCAGCGTTATAGAAGGCTGCGGCCGGACCTTGGTCGCAAGCCCATCTTTATATGGCGTTCACTACGTCGAGACTACTGTCTTCCCAGAAAGCTCCGGCATTTCGCCGGTTGGAGCCCGTTCAGCCAAGAGAAAGTCAATCAGATTAGATTCTGGCAGTCAAACCATTCCGACCAGGTCTAGTGGGAAGTTTCCACATTCTTTGCGCTGTGATGTCTTGGCTACTCCAATGGTGTCGTATACTACCCGCTGAGACATGCTGATTGGGCAGGACTTGAATCTTGGCGCTGATTGATAAGATTGATAAGCCCCACTCACGGACAGTGTCCGAGAGGATTGAGCAGATTCGTCCTTACCGTTAGAGACGATCCCTCATCGGATGGTCTGGTATGTCTCAGTTGACGGAGATCGGAGGATGCGGATTTTGACCTCCGGATTCGAGCCACTTTCTAGCATGAAAAGCTTTCACCGAGAAAATACCTCCGAAGGTCAGGGACTGCCAGCTTCGCAACTTAACTGTCCATGCTTGCGCAGCACCATGCCACTTGGGATAGGGTTTGGGGATCAGCGCACTTATGGTGTTAGGGCGATACGCGGATCTGTGAAGGCTTCGGTGAGAGGCGATCAAGTCAGGGCATAGCTCCGTCCCTGCCAAGCACCACGCGACCAAAACCTCAGTTAATGCGCCTTCGCACTGAACCTTGCAATAAAACACAAAATATCACCGAGCCAAAAGCCATCAACACACCCAGAAAATTATTGTTTGCTGGTAAGATTGTTCTTCTGAGGAGTATGAGATGGATTCCAAGCCAACTCTGCGAGCCAGGACAACAGCTCCATGGCTTGACGCGCACACAATCAATTAACCTATACGTCAGACGTATCCACCCAGCATAACTACGTAGTCAACTTTACCTCGTGCCGTCGCTTGTCTCGGAGACTTTGACCCAGACGTAGACCCCTCCGGCTCCGCGTCGGGCAAATCGAGCCCGATCTGTGCCGTTAACCTTGCGGCAAACCGCACATCGTCGGATCAAATCGCTTACCCTTCCCGAAATTTCCACGTGTGTGGCAATGTGGATAGAGGGGGGGCCGCTCATATCAGATGAAGTTCAAGTTCCGTGGTACCTCACTTCCTCCGCTGCTGCCGGGTGGATGTTGCCAAGCTTCCGGGCCTTGGTTTTCGTAGGTTCTGTTTCTCGGCGGAGCGACACGGATGCGGTGGTGAGTTACGGTCCGGCTCAGAATTTGATGTCGCGATTTCTGGACTGTATCTGCAGCGAATGGAGGGTTTTGATTGCATGTTAGTGAATCCGGTAACTTTGCTACTGTTCGAGGTCCCGTTGCCGTTATGCAGAGTAGGGCTCAGAGACCTCGCAAACTTGGCATGAAAGGAGCATAAGTTAGCGGGATGTGAGTGGAGCAGGCAGGTTGTAATTCTGTCCGGACTCTGTTTACTGCATGTACTAGTTGAAACTCTCCTAATCCAAGGGCAGATGAGTGGAGGGTTGATAGCTCAATCATACACTACTAGTAGGGCTGGAAATCATCAGGATAATGAAACTCAAACCTCCCCGCCACTAGAGCCCAGTATGTGGCCAACTATCCCCCTCTCTCTCTCTCTCCACCACCACCGCACTATATACCGCCCTATTGTCAAGTACAAATCACCTCCCCATCCACCCCCCATCCACCACCACCACACTCCCAGACACATACGCGCTCGCTCTTCCCGCCAAGAACACCGTCACGCCCTTAAAGTCCTCCGGACTCGCCCACCGGCCCGCCGGGATGCGGTCAAGGATACTCTTTGCGCGGGCCTCATCCCGCAGCAGCGCGGTGTTCATTTCCGTCGCGACATAGCCCGGGGCGATGGCGTTGACCCGCACCCCGCGCGCCGCCCACTCGTTGCTCAGCGCCTTGGTGAGCTGCGCCACCCCGCCCTTGGCGGCCGCGTAGGCGGGCACCGTCAGTCCGCCCTGGAAGGAGACCAGGGAGGCGACGTTAATGATGGCGCCGCGCTGGCCGTGGCTGTCCGGTTCGCGCGTGAGCATGTACCGACCGACATCCCGGGACAGCGTGAAGACGGTCGTCAAGTTCGTCTGCAGGACCGCGTCCCAGTCGGAGTCCGGGAAGAGGTGGCTCGGGTGCCGGCGTTGGATGCCGGCGCAGTTGACCAAGATGGTGATATCGTGGCCGTCGGCGAGGATGCGCGGGACTAGGGTTGTGACGTCCTCTCGGTTGGAGAGGTCGGCTGTGTAGATGGTGGCTTTGCGGTTGAGGGATTCGATGAGGGTTTTGGTGGTTTGGTTGGTTGTGTCTCTCTGAGTATCGATGAAGAAAAACGTTAGTGGGAAGTGTGAGGTGGGTGGGTGGGTGGTGCGGAGGAGATATTCACCTGGACGAGGATGATATCGCTACCGGCTTCAGCCAGGGCGAGGGCCATTTGCTGGCCAATGCCCCGGGTGCCGCCTGTTACGAGGGCAGTGCTGTTGGGAAGGGAAAAGAGGTCCATTGTAGAAGAGAAGTTGCCAGAGGTCATGGATTATAGGTAGGACTTGGTAATGGGGACTTAATATGTGAAGGGGAAATGCGGGGGAGACCCCCACGTTCCTTTCTTCCTCTACTCTGCTTCTGTCCTCCACCCCACAGTCTCCGTCTCTCTCTCTCTCTCTCTCTCTCTCTCTTTTTCTCTCTCTTTCTCTCTCTCTTTCTCTCTCTCTCGCTACCACTCACGAATGCCTCCATCAGGTCCATAGAACTCCTTTGGCAGCCATGGCTCGCTTTCCCCACTGATCTTCCGTACCAGCTCCTCATTAATCTCAATCCCAAGTCCTGCTCCTTTGGGCACCGTCACGTACCCATCCGCAATATCAAACACCGACGCGTCTACCAGATAGCTAGTCAGATCAATATCTCCCGCTTCAACATTGTAATGCATCCCCAGCGACATTTCCTGGATTACGAAATTAGGGGTGGAGGTGGCCACCTGCATTGACGCTGCCAGGGCAATTGGGCCTTGACAAGATGGACGAGTCAGCATATCTCTTGCCACGACACATAGAAAAATCCATCAATCTCACCTAAAGGACAATGCGGGGCAATCGCCACATCATAAGTCTCCGCCATCGTGGCGATCCGCTTCGTCTCCGAAATGCCGCCCGCATGCGCAATATCCGGCTGGAGGATATCGATTGATGCATCCTCCAAGAACCGCTTGGCATCCCACCGCGTGTACAAGCGTTCGCCAAGAGCAATCGGGATGCTGGTCTGCTGGGAGAGCTGCTTGATCGCCTCCGGATGCTCCACCAGCAGGGGCTCTTCAATGAACAAGGGACGGTAGGGCTCGAGGGCTTTGGCGAGCTGCTTGGCCATGGGACGGTGCAAACGGCCGTGAAAATCGAGGCCTACGTCCAGTCCCAGAGCTTTGACCTGCTTGATGCGCTCGATGCACGAGTCTAGAATCGCCGGCGAGTCTAGCCAGTTGACGTCTTCCGTGGCGTTCATTTTGACGCATTTGAGTCCTTGCTCGATACGTGCCTTTCTGCGGGTTGTGAGTGGATGTAGGGGACGGGGCATGAGGGAGGGCTTGACTGACGCAGCTATCTCCACGTCATTGGGTCTGTCGCCTCCGATCCACGCGTAGACCTGGATCTTGTTGCGTACTTTGCCGCCCAGCAGTTGGTACACAGGCACGCCCAGTCGACGGCCTTTCAGATCCCACAGGGCGATGTCAATGCCGGACAAGGCGGACATGAATACGGGTCCACCCCGATAGAATCCTAGTCGCCAGATGGTTTGCCAGATGTGTTCGATGTCGCTGCGAGCAGTGAGCTTGATTCAATGGTGTAAAGGGTTGAGAAACTCACTCTGCTTCATACCCAATCACCCGAGAGATAATCTCGTCCAGGGCCCCCTCCACTGCTAGGGTATGGCCTTCGAGTGTCGCTTCACCCCAGCCGAACTGGCCTTCATCATCGGTGATCTTGACGAACAACCAGCGAGGCTTGACTCGGAAATATTCAATGGACTTGATGCGGGCCATGGCTTAAGGTTTCTAAAATATACACGTTCAAGGAGGAACAGGCCAAAAGATCTTGTTTCATTCTATCGCAACGGATTTATACACGCGTCACCACTGAATGCTCTCAGGGACCCGGTTTCTTCCCCACGCTCACCCCCGCGTGGGGTATCCATAATATGCATTATCGAGCCTGCATTATTGGTGGGGGAAGAGCGCTGATCGGTGCCCCCACTGCAACATTGGCTGCCACTTGCCCCTCTCACCCCCGCTCTGTCGACTGCCATCCCCGCCTCAGTATACGTACCGGAAATTCAAGTTTTGCTTATCCGTGAGATCACTAAATGCCGTCTGATCACGGTCCCATGACGTCGGATTTCCGCGCTGCTGCGCTGCATCTCGCCGACGGTTTTCCCACGCTAGCATGACCCGCAAGATCACGACGAGTGCAATCTCAATCAGGTTGGACACGATCATTGACCAGATCCCCAACTGGTAGCGTGGTGCCTGGTTGGACTTGTAGAAGAACGGACCGGCGATGTTCCCCGCGCAGACCCCGAGAAAGATCATTGCATTGGTGACGACTTTCTTCGTGTGGCCGGCGATGTTGGCGGTCAGAATAGAGAGAATAAGAACAAAAGAGGCATTGTACGAGCCTGTGAGGTAGTAGCAGATCAGTCGACCGACGCGGTTGTCCTCAGCGAGAAAGCAGAGTCCAAATGCGCCTGCAACGTTGGGGAGGAGAAAAAGCACGGTCACGACGCAACGGTGGTTGGGCGGCAGGCGATCGTTGATGTACACACTGAGCAGGATCATCGAGGCTATGAAGACGCCGTAGGGGATCTGCATGAGAGTCGTCACCACTGCCGCTGTTAGTCCCAATGACTCTTACTCTAGACCGACTCAACAAACGTACAGGTTGAAAAGCCAAACCCTGAGATGATCAGAGTTCCAAAATTCGAGATCCCGCCGTTCGGAATGTTGCCAGAGAGGCCCAGGAGCAGGAACACCCACGCCTTCCAGTCGAGTAACGCCTCCAGGACCTGTGCTGGCTTGAGAGTCTTGTTCTCCACGCCTGTCTGGTTATCTCGGAGCCGCTCTACCGCCAATCGTCTTTCTCGCGGAGAGAAGCCGCGCGCCGTAACCGGGGAGTCGGGCAGGAGGACTAAAATTAGGAAGCCCCAGGCGGTACACAGCGCACCTATAATGAGGAATTCGTACTTCCAGGAAGACAATGCACCTTGAATGTGTCCGATGCCGTAGCCTAGCAGTCCTCCGAGGGCGATTCCACATCCGTTAGCGGTATACCACAGGCCGATACGGATGGGTTGTTGGCGTCGCGTGTAGAACATGCTGGTGATCAACATGAAGGCAGGGTCACTGGCTCGTTAGATAAAACCACAACTACCTCAATGCGTGGGTCGTTACCTGCATGATTCAGCAGCTCCGGAGATCACTCGCAAGACGACAAGTTGGGTGAAGTTCTTGGCCGCAGCTGGAACGAAGAGATCAGCAGCATCTCGAGATGAGGAGTCAGGAATACGACTGACCCTGCAACATCAAGAAGACCCCCCACAGGATGATGTTCAACCCGAGGTATTTGGCGACCGGAAACTTCTGGAGCAAGAAATTGGTCGGCACTGCCCAGACAAGGAATCCAAAATAGAAGACCGAGGAGAGCCAGGAGTATTGCTCGCCCGACAAGCCCAGATCATCCTTGATACCAAAGATAGCCGCATAAGAGAGGGTAGTTTTGTCTATCTTTGTTCGGTGTCAGTGGTCTGTTCCTCCGGGTTCATGCTATACTGACTATACTGATCGAGCGACGGGGTGGAAGTGACAGACATAGTAGAAGGCGTAGCAGACGGACAGACAAGGCAGGATTGCCCAGTCTATCTTCCTCTCGAGTCGTTTCAATTCCTCTGCAGCGACGGACTGCAGGTCGTCGTCCGCGGCAACCAGTGCGAGGGCTGTATCTCCATCCTGGACCTTTCTAGGATCTGGAATATTCTCGACATGCGCGGAGGTGCGTTTGGATGCAGTGTTGGGGGGTGGGCGTTCCATTGACATCTGGTTTTGTATCGGCTGGCCACAGTGGAGTCGTCCACGGTGAGATCGGGGGAACTGCGAATCCTTCTACCCCAGATTAAAGATAAATGCTGTTTTTCCTTCTGTCTTTGATGAACCCCCACACTCCGACAAGGACAATTGTTTAGCGTGGGGGGAGATGCATAAGAAAGGTTGGGGTCTGGGGTTGCGAAGGCTGGATTTTTCTCCGCATTTTTGGCCCGCTTCGAAATCCGGGTTGTCTGCAATGCATGCCCGCCTGGTCATGGCTTTTCTTTCTACTCCTATATCTGCGTCTGATTCTGTGTCTCTCTTTATTCTCTTCTCCATCCTGAGAGCATATCGTGGCAATGTCAATACTTACACGCGAAGAGGTTGAGAAGCACTCGTCCCGCCAGTCGTGCTGGGTAGCCATCCATGGCTCGGTTTACGATGTGACCGGTGAGCTGAGCTTTTATTGACGAAAACAATCTCCGAATCATGCAAGACTGAGTTACTGCAGACTTCATAGACGAACACCCCGGCGGCCCGCAAGCTATCCTGCGCTGTGCAGGCAAGGACGCAACCGCGGACTTTGACTCCGTCCACGACCAGACTCTCCTCTCTCAGACCCTCCCACCATCCGCTCTGCAAGGCCAGATTGAGCCTGGCACACTGATTGCCACCACATCATCATCATCATCATCATCATCATCATCATTATCCTCAGCACCGCGACCCTTGCCCGAGATAAAGACCACCGCCACTGACCCTCCCATTGCCCCTCCACTATCCGCACTAATCAACCTGCACGACTTCGAGAAAGTCGCCCAACAGCATCTCCCCGCACACGCATGGGCCTACTACTTCTCCGGCGCCGACGACGAGATCAGCAAGGCCCAGAACCAAAAAGCCTACCGCAAGGTATCCCTTCGGCCGCGCATCCTTCGCAGCATCCGCGCTGTAGACACCAGCACGACGATCCTGGGCCAGCGGGTATCATTGCCGGTGTATATGAGTCCCACGGGGATCGGCAAGCTGGCGCACCCGGACGCTGAATGCGCGCTTGCGGCGGCGGCGGGCCACGAGGGGCTGGTCCAGGTCCTCGCTAATGGGTCGAGTATGCCCATCGAGCGGGTGCGAGCCGCGCGCACTAACCCGGAACAGCCGCTCTTTGCGCAGTTGTATGTCAACAAGGACATTCGCAGATCCGAGGAGACTGTGCGGAGGGCCGTCGAGGCCGGGGCGAGGGCGATCTGGGTGACGGTGGATTCGCCGGTGGTGGGGAAGCGGGAGATGGATGAGAGGCTGAATCTGGAGGTCCAGGTAGGTGTGCTGAGGCTTTCGGGGGGGAGAGGGAGCGGGGGAAATACAGTATGCTCATGATAGGGGTGATGTATAGGCACGAGACTCCTCTGCGCGCGGGCAGGGGGTCGCAAAGACGATGGCCAGTTCCATTTCTCCGTTCATCGACTGGGAGATCCTCACCTGGTTGCGCGGCCTCACCGATTTGCCGGTTGTGATCAAGGGGATCCAATGTGTAGAGGATGCAGTGCTGGCTTATGAGCACGGAGTCCAGGGGATTGTTCTGTCCAACCATGGAGGGAGATCGCAGGATACGTGAGTTCGCCCCATTCCCTCTGTCTGAAACGGTCATTGAGATGAAGCGGAATAGCGCCCAGCCGCCGCTGGTCACCTTGCTGGAGATCCGCCGACACGCGCCCTCTTTGATCGGGAGTCGCATGCAAATCTTTGTGGACGGCGGTATTCGTCGCGGAACAGATGTGCTCAAGGCTCTGGCATTGGGCGCGTCGGCTGTCGGCCTCGGCCGGCCGTTTCTGTATGGCCTCGCGGCGGGATACGGGGAGGAGGGGGTGCGTCGCGTGGTTGCCATCCTGCGACAGGAAATCGAGGCGAATATGGTATTTCTGGGGGTGACGAGGCTGCCAGATTTGGGACCGCATCTGCTGAACACGAGCCGGTTGGAAAGAGATGTGGTGGGAGAGGTGAAGCTGTAGCTTTAAACAAGCTGTGAAGGTATAGTTAGTGCTCTACTACATTGAGACCGAACACTAACGAGGTGCAGAGTACGGAGTAGACATGAAGACAGGAACGAGTTTACTTAGTAGTATATGAGACATCACATACCTCCCCGACCATCAGCTTAACTCACCCCACAGTTCACTCATAACTCCTGCCAGTGATTCAATGTATTGTCTCTCCTTTGCGGCCCTCCGGGCACCTCAAAGTCTCCGACTGGGAGACCAAGCCAGGATCATCCTTCCCATAGTATCAGTGCAATATCCATCCGTTCATTGCCACCAGCTCCACCCCCTCCATAGGATCATCAAACACTGGGGTTCATCACCACTGCACTACAGTATCCCAGGGGGGTGGGTTCTCCCCATCTCGGGGACTTGGAAAGGCTGACCAGCGGATCCGATCCACTGTCCTGACCAAACCTATGGTACAGTATGACATGTATCTCCTCTCTAATCCGTCCCGAGTCAGTTCCCCCGGTCGGCCCTTCTCTTCGCCTCATTCATGTATACCTAACTTAACTTGAATTTAGTTCTTCAATTCAATTCACACAGCAAGGTTGTACAAGAATCCTCCATCAGGATGGGAACCACCACTCCAGACTTATTATCTCCCATCATCAACATCATCATCCAAGACAACCCTTCCTACTCAAGGATATTTACACCACTAGACGTGGAGAATTCCCAGCGTCGATCATCAACTCACAATGACACCCAGCAAAATGGCGTTCGGGGACCATTTCCGCTGTAAGTTGATAGACGGGGAGACGGGGTGGGTTGGTTCCAGTGGGTTGGTTGATTCTTGGTCCCCGAGAATGGAGATCAAACCCACTTTATCGCCGTCCTTCCGAGTCCCTTTCTTTTTCTTTTTTTTTTTTGGCTTTTGGCTACGTGGTTGAGACGGTGGGTGGTTTTGCTAATACTTAGTACTTCAGAGGGAGAGGGGGGTTTTAGTTATTGGAGCGAGAGTTTGCTTTATACTATCGACTTGGTTTTTTTGCTGACTACATAGGTACATATTCCCGGTAGTTGCATGGCTGTTTGAAACACTGCTTGCAATTGTCTGGTTGATATTGGAGTTCCGGGTGAGCACTTAGTCTAATTCTTGCTTTTTCCTGCTCGACTCCATCTTGGGTCTCTGGTCTCTGGCTACATATTTGTTCTTCTGGGGCCCGTTGGGCGCATGGCCATGTTCACGCCGGTTCACACCTCGTTGGGAGCCCTGTTGCTCTACCAGGGCTCGTCGGGGCTGCTCTTGCACAATGGCGCCGTCTTTGGCATCTCGTCCTTACTTGCGGGCAGTCTTCTGCGTCCAAGCTGGGAGAATGTGCCCATCATCGCCGGCCTCGTGTCTAGTCTCGTCCCGGTTGCGCTGTTCATGCCCTCGTTGATCCCCGCGTACCCCACAGCGCCGGACTCGTGGACCGCGTTGCTGTCGACGCTGGCTACGGGGTTTCTGCTGGGCTGGGGGACCAAGGTGAGAGCGACACCCTCATCAAGATTCTTCTCTCTCTCTCTCTCGTGAACGATGAGCTAAGAAATGCGTCTGGAACAGAACGGGCGAGGCTGTACATCCGGCCACATGCTCTGCGGCGTTTCGCGACTGTCACCGCGCTCCTTCATCGCCACCGCCATCTTCTTCACGACCGCCTTGCTCACGGCCAATTTCTTCCCCACAGGCCAGGATCTACAAGCATGTGCGGGCGGTCTGCCATGCTATCTGCCTGTCTATCCCACTGTAGCAGAGTCGAGTTTCATGGTGGTTGCGACGCTGCTGACCTTCGCGACCAATTGGGTGGCCGTTCCGCGCATCCTGAAACGATCCCACAGGTCACGCGCGATCTTCGCCTATCTCGCCGGGTTGCAGTTCGGCACAGGGCTCTTGTTTTCAGGAATGGCGGATTCGGAGAAGGTACTGCGGTTTCTCATCGGCATCACGAAACCGTCACGCTTTGATCCCTCGTTGGCCTTGGTGGTACTCTTCGGAATCATTCCGTCGATGGTGGCTTATCGGTCAAGGGGGCCGAGACAGGAGAATAAGCGGGGATCGGACGGCCCCATGGGAGGGATGTCCAAACCAACGCTAGCAGAGACGTGGAGATTGCCCACGGCCACGGTGGCGGATATAGACTGGCGTTTTGTGACAGGATCTGTGGTATTTGGAATGACTTGGGGGTTGCGGGGCGTCTGTCCCGGCCCGGCCGTGCTTCGGTCCGCGGTGCAGCCAACTTGGGGATTGGCGGAGATGGCTGGGTATGTGTTGGGAAATTTAGTGTAGATTCGTGCATTCTAGAGGTCGCATCATGTATATATCCCCATCCTCGCATGCTCAGGATATCATCCCGCAAGCAATAGTTGAGAAATAGCGGAAGACGATTCAGAACTATAGTTGGAGACTATGTGATTCAAGAAATATCAGCACAGCTCCATAGACAACCGGCACGCAATTCCCCAAGTGAGGATGGGCGTGCAGTCAATCAAGGCTAGGTGCCGAGCAGCCAGTGCAGCATTGAGGTTCAGACAGGGCTTACAATTCCGTCTTGTGCCAGGCGTCAGTCACCGAGCGCTTGTGTATCTGAGAGGCATCCATGAAGCCTTCCAACTCCATCCATTCAGCCGCGAACGCAGTGAACAACACACTCCAATCCTCCACCGTGTCTAGATCCAGATGCTCGCCATCATCCTGCATTGTATGCCACACCTTCGGAAAGCCCCGGTCGCCGGCGTCGATGATATGGAGGACCTCGACGCCCCGTCTCAAAAAAGGGATATGGTCGTCTTCGATGCGCATGTACAACGGAATCTCATGCTCACTCTTCGCCAAGTGCGGGAACCAGGACCGCCCGGGGTCCGACGACTGGAGTTGCTTGAGCTCCCGCAGCCGACGCTCCAGCGTGGCCAGCTTCTTGTACGCCCAGTGCGTGGTCGGGAAGAATGACTGGATGGTCGGTTCCTTGGCCCCCAGAAGATCCAGTAGCACGAACAGCGAGATCGAGTCGAGCGGCGACCGGTACACGGACATGGCCGGGTGGACTTCGGCGTCCCACTGCTCCGCCAGGGAGCGTGCGCCGTACAGCGAGTCGGAAGCCGTCCACTCCTTGAACGCCTCCTCCCCGTCCATGAAAATGACCTGGATACCCTGTTGTTCCTCCAGCTGATTCAGCTGGCCCGTCGCGCGCATGTCCTCCCACTTCTTCGTCATCGCACTGTCGATGCTCCGCATGGTGTGCATAATAATCGCGCACGGCGCTGCACTATCGATCGCCCCGATGAAGCCCTGAGGTTCGTACTTGCTGTCGTAGTGCGCGACGAGGGTGAGGCGTCCGACATCGCCGGGGGATGTTCCGGGCGGATCGCGCGAGGCGATCAGGTTGACGAACGGGATTTCTTTGCCCTTGGAGACGGGCGTCTTCGACGTCGAGTTCTGGAATTGGATGGTCCAGTCTGGAAGCGTGGTGCGGATGAAATCCGCAAGGTGGTTGAGGACGGCGGTGGAGCCCGCAGTCCCGGATACACGGGGCACTAGGATGGGAGCCAGAAGAGCACCGTCATGGATATCAAAGTCCTTGCCGGGGCGCGGAAGAGATCGTAGGGTCTCGTCCGAGACGGATTCGTAGGCTGTTGTCGCTGAGAAGAGGAGGACAAAGGCCAGCCATGTAGATAATAAGGGGCGCAGAAGGCCACGGTGCAGCAGGAGCGGAAGCATCATGGTGTCGGAGAGGGATGGTAATGGTCAACACACACACTCATGGCACGAGTAAGGCACAATGAGACTGGTCCAGGCTGTCAATGAAAGTGGAAGATGGAAGGAAGCCAATCGCCCTGCGAGGAGAGAAGGATGGACTCGTGAGGAAGAGAAGTTCAAGGATCTGTCTTGTGTTTCACTAACGATGGGAAGCAACGGCGCTGACCGCCTTGGAGCTATCGATAATGAAGTTCTTATCCGAACTGGGCTCAACTCTCTCTCTGCGACCTCTTCTCCGACGACCTCAGCTCCAATTGCTCCAATCCTCGCCCCGAGATGAGACCGTTCATTCTGCTTTCTTCACAATTGCGGGCTGCGCTGCCCCGGAGCACCCGGCGTACTCTCAACAGCAAGCTATTTGCGCGGCTGAAGACCACAGATCCTTTCATCAGAAAACCAGCGGAGCCTTGGCGCAATCCATTTGTGAACAAAGAGCCCGACCCGAACAGCTATGCGTATGGAAAGCTTATTGCGCGAAAAGGTAGTGTTTGTGAACTCCTCGGCGCAAAGAGACAGGTGCTGAAGCTTTCGACCTTGCAGGACCTCCCGAGCTGATTCTCATCTACAATGGTGGGGCCAGTAAGGCCATGTTTCTGGCGGTACTGAAGATCACCGGGATTTTGCTGTACGGAGCAACGATCGCCTTCGTCGTACCTGAACTCTACAGTGGGGAGTACCCTGAGTGGTATCTCCCGGCAGGTGAGTTGGGACCTTTTCAGCTCTGCTTTTCGAGATCGAGTAGCGTCTAAAGTTGCGAACAGCTCTCACCGTCGGTGCAATCCCTATGTTGTTCATGACCTATAACGGGGCTACCTGGGTCTGCTATGTTCACCTCTTCCTCCCCATGTTTGCACGACAGTCTCGACAGGCAGCGGAGGATTATGCAAGAAACCTTCCGCCCACAGCTAGGCTGTACATCACCACCATGGGATTCTCAACTAGACCTATCCGGACTGAAGTACAAATGAAGAACCTTGTGCCTGACTTTACACTACGGCGCCCGGTGACTTTCAGAAACGTGGCCCCCGAAGCCAACACACGGTTTCTGTCTCGGGGGATGAATGAATTTTGGACGGCACCCAAAAGCCAACGAGGGAAACAGTCCACTGCCTTCTATCCTCATTTGTGGCCCAGTGTGTTTAGACAAATCCAGGAAAAAGATGTATAATGCAGTCAAAGATACCCGGCGCGGCGTTTGGGGAGTTGAGAGTGAGCTGAGAGTGAGAGCGTGGGAACAGGATTCACTGATGAATTGAAATGGGGACTACAAATTGACATTAGGTTGAGATCATCTAGAGGATCTAAAATCCAGGAACCTACCCCTGATCTTGCTTTTGTGGACCAACAGAGACGGAAGTTCTTCGATTCACTCTCCTCTCAGCCTGTGTTATGTCTCAGTTTGTTCTAAACCGTGCCCCCGCAACCATACTTTGACGCATCAGAGCTGTACTTCACGTCTGCAGAGCTCAAAGCTTTTCTTACCCTGATTTCTTGCTCTGTCTCACTTTATTTCACTTCTCTGCTGTTCTCCCATAACACTACCACCGAACCGATCAAAGTCCTTCCCCATTATACACTTGTTCTATCTTTGCAACCCACACCTCCCATCTCATTTCATCCTTCATCACTTGGCACGCTCTCTCGCACCTAATCCAATATTCTTTCTTACCTTGACAAGCCTGCTCTATCAGACACTTTCCACTTCCAACCCCAATCCTTACACGCAACACACATAACACAAAGTCATCCATAATATCGGTCATGGCAGGAAAAGCTGCTAAGCCAGAGGGCTGGTTTGGACTGAGTATCCACGAGGCCAGGCTGATTATCCTTGGTGTGATGTGCGCTGATTCCTCCGGCAAGGTGAGCAATTCTCTACTCTCAGGATCGAGTGAGGATGAAATCTGACACAGAAAAAGCCCGATTACGAGAAGATAGCAATCAAAGGCGGTTACAAAAATGCCGCCTCTGCAATGACTGTCTATCGCAATGCTAAGCGCCGTCTTTCCGATATCCAAGCCGACTGCTTTGGACCTGCTGGCAATGCCGATGGCTCGGTTCCTGCGACCCCGCTCAAGACTCCAACCAAGCGCAAGAGGGGCAAAGCAGCGGATGCCACCCCCGATGATACCCTTGTCACCCCCAGCGGTTCCACCCTCGCCGAGCCTGCTGTGATCCCGAAGCCTAAGCGCGTCAGAAAGACCCCGGCTAAGAAGACTGCGCCTCCCATGGTCACCCCCAAGGTGGAGGAAAGCGACAGGTAAGATAGGCTCTTCTCAATGCTTCCAAACCGAAGGGTGCTGATGGTTCGTTCTCAACTATCCAGCGATGGAGACGGTACTCTTAAACTAGATTCTCTCCCTCCCGCACAGACTACCGCGGAAGGTGACGAGGATTATGCCTTATACTACCGGCTTAAGCAAGAGCAGTCTACTTTGTCTGATGTGGAAGAGGAAACTGCAGCTGATCTTGGCGATGCGCCGAAAGAGCAGATCACTTCGTCAGACGTTGAGGAGGCGTTAGCGGAGTTTGACGTGTCAGCCGAGATGGACGCGATGGAACCAGCCAATGTCCACATCAAGAACGAGCACTAAGCTTTCCATCTGGAATCAGCAGTTGGATTGTGATTACGAATCTAGCAATATGTCCTTTGTGTTCTTCTGTTATTCCAGACGGGGCCTTTCCGAGGCGTACCTCATGGAGACTCATCTAACTTGATAACTAGCAATGAACAATGAACGCAGAAGCTGATCGCTGACTGCTACATGCTTTGATGGGTAACCCGGCGTAGAACCAGCCATGGACATATAAACAGGCCTACAGAGTACATAGTCGCACGCGCTAGTCTATATGTTGTACCTGCGTGCTATACTCCCTATAGTCCCCTCGAAAGTCTGAGGGGTTTGCATGCTTTGCATCGTTGGCATTTTGCAGCTCGGACTCGGACTCGGACTTGGCCCTGCGCATCAATGATTATCCGTCGGACAAGCAACGGGCGGCTTCTTATCGGAGGCAGGCAAAACACGGCTATCGAGAAATTCCCAGGATACAATTGTCTGTTGGTCCACCGTCAATTCTCTGCATAATTTCTCCTACCTCGGACTCATGAGGCAATTTTCGAGGTCGCTGCCCCAGAGGGCGCGTCTTCATGTTCCTCGTGCCTTGTCTCCCTCCCACCACACCCTACATGGCGTCCATACCTATGCGCGGACGGCCGCGGTGCTGCGGGCAAACTCCGCGCTCACCACCGGACCTCGTCCGACGTTGAATCAAGCGACAATTCCCTTCGGAACTGACCAGAAGAGGTGGATTACCCAAAAATACAAACAACGCATGAAGGATGCAGAACAGGAATGGAGTCTTTTCGCGCAGCAGATCAAGGAGGGGAAGAGAAAGAGTTTCGTCCAGCATCTCGAAGACAGAGGGCTGTTGCACGACGTTGTCGGGTGAGTGGTTTGTGTATACTGTCTTCTTCATGGTTGTATTCTGCAGCGAGATCTTGGTTAACAGAAGTCTTAACGAACAATAGCGACCGAGATCTTCTTCACCGTTTGTTCACCGAGAAGAGGGTCGGTATCTATGCCGGCGTCGATCCCACCGCTCCCTCGCTGCATGTTGGGCACATGTTGCCATTCATGGTCCTGGCATGGGGCTACGTGTTCGGTCTCCCCGTCAACTTTGTTGTTAGTTTTGTCCACACCCTCCCATCACGAGAACCACGAAGTCGGGCTGACACAAGAGCACACAGCTTGGCGGCTCCACCAGCCGCGTCGGTGATCCCACCGGGCGTTTAACCGGGCGAGAGCAGGTCCAGAGCTCGGTCCGGAAAGCAAACATGGCGTCGATGCACATTCAGCTGAAGCGGCTCGGCAAAAGCATCGAGCAATATGGCAGACGGCATGGCTATGAGAGGCAATGGGCTTGGAGGCGGAACCTTGTCAACAACAATACGTGGTGGGGCAGTCTTACCTTCATGGAGGTCATGAAGGATATGGCGATTCACATGCGCCTCGGCCCCATGCTCGGTAGGGATACGTAAGTTTCATCTTCGCTGTGCAGCTCATTCCGCGCGTACTGATCGGTTTCAGTGTGAAGAACCGGCTGGAGAAAGGAGACGGCATGTCCATTGCAGAGTTTATCTACCCGTTGATGCAGGCATGGGACTGGTGGTATCTGTTTCGGAAGGGTGTACAGGTCCAGGTTGGAGGCGCCGATCAGTATGGGAATATCCTGTTCGGCATGGAAGCTGTCAAGATGACCAGCCGAAACGCTCTCTATGAACAGGATCGGAATCCTCTGGAGAATGAACTAGACCGGCCTATCGGACTCACGACACCCCTGCTGACCAGTCCTTCCGGAGAGAAATTCGGCAAGTCGGCGGGCAATGCGATCTGGCTTGACAAGGACATGACATCTACATTCGAGTTATACCAGGTATGTAAGAGCGTTGCGCGGGTTGAGTTTCCATCTGCTGACATCTGCTCGAGTTCTTCGTCCGCACGCCCGACGACGTCGTAGAGAAGTACCTGAAGATGTTCACTTTCTTGCCTTTGCAACAAATTGAAACGATTATGGCGGAGCAAGCTCTCGACCCGTCCAAGCGCGTGGCTCAGCATGCTTTAGCTGCAGAATTCGTGGAACTCATCCACGGCAAAAGCGAAGCGGAAGCGGTTGCCCTTCAACACCGCCAGCTGTTCCGGCCCCGAAATTCTACTGGTGAACCCAGTCCTCCGCCCAAGACCCCGAAGCCTCATCCCATCCCCCAGTCGCCATATGCCGCAGATGCCAACCCGGCAGCAGGCAACAAATACGCCCCTCACACCACTTTCGAGAACATGCCGTCTCTCCGCTTGGAGCTTCCCAGATCTGTCGTCCTGCAGCAACCCCTGCACAAGATCCTCTGGTCTGCGGGGCTGGTCAACTCCAAGAGCGAGGGTCACCGTCTGGCAGCGAACGGTGGAGCTTATGTTGGGAGCCGCTCCAGTGGGCATGGAACGATGAGTGACTCTCTGGAGTTTGTGCCTATTGACGTCTGGCTTCCGGAGAAAACCCGAGAGTTTATTGTTGATGGAGATCTTCTCTTCCTCAAGATCGGCAAGTGGAAGCTTAAGATTGTGAAGATCATCAGCGATGAGGAATACGCACGGAAAGGATTGACCTGCCCGGGCTGGGAGCCTGACGTCGTGAAAGCGCAGGCCGCGAAACCCGCGGCCGTGGATTCTGAAGCTGTAGAGTCTGGAGCTGTGGTGTCTGAAGCTGTGGAGTTTGAGGTAGCAAAGCCTGGGGTAGCGGAGCCTGAGGTACTGGAGCCTGAGGCTCCCAAAGGCAAGCAGCCTTGAGGGGAGAATCTTGCATTCGATGTATTTCTAGAGACTTGTACATATATCGCAGCGAAAACCAATACTGTATTTTATGCATCATCAAGAGAGCACTCTATACTCATAGTATATTGTATGACAGCCAAGGCCAAGGCGGTGGGGAGCGGCGAAGCGTCCAAAAAAAACCACTCAACGCGTCGACGCGCGACGGCCCGCCGCTGGCACCCACGTCTCCCGCTCCCTCGTAATCGCATTCCCCCCATTCCCTCCACTAGAAACAACATCCCATCAGCTCACTTATTGCAATTGACCTTTCGTCTTCTCTAGTCCATCTTCAGTACAGCATGATATGACCGGAGTCTAAACAAGTATACCGCATTCATCCAGCTATCGTTCCAGCATGGCTAAAGGAACCCCCGCCGCATCCTCCCCTACAACTGCAACGCCTCCATCCCGGGTGCTGAAACGCACAACCTCCAGTACCCAGAACATGAAAAGTCAGAAGTCCATCCTCGGATTCTTTCAAAAGTCGTCGCCGTCGACCCCTTCCACAGCTCGCAATGTCGAGCCCGCCTCCTCGCCCGCTGAACGGGCTTCTGTCCAGCGCGGGATCGATAAGAAGAAGCGCGTCCCCCAGTTCAAGCAGGACTTGACCCCAGTACCGAGCAGCGATCTCGTGATACCTGACGAGGAGGAGGAGGAGGAGCAACAGAATGCCACACAGGTATGGATACGTTCTTGGGCGCGAATTGAGTGTCTACTTGAGGTGGGTTTGGTGTGACTGACGTTTCGGGGTTTGCAGGCTAGTGGTGCTCTTGATGAGCCAAAGCCACACTCCTCCCCGTCGCGACGGGTAAGCAACCCCTACTCTCTCCCTTAAACACATGTGCAAGTCTTGCTTACGCAGATGCTCCTGAAGGCTAAAAAGAAGGTCAACTACCTTGAATCCGATTCTGAAGGCGAGGAGGACGACGAGGAGATCTTCCGTCCCGGTCGCAGCAACAGGAACAAACGCCAGAAGGTGCTGCCGGAGAGTGAGGATGAATTCAAGGATGAGGCCGCTGACGATGCTGGTTACTCTGATGACGGTCAGTTCAGCCAGGGTTGAATAACGTGGACTTTTAAGCACTGACAGGGTCTCTAGAAATGGACGACTTCATCGTCGCTGACGACTCGGACGAGGAAGCCAAGCCGGTCAAGAGGCGCACGAAACCAGCCGCTCGATCCAAGAACAAGTCATCGCCGCTGCCAATGCAAACGCCCGAAGATGAAGAAACCCTTGCTCTAGAGATCCCCGAAGCGACCGGCGGCACGGCTATGAAATGGACATATGACCCTGAGCACTCTGAGCCGCGGCAACAACGTGCGTCTCCTACGACGCCCAAGCGCCCCAGCAACGGCAAGCAGAAGGCTCACGTTACGGAGCCGGAGCAGCGCTATGCCTGGCTCGCTAATCTCCGCGACATTGATGGCCATCCCGTCGGTCATCCCGAGTATGATCCCCGGACGCTGTATATACCTCCCTTGGCTTGGTCCAAATTCTCGCCCTTTGAGAAGCAATACTGGGAGATCAAGCAGAAATTCTGGGATACTGTGGTGTTCTTCAAGAAGGGCAAGTTCTACGAGCTCTACGAGAATGACGCCACCATCGGACACCAGCTCTTTGACCTGAAGCTGACCGACCGCGTCAACATGCGCATGGTGGGTGTCCCCGAGATGAGTCTGGACCACTGGGCCAATCAGTTTGTGGCGAAGGGGTTCAAGATCGCTCGGGTGGACCAGATCGAGTCTGCTCTGGGCAAGGAAATGCGCGAACGAGAGGGCAAAGATGGTAAGAAAAAGGCCGGTAAGGAGGACAAGGTGATTCGGCGAGAGCTGTCTTGCGTTCTCACGGCGGGCACACTCGTCGAAGGCTCGATGCTTCAGGACGATATGTCTACGTACTGTGTCGCTATCAAGGAGGCACTCATCGAAGATCGCCCAGCGTTCGGCCTGGCTTTCGTCGACACTGCTACTGGCCAATTCTTCCTGTCGGAGTTTGTGGACGATGTCGATATGACCAAGTTCGAGACCTTCGTCGCGCAGACGCGTCCTCAGGAACTTCTGCTCGAAAAGTCCACCGTCTCAACCAAGGCACTCCGTATCTTGAAGAACAACACTGGCCCGACGACCATTTGGAATTATCTGAAGCCAGGAAAGGAGTTTTGGGAGGGCGACATCACGGTACGAGAACTGGATGTGAGCGACTACTTCGTCTGTGCAGACGGGGACAATCTGCAGGCATGGCCCGAGGCCCTGCGTGAAGCCCGAGACAAGGAGTTGGTCATGTCTGCTTTCGGCGCGCTGGTGCAGTATCTCCGTATCCTCAAGCTGGATCGTGACTTGATTACCATCGGCAATTTCTCCTCGTACGACCCCATCAAGAAGGCTTCCAGTCTGGTGCTGGACGGTCAGACTCTGATCAACATGGAAATTTTCGCCAACTCGTTCGACGGAAGCTCGGATGGGACACTGTTCCAACTTCTCAACCGTTGCATTACGCCTTTCGGTAAGCGGATGTTCAAACAGTGGGTGTGCCACCCGTTGGTGGATGCGAACAAGATCAATGCTCGACTGGACGCAGTGGATGCGCTCAACGCCGACTCCAGCGTCCGAGATCAGTTCTCCTCTCAGTTGACCAAGATGCCTGATCTGGAAAGACTCATCTCGCGTATCCATGCAGCCAACTGCAAGGCCCAGGACTTTGTCCGTGTCCTCGAAGGCTTCGAGCAGATCGAGTACACCATGAGCCTCCTCAAAGACAGCGGCTCTGGGGAGGGCGTGATTGGACAACTGATCAATGCGATGCCGGACCTCGATAGCATGCTCGAGTATTGGAAGACGGCCTTTGACCGCACCAAAGCCAAAGAGAATGGCATCTTGGTTCCAAAGCCGGGGGTGGAGGAAGACTTTGACAGTTCGCAGGAGCACATCGAACACATCCACCAGCAGCTCGACAACCTCCTCAAGAAACACCGGCGCGAGCTAGGCTCCACGGCGATCTGCTACCGGGACAACGGCAAGGAGATCTACCAGCTTGAAGTCCCCGTCAAAATCAAGAACATCCCCAAGAACTGGGACCAGATGTCCGCCACCAAGCAGGTGAAACGGTACTACTTCCCCGAGCTGCGGGCGCTCATCCGCCAGCTGCAGGAGGCGCAGGAGACGCACAGCCAGATTGTCAAAGAAGTCGCCGGCCGCTTCTATGCACGATTTGACGAGAACTACACGACGTGGCTGGCAGCGGTGCGGATTGTCTCGCAGCTGGACTGCCTGATCAGCCTGGCCAAGGCGTCCTCCTCGCTGGGCCACCCCAGCTGCCGCCCGGTCTTTGTAGATGACGAACGCAGCGTGCTCGAGTTTGAGGAGCTGCGCCACCCATGCCTCTTGTCATCAGTAGACGACTTCATCCCGAACGACGTGCGTCTCGGTGGGCCACGACCCAACATCGACCTTCTGACCGGTGCTAACGCGGCCGGTAAATCCACCGTTCTCCGCATGGTAAGCCTTCCGCCAGCCCCTTTGTCCCCATGCCTGGGCCTTCCCCAAGAAATCAAGCAAGCAAACAAACACTAACCATCACCTCCAGACCTGTATCGCCGTGATCATGGCCCAAATCGGCTGCTACCTCCCGTGCACCTCCGCAACCCTGACTCCTGTCGACCGAATCATGTCGCGCCTCGGCGCCAACGACAACATCTTCGCCGCGCAGTCGACCTTCTTCGTCGAGCTGTCGGAAACCAAGAAGATCCTCTCCGAGGCCACTCCGCGCTCGCTGGTCATCCTCGACGAGCTCGGCCGCGGCACCTCCTCGTACGACGGGGTGGCCGTCGCCCAGGCGGTGCTGCACCACGTGGCCACGCACATCGGCGCCCTCGGCTTCTTCGCCACCCACTACCACTCGCTGGCCGCCGAGTTCGAGCACCACCCGGAGATCAGCCCCAAGCGCATGCGCATCGACGTCGACGAGGCCGAGCGCCGTGTCACGTTCTTGTACAAGCTCGAGCCCGGCGTCGCCGAGGGCAGCTTCGGTATGCACTGCGCCTCCATGTGCGGGATCCCCAGCAAGGTGATCGAGCGCGCCGAGGTCGCCGCCAAGCAGTGGGAGCATACGAGTCGGTTGGCGGAAAGCCTGGAACGGCGCAAAGCGAAAAATCATGGTGTCGAGGGCGCCGCGGTCGTGGTGGGTATGGGGTGGTGGAGCGATGTTGCGTGGGCGCTGCGGGAGGATGATGGGGTGGTCGCGGAGGCAGCGGATGCAGGTGTGAGCGAGCGGAGTTTGGAGGTGTTGCGGCGTGCTATTGAGGCTTTATAAAAGATGATCAAAAGAGGGGGTGGAAGAGTAGTTTCCGGTGAAGAGGAGAGATCTGGGTCACTATATTGTGCTGATCAATGTGGCTTTCAAGGCGTGCATTGCATGGATGTGTGGGACAGATGTTGTAAGTTAATGGAATCTCGAGCGTTAGCCTTTTCGGGTTATATAACTAGGTATTGCTTCTTAACGGGTAACTATATGATGGGCTTTTTCATTCTGTTCTCATACACAAGACAGAAGAGGGGGGTTGTAGCAATAGCTCATCAACTTGTATTAACTTGACGGTTATTGCACTGATTGCGAGAGGTTTGAGTTTGAACCAGTTGCCAGTAGTAGGAACTGTAATAACAAGGGTTGTGACTTACAACAATAATGAATAATCTCAACTATGGTAGTAGTACCTAGTTATCAACAAATACTCGCAAGTAGTTTTAGGTCATAACATGAACTGTTATGCAAACCACTACACCCCCTTTCCACTAAGTACCAGCAAAGTCGTGGGCACTAACAAAATGGATAGGGAATTTACTTACGAGCGGCCTTTGATATGTATGTACAGCTGTTATTCTTGGGATGAGTGCAACAGTTTACTAGTGACAAGACAACCCTAACCGCCACTCATCAGTACACCGCAGCTGAGGAGCATGGTGCCGCTGTAGACTTTCTCTTCGGTCAATTTTAGAAGGTATGTGGCACTTGGGTTACTAGTTTCGATTCGTGATGCTGACTAGCCGCCCACGGGTTTCAATTGGTGATACATACTGGCATGTACTGTAGACCGACGAAGGGAGGCATCCCGCTAGAGAAAAGTGGAGAGCCCTAGGCATTCTTCGCAAGGAGATCATCCATCGCACTCGTCTGTGCACGCACAAGAATAACTATGGCCAAGTGCCCGTGTCAAGCAACATGACCCGTAAAAGCCATCAACGTCGCAGGATCGATCCACGGCAACGACATATCAACCAGCTCGGATGCACCGAACAGGTCCTCGAATTCATAAGCATCCGGCACCGCCGGCGCCGTCGAGTAGTGCTCGAAGTCCTCCTGCCCAGCACCCGCACCACCACCACCACCACCACCACCAGCATCATGCAGCACCTCAACCCCACCTGCCCCAGCTGCGTCCCCCACCCCCGACAACCCATCCACCTCCTCAACAGTAAAACCAGATCGGATATTCGAGGAAGCAGCCCCCGACCCAGCGAACAGGAACCGCAGCGTCGATTGCGGATCCGCCACCGACGCCCACAGACGCGGCGCGGCCAGCAATTTCATCATATTCGCAAACGCTCGGGGGCCGATTGCCTGGCTGTGCTGGTGGTGCACGGTATCCTGCAGTTGAGCCAGCCGTCGCAGGACCACTAATGCGCCGTGGCGGGTCTCCGTGGACGAAGCCTCCAGCAGCTGAATACTCACTCGAATGAGCTCCTGCGTCGCAGCAGTCTCCGCGCGTGAGTGTCTATGTCCGAAGCAGATGAGGTCCAGGCAGAGGAAGATGCCAGCCGAGACGGCGGAGCAGGTCACGGCCCAGAATTTCTGGAAGTGGGGGGTAGGGTCGCGATAGCGGCGCTGCAGGATGCGCGTGGCGGCTGCGACGGCGCTGGCGTAGACGGCAGAATCCTGGGTGGTTGGCGCGGGGGAGGATGCGGGGGAGGATGAGGGATTGTCGTCGTTGTGGTCCAGGAGTTGGGGCATCAGGGCGACGCAGAGGTTGATGCGCCAGGTGTCGAGGAGGTTCCAGACGAGATACCGCTGCACGGTGACCCAGCTGGGGACCTCGTCTGGGAAGAGTCCTGATGTGGTGGTGGTGGTGGTGGTGGTTTGGTTGTAGCAGAGGTGGGGCGGGAAGGCGGATGCCACGGAGTCGATCTCCTCCAGAGAGGCTTGTACTGTGCTACTGCTCCATTCGTGGATTGAGCGGACGGTGTTCTGCATGGTGGCGGCGAGTTGGGCCATGGCTTTGTGGTACTCAAAGGGCGAAGGCAGGCCGACGTCGCGGCTGCGTGGCGAAGCGGGTTCGTCGCTGCTGGTGTCCAAGACGGTGGTGAATGAGCCCGGGTGGATGGAGATGGGACGGGACCATACGGTCATCCTGGCGGTTCTTAGCACACAGTAGGTAGGACAATGTTTGTTAGAGGTGATGGATGGCTTACCAGTCGACAATGACCAGGGTCCACCACAGCCGTCGGTAGACGTTAAGATGCGTGGTAGTCCGCGTGTCGCGCAGCAGAAGAGGAGGGATCTCGCAGCCTTCACTTAGTCGATCGATCCCAATCAGCCGTGCGGTGTTGACGGCCAGGCCGTGCAGGATGTATTCGCGACTGGACTGGCCGAGGTTCTTGTGGATGATGTTCAAGATCGTCAACGCTTGCACCGTCGTGATACGAGGCTTGCTGGTGTAATCGGCGTACTCCAGTTCCCGGAGCGAGGCCTCGCACCACACGCGGCATAGCTGCGTCGTCATCCTGCTGAGCGAGCGGTCTCCGGCTGCTCTCCCAGTCAGATAGCTTTCGTGGGAGAACTGGAACCCCTCGATCAGGTCATCGTTCATGAAATACACGCCCACCTGTGAGTCGCAAGCCATTAGTATCCACGTCTGCTGCCATGGCCCACACAAGAGACTACCTACAGCGAGCACGCTCAGATACACCGCATTCCAGCCGTGATCACTCGAGTGGGGGCCGGTGGCCACAGCTTGGGTCCAGAACGCATTGTGCTTCTCTGTAAAGTCGAATGGCTCTAACGCACAGTGAACCCATGCGAGATGCTCCAGCGAGAACCGGACAATTACCTCACTCCAGTGTCGAGCTGGGAGGATGAGAAGCACATGGTCGTCGCGCGGACGAAGGGTATCCGGACCATCGTGCGATGACTCGGCCAGGAGCCCAAAGGGTAGCCGCTGGAAGTCATTCAAGATCTTCTCTGATGAATGCGAGCGCTCGACAGCTGGTGCCGACCGGAACACGTCCGTCCCGAGCTTCTGCAGCTCCGGCCGCTGGAGAAGCGACTCTACTTGGCGGATCCGGGTCTTGAGACTGGCATTCTCCTGCGCAAGCCTCGAGTTGATCGTCGATTCACTCTGATCTGAATCTTCTTCGTCGACAGCACTGATTCATGGTCAACAGCAGGCCCTGAAGCCATAAGGAATCGACAGCTTACACCGTCACTCTGCCGTGGACCTTGACGACCTCACGCATGCAGGCTGCAGTCTCACCCCGCCGGATGCATGCATCACAGGGGATTTTCTTGGAGCACTTGACTTTCCTGCGGGTGCATTGTACGCATGATCGAGGCACTCTCTGGGTTTCACGCATATGATGATGGGCCATGTGGGTAGAGGAAGAATGGATGAGTGAATTTGTGGTCAGGTTTTGAACCACCTCGGGTGAGTTCGTGTGAGTTTTTATCTACTACGGAGTACATGTACTGAATTTCCCGTTTGGTAAAATCTGGGGTTCGGCCGGATTTCCCCGCAAAAGTGGAGAAATACGAAGGACCTGGAACTGTATCATAATACGGTCATGAACATGTCTCGGTAATTAAAGGTAAGAATCAAATCTCGGCCCTCCTCCCATCCACGGCATACTTCATTGTCAGCGCCCGAATCTTAGGCCCCAGAATGAATACCGGCAGTCCCCCGGCTGAAATCACCCCCATGATGATCGCACAAATATTGAAGCTTCCCTGATACCCCCTTTGCGCGATGAAACTGGTGATGCCAAATGAGATCCCAAACGAAATGAGTCCACGGATGGCACAGATCAACACCAGGATGGGCGCGGCGCGCTCGCCATAACTATCTAGCGAGTAGGTGAACCCATTCAGGACGATGCCGATGAAGCCAAAATACATGCCGTTGAAGGTGGTGACTATCGCCCACGAAGACCACTCGGTTGGATGCGAGCCGGCGCGGCCGTAGATCACCGCCGATATCAGCACTACTGCCACGGGCAGTACGATCGGGATGAGTCGCATCTCGGGGGCGACGACGCCATCGCGGCGCCGCGCGATCCACTTATGCAGTTGGTCTCCACCGTAGCCCAGAAGCGGCACCATCAGCATGGAGACGACGATCTGTCCGCCCTGGACGAGACCCAGGCTGCTGTCCGGGTAGCTGTAGGGCGGTGCGGCGAGCAAGGTTGCGTACTCGGTGGTCCCAATGACATAGATCCCCAATGCAATGCTGTTCATCAACACCACCCATAGGATGTTGGGAAAGAGGATACATTGGCTCATCTGCTTCCAGCATCTAGCGGCAGCGCGCCAATTGGCCGGGCCATGGAAGATTTGCAGACTGTAGCGGACGGTCCGGGCTTGGTAGCGTGTGTAGTCCAGAGGGACAGGGTGCTTGGTCGTAGCGTGCACGACGACGGCGACTTCTTCTCCCTCACGGCGGACGTGGACACGGCCTTCGAACGCATCGGTCGGGCGGTCCTACAAGGACTCTGGCACGAGGAGGAGGGCCACGATAAACACAAACCCGCTGGCAATGGCGAAGATTCCGTACCACCAACGCCAGCCAAGATGGATGACGAGGTAAGAGGTGGCGATTGTGAGGGCTGCCGACCCGATGGATTGAATTGCGCTGAACCAGGCCAGCCTACTGCTGCGCTCATGAACAAAGTGGATTTCCTGTACCAAGTCACTTAGGCCTGGGTGACAACAGCAGAGAAGCAGATGGTGCGTGGCTTACCTGGATAATTAATGGACACAAGGCCTCTGATTGTCCCGCTGCTAGCGACAGAACGTCTCGTGCGGCGATGTGTGACCCGAGACTCCCACTCACAGCACACCAGATGGCGCCCACCGTCAGGATCAAGGCTGAGGCAAGGAAGATCGGTCTTCGCCCGACGGCCATGGCCATTGGCATAGCGAGCAAGTTGCCGATCCCCATGAACAGGGTCGGATAGGTCATGAGGTCATTCACGCGCGTGTCATAGTCGTAGTAGGCCTGCATTGTAGTGACGAAGGGGCCCATCCCAGAGGTCAAGAGCACACCCAGGATGGAGACTATCATTTCTGTTAGAGCCGGATGGGCTGAGATTCCATGAGAGGGAATGCGACTTACACACTCCCAGCACACAGGTGATCACCCACTTGTGCCATTGAGGCAGATTGAGAGGATCTGCGCATGTCAGCCCTCATTCTTCATCCCGCCTGCGATGCACCCGCACTTATTACCTCGGGGATCTGGTGACGGGGTTGGGATCAACACCACTTCGCCATCCTCGACCAGCTTGACCGTGCCAACTGGGTTCAGCGGGTCTGCTGCGGCGAGCTTGACCACTTCTTGATGCGTGGTATCGATGTCTTTGGTATCCATATTGGAATGAGGATCGATCTAATGAGAAAAAGAAGATGTCCTGTTTGAGCTCAATGCCCTCCCAGAGAAGCAGTTATATCTGTATTCCTCTGGTTACTGAGGGCCGCACCTTTGCCTCCCAGGTCCTACTAGTAGTAGACCTTACCCCACGGGGTACACCCTTGTGCCTTTGGCCCCCTGTCATGTAGGGTTGGAGCCTCCCAAGGTGGCCATTGGCATCATCGTACAAGTGGGGAATCGATATTGAGACGTGGAGCCGAAAGTATGATGGCTGAGTTCAGAGGCGAGGATAGGTTGTCATTGTCGAGCTGGTGAGTGTCGAGGTGGTGAGTGGATGGGAGGAGTTTGGCCCATGGATTGCAGTACAGTATCTTACCCGAGCTCGCCCGAGACGCGGGCTTCGCTTCCAAGGCATTCCCCGCGCTTCCCCACGCACGGGGACTCAATCCTGGGGGGGACAGACTGGGGAAAAGAGATGATCTACATACGTGTAGACCTATTTGGGACGTATGCCACATCTGTCTATCGGCTGTTGGTATAGATCGCTTCTGGGAACAAATCCCACTGAGATGCTACATGCGATACTGCAAGACGCATGAATATTTACCACAAGAGAGCATAGGATACTCATATCAAAAGCTTATCATTCATAGGGTCAAATTATCTAGAAATAATCTAGTAAGGAATTACACCAGCCAACTGCAACAATTGCTCCGTCCGCACCGGCTTTGTGAGAGGCTCGTCTCTCTCCAAGGGGTCCGGCCTCTCCTCCCCGTCCACCGTCACAGTCGCCTTGCCATGCGTATACAGATTGGTATGCGGCCAGTGGGTCGTCGTCTCGTACTGCTCAAATAATTCCGTCTTCTTCTTCCGGTCCTCCTCGGACATCCACTTTGCAGGCGTGTAGGTCGTGTAGACAATGGTGCGCACCACATCCGACTCCCCAAACTGAGCCCAATGGATCTGTCGCGAGTCCCAGATAATCAGGTCCCCCGGCTCGGCGCACACCTTGATTAGCTCGCAGCCGTGCGCGCGGTACCACTCCAGGTTCTCCTCAGAGAACGGGTGGAAGTCCTTGTGTTTGGCCGTGCGCCATGGCGTAGGCCCCGTCACGGGGTTTTCAGCAAAGAATTGATCGAACAGGGGCGCCGACCCTTTCATCACGACCAGGCCGCCGTCTTCCGGACCTGCCTTGGAAAGGTTCACGATCCCCTGCACGCAATTCATGCCCCGGCGCTCGGGGGCTTGGTCGACGTGGGGCCAGGGTTTGGAGTCGTACTCGCCCACAATGGATTGCGGAAGGGTGATATTGACTGTGTCAAAGGAGACGACCAACTCATCGGTCTCCCAGAGTTTGGCAAACGGGGCGATCACACCGGGTTCACTACATCGATCGGGAATTAGATCTGAACCAAAAAGGGTTGGCTGGCGAACAACGATATTTCCTTACCAGCGGACGTCCCAGACGTATTTCTCGTGCGCGGCAGAGAAATGGAGGTACATGCCTCCTTTCCAGCTCTGAGGAAGATTCTCCTTCTTCCAGGTGGACTTGTCGTTGCGGTCGAATCCAAGACCAAAAGACTCGAGCCAGTCCAGAGCCCGGCTCTGGTATTCCTTCGCGCGCTCAGGGGTCAAGGCACCCTTGATGACGGCGTAGCCATCCCGGAAGAAGTCATCGCGAAAGTCGCCATATCGGGTCTCTTGCTTCTGGCTCGACTGCAGCTTGGTCGACGGAAGCGGAGTGACCTCGGGCGAGTCAATGCGAGAGGGAGCCATGATCAGAAAGGATATGTAGTACACTGAAGGAACTTATAGAGTGTTAACAATGCAAGTGCGTCAAAGTGGACTATTTGGCCAACGTGAAATATTTGAGGAAGGACTGCAAAGGAAAGATTAGTCCTTTTCTAGGACATCTTCGGGGTCGCGCCACGTCAACTGTGATTCGACCCGAATTCGGCGGGCGTCAGGGTAAGGAAACCTTTTTTTCGCCAAGGTGGTTCAACATGAGTCTCGCGATAACCTGGTCTGGTGGGTGTGGGGAGGTCAGCAGGATTGGGAGGACTGGAGAAGTGGAGGATTCAGGCCTGGGGAAGAGACAGGATCATCTCGCCCGAACTCCCCCGTGCAAACCTGTATACCTCGAAAAGTCACTGCCCGAACTCGGCCGAGGCGGCAAACCAAGATTGTCCACAACCCGACAGTCTATCTTATTTTGTCTGTGTGGAGATGGCAGGCATGCGAAGGGCTAGGGAAGTGCTCAAAATGAAGAGGATACGCCTCACCTAGCCATACAAAGAATCCAAGAGTGAATGCGCCTCACAATGCCTTCGCCCGTCCCTGTGGCAACACGTCCAATCGACAAGCCCACCGTGGGCAGAAATAACTACCAGCCTTTCGGCTTCCGCGAAGAGACCCTTCCCCAAGGGTGGAGTCAAAATGGCTCACGTCCACTGCCCTGCGCCATTCACGCCTCCCACGACGTAGGGATCAAGGTCCGCGATGGAAGTACTCTCTACTGCGACGTCTATCGTCCCGCCGACGCAGATAAGCCGGTGCCTGCAATTCTGGCGTGGAGTCCCTTTGGAAAGAAGTTCAACGGCATCACATTTCTCAAGTTTCTGCCATGGGGACTGGGTATCCCGCAAGGTGTCCTCAGCGGCCTGGAAAAGTTCGAGGGACCTGATCCAGCCGAGTTCGTACCTCGAGGCTTTGCTATCGTCAACGTGGACGCACGCGGATCGGGCGACTCAGAAGGCACCGTGGGAATCATGGGGACGCAAGAGGCCGAGGACGGCTACGATGTGATTGAGGCTATCGCCAAAATGCCCTGGTGCAACGGAAATGTTGGACTGGCAGGCAACTCGCATCTGGCCATCGTTCAGTGGTTCATTGCTGCATTGCGGCCTCCATCCCTGAGAGCCATCGCCCCTTGGGAGGCATGCAGTGACCTCTACCGAGAGCAGTTTGTCCGGGGTGGAGTCTTCGATGCCGGCCTGTTCGACTGGATCATCGACCACAATATCCAGGGACACGGCGGAGTCGAGGACTTTCACGAGATGTACCGGCGCAATCGCACGGCGGATACGGCTTATTGGAAGGACAAAAGACCAGCCCTCAGCCGGATTCGAATTCCTGCCTATATCACCGCCTCATACACCAGCTTCGTCCACACAATGGGCTCCCTGCGTGGTTGGCTGCAGATTGCATCCTCGGAGAAATGGCTACGGCTGTGCCCCTGGCAGGAATGGTATGACATGTGGAACTGCAAGGACTCGGCCGCTGAGCTGGCGTCCTTCTTCGATCATTACCTGAACGGCGCCAGCAACGGGTGGGAACAAACCCCGAGGGTCCGGACCACCATCTTGCGCTTCAATCAAGATCCATTGTTCGACATTGTGGAAGAGGATTACCCAATCCCTCGCACAGAATATCGGAAGATGTACTTCCATGCCGATGGCAACTTGCGAAACGATGCCCCCAGCGAGGTTTCATCTCTTTCCTACAACTCGGAGAAATATCAGGACTGCGCGAGCTTCACCTACACTTTTCCGGCTCGTACCCGGTTGGCAGGTATTCCCAAAGCAGTGGTGTACATGTCCTGTCCCGACTTCCATGACCTGGATGTCTATGTGCTAGTTCGCAAACTTGATACACAGGGAAAGCCGCTACTCAACTTGAATATCCCCTGGTCGTCCGTTGCGCAGCATGGCGTTAGTCCAGACAACGTCGACAATCTCTCCCCGCGAGAGAAGTCCAATCTCATGTTCCATGTTGGCTCATTAGGGATCCTGCGTGCGTCGAGACGCGCGATCGACCGTTCAAAGTCTTTGCATGAAAATTTCCCTTTTCATCCCCATGATCGGGATGAGTATGTCAGTCCCGGGGAAATTGTGGAATTGGAGATTGGTATCTGGGCCATGGGAGTGGAGTACGAAGCCGGGGAAAGTGTGCGAGTCGAGGTTCATGGGAATAGCCCGCTATTACGCGGGGAGTTCAAGGAAGACAACGAGTTCCAAGAGTTGGCGTCGCATGGGACACATACAGTCCATATCGGGGGCGACCATGCTTCGCATATCATCTTGCCGTTTGTGTGAGCCATTGGGATTGAGAACTTGGAATCTTTATGGCAGCACTACAGATAGATCTTTGTTATTATACCAAGGTGAAGAAGTAACGAGAAATGTTTGAGAAATGTTTGATTATGAGAATATATCTGTAATTGTCTGTAGATCTGACCAACCGTGGAGAGCCCTCTCATGCAGATACGCCAAGCGCACCTCAAGGGTCATACCACGGAGTCTGTTACACCACCAAGTAATATGTGAATCAGAGATGCCTTCATCGCGTCCGTGAATAACAAGGTATGGTGTGCCGAACGCCTTTCTCAGCTTCGCTCCGTCCGGAGGTCCCAGCAGCCCTTAAACCCCGAAAGGAGAGCCAGCTGGGCTCCAAGAGGAGAGATTATCGAAAGATACACGCTAGGCTTTCATCATCTGGGGAGAAATGTTAGCTACTGTCAACGATAGAATCTTAGCGTTCGTCATGGCAAAGGCAGCACTCACTTTAATAAAACTTGGAAGGATGAAGAGGAAAAATAAAAGAGGGCCGCTGAAAGCCAAATTTGTAGTGGGCGGGAAACCACCCTAGGCTCAATGGGGGAAGCGGAGGGAGTGGATCTGCCATGCCTTGCCGCCCTGCAGTATGAATCCACCCGATCATCATATCATGCAGGTTCATCTCAATTGATCGCTCCGACTCCAGTGAAGCTTTTAATAGCAGACATTGAGTCTCAAGATGTTTCTGGCCAGAGCGCCCCGTTACTCTCCGCAGCTCCGTGCCAGCTACCTTGAGATTTCCAACTACCTCCGCCGCAGCCGACGACCGGCGTTGAACCGGACCTTCTATGCACAGAGCTCGCCGCTCAGAGCTCCCCAAAGTGGGCAATCCACTCACGAGCAATCCCCAGTTGAAAAGAATGCATCAACTGCATCGAGTGTGCTGGCAAACTTCAAAAAGTCGAGTGCGCAATCCTATAACTCCCTGCAATCCTGCGACAATCAACTAAACCCCTCCGCTGACCATCACCTTACGCAGTCGAATTCCCATCCCCAACATATGACTTCGAGACATTCCTCACCAAAGCCGAACCAGGCCAGCAAGTCGTTTTACAAGGCTATGTCGGGAACCGCAGAGAGCTCTCCAGCAAGCTCGCATTTGTGCGTCTGACCGATCCAACCATGAAATACAGCGTCCAACTCGTCTCGACCAAGAAAAGCGGATCCTTTGCCGCGCTCAAAGCAGTGCGTGCGCACAGCCCCGTGGTGATCAAGGGCACGGTCCAGAGGAAGCAAGCCAAAGATGCAGAGATGGCCGAAAAAGACCCATGGGAGATTGTCCTAGACGAGGTCCAAGCGCTGAACGAGTTCCCAAAAGACATTGTCATGACCGGGGATCACGTCCACCCACCCAAGCACCGCCATCTGCAGCTGCGATCAAGCAGCGAGCTGCGCGATGCACTACGCTTCCGGGCTGAGGCCCGCAACGTGTGCAGACAGGCGCTGGAGCAGTCTCGGCCTGCCTTCGTGGAGATCGAGACGCCGCTGCTCTTCAAATCTACCCCGGAGGGCGCACGCGAGTTCCTGGTGCCCTCCCGCAAGCGCGGTTTAGCCTACGCCCTACCGCAAAGTCCGCAGCAGTACAAGCAGATCCTCATGGCCAGTGGGATCCCGAGATACTACCAATTTGCACGGTGCTTCCGCGACGAGGATCTCCGCGCTGACCGACAGCCTGAATTCACCCAGGTGCGTCCACCCCCCGTGGAGCCAGCCATCACGTCCTCATACTGACCATACTTTCCACAGCTCGATCTCGAGATGTCCTTCGCTTCAGGAACTGATGTGATGGAGGTCGTCGAAGGCGTTATCCGTCGTCTTTGGTCTACGCTGATGCCGGAGCCCGCGCCCTCAGGCCCCTTCCGCCGCATGCCCTACCAGACAGCGATGAGCCGGTACGGATCCGACAAGCCCGACACGCGGTACGGCATGGAGATCTCGCGCATCGACTACCTCCTCCCCGTGGATCTGGTCCGGAAGATCACCCCGCTCGACAACCCCGTGGTCGAAGTGTTCAAGCTCGAGGGCAACGACAACGACCCGGCGGCCACCCAGGAATTCATCACCAACTTCCTCGACTCCCCCGAAGGCGCGCCCTTCAACGAGAACTCCGACGGCGGACCCGGGATCTTCGTGGTCGACGCCCGGAAGCCGCTAAGCGGCCTGCAGCCCTTCGGCTTCGAGGCGGCCGAACACCTCGAGAACAGCCTGGGGATCGAACACGGCGACCTGGTGGTCATCCAAGCGCGGCCGCAGAACTCGCTCACGGGCGGCTCGACCGCGCTGGGCAACCTCCGCCGGGCACTGCACGCGGCCGCGGTCGCGGGCGGCTTCAAACCCGCCGTGCCCGGCTTCGAGTTCATGTGGGTGGTGGACTTCCCGCTCTTCACGCCAGCAGCCGAAGACTCGGCCGAGGAGCCCGGGCAGGGGGGCGCGGCGGGCTTCTCCGCGACGCACCACCCGTTCACCGCCCCGAAGACGGCGGCGGACGTCGACCTCCTGACCAGCGCCGACCCGACGCAGGCCACCGCCGACCACTACGACCTGGTCGTCAACGGGGTCGAGCTCGGCGGCGGCAGTCGCCGTATCCACGACGCCGCCGTCCAGGAGTTCGTCTTCCGCGAGGTCCTGCGCATGCCCGACCACCGCATCGCCGACTTCGCCCACCTGCTCGACGCCCTGCGCGCCGGCTGCCCCCCGCACGCCGGCTTCGCTCTGGGCTTCGACCGCCTCGTCGCCGTCATGCTGGGCCGCGAGTCGGTGCGCGATGTCATCGCCTTCCCCAAGATGGGCAAGACCGGGGAGGATCCCATGGTCAAGGCGCCCAGCCCGATCAGCGAGGAGGCGGCCAAGATCTATCATCTAGCGGTCAAGGAGTCCGCCTGATGAAGCTTCTGTCTTTCGTGTCTGGTAAATCAGATTACCAGTTTCGACGAGAGACACGTCATTGTCCCGCCATGTATGACTAGCGTTGTATGATAGATATCCTGTATACTGTATAGAAAAAAACCCCATCTTTCTCTGGTTGCAACCCGCACATCAGCTACGCGTCGACACTACCAGCGGACTAGATAGACATACAAAGTCAGGAGATAATCATACCCCAAGAAAAGGCGGCTGTTATACAAGAGGTACCAGAACAAACCAACAGACACACCACAAAATAAACGCCGTCCACATTCCGACAGAACAGGGAATCTAAATACACACAAGACCAAAACTTCGTGGTTGAAGGAAGCGAAAGGAGTGGACAAATCAAAAGAACAAAGAGTATATAATACCACCGCCGCATTCTCTTCTCCGAAGCCATGCCAATCATTCTATGTCTTTTCTCTGTTTTACATTGAGTTTGTATTTCGTCGAACCGGACAGAATCCGCGCTTCTTAGGATTACTAGGTGTCAATCCTAAGGCCGAGCAGCGGCAGCAGCAGCAGCAGAAGCAGCAGCTTCCTCCTCTTCATCCAGATACATATAATCGGCCTCATCATCCTCGGGATCCTCGGGCTGTCCGAAGGCTTGGCGCCACACGCCATCCCAGAGGCCCTTCTTGGTGACTAGGCCGCCCACCAACAGAACCGGTAACTGCCAGATACTCGCCCAGAAGAGGCCGCGGGCGCTGCCTTGGCCGCCCTGGAACTTCCAGAAGCGGTAGGCTTCCTTCACGAGCCAGGCGTTGGCGAGGGAGCTGCTGACCAGGAACCCGTGGCCGACGACGCCGACCCACCACAGGCCGATGGAGATGGGGAACATAAGCACCGAGTAGCGCAGAGCGACGCGCGCGTTCATGGCCGGGTTCTTCCAGCACAGCATTTTGTAGCCGGCGCGCTTGTATTCCTCGCGGATGGTGTGGGAGAGGGCGTTGAAGTGGGGGAACTGCCAGGCGAAGAGAATCCCGCCCAGCAGCCAACCCCCGATGCTGTCTTCGCTGAAGAGCATGTCGCGCCAGGTGTCATGGCCGGTCGTCGCGGTCTGGCCGGCGGCGGCGACCCAGCCCATCAGCGGCGGGATCCCGCCGACAATAGCCCCGACCCAGGTGTTGATCACGTGGATGCGCTTGAGGGGAGTGTAGATGAAGCCGTAGAGAATGATGTTCCCGGCAGACAGGGCGGTGACAGTGGGGTTCGTGCCGAAGTAGAGCAGGCCCAGCCCGGAGACCGCGGTTGCGAGAGCGAAGAGCACCGCCCCGCGGCGGGAGACCAGGCCGCGGACCAGCGGGCGATTGCGCGTGCGCGACATGAGGGCATCGTACTTCGGCTCGAGGTACATGTTGATGGTGTTGGCGCAACAACTGGAGAGGAAGGTGCCCACCGTCAGGTAGAGGAATGTGAGCGTGGAGGTCGAGAGGGTCGGAAGCGGGGTCATAGACGGGTCCAGCGCAAGGAGAGTGGAGATGGGGTACATGCCGTAGGCCGTAGTCGTGGTCAGGACGACGAGAATGGATAATCGAGGCTTGCAGAGCGCGAGGAAGGCCGCCATCTTGCGGCGCGGGGACGTGGTGGGGAGAGCGGAGGAGATGGCCGACAGCTGTGCGGAGGCGTCGGGGGGAATAACATGTTCAGCTTCGGCGTCGCCTGCTGCAGCTTCATCCTTGAGTCGTTTCCTCCGGCGGTGTGGAAGCTCTGTCTGTATCGATGGAGAAGGAATTGAAACGGGGGGGGAGGAGGAGGAGGAAGAGGAAGAGGATGATGTCGGGTCGTGGTCTGATGCTGGTTTGCGGGCTGAGGAGTCGGGCTGAACGGAGGCATTGTTGGTCGAGAGAGAGGACAGCAAGCTGGCCTTGCTGGCTGCTGCATCCTCAATGCGGTTGGCCGAAAAAGAGGAGCGGTGGAGGGGTGCATGAGCAGATTGAGAGTCGGCGCTGTCGGAGCCAGAGCGGGAAGACGAGATGAAGCCGCGGAGACCAGCGCCGGACAGACGCGGTGAGAGAGAGCGTCTCAAGAGACCCTGGGATGCGATCCGACCGGCATCGCGAGTCGGTCCTACCACCCGCAAGGAGCAGCGGAGGAGACTCATGGCGAAGAAACGAAGGGGGGCAGCAGACAGCCGTGAGGAAGTCCGGAAGCACAGAAACCAGCCCAATTCGATGAATTGAAGCCAAAGAGGGAAAGATTCCAGTGTCCGTCCGGGGGGCGGCAGCGACCAGCTGTGCAGCGGATCGAGGAGATTCCACTCGATTGTCATCATCCGATTTTATCACTTAAACTATTAATTTTTTGTTTTCTCCGGAGGACTTTTGTTCTTTGTTGTCTCTTATTACTCTCCCTACTCAGCAGAACCACTTTATCCACCCTCACACTCAACATCACTGCGACTCCTGCACATCCATCGCTTCTTTCCTTCAAAATACAACATGGACGTCCTCCAAAAATCCGTCCTGGATCCTCTCCAGCCCGTCCTTCGCCCCATCGTCTCGGCCGTGCCCGAACCCGTGCACGATGCGATCATCTCGCTGATCGGCCAGTCCTGCCACAACGCTCTGGTGGTCGACCTCGACGTGAGCAAGGATCCCGCCTGCACCTCGCTGGCTATCTCGAAGGCGCTGGGGATTGCCATCGTCGGCGCCAGCGCTATTGTCAAGGTGCCCCAGATCGTGAAGCTCATCAGCTCGCGCTCGTCGGCCGGCGTCTCGTTCGTCTCGTATGCGCTGGAGACGGCCAGCCTGCTCATCACGCTCTCGTACAGCGTGCGCAATCAATTCCCCTTCAGCACCTTTGGCGAGTCGGCCTTGATCGCCCTGCAGGATGTGGTGGTGGGTGTCTTGGTGCTGGTGTTTGCGGGCCGGTCCGCGGCGGCGGCGGCGTTTGTCGCCGTGGTTGCGGCCAGCGTGTACGCCTTGCTCTTCGATCAGACCCTTGTGGATGCGAACACCATGTCGCTGCTGCAGGCCGGTGCCGGAGCGCTGGGTGTGGCTAGCAAGGCGCCGCAGATCTACACTATCTGGCGGGAAGGTGGCACTGGCCAGCTGAGTGCTTTTGCTGTAAGTGGTCGGAGTGTTTCGATTTGTTCTGCCCTTCGCGCCCTCTAGCTAATACGTTTGTTTGTATCTACAGGTCTTCAACTACCTCGCCGGTTCCCTGTCGCGCATCTTCACCACCCTGCAGGAGGTGGACGACAAGCTGATCCTATACGGATTCATCGCCGGATTCTCGCTGAACCTGGTTCTGGCGGCTCAGATGCTGTACTACTGGAACAGCCCGGCCGTGTCCCAGGGCAAGAAGACCACTCAGGGCAAGCCCATCGGCAGCGCGACGAGCGTGTCGACTCCGAAGCCCACGGCCACGAGCTCGGGCATCTCCTCGCCCAAGGCCTCGGGCAAGACTCCGACCACCCGGAGACGTGGTTGATTGGGTCCTTTTTTTTCTTTCCTCGTATAGATTCTTTCAGTTCGACGATAATTCCAATCCACTTTTCCCCCTTCCTTGCCATTGTCCACTCGTAGGAAGTAATACGGCCCCTTTTTTTTGAGCCTCCAAATCACTTCTGACTGGGCATAACGCCAACAGTCATGAACCTCAAAATCTCATCCAAAGGCACCGCAGGCGCATCCATCTTCTGCTGCTGCTGGTGGTGGTGGCCACCAGCAGAAGCAGGCGCAATTTCAAACTCCAGCCCAGCGGCTGCACCGGACTTCCTCCTCACCCCAACAACCTCCATCTCCTCCGCCTCTCCCTCCCCTTCCTCGTCTTCCTCATCCTCACTGCCACTTTCATCATCATCATCGTCATCATCCTCCAACACTCTCCGCAGCCCAGTCACCACATTTCCGATTCCACCCTCCCGCTCCTCCAACGTAAAGTTACCGCCCCAATTCCTCCGCCTCGCCTCCTGATTCGCCTCGACGGGCGCCCAATCCCACAGCTCCGCGAGCGCAGCTAAATCGTCCAGCCCTGCGCCGGCAGCTGCGCCTGCATCGGGGTATCCACCAGTCGAAGCACCCCCGACGAGACCGCCCGCCTTCCGACCGCGGGCCACCCAGTCCTCGACGCGGGGATCGAGTTTCGTGCGGAGGAGCTGCTCGAGGGCGACGGTGTTGGTCGGGTTGCGCGAGGGGTAGGAGGGGGCCGGGTAAGCGACGAGGGAGGAGAGGAGGTCACGGTTTTCGGAGAGGTGGTCGGAGATGGTGAGGAGGTTATTGGAGATGATTGTTGCTTGGGATTGGAGGGAGGTCCTGGTTTGTTTAGTCTGGGTTGGGGGTGGTCGGCCAGAATGCCGCTGTCATGACCAGAAAAAAAAAAAGAAAAAAAAAAAAAAAAAAAAAAAAAACTGCGGAGCAGGGTGAACATACCACGAAGGTAGCGGATCACTCTGATTCAAACTGGTGATCAACGAGGCCAGAGAATGCGTCAGTTGCACCAGTCGTTGACGCGATTGCTCGAGGGTTTTGATCTGATCGGGGGTGGGGGAGGACATCTTTGTTTCTGTCCTGCTGTACGGGGGGAACGGAGTCTTGTCCAGCGAGAAGAGATGACAAGTAGGAGGTGGCGGGGGGGGGGGGAAATTCAGGATGGTGCTAGCAATTATGCGATTGCGCACGATGATCGTTGGTGGGCGGTGATGAAAGTTGGGGGACAAGGCAAGGTGTGTGTTTGGCCTGAGGTGTCAATTTCCCCATCCGCTGCCATGCAGAGCCCCCCACATAACTACTCCGTACTTTTCATACTTATCCTCCCGTAAGTCTATACTCATTCATCTACTACTATCTACACAATATACACAACAAAACTTTTGAATCCACATAGAATCCTGGCGCCTAGTTCTCTGTTCTCCTCACCTCTCTTATCTCGATCATCTTCCCTGTGGCTTCACCATGAAACGCGCTCCCTCCTCCGCCAACCACTCATGACTTGTCATCGCTGCAAAGGATCCCGTGTGTTATTTTTAGATCCCCTGCAGGGATTCTGCAGGCCTGTTCACAACCACATACCCTCTTTCAGTTCTTCCCCGCGCTTAACTCTGCCAAATTCCCCCCCTGGGGAGACAGTGATCTAAAAGGGCTTATAAACCCACCTCCTGCTGGGAGGACCGATTCAGGGTCTTTCCTGCATACTTACCCTTCTCCATCCTACGTTCCATCATCTTTTGGCATCTCCACTGCGTGGTTTACCACGCGTCTATGTTCATCCTGATCTTACTGTTCATCGCTGTTGACACTCGCAGTACCATTATCAAACTGGATTTATGTGCAATACTCAAAGGAGATGGGGTATACAAGAACATGCTCCTCGTGTCGATCCATCCGATCCGCTCGCTCATCATAAAGTCATAGCAGAGACTCATGCCGCACGCGAAAAAAAACAAACACAAACTTCACACAGTATCGTTCTCCACGTGGAGGCCAGTCACTCATGGTGATGAATCTCAAAAACACCTCAGGGCATCACCCATGATGCTGAAGACTTGGCTGCATTACCCACAACCTACGACTTGGAGTCAGATTGGACCGGGAAGAAGTCCTCCGGCCCCTTACCCTTCTCTTCCGGAGACAACTCGCCCTGCACCGCCACGGTTGTCTCTTTCACCTGCTGCTTCGAGTATCCCACCATCTGGCTGCGGCCATCATTATCCACAAAGTGGAAGCCCGACGCTTCTTGGTGGTGCCCTGGAGGCTGCGGCTGCGGCTGTGGCTGCGGCTGTTGATACGCCCCCGGCGGATACATCTCCTGTGGAGAGGGCGCCGGGCCACGCCACGGGTGCTCCGCAACCAGCGTCTTCCACCGCTGCTGCTCCGAGGCCCGCTCCCGGCGGACATACCTGCGCCGCCACTGGCAGCAGAAGATGATACTCAGGATGAACAGACAGACACAAATCACAAACCCCATCACCGGCAGTCCGATCAGCGTCGCCAGCCGATAATTGATCGGGTCGTGCGATGTGCTGTTCAGCAGATCGGTCGAATAGAAGGGGAGTTGCACCTCCGAGAAAATTTCGGATGGACTGATAGGAAATGCCGTGTCCACGGGCACGGGGAAATGGCACTCATAACGCATCGCTTCTAGGACTGATGATTCACTCCCGTTAGCAGCTTGGTCTCCCAACTCAACGCGGGATTATACGCACAATTGGCCAGATACCCCTGGGTGCTGGTCAGGTTGTAGCAGTTACTACAGGTGTCGATGTGGTTGTCGGCAAATGCTCCCGTGGCGCAATAGGTCCGCAGGGTATTATAAGTCGGGTTCAGCAGCTCAAACTCGAACGCAGGACTCAACCCCAGGCACGCCACAAGACAAGGCGTTGAGACCGTGTTCACAGCCTCTGGATACCCGTACACACAGGTGTCAAATGCGAAGCGGAGATTATCTGGACACGAGACGAGGTCAGCGCCTGGCCAACGGCAACCGAACAGAGTCACAACACTTACAAAGACCCCATGCGAAGTCACTGATCTCGGTATCGGCGTCGGTGTAATTACTCTGCAGCTCGCAGGATACACATTTTTGGAAAGACCGGCCCTTCTCCGTACTGTTGTACGATTCGTCCAGACAGACAATCTCCGAGGAAGTGGTGTTGGTCGGGTTGCTACAGACGTCATAGCATGGTGAGCCGTAAGTTGCGTACAATGCCCCGGCCGGTGATGCCAGGTAAGTCAGTAATAGCAACGGTGCTGCCACCGTCCAGACGTAGGTAGACCGAGGGCTCGGGCCCCGCAATTTGAACATCATCATCCTGATGATGCCGAGGTCTCACTGATGAATCGTCCTGGGTGCGCCAGACAACCGAGATAACCGGGTCTACCTTGCCAAACGAATGGAGGTGCTCAGTGCAAAGGAGGTCGACCGAGCCGGCATCGAACTCACGGTACGGCCAAGGAGATAGAGATAGCGACAGGAAGTGGATGACCCACGATCCGAAACCAAAGGTAAGGGGGAGAACGTGCACCAGCCACGGGAGAGAGGAGGGGGACAGAGGGTAGAAATGGCGAAGCGGATCCTAGAATGCAGGACAAGCTCTTCGGTTGGACGGCATGGATCGGAGCCATGATGGGAATTGATATGTGTAAAAATGACCACGGGGGCGAAGAGGAGAACCGCTGCTCCGTGCCGGATCACCAAACGGGGGTTGGAATTGGATGACACTGGCTTAGACTAGCTTGTTTCTAGGATTGAACCCAGTAGGCCAACAACAAAGGATAGATGGGATGGGGTTCAAACCTGGGCGCGTAAAAGCCCTCTCGCAATCAGACGAGGGGGGCTTGTTGATCATTGTGATGGGGGGCAACTGTGAATGTGACATGTAGTGCAGAAGCTTGCAGTCCCGGGAATGAGCTTGTGCTGGTGTGATTTGCTGGAACTCCTCCTGCACGAAGGATGAGTTTTTTTCTCGCTGCTTGTCGGCTTTGCGGGGTTCGGCGCTTGCAGCCTGCCTCACATTGGACAAGTTCAGCCTGCCCCAACTGCAAGTCAATCAATGGATGATTGCTTGCTGAATTGGGGGTTTTTCCCTTTTTCTTCTTCTTTTTTGAAGAGATTCAAAGGTGACGATGGTGTGATCGATTTGGACTTGGATCAGATCGATTCTTGTTCTCCCAACGGAGATATGCAGCCTGGTGGAGGAGATTCCCTCTCACCCCCCCCTAAAACAATAGGAGACGCGCATCTCTTCAAAACGCCTTCCAAACAGGCCACCACAAACTACCAACTACTGTAAGTACAGTGTCCACAACGCCACAATGCAGGTTTAATCCTCGGCCTTCGCCCCGCGAGCCACACTCTCAGCCAGCGAGAATTCAAGCCATGCCGCCTCGGATTCAAAGGCCCTCGCCATCAACGCTAGACGATGGCCACAAGACAAAACGAAACCACCGACTGCCACTCCAAGTTACAAACCGACCGACATGCGTAAACCAGAACCGCCACCCAATGTATCTGCCAAACCCATCTCTCTCAATAGACCTCCTATCCATATAGTTCATCGTACGAGGGTACCAACTCGTGGGCTCGTGGAAGCTCTTGCTTAGAACGTCGGCTAGCTCGCCGCTCTGCCAGTGCTGACGATGGTGGAATAATGCCCGGAATCCTAGGGTCCTCTGCTGGGGACGGATTTGACTGCCCTGAAGAAGTGTAGCTGTTATGTCTCGATCCGAACGTCCCTGGCATCGACACCGGGGATTCCACCAAGCATCCCTGAGTACTACACCCGCCGCGCATTCGCGAGGTCACTGACAGTGGAGGAGATTTAGATGCGCGCGAGTAGAGCTCAGCATCATCGTATGGACTGGGCCGCCCGAACGAGGGCTGATGTCGCCCAGTCGATATACCACCTTGCGATGGTGCAGCGGCCGCTCCATCAGTTTCTTCCAGAGAGCCATCGTCGGAACACGAATGATACCACGCACTAGGCGGATGGACCGAGGTCGATTCATACGAGTCTTGTTTCATCCTTGAGCGACTTCCCACCCGTGCATCGTAGTATCCCGTGGGGATAGTCATGGCCGAGTCGACGGATTGTGCCCGCACATCTCGGCTGGCTGGTAGTACGGAAGATCCTATGCGTGGCGAGCTGGCGCAACGACCGGGCTCAAGAGAGTTCTGTCGCCTGTCGTGGTCTCCATTGGACGTGCGGCTGCCCGCGCTCGCCTGATCCCACTGATTCCAAGAGCCACCATTGGGGTAAGTGATAGATACGTCGCCCCATCGTGAGTGCAATTCCGATGATAACTTTCGCTTTCGCCGCAACTTCTGCATGAGGTTCGCCATGATCGCAAGAGGACTTTTCATGGAATGAAGCCTGAAAAGGCTGGGGTGGATTAGCATCGACGGGTTAAGCCACGGATGAGCGAAGGACTGAAGGCCAAGGAGGGAAGAGCCGAGACATTCACGGTACCTTTCAACAGATGGGTCAACCACGGCGTATAGCCGGACCCTTTTTCTCCCTCCAGACGTCGTCCACCTACCCAGTTCGTTTTCCCAAGCTGTCCAAAGAGGAAAGCAAACGATGGAGCGAAGCTCAACCAAGCAGCACCGCAGGCTTCGAGACCAATCTCGATCGATCCAGTACACTTTACCCAATGCCCGGAGGACCTATGCCGGCCGAAGGGCTCATGCACATCGCTCAAAAAGTTGGTAGATGAGGGTCTTTTGCCTCAGGGACGGACAATTGGGTTTCCTTCAGGAAACCCCCCGCCCCCTCCCCAGCAGGCAGACAGTCATACGGGGCCCAGCGAGTCAGCTACGGTCGCACGGGAAAGTAACGCATTCATGACCCGACAGTTTGGTTCTCCCACCCTCGTTGTGGTCTTTTCGCTCTGGTGGAGTGGGGAGATACGCCCAGTAAGGGCCAGAATAATCCGAAAAGCGACCACGCTTATGAAAGCGGCACGGAGGACGGCCGTGATCAGTGGCCATGAACAAGCGTATGAGACCGAGGTATGACCCGGTCTGCATAATTGCTAGGCAGGGGTGAAAGGGGGTTACTCGCGAGGATGACGATGCGCCGCAGTCAACTTGCTTTGGCGGCGTGCTAGCTGTGCACAGCTGCTATGATGTTGGCCGGAAAAGCATCTAGTCATGGGTCGTCATCTTGGCATGGCGCGTCTGGTGACCCTGGCTTCTATCAGCATTGGAAGGACTGGAAATACCCTTGTCGGAGCTAGCAGGTGCGTAGTATCGATTTAAGACATGTCGTGGAGAAGGACCGATAAGGCGAATACTAACCGCCGGTGGTGATAGCTGGAGGCCTCGTGATCGCTGGAAGCATCAAGGCGAGACTTGGGCATTTCACTGGTCAGCCAATAATTAGGGCGAGGATAGTGGGTTCGGCCGGCGTTAGCAAGCCATTTGCTTGCTCATCGATGCCAGATCTCGCGACAAGAAAGAGGGGAAGCCGGAATGGACAATCACCGGTTTGATCGTCGCGGCTGGACCCGAACCACCCGCAGAGCTTATCTACGCGCCTGGATGGGTCCCCTCAGGCAGGCGAGGAGTCATTGTCACATCTCCTCGTCACTCCGCAGCTCGTCGGCTCCGAGACATCGATTGTAGCGTTTTCTTCTTTGGGTTAATGGACGCGATTCAGGTACTGCAGTAACCCCGTTTCGGGCTTTGTTGTCGTCTGTCGGCTCGCTGACGATAAGGCGTGTCGCAGTGGTAGTGAGTACATACAATCTTTCGCCATCAACCTGTACAGGGGGTGAGGTATGCCCTGTTTGCTCCGGTCCTTTAACCGCCTGCCGTGGCCCGTGACTAGGCGAGGTACCAATCAATAGTCTACTCTGCGGTAATCTGTATCAACTTGGCCTGGGATAATTCGTTAAGTGTCAGTCGATCACAAAAATCGCTCTTGATGAGAGAGAAGGGGGAGGGGGGAAGGGAACAGCAAGTGGGGAAGGGGAGAGGAAAGAGACGAGCTGAGCTGAAAAAGTACCAACCTAGAATGAGGGACCCTGGCGCAGAAGGCAAGTGCTCATAGCAAATGTCATCGAAACTCTTCGAGTTAGATCACCAATGACATTGGAATCACATTGGTGGATAGTGAGGTTGTTCATGTTTTCCTGCCGGAGTAACTCGATCATGAGTTAATATCACCTCGTTGCTGTACCATGTAGCTGGCGTGCTTTCTTATCCTCCCTCATCCTCTTTCTCTCTTCGTAGTCTTCATTGACATCATAAACATCATCACCGCAATCATAATCATCATCCTCATAATGCATCCAAGCCAGCTGTGTCTTCCCAACGCTCAGTCGAATGTGGAATCCCCAAGAAGACCCCCATCAAACAACGAACGCATTCCAAAGAAATGAATAAAGGCACGAGAGGTATCAATCTATAAGCGAGCGACGGTATGAAAATGGCAGGTCATCCTCCCAACCGATCATCGAAGATCAGTCACCAGCCTCGACAGCACCGGCTTAGGTCGTCGAGGCGTCTGTGTCGCACCATCTAAGCTCGATGGTGGAAGAGACGACCCTTCATTGAGATCCCGCATGGGACCTATCGTGGGCGAAGGTTGAAAGGAAAAACGAGGCGTAACCAAGGAATCACGCTGAGCCATGATCGGAGCCGGGGGATCCAGCATCCATGACGAGGGCCTTTCCTGCTGCTGGTCCACAGTAGGATGGTAGGGGATAGCCAGTCCAACAGGGGCGGCATCAACCCTTTGGTATCGAGACGGATCATACGCTGGCAGGGGCTGGTAGGCAGGTGGTGGATCACGGAGCAGCTCCTCCACGGGACTCGGGTAATGAGCAGACAGACGCGACATGGGCTGGGTGGGAGGAGGGAAGCCACCGAAACCGGTGGTCTCTGATACTGCCAACCCTCCTGTCCCTGCTCTTCCTTCTTCAAGGCGTTGCTCCTTGTTGTTGGTGTCGAGATCACGCAGAGTGGGGTAGTACCCCAAGGCATACGAGATGTGATGGTCGATGAGGAATTGTCGGTCTTCGCGGCGTTGAAGGGAGCGTCTCTTGTGGCAGAGGAAGGCAAGGATTCCGATGACTGTTGTTTGTATGAAGCGAATCAGTCAGTTGCCTCGAGGCTCTATCCCGGTGGTTTTCTCGATTCCTTTCCTCTTCATGCTATAGAACAAGACACGAGAAGGAATAAGTCAAGGCTCACCGGCCACCAGCACGACACTCCCAAGCACCACGCCAATGATCATCCCATCCATCCTCGACGACGAGAGTTCTGTCGATCGACTCTCAAGGTGTCTTGAACGCATCATTCTCATCATCGACATGCTGAATATCTGATGTCTGTCTGTCATGGTCTGGCTGATGGTTCGATGGACTGACCAGACATAGATCCGATGAGATGCAATGCGTACCTGCGTCCTCTCGCTTTCTTCGTCTCACTCACACTTCAGAGAAGCCCAGACAGCAGCAACAAGAAAGAACACACACACCACACTCACACACCCCGCAAACGCTCGAGGCAAGACGCAACAGCAGCGCACAAGAGCCAAAACCAGGCAGAAGGGAGAGAAACAGGAAGAGACGAAGCAAAGAGAAAAATCCCCGACAGGGTCCAACGAACGACCCGCCACCTATCTTCAAATAAGAACTCCATCCAGTGTCAAAGCTCAATTGCCTTACCCTTCCCTACTACCCTTTCCTTTGTCCCCGCCTGGTCCACTCAATGCTATTTTAAACTCAGCGAGGAGGGGGGGTAATGATGGCGGTAATTGGCCCTAGCGCTGCATGAATCCTCCAGCATACGGAGTACACCGTGCTGTCACCCGCATTTGTTGTGCCTTGTGGCCCTTGTATCCAGGGTCTGAAGAAGACAACTTAGCACATGGAAGCGGGTCTAATCGCGATGTTTAAAAATAGCATAGATTGATTGGGAAGAAGAGGAGAAGCAGCCAAAGAGGTTGTCGTCTGCAATAAGCGCGGGGAGTCCACAGAACATCCATTGGTTCACGGTGATTGTTGATCATTTGTATCCGGCCTGAGCGCTGGGGGATTTCTCGTATCCGCCGGCGGCTATTTACTCAGTTGTCAGACCAAAATAGAATCAAGCTATAGTCTAGTGCATTTATATTTACACGACAGTCGACTGTAGAAAGAGAGCTATGGAACGGGTTGATAAGTATATAAAACGTGTAGGTAGTATCTCCCTCACCTGACCGGAGTTACTGCAATGCATGTTTCGAATGAGGTCGGTGGTGGATTCTGGTGTGTAGATATACTACGTAGTTATTGACTGTATACAACTTAGTTGTATTGTATATATAAGAACAACGAATTCATTCACACATTACCATGATCGCTCTTAGTATGACTATCGACACAGATTTCCACTCCTCAACGCCTTGCCCCTGCATGAGCTTACTCCGCATAAGGACGGTATACTGCGATCCCCTTCTCGGTACGCAGCTCCACGGCCACCCCGGCCCCGATATAGTATGTATAACCCTCACGGAGGTCAAATTTCTTCTCGTCCTCACCGACCACGCTCATTTGGCCACTGCCCTTAGTCACGATAAGCAGACTAGGGCCACCGACTGGCTTGTAGGTCTCCTTCTCGCCCGCCCCCAGACTGGTGCCCAGAACGTTGAACTCGCTGAACGGTGGGGCATATACTTCCGTCTTGTAGTACTCCCCCTTGTCGCTCTTCCGTCGCGGCAAGACTGCCTCGTCTGCGCTGTGCGGCTTGAATGACAACGCGTGAGTGAACAGATCGACACTGTCCTTCTCAGCCTTAGGGCAGAAGCCCGTGTTGATCACATTATCCGACCGGGCCATGCACTCCATGATGTCGCCGTGCAGGTACGCATGGATACTATCCGCCGGGACACACACGGCCTCGCCGGGCCCCAGCGTCATGTAGTTCATCAAGAGCACAGCCACCAAGCTCCCATTGTCGGTCTCCGGATACTGCTTGCGTAACCGGTCGAGCAGTCCAGGGATATACCGCTGATTGGGGCCGAATCGAGTCTCGGGAATCTCCAATAGCTCCTGGACGGTCTCCGCAACAATGGTGGGGGGCAAGGTCAATAGGATCCGGCAGATCTCGCGGAGCAACTCGTCATCCAGTCCGGATGTTTGACCGGGGGGCACGAACTGGTCGAGAGGCTTCACTTTCATGATCTGTTCGATGTCGGCGAGAGGCTTGAAACCTGCAAAGAGTTCGAACTTCGAGAGTGCGATGGCAATCTCCGGCTTGTGGTTGGGGTCGCCGTACTTGTCCGGGTCCTCCTGGTGAAGCTTCTCCGACAGAGCCTTGTCCGGGTGCAACTGCAGAGGAAGCGCCTTGGAGAAAGATAGAATCTGCTTGCTGGTGAGTCTGTTTCACTGGGAACTAGACAGTACTGGGGATGTCGCATCATACCTTGGGGAGGAAAGGCACCTCCGGACCCCATTTGTCCAACGCCGATTTGCCCACGACCTCCGGGTTCTCCTTCAGATAGTCGCTGAGAAGCTGACCTGTGGACAGGATCTTGGAAGGAACGGTAGGGTATGTGCCCATCCACATCTATATTTTTTTTTTGTCAACAGCTGAGCCAGTGGGAACGATGCGATCTCGAAGCTCACCTCGGAATAGGTTTTTGAATCATCGACCTCCCCGGCCCCAGGGGTCTTCGACCAGAGCACACCCGCAAGGGAATCTTTCCCCTTCTTGCCCCACGGGTCATTCTACATGCTGGTTAGCACAGCACGTGCGGACAGGATCGGAGAAAGACTAGACAAGTGCGAGCATACCTTGACACCGCAGAGCAATTGAACTACTGAATCTGGCATATTGGAGAGTATACTGTCTGTGGTGGGCTCGATGACGAGTATCAAAAGATGGCTATTTTGAAAAAGTGCACATTCCCAATGATATTATAACTGAGTCTTCCTGGCCATTTTTGCTGTTCTGATGCACCGCCTTTCAGTGCGTGGACATGGCGTCATGCTGTGGGGAGAAGACTTGGTTCGAGCCTTTATGTTTCATGGCGTCATGTCCTTATCATTCTGTCAGGGTTATTGCTTTCGGGATTACCGGAAAAGGTGGGTGGTTTCAGGTACGGCGGCAACTGTTGCGCCAGAGCACTGGTTGAAGAAGCCCATCAAACGAGCAGATCTCGAGGAGATTCAATGTGGTGTGGATGAGATTCCGCCAATGGAGGAATTCAGTCAAAACCCGAAGTTGTTGCGAGGCTCGTCAGCTTGACGTCAGCCAATCGCCCGCGAGTGAGTTAGTAATTCAACGATTTCTTTTCCTACAACACGAATCCATTGATTGCAATTGTCATGAGCAGAGATGAGTATTGATAATGCGGATTTTATTATATGCTGTACTACTATCAAAATATTGTAAATCCGGCCTGGACCGGAGTTGCCAGAAAATCGGTTTGGCCACCAACGCTATGCCAAGAGCAATGCTATGCAAGAATCAGAATGGACTGGTTCCGTAGGCCGTCAAGGCATTATCGGCGTAAATTGCGCCTCGTTCGTTAATCATAAAGCTGATCTGGATTAGGCACCATAGCTGTAGTCATGTACTTCCCGAGTCGAGTGACCCTTTTCTCTGTCGAAAACCTGAGACTCCTTTCCACTGAAGCGCTGGTGCGCCGGCTACTGCTCGCCTCGCTTCGTCGCAGGGAAGCTAACGACCGAGATTCTCGATTGTGGCGATGGGCATTCTCGATCGATAGGTTGCTGAATGTGTCCTCGAGATGGGTTTGACGGCTTCGAAGTCTCGACCGCCGCTCCTTAAAGTCCTCATCGGAAGGGGTGCAGGAGCTTGCACGGCGGCTGTACTGCGGCTGCGGTGATGGTGCTCTCAGCTCTTCTGGAAATTGATTCCCGGCGGGAATGTATGTGAACCGTGGCGAACGAGGCTCGGAGTATGAGGTCTTTTCAGCAATTTCGGCAGGGTAGTCTTGCTGAATTGGTCTATAGGCAAACTGAGACCGTCTGCGTTCAGCTTTGGTGGTGGGCTGTTGGACATGCTCCTCCGGATAATCGTGCAAGGGCTTCGATCGTGAAGTTAGACGCACAGACAGTCGACGTGGGTTTAGGGCTTTGATAGATAGAGAGCTGGGTCTGGCGGTGTGCTGGGGATGATCTGTCAAGGGGGTGGTCTCCTCGTGATGACCTCGATGCAAGCTGGAAAGAACGTAGCTTGAATCGCAAGCCCCCTTTCTGAGCGACAAATCATGGTGGTCCTCATATTGATTCCAGGATCCCTCGGTAGGAACTGTGATTCCCACATCGCCCCATCGCTCATGGAGCGGCGCGGGAGCGTCGTGTTTTCGAACTCGACCCAGAGGACGTTTCACAGCGCTTGCCATGATGGAATTGTTGGGAAGGGTCGGGAGACTCGGATGCAAAATCGACTGAGTCACCCACAGAACTGACAGGAAAATGCCTCAAATGCAACAATAGGAACAAAGAGAATGCCGCATGATAGACCTTGGAGGAAGCACTCGTGCGAGCACCATTCACCACTGCTGCTGCGGTTGGTGGCTGACGACTGAGCAAGCGCTTGCAGAAACCACCAAGAGTAGGGCTGAAAGTAAGGCCAAGACAATCCAATCGGGTTGTCTTTCCAAGCAGTTCAAGTTAGGAGCACAGACGTGAGGAAGGCTGAAGAGTGAATCCTTCATGACTCTGACCGTGGACAATGAACGATATAAAAGCTTATCCAGCGGCAAAGCAGCCGAGTGGGATGAACTATTTCAGTAAGTAGTTCTGTCATTGTGCTGTAAGTCATAAATGAGCTGCACCATGCAGAAGGAATTTAGTGTATGCTTCTTGCCAACATTAGAAACAAACAGACTGGAGGATGAAGCATGGGGGAAGGATGAACTGGAGAATTAGCCGCCGAGGAAGGATGTGTACACCAGGGGGTCATCTATATTAAGATCACTTACCTCAAGTAATTAGTAGCACCTGCAGCGGGTGCTACCCAAAATTAGGGACATGCGCTTAAATCATTGGACGGTAAGGCAGTTAGCGATGCGCCCGGATGAGGTGAATTACTACGTGGACTCACATCTTTCCCCCGCTCTGCAGTTCAAGCGATTCGCAACTTCCCGTAGATTGCATGTCGTTTGTCGCCCAGTCAGTCCAATCATGGAACTGCCTGACGCGCCCACGAACCTGTTCTATTTTCAGTCATCGCTGCATGCAGGTCATTGTCCGGCTCGCCCGGCACCAAATCCAGCCCCTCTAGGAAAGTCATGGGAGTAAATTGTCAATGATGATCATTCGCAAGTCAGCAAACCCCAAAGCTTCCATTATCTTATGCAGTCTATGATTAGTGCTCTCTAAATCAGGCTCGTCTAGTAACCAGCCATTCCAGACGCCGACTCCTGAGATCTAGACTGCGTACATACTCTAGGAGGGACACAAGACCCCAATGCATGTCCAGTATTGACAATAATATAATCCAATAATGTGCAAAAGTGTAAAACATGGAAAATGAGCAAGAAGTCGCCATTGCGTAGCGACAGCTATGATGCACGCTGGATCCTGGCGCAGTCATCACTTCATGTCAGAGACGACCTGCTGGGCGTTTTTGCATGGGTTGTTGGCGTCATTCGCAGCAGGTGGCGCGATGGTGATAACGACGTCTCGTGCATGCCACAGGTGGCATACTCTGGAGAACGAATCGCAATACCATTGAATGGCGACCGGGCAGAGTGACCGGATGAAGACGAAAGGCCGGGCGTCGACTGTGAAGAAAGCGAACCATTCTTGAGAGCCAGCAAAGAGTACGGGTGATCTTGCGAGCACGGCTCCCAGGATCGCCAAGATTTGCTCAACTGGAGGCGTTCGGAAAACGAAGGCAGTGGTTCTTCGTCGGTGTCAGACTCCGCAGAATAAGATTCGTCGCCAGTACTGGAGGAGTTCTCCCCCTCCCCTTGCGTACTTCGCTCGAGATCGTGATCCTGGCGCGCAAGGCTCACGCCATCGATGCTTTGTGAGTATTTAGATAAGAAGACACTCCGAGATCTTTGCAAATATGGGGTGGCTTGACAGATGTTGTGCTGCTTGGGTAGCTTTCGTCGCTCCAGCTCATGGCTATATGAACTCCGACGATTGAGCATACGGCCACGGCCGCCACTGCTCTCTAGTGACTCGAGCGAGCGACTATCGAGACTACTATCCGACCTTATGCGAACCTCACCAGGGCAAAAGGCCACCCTTGCTCGCATCTGCTGTACAGCCATGTCCAATGCCAATTCAATAGCACAATGGTTTCGAATGCGACCGAGCTTAGGCCATGTTGCACGCTCCCCACAGAGACATGCTTGAAGCATGAACTCGGTCGTCGGATTCTTCAGTATCACCGGGAAGTGGCTATACAATATCTCCGGGTAGATATTGATATCGCCGGAGTATTTCTGGTTCACAATAGACATGGTCTTCGTCAAAGCTGTCGGGCAGATTCCCAGTTCTGAGAGAACTGTTAGGCGATACAGTAGTTCGTCCTTGGCCAGATGAGTGGCCGTGTGCAACCATTGAGGAGCAGTGAAGAGCGATTGCCCTTGCTGGTTTGGACCATTATCCCTCGGCAAGAATGGGACGACGTGAGGATTGACCTGCGACACAATGAAGTGATTCACATTGAACATCTCGGACAATCGGTTCATCGGCAGGTCGCCGTCCACTGATCCATCGATGTACTGTTTGTGCAAGTCGTGCCAAGGCGTTGGCTCTCCAGTTATAGGATCTTTAGCCATGAGCTCTGACGGTGAAAATATCAGGGGTACTGAGCAGGAAACAGCACTACTGGCGTCAGTCTGAGGAACTTTACGTGAACGAGGATAGATGGAGAGAGGTTTCTTACACAGCAGACCAAATCAACACATTCGGTGCAGTGATGTAGTTCAACAACTTGGGAAGCTCATAGACTCCCGCGCTAGAGACGCAAATGTTGAGAATTCGTCGGGTCCGATTGTATGCTTCCTGAAAGGTTATATCGCCAAGCCAGCTTCTCATCAGCTTAGCTAGATGTGTGATATCGAGAAACGATCCGTACTTGAGAAACCGCGCGGTCTTCTGTAATATATTGTCGGTTTCGCTTTCTTCGCCAAAGACTGCAAAGTCACCATACGCATAGGAATCGAGCAGCGCCGGGAGCTCATCTTCGGTGCGCGTGCAGAACACTGCGCACACGATGCTGCCTGCGGAGGCCCCGGAGATGATTCGAGGGAGGAGTTTGGCCTCGTACAGAGCCTTCAGTACCCCGATGTGATTCATTCCGAACGTCGCGCCCCCCGAGAACAACAATGCGCTGCGGCCAAACGCTTGTCTCGCTGCGAGTAATTGGTCAAGTATATACTTGGTCTCTAGGCCATCGCATCGGTTTTGCCCCGATAGCTCGACCAGCGAGGATATCGTGTCTAGAGCTGTAGTAATATATCGGTCTATTAAATCTTTCGTACCCAGGTGCGAATGGCGGTAAAGTGAGGCATTGCTCATGTTCCCCAGATCTCGGCTTAGAGAAGTGCGAATTAGGAACAACATCCGGCTGACATCACAACTGATGCGGGCGTCCTCCAATTGCTTAAGACGTTCTTGAATCAGACGAACGTCGTAATCAGGTGACTCAAGCGTCTCCTTCCAGATGGTGTGCTCCTCCAGGTCGTCCAATTCGCTGGCACAACTCCGCCATTCTTCATACGTCACCGCCTGCACGAAGGTATTAGCATACAGTAGGGATTAGTTAGATGTATCCCTCTCAGTCGGACACTTGCGAGGGGGTGACTCACATTCCGCATTTTCAAGTAAAGCACCTGTTTCCTGTCTTCTCTATCACTGCTCTCCTGGCGCTGTTCGGCGCAAGAGCCATCTCTTCGATAGTTCCACGTGTCTCCAGCCCATGTTAGAGAGCTTTTGACCACGGACGACAAAGATGGGACGGAGAGGGATTTGAGTAGAGACCGCCGGGACCTGGCGGCCGTATCTCGAATCGCATCCGGAGTTGGGCGTCGCCTAGATTTACTATTGCACTGAGTGCGCACGACGGTGGGGTCGTGAATTATTGACATGACAGGCTTGGCCCTGCATCAGTCCAACCGGTAAGCCGATAACGTATGCAAAACAGGCTTTAGAGGAAGCGTCCGCTGGGTGGGAAACAGGAGTAAAACCGATGGTTATGGGGCCAACAAAGGATTTGGGAATGATTTTCCAAACGTGGTTCAGCAGAGGAAGGAACAAATCAAAGAAGGAGAAACTGATAGTAGTTATACTAGGTAGGTATGGGGAGGAAGGGGGAGAAAGTGAAAGTACTCGTAGGCAGTGGCAGAACAGGATTTAGTAGGTCATATAGGGTAGGCAGTAGACTGGCAAATGGAATAGTTCGCAAACTCTAGGATTGATGGATTAAGGTGTTGTTAGGCACAATTTACTACTAGGTAGTAATGTACCCCATACTCATAGTAGTAGTAGTAGTAGTTCGATACTTAAATTAAAAGACTGGGATCCGGGGACCAAGTACCTGCTGTGTTTGCAGATTTGCATTTGGCTCAGTCAGCAATTTGGAGACCCTTAACGTCACGAGGCCACAAAATGACCCTCCCTCCCCGCGCTGTCCTTTTCGGTTGCTGCCGATCCTCCCGGTATTCTGAGTAACTGAGAAATACTCCGAGGCATACACCATCAATCAGGCTTCCAATCTCTCGTCTCTCAGCTGAAAAACTACTCCAGAGTAAGGAAGTGGGGGTGTGGCCCAGAGAGGCAACTGCCTGATCTTCCCCAGGTTGTTTCTATCATCCGCATGCAGTGACTGTCAAATGAGTAATATCCCTCATCAGGTCAGATGCTGGCTTGACGAACCTGCTGAATCCCACTTGAACCACACACAACTCCGCCCCCTCCAACTCAACTCTATTCACATTCGCCTGAAATGCCATCATCTTTCTCCCCCTCCCCCCCGCCAAAACCCCCAAATCCCCCTTGCCCCTCGGTCAGATCTTTTCACCATTCGTCACATTCCTCCGAACCTCTTTTCCCCCGTCACGCTAGATTGATCTCTTTCCGAACGGATCCTTGTTAATTCATTTTCCCCCCACATGTTGATAATCTTGCCATTGCCGACAGAGGGTAATCCTTCGAAGTCAAAGTCAATCACTCTTCGAGCAGCAAAACAAACAAACTGAGAACTGAGTTTCAGACGCAGAGGTGAGGTAACTATTGTTTGTTTGACAACCGCGTGTAACTGGATCCGCATTCGCGGCGGCTCCCAGTGCGATCTTGCAGGGGGCTGGGTGCGACCGTGGATGCGGTGCATCGGAAGTCCAAGGATCCAATAACATGGGAACCCTGCCCCAAGTACGGACTACAGTGGTGACGAGTACGGAGTATCAGACTGGATGAAATCTCCTTAGCAAGCTGCGATAGCCTGAGCGCCACGGGTGCTGTGATCAACGAGTGCTCTGGTGCGGTGTGATAAGAGGAGGTAGTTCAGGTGATCCCGCAAAGCTCTTAACAAGTCACCATCCATGCCGTTGAGACACAGCTGATAACTATAGTAAGCTATTGTGTTTTTCTCTGAGCTCAGACTTCGCATGGGGGTCAATTGGTCCGGCCTTCAGCCGGGCTTCCTAACCAGGATGGCTGGTCATGCGTACGATGTTGAACCAGTTTCACATGCTACCTTACCTATCATGCTCAGATCTCTGGCCCGCATGTAAAAAGTGACTCCTGGTTGGCAGAACTCATGCTTTCTTCACAACTTGATGCAAAAAAATGGTCCTTTTATGAAACATGATCTAGACTCATTTGCTCTTCTGATGTAATGCGCCTTATCCACTGGCCACGGCGGGTGCTAGATGTATTCGATATAGCCAGTTCCTAATGGCGTCTCTGGCCTGCGACCGAACACCATCTTCTCTCCAGAAATGCCCTGCGCCATCGATCTCAGCTGATAGAAATTTACTCGAAGGCTTTTGAATGAGTTCTGTCGACCAGGTCTGCAGCTTATGTACGGAAGTGAAGGTGTCCTGAGTTCCGTAGAGAGCAAGGGTTTCATGCGCGCATATCTGGTCTGCTGGTTGGGGACAAGGAATCGACCGCCTTTCAGCCGAGTCATACACTTGAATTTCAAGGGATGGCTTGGCGAATAATGTGAGAAAGCGATTGAGTGGCGGTAGAATGGGTGAAACGAGTAGGTAGGCAATCATTGTACTCTGAATAGCATCTGCAGCATTCTCCATCTCCTGGCGCGTGTTTTGGTTCTGCTCCAGGATGTCCTTATCTTCCTCTAGGCAGTAGGCAAGGTCACGAGCAACTTGGTAGATCTCATGCATTGGGGTACCATGGCGAGATTGCCTGACTACATCCGCAATCAGATTCAGGTGCGGGAGAGACGAGGCAATCATTGACCCATATGAGTAGCCGCCTAATATGAGCTGCACGGCTTGATAGTCATCTCCACGCTCACCAAGTGAGGTAGGTCGGCAACCTCTCAGACGATGCAGGTAAAGCAGCATGAATCCGTAGAAAGAGGCGTAATCGGCCAATTCAGGCCTACCCGTCCAGCTTGTCCGCCCTTCTGAGCCACCAGCGCCACTATAGCACATATTAGTTTGGAGCTAACCAAGAGATTCTAGACTATCCAGGCATCTGACGCATGAAAGAGACAGGTCGGCGGGATAGCAAGACCCCGCTAGCAATTCAAAGGTGGTAATGCTTACCGGAAGTTGAAGGTGCCCACCACACACCCAGCTCGAAGAAACTCCCCTGCGACGAAACTCACCACCGGATCGTCATAGCATCCTCCGAGAGACGCATAGGGATGTGCAACGATCGCTCCTCGTATCCGCTGACCCGACGTGTTACTTGGATGTAACCACCCTTGTGGATGGTATATCCGGCAGTCGAGCCTGATCCCATCGTGGAGGGAGGGGATGGTGAAGGTGTGTGTCGGTGTAGGGAGGTGCATTATCGCAGGAGTGGATTCCAGATCCACTCTCAGCGCATATATATTAGTAGCATGTCACTGGAAAAATGGCAAAATGGTGCAAGAGTCGGTCGTGTTGAAAGACGAGGAGAGGGATAATTTACTGGGTTGAAATTGGATTAAAGAATTCAAGTGTGTACGAGGGGGGGGATCGCTCGAAGTGGAACGCCGTTCGGGTCTAAGCGTTCAAGCTATGATGCAGATGCATCCGATGATCCTTGAGTCGCTGCTGCTCCTGTTTGTCCTTCCGATGTACCGCTACCTCCACATGGTTGCAGCATGCAATGGAAATTGAGCCCTGTGCTACACTTTAGGGGGTCACAAGGGATCCTGAAATTCTTATCGCTAGGGATTTACCACCCAGCATGCAGGCAACGAATCTACTACTACTTAGTATCTTTATTTGCCCGCATACTATCTATATATCAACCATCCACTATAGCCGCACGCCAGACATGGATTCTGGTCATGCGAACCTCTGACCCTGAAATATGTTTTTGTTTTCTTGTTGTATTTTAGCAGAGCGGCTATAATATGCAATGCGAATAATTCACGCATTAGCTTGGAGTCCGTTTCCCTTATGTAGTATGTAAACAAAATTAGGTTGTTCGACGAACACCGTTGCCAGGTTGGAAGAACAAATTCCAACCCAATAAGTAGTAGTCTATGGCCAGGAATCACGAAGGCTTTAGATATTTCTCTTTCATCTATATCATATAAGCACTCAATTGAGAATCTTCACGACTCTGGGAGCAGCCAGGCAGGATCCGGTTCATCATCTTCCCCACCGGACGATCTCGACATGACACTGTGAGGGTGTTCTTCCGTGTCTTGCAGCAGGTCAGCCGGAGGCTCTGGGTTGTCCACTCCAAGAGGATCGGCATGAACATCATGCTCGTCTTCAGTTTGAAGATTCACTCCTGGTCTCACATCGGCGTCGGAGACATCGAAGAGATCCAGGAGGAGTAAACGAGCCTCTTGCAGAGCTTGGAGCTCCGCAGAAATGCAACAGACAAGTAACTTCCAGTCCTTACTCTCCGCGAGTTCTAAGTGATCTTCTACGCGTTCAATTGTGTGTCTTAAATCCTCCAGCGCAATTCGGGAAATGTCCTCTTCCGGTGGAGTATGTGCAGGTCCATCAGGGCTAAGGACTTGCGATTGTTTTTGTATGAAGCGCCGCATCGTCATCTTCAGCCGCTTCTCGTAACCGGTGACTTCACCGATTACTTGCTTCCAAACTCCACCACCTGCCTCCAGCGCTTCGATCTCTGCCTTTACTGCCTGTTCCCGATGACGCAGTTCCGCTTGTTCCTTAGTCCAATGTTCCTGTGCAAGATCGAGTGTTCGTCGTTTTGGGTTCAGGCTGTAAAATGTCGCCTCACTCGACTTCGTCGACAGCGGCTTGACAGGCGGATTCTGCAGGTACATTTGGACCTCTGATTCCAGCATTGACAAGGAGGCTTTGTAGGAGGATAACTTAGAGTCCACAGAGTTCTCCATTTGCGACAATTCCCGGATGACATGCTGCTGTCTAGCTTTCATCTGAGACAGTCTGGTTTCCATTTCATGGATATCTTCCTCCAGCTTGCGACCTTCTTCTCGTAATTTTCTGGCTTGCTGGCTCTCCTTATCATCCTGAATTTTAAAGATTGCTGTTTCTAAGCCAGCACGCTTTGTATTGAAGCCATCAATGTCCTCCAACGCATCATGTCGTTCATCAACCTTGGAAATCAGTATCTCGTGTTCCTCCTCCCGCAGCTTCAGCAGGTCATAGATCGACTTGAAAATTCCTTCCCGAGCCGCTCGAAGACCGATCTTCTCGGGAGGTGGCTGTCTCACTGGGATTGTAGAGGGTTTCGCCGCACTACCCAGCGCCGAGATTGGAGTGTGGCTCCCACTCGTCGAGGGAGTGGCATTGGGCTGGGTTTCCGCTAAGCCAGCAAGAAGACCTTCGCTTTGAGCGTCTATGAGCTTTTGTAGACTGCGCTCGATCTGTTTGGCTTGTCGGTCAATGTATATGAGTGGGTCTTGCTGGTAGGTGGAAGCTCCGGTCGGTACAGGCAGTAGCTGTCCGCCCTTGTTTGGTGCGAATATTGCCGACATTCCGGGGGTGATGACGACCAGGTACTGAGGAACGAGAGGATGGGAAGCAGCTAGAGCTCAGAATACATAGACCTGCAAGAAAGTTCAGTGCAGCAGTCTAGGATATATAGCTTCTCAGCATCCTCGCACACGACATGACAAAGAGAAAAAGGGTCATTCTCCGAAGATCTGCTGCAGATGCCGGTCGCATGCCATCACCGGACCACGTGACATCTGTAGGGCGGTCGGCAGAAACCAGAAACACCATTCGATAGCTTCCCTCCGCCCCATTGACGTGTGCCTCGCTGCTGCTGCTGAGAAGGAAGCTTCCTGATCACTTCGAGCTTGTCTCTACCTACCATCCCGCTATTCTATCTTTGCTTGCCTTATCCATCTCATCTCACGTGTACATTGTGTCTTTTGATTCTTAGTGCTTCCGAAACCTGCAGATTGGGTTCGTCCGACATACCAACTTCACGGCTGATTCGAAGCTGTCGCCTCATCCTCTAGCGACAGCGCTGCCATTTCTCATCAATCCAGAACACTCCCCTTCAGACATGGTTGGACTTGCTTCCGCCGCCGGCCTTGTCGGCTTTCTCTCTGAGTCGGATCCTGAGTTGCGAGTCTTTGCTTTGAAGACCCTTGACTCCCAAATCGACCTTCTCTGGACCGAAGTCGTCGACGCCGTACCTCAAATGTTCGTTTGTCAGCCTGATTGTCCGTTTTCGATGGATCACCCCCCCCAGCCTTTGAACAACTTCGATGTCAACCATGAACTGCTCTTTCTTTCTCCAATACTGACCTTCTGATCTTTAGAGAGGCACTCTACGAAGATGAGTCGTTCCCGGAGCGCGAGCTTGCCGCCCTAGTCGCCGCCAAGGTGTATTATCATCTTCAGGAATATAATGAGAGCATGGTATTTGCACTGGGAGCTGGAAAGCTGTTCAAGTTGGACAGCGGTGGCGAATTCGAGGAAACAATCATCGGTAGGCCTGCCTCCTTCACTCATCTGTCACCACCCAAGTGGCTTGTATTTGATGCTTACATCCCTCAGCCAAGTGTGTTGACACCTTCGTCTCGCTTTCCGCCGCCCAGCGGCCGGCAGCGGGTGACCAACCTGCGAACCTGAACACCTCATTCCCAACCTCTGGTGAAGGGGCTACCAGTACCTCCGCCAGCCTGACCTCACCCATCACACCCTTCTCACAATCCGCGCTGCCGTCCAAGTCCCTCTTATCCAGACAAGAAGTGCCCGGAGTGGATGCGGCCTATCCGGGTGGCGACGACGCAAGCATCAAGCAAGTTGAGACACCCTTGGTCTTGAAGCGAGGTGTTCAGGGTCAGTTGCAAGCAGTCATCGATCGCTTGTTCGAGCAATGCTTCACTCAGAAGAGGTATCGTCAGGTCATTGGAATCGCCATCGAAGCTAAGAATCTTGATGTCCTACGGAAAACTATCATCCGGGCCAGTGAGGATGAGAAGAAGCAGAACGGTGAATCGCGACGAAGTGAAGAGCTGATGGAGTATGTGCTGGACATCTGCATGGGAATTGTGCAGGAGCGTGGCTTCCGCAATGACGTATGTTCATATTACCCTCTTCTTCTCTTTTTCCTTTGCGTGGGTGCTAACATTCAGTTCCCCAGATCCTTAAGCTTATTCTCGATCTCCTTAACGAAATCCCTGCACCTGACTATTTTTCGATTGCCAAGTGTGTGGTATACCTCAACGAACACTCCATGGCGTCGGCCATTCTTCGGCAACTCGTCGACAAGGGCGATGCCCGATCACTTGCTGTCGCCTATCAGATCTCCTTCGATCTTTACGACAACGGTACACAGGAGTTCCTTCAGAGAGTTCGCAGCGAGATTGCCGAGCCCTTGGGGGTGAGCGAGGAGTCTGAATCGAAGGTGGAAGAGGAACCCAAGGAATCGGACCCTCTGCTGGACAGCCAATCCAGATCCATCGGCGAGAACAGCGAACATATCAAGATCTCTTCCGAAGCGCGGGCAGCCTACAAAAATGTTCTCGCTATCATCGACGGCAGAAAGACCATCCAATTGAACTTGGAGTTCCTGTACCGCAATAACAAGGCCGACATTGCTATCTTGAACAAGGTTCGAGATAGCCTGGAAGCCCGGAACTCTATCTTCCACACTGCTGTCACACTCTCAAACGCCTTCATGCACGCCGGTACCACGCACGACAAATTCTTCCGAGACAATCTGGAATGGTTGGGCAAAGCTGTTAATTGGTCGAAATTCACCGCTACTGCGGCACTTGGAGTTATCCACCGGGGAAATCTGACCCAGGGTGAGAAGCTTCTGCAGCCCTACCTGCCACGCGAGCACATCGCTGGTGTTGGAGGTTCAGGATCCGTCTACAGTCAAGGAGGTTCCTTGTATGCCTTGGGTCTGATCTACGCCAACCATGGTGGCATGGCTGTGGATCTTATCCGTGATCATTTCAAGAAGGCTACCGAGGAGGTTGTCCAACACGGTGGTGCTCTGGGTCTCGGTGTTGCGGGGATGGCATCCGGCAACGAATCTATCTACGAGGATCTACGGAATGTTCTCTACACGGACTCTGCCCTCAACGGTGAGGCGGTTGGCCTCGCAATGGGTCTGGTCATGTTGGGCACCGGCAACATGAGAGTGCTAGAGGATATGATTCAGTATGCTCATGACACTCAGCACGAGAAAATTGTCCGTGGTTTGGCCATGGGTATGGCCTTGATCATGTATGGGCGTCAAGAGGCCGCCGACGAGTTGATCAACGGCCTGCTGGGTGATCCCGATCCCACTCTCCGTTATGGTGGTATCATGACGATCGCCCTTGCGTACTGTGGTAGCAGCAGCAACAAGGCCGTCCGTAAACTCCTTCACGTTGCTGTCAGCGACGTCAACGACGATGTTCGCCGCATTGCTGTTCTGAGCTTGGGCTTCATCTTGTTCCGCAAGCACCAGAGTGTTCCTCGTATGGTGGAGTTGCTGTCTGAATCCTACAACCCCCACGTTCGTTATGGCGCTGCCATGGCTCTTGGTATCTCCTGTGCGGGCACGGGCTTGGACGAGGCCATTGATTTGCTTGAGCCCATGCTCAAGGACTCGACCGACTTCGTGAGGCAGGGTGCCTTGATTGCCTTGGCCATGGTTTTGGTACAACAGAACGAAGCTATGAACCCTCGTGTGAGCACGCTGCGCAAGACCATGATGAAGATGATTGGTGATAGACACGAGGATGCCATGGCTAAGTTCGGTTGCGCTGTGGCCCTGGGTATCATCGATGCCGGAGGTCGTAACTGCACCATCAGCCTGCAAACTCAGACGGGCAACCTTAACATGCCTGGAATTGTTGGCGCCGCTGTCTTCACTCAGTACTGGTACTGGTTCCCTCTCACCCACTTCCTGTCTCTCAGCTTCACCCCGACCGCAGTCATCGGCGTGGACGATGAATTGGAAGTTCCCTTGTTCAAGTTCCACAGCAACACGAGGCCCAGCCTCTTCGATTATCCTCCGGAACAGCAGGTGAAGACCGAGGAAGCTCCCGAAAAGATCAAGACTGCTGTTCTATCGACCACAGCACAAGCCAAGCGCCGGGCTCAGCGTCGGGAGAAGCAGCAGCGCCGGGAGAGCATGGACATCGATCAGACCCCCACCACCCCTAAGGTATCTGAACCTTTGGCCGAGAAGATGGAGATGGATGAGACCGCTGCCAAGGGCGAAGATGAAGCCAAGGATGGGGAGAAGGAGGGCGGTGACAGCCAGAAGAAGAAGGTTGAGCGGGAGAAGGTCGGGTACGAGTTGGATAACATGTCGCGTGTCCTTCCAGCTCAGTTGAAATACCTTACCTTCCCGGATCCGCGGTACGAGCCCGTCAAACGGGTATGTCTACTTTCTCCCTTTGTCTCTCTCATGATACGATTCGATGACATATACTAATTTGTGTTCATAGCCTACCGGTGGAGTCGTGGTTGTGTTGGACAAGACTCCCGAGGAGCCACGCGAGAGGATTGAGATGAAAGCTAGCAAGGAGGTCAAGCAGGCTGCGGCAGCCGAGACGCTACAAGACCGTCTACAGGCGGCGATGGGGGCGGCTGGTTTTCAAACCCCCCAGCGTGGTGGTGGCCGGGGGTTGGGCTCTGAGATTGAAGCCAGTGCTGGCGCCTTGGCTGCCGCGGGGGTATTGACCGCGGTAGACGAAGACGAAGAGGAGGGTGAAGAAGCACCTGTTCCGAACGAATTCGAATATGAGAGCGATGGAGCTGAAGAGTAAAGCATCCGGTCGCACAGATAGACTTCTTTGGCTGGTTGTATTTCTAGGTTTTAATTATGGAATTTATGCCCTCTGTGAGATTATTCAGCATGGAATACAATTCATGTGCTTGCATTGCATGCATTCTTTTTAGTAAAGAGGAAGTGAGTTTTAAGTAGGGAGTCCTCCTATTCACATGCCACACAGAGTACACAGGCAGATCAGATGATCCACTGCAGAAGGAGGCTGCCTCGGCTTCCGAGTCTTTCCTTCCCAAGCAGTTTTAACTACGCCCCACACGTGCCCCCCCCAGCATGTACGGAGTACAGTAAATCACCAATCGGAATAAGGTCAAAACACATTACGGACTGACCGAGGCGTGGTTCACGTGAGCCTTTGGATTCCTTGTGGTTCTGCAGAGTCAGTGAGTGATGAGGTCAGAAAAATTAGGTTGGCATGTGAAAGAGCAAGTAAGCAGCAGGCAGCTCATTGTGAGGAAAAGCTGAGGTTGTATGTTAGTTAGTTTGGTTGGTTAACTAACAACTAGGTAAGTTAACTAAGTCAGTTCGTTACTGTGTACCTAATCATTCAGTTACTCCGAGGATGTCCTACTCCGGAGTATGAGTGCCTTGCCGATCGTGACTCGGTCTCATCCCACCTGTTGTTATTCTCTTTGCATTCATTCTATTGCTTGCCTGGGGAGAAAAAGACAGTCCGTGACCTCAGCTGAGCGAGCGGATTTTACTACTGCCCCCCCCGTCAGCTGAACCATTTTTATATCTATCCCTCCCTCTTCTCCTTCCTACTCCTTCTCCTTCTCCTGCAATTACCCCAGATTACCATCTTGGTCTGTCTTACATTCTTACCCCAGATCTCGTCCCCACTGTTGCTCCCCCACCCACACCACTCTCTGTTCAACATAGTGCGACCCGGGAGCGCCGTGTCTACGCCTTCACTATCTCTTGTTTTGTTGTAGGAATTTTATCAGTTTCCTTCTTACATCTTCGCTTCATACACGATGGCCAAAACCTTTACCAAAGACGACGTAGCCTCCCACAGTAAACCGGATAACTTGTGGGTGGTGATTGATGAGGATATCTACGATCTGACCAAGTTCCAGGAAGAGCATCCAGGTAAGGTTTTATGGCCCTCTGTCATTGTCTGAGAATTGAGACTAATGTGATTCTGTGGAACCCTCTAGGCGGCAAGAAGAGTATGGTTCCCCCCCGAGTATATACGCTTGACTTTGTCCGACCGCATGCCGCTAACCATCGCCGTACAGTCCTGCAACGCGTCGCCGGGAAAGACGCATCGAAGCAATTCTGGAAATATCATAATGAAGGCATCTTGAAGAAATATAAGGGTCAGCTTCAGATTGGCTCCCTAGATTCCAAAAAGGCAGCCGCCCCGGAGCCCGCGCCAGAGGCGGCTCCGGCCAAGCTACAGACCTCGAAAGCCCCCGCCGCCCCCGTGGATGTGATCTCCGCCAAGTCGCTAGAAGCCCAGGAGCCTTTTGGCGACCTCATCCCGTTTGCTGACCCGGCTTGGTATCACGGGGTAGGTGGTGGTCCCAATCGTCTGCTATCTTCTATCAGTAAAAGATGGTGTAGAAATGCTAGGTTCACGTTGGGCTAACGGGTGTCTAGTACCACTCGCCATACTTCAACAAGACGCACGCCGCGCTCCGGGAGGAGGTCCGACAATGGGTGGACACCGAGATTGAGCCAAATGTGACGGAATGGGATGAGAGCAAGAGCGTCCCTGAACGCATCTACAAGCAGATGGGCGAGCGGGGGTATCTGGCCGGCTTGCTCGGAGTGAAGTATCCAGTCCAATATACCCCTAACCGGGTGCAGTCCGTGGCCCCGGAAAACTGGGACCTGTTCCACGAGATGCTTCTCACAGACGAACTGTCTCGCGCTGGTAGCGGCGGTTTTGTCTGGAATCTGATCGGTGGCTTCGGCATCGGGTGCCCTCCCTTGGTCAAGTTCGGAAAGAAGCCTCTTGTGGAGAGGATTCTGCCGGGGATCTTGGCTGGCGATAAGCGCATCTGTTTGGCTATCACAGAACCCGATGCGGGTAGTGATGTCGCCAACCTGACCTGTGAGGCCAAGCTGACGCCAGATGGCAAGCACTATATTGTGAACGGTGAGAAAAAGTGGATCACCAACGGTATCTGGAGTGACTATTTCACTACCGCAGTTCGCACGGGCGGGCCCGGCATGAACGGCATCAGTGTGCTGCTCATCGAGAGAGAGCAGGGCGGTGTGAGCACCCGGCGCATGGATTGCCAGGGTGTCTGGAGCAGTGGTACTACCTACATCACTTTTGAGGATGTAAAGGTCCCCGTGGAGAACCTTATCGGGAAGGAAAACCAGGGCTTCAAAGGTAGGTGCTCAACGTATCGAATGCCTCTGATTTTCCTGTCCTAGCAGAGACTAATCCTACTCTCCTCAGTGATCATGACCAACTTCAACCACGAGCGCATTGGCATTGTGATCCAGTGCGTGCGGTTCGCTCGTGTCTGTTATGAGGAGTCTATGAAGTACGCGCACAAACGGAAGACCTTCGGTAAGAAGCTCATTGACCACCCGGTCATCCGTATGAAGCTGGCACACATGGCCCGCCAAATCGAGGCGACATATAACTGGCTGGAGAACATCATCTACCAATGCCAATCAATGGATGAGACGGAAGCCATGCTCAAGCTGGGAGGCGCTATTGCCGGACTCAAAGCACAGGCAACGACCACGTATGAGTTTTGTGCGCGTGAGGCCAGCCAGATCTTTGGCGGCCTCAGCTACAGCAGGGGTGGCCAGGGAGGTAAGGTTGAGAGACTGTACCGGGATGTCCGAGCCTACGCCATCCCTGGTGGTAGCGAGGAGATTATGCTGGATCTTAGCATGCGCCAGAGTCTGCGGGTGCACCAGATGTTTGGGCTCAAGTTGTAGGGACGGCTTGTTTGAGATTTTCCTGGCATCAAGTATATCGATTCGTAGGGTAAGACAGAGTTGTTCTATTCAAGAGTCTGTAAAATAACATTGTCAAACTGATCCGGAGAATCGATTAATTGCGCACAGTGTGAACCTAGTGGTGTACGGCATGTCGTGCCATCCTCCTGGGGCATGAGACAAAAGCCGTCGAAAAGGACCAGCGAGATCTTTTGTCACAAGGCTTTGAAAGACGGATCATGTTGTGCCTGAGTCCTGAGTTTGACTTCGTCCACTAGGATCACTAGATATGAAGCTGAGATGAAAGGAGTCCGCGTGAAAGAGGCGGTCCGGCGGGGCAGAGTGACCCAAGGTGTCATTTGCCCGCATCGATCATTCAGTCAATGGTTTATGGGGTTTCCTTCTTCCACCTTTCTTTCTCTTCCTCTACATCTCAACCATAACTTTCCCTCCTTTCTTTCGCCGTCTTGCTTTTTATCTCAGTCGAGGACTGTTACTTTGACTTCAGAACCCTTCGCATTCCTAATTTCCGGCCACCACCCTCTCAACCAGCTCGGTGAGAAAGATCGCGGTCGCGGAAGTCGGCGAAACAACGGAAACTCGCCTCGCCGCCGCCCCCGAGGTGAAACCTCGCAACGCTGCCAGGCCTCGCGCGGACTTTTGCTTATCTCTTTTCCCTTGCGACTCGAAAACACTACGCTATATACTCATCAGCTGCCCCGCATTGGCCATATCAGAGGTCTTCTTCTACGTTCATAATCGATCCGTGAGACTATTGAGCAAGACTTCTCCAGGCCGCTCGTGAAATTGCTCGATATCGATACGGTACGGGGGTTTGTTCTCGAAAACTCGACTATTGACTCAACATTACCGAACATTGGACCTAATATTCCGGCCCTTCGTCATCTTCTATTGAGATCCAGTCGTCATCGATTTCTCACAAGGATATCGACCCTCCATCCAACATGTCGCGGAATCTTATAGATCAGGACTTCGGCTCCGAAGAGGAGGATGACGATTTCAACCCCGCTCCTGCGGATGACTCAGATAACGAGGATCAGAAGGTTTTGTCTTCCTGGCTCGCGAGACTGTCGACGGACGAGGTGGCTGACTCTAGGGATTGCAGGCGACGCACCGCCGTCGGGATGACGACGATGACGATGACGACGATGACGCTGATGTACACACTGGCCGGACGGAACGGTATCGCGCGGGCAGTGAAGATGACGCAAGAGGGCGAGGTCATGCGGATGACGATGAGGGGGACGACAACGAAGACGACGAGGAAGGCGAAGAGGATGAAGAAGGCGATGAAGATGACGAGCAGGACGAGGAGGATGAAGACGAGGACGATGATGTGAATCCCGTGAGTAGCCCCGGACATCTGTCACCTGGCTTTGCGAGGAACGAAGAGACTGGGATGGCTAACAGGCTCGATCCGCCCCGCAGAGACGGCCCGCGAAGCGCAGACGGAGAGGAGGTGTTCTCTCTTTCGTCGATACAGAGGCCGGTGTCGACGAGGACGAGGATGAGGCTGAAGACGAGGAGGATGAAATGGAGTTCGGCGGGGAAATGCATCCAGATGATATGGACACACTGCCCGTCGGCGTGGAGACGGATGACCGCCGACACAGACAGCTGGATCGCCAGCGCGAATTGGCGGCCAGTATGGATGCGGAGAAGCAGGCTCAGATGCTCAAGGAGCGCTATGGAAGGAACCGCGCGGCAGCCGCAGACGCCGTCGTCGTCCCCAAGCGGCTGCTGCTCCCCAGTGTTGACGATCCCAGTATTTGGGGTGTTCGTTGCAAGGCTGGCAAGGAGCGTGAGGTGGTGTTCTCGATTCAGAAGCGCATTGAAGAGCGCCCACCTGGCTCTCGCAACCCGGTCAAGATCATGTCCGCCTTCGAGCGCGGTGGAGCGATGGCTGGTTACATCTACGTCGAGGCGCGCCGACAGGCTGATGTCATGGACGCTCTGCAGGATATGACAAACGTCTATCCCCGAACGAAGATGATCTTGGTCCCTGTACGGGAGATGCCGGATCTCTTGCGCGTGCAAAAGTCGGAAGAGCTTATGCCTGGTGGCTGGGTTCGGATCAAACGGGGAAAATACCAGGGCGATCTGGCGCAGATCGAGGAGGTTGAAACTAATGGTCTTGCAGTGACAGTACGCTTGGTTCCTCGTTTGGATTACGGCCTGAACGAGGATATTGGTGCTCCTGCTATTGATCCTAAGCGAAAGCGTCCTGGCATGAACCCAGCAGTGGCCCGCCCCCCTCAGCGTGCTTTCAGCGAAGCAGAAGCCAAGAAGAAGCATGCCAAGTACCTTTCTGCGACGTCTGGTCTGGGTGGTAAGTCATGGAGTTATTTGGGCGAAACTTATGTGGAAGGTTTCTTGGTCAAGGACATGAAAGTTCAGCACCTCATCACAAAGAATGTGAACCCTCGACTAGAAGAGGTGACCATGTTCGCTCGGGGCTCGGAAGACGGTACCTCAAACCTGGATTTGGCTTCTTTGGCCGAAACTCTGAAAAACCAAAATGCCGAAGAGTCGTATCTCCCTGGCGATCCTGTCGAGGTGTTCCGGGGTGAACAGCAAGGATTGAAAGGACGTACAACCTCCACGCGTGGTGACATTGTGACGCTGTTGGTTACGGAGGGAGAATTGGCAGGGCAGAGTATTGAAGCACCTGTCAAGTCCCTTCGCAAGCGATTCAGAGAAGGTGATCACGTCAAGGTTATCGGAGGTAGCAGATATGTGGACGAGCTGGGTATGGTCGTACAAGTCAAGGACGACACGGTGACCCTGCTTAGCGATATGAGCATGCAAGAGATCACAGTTTTCAGCAAGGATCTGCGGTTGTCTGCCGAAACTGGCGTGGACGGTAAACTCGGCATGTTCGACGTACACGACTTGGTCCAACTAGAGTAAGTCTGATTTTCTGACTACCATACTGATCATGACTGACTAGCTACGCAGCGCTGCCACTGTCGCTTGTATCGTTAAGGTTGACCGCGAGTCACTGCGAGTTCTAGACCAGAACGGTTCCATCCGTACAATTTTGCCCACACATGTTACGAACAAGATCACGCCGCGCCGCGATGCTGTGGCTACAGATCGTAACGGTGCCGAGATTCGCCTTGGAGACACTGTGCGGGAAATGTCTGGCGAGCAACGCAGTGGTGTCATCCTCCACATTTATCGTTCGTTCCTGTTCCTGCACAACAAAGCGCAAGCCGAGAATTCTGGTATTGTGGTTGTGCGCACGACAAATGTTGTGACTGTGTCGGCTAAGGGAGGGCGTGCTACCGGGCCCGATCTCTCGAAGATGAACCCGGCACTGATGAGGAACGGAGCCCCTGGTGGTATGATGGGCCCGCCCCAGCGAAGCTTTGGGCGTGACAGACTGATCGGCAAGACCGTTCAGGTTCGAAAGGGCCCATACAAGGGATTGGTGGGTATCGTGAAGGACTCGTCGGACATGCAGGCTCGCGTCGAACTGCATTCCAAGAACAAGCTTGTCACGATCGACAAGGACATCCTGGTTGTTAAAGACCCGATTACTGGTCAGACAATCGATATGTCCCGTGGTGGACGGGGTGGTGGACGCATTCCCAATGGCGGCTCCGCTGCTCCTCAATCAGCATGGCAGGGTGGGCGCACGCCGATGGGTATGGCCGACTCGTCCAGGACGCCGGCTTGGGGCGGTGCTGCATCCGCACGAAGTAAGTGTCGATCTTTGTCTTCTTCTAGTCGTCGCATTCTAACCACGAGATCTACACAGCTCCTGCATGGGGTGGCGTAAGCAGCGCGCGCACGCCTGCATGGAAACAAGACGGCTCGCGCACTTCCAATCCTTACGACGGCAGTCGGACCGCCTACGGAGGCGGCGGAGGCTTCGGTTCACGAACTCCCGCCTGGAATGCCGGCGCACGCACTCCCTACGGCGGCTCCGGCAACAGTGACTTCGATGCCTTTGCTGCCGGTTCTCGCACCCCGGCCTGGGGCGGTGCTGCCAATAGTGGTGGCAGGACACCTGCCTGGGGAGGGTCCGCTAGCAACGGTACCAAGGGCTACGATGCCCCAACACCTGGAGGCAACTATTCCGCCCCTACCCCTGGCGCCTACGCCAGTGCCCCTACGCCTGGAGCGTCGGCACCTACCCCCGGCGGCTGGGCTGAGAGTGCCCCGACGCCCGGGGCCTTCAACGCACCCACCCCTGGTGGGCCTGCAAAACGAGGAGGCTACGATGCACCTACTCCAGCCGCCTTTGACGGTGTAGGTGGCCACACTCGTCCCTACGACGCGCCCACACCCGCTGGAGCTGCAGCAACTCCGGGTGCAGGTTACGACGGTGACGACGGAGGACCACGCTACGAAGAGGGAACGCCTAGCCCTTAAACTACTCCCCCTTATATCTCGACAGCTCCCTCAAAAGCCCGCCCGCCAACTCAAACCAACCTTAGCGAGAACTAAAGGCGTAAAGACCCTTCAGGGAGATATAGATGGAAAAAGACGAAAACGTCATCGGTGGGAGGTGGGGGCGCATCTTATTCCGCTTTCTTTCGCTTTTCCCGCCAACATGGCAATGGATTTATCATGGACAGGATAACCCATCCCTGCCGCGTGATTTCTGGCTCCCTTTCAATCCCTCAGACTCCACTGCGTTGTCGGCATGATTGTTTCTTTGTTTTCCTTTCTTCTCGCTAAAAAGATGACGGGGTGTTGTTCGTCCCTTTCCCTTCCCCGCCTTTGATTCTTGCGCACTTTCTGGGTTAACAATATCATTGCCACATCATATCTCTGTATCATGTGTATCATCTATTTCATTTGCACCTCATTGACCCAAATTTGTTACATGGATCCAGTAGATTGCGGTTGTCTGAGTAATAAGCCACGCAGCAGGGGCACGCTTTGCTGAATTGACGCGGCAAACAAGATGGATACTTTCGACTTCCACCTCTATCCTTGATGTGAACGGTAGATAGATACGCAGCCAAAGGGAGTATGATGAGGGGACAACCAGATACGTAGTAGTCCACAAAAAGGATTCGGGAGTCTTACATAGCGTAGTCAATCAACCAATCCCTCATTTTGAGACCAACTATAGTAGTCTAGATAAAGGTGCAGGAACCGAACTCAGGAGTCCCCTAACGGATAAAAGAAGAAGAAGAAGAAGATGATGATGATGATGAAGAAGAAGAAGAAGAAGAAGAAGAAGAAAAAGAGAAAACCAAAACATCCTTCATATGATACAGGTGGTATACACTGGAACGTGAAAAAGAGGAAGCCGACCCAAAAAGCCTTGATGTAGGCATGAATACACGCATATCATTTCCATGAAAAAAAAAAAAGAAAGAAAGAAAGAAAGAAAGAAACTTAAGAGTGAGTCTCCCCTTCATCTATCGTACCAAGCAAATCACGTCCATATCCAAGTGCAGCGCGAGGTTGTCATGGTACAACGTCCCAATGAGCTTCGGCCGGTATGGGGATGGGGTCAGGGGTAAAGACGGAGAAGGGGAGGGGAAAAAAAGGATTCAGAAGCTTTTGAACAAGCAGGCTTAACGGGGTACTTGACGGGCCAATACGCGGACATTGTCCAGGAATCCCTTGACCAGATCCTCATACTGGTGTGGCTCGCCGTTCATAGCCATTTGACCCTGACGACGAATCTCCGCGGCGGAGACTTCGACCTCGAGCTCGTGTTCGAAATCGCCCTTGGGAGACTGAGTCGTCGGGGAAAAAAAAAAGTTAGCAAAAGGGGAAACAGAGTCATCGGTGGCAATTCCGCCGCAGAGGAATCGAAAGGGAACGTACATCAGATTTGGCAACCTGGGTGAGATCGATCTGGTAGGCGAGATGGCGATAGCTCATCCGGTCTTTGTTGCGATCGCCGCCGCGGCCCCGTGCCGGGTCGACAACGGTGAGCTGACTCACGTCGCCGTCGTAATTCATTTCCAGGTTGACACTGATGCGCCAGTCGACGCAGGTATTGGGGCTGTGGATATCCAGGTCTGCGATGCGGCATTTGACAATCTTGGCGAGGACCTCGTTGGTTCTCTGGTCCACAGTCACGCGTACCTTGGGCTTGTGGCGGGGATTCAGATTCTGACGGATGACAGGGGGGAGGTCGTTAGCAGACACCTCGTAGAAAGTGTCACGCTCTTTTTTGTGGGCGTATGAAATGGGGATGCGGGGCCGGTCAGCTTGGTCCAAGGACTTTTTGACCGCTTCGTTGAGAAAATTGTTCATTGCTTGATGTTGGGCCTGAGCCGTGCATGTTAGTGCTATGCTAGATCCTATATCACCCATTCGAAAGGAGGGTCACGTACCACGGTCATGCTGCTCTCGAATGCCGTTCGAAAGCGCGGAAATTGCTTGTTGATGACCGTCTCGGTCATAACGGGCAGCTGGACCCGGTCGCCGCGATCCATGTCAATAAGCTGGCCCAACTTGGCCTCCACCTCAATAATGGGCGCATTTCCGGCCGTCGCCGCAGCACCCGCTGGTGCTGCAATGGCGTCGTTCCGGACGACAACATACCGAAAGAGAAAGTCACAGACGAGTTTGGTGACCTCCTCGGAAGGGTATTCTCCCGTGATGGATGGCTCCCACGGTCCTAAACTGCCTGGTTTCTGAGGCTCCAGCGCAGCCGAAGGCGCACGGGGGGCTGGGGCAGTCGTCTTTCCAGGCAGGCTATCGGGCGAAGCTTTGACAGCTGCAGGAACGGTGGCGGCATGTGCAGGACCCGGGGCAGCAGCAGCAGCCGCCCGTTGTCGCAAAATCCAAGGATTGGCGGGGGTATCGCGGGCGTGCTTGGGGATGGGAGGGAAGGGATTCGGTATTATTGGGCCGCGGCCTTTGGTACGCTCTGGCCGCATTGCATAGATTGGAGGCGCTTCGAAGCGACGACGCTTTCGTTTCGGGGGCGCGTGCGGACTCGAATTGGCGTGTGCATCTGTAACGATCATGCCATTCTCGTGCTGCGTGGATTGGGTTGGTACGGCCGAATCTGCAAAGCTCGGCGCCCGCGTTGTCTTGGGACTCACACTGTCTTCCGAGCCGCGTCTGTCAGAGGCACCAGGGTACGGGCGTGGGGTCTGGTCTCGAGGACGCGACAAACGAGAAATGGCAGTGGGCGACATTTGCATCGATGCTTCCTGGCCGACCCAGGGGCTTGAGGCGCGATTTGAGCGCGTATCCTGGCCAGATGAGGGTGGACGCGCCGCTGAGGAAGGTGATGGCTGAGGAAACGCAGCGGTAGACCCGCGTGGTGTGCCAGGTAGGGATCCGGGGCCTGGTGGTGAAAATTGCTGGGATGAATAGCCGGGCGCAAGTCCAGCGGTCGACGGGCTTTCTTTGGGATGGGATGCATGAGTCACGGGCGTGTCGTGGGACAGCACCGACTGGATGGATTGCGAGCGTTGCTGAGGAGGGTTGAAAGGAGAATCACGCGAAGAAACGTATTGGGCGGGCTGTGGACTCTGACCTTGTGCAGCTTGCGAACCAGCGGAGCGACCGGAGGGAGGATGGTACTGATAGGGAGACTGAAGCGAGCCGTACGAGGAAGAGCGTTCGGGCGAGACATGAGGTCGTTGGATGGATCCCCCGGGAAAAGCAACCGGATAGGAGGCGGAGGAGGCGGGCGCGGCGGCGGGGACTTGTTCGCGCGGACTATAGACTGGATCGGAAAGTTTTCGCGTGGTTTGCGACGATGGCGATTGCTGAGATTCTGGCGGACGATTGTTCGCATTGCCAGCAGTGTCGGTGTTCAACATCGAGCGCAAATCCATGGTGGGCACGTGTGTTTTGATGAACAGGGAGGAGGAGGAGCGACTAGTGGGTATCACGAATGTGGGTACTGGAGGATAGACGAATCGTAGTGTTTCGTAGGAGTATTGTCACGGATGAAGGGAGGGTCAATGGGCGAGTCGAGCGTGAAGGATGAAGCTGAAGTGGTGGAGGCTCGGGAAAGTCGCAGGCACGAATCCGGACATGGGAGGTGGGCGCAGACAGGCTTTCGGTGAGGTATAGAATCGATATACAAAGACGAGATAATAGTTCTTGAGAAGTAATCTAGAAGGGAACAGATAGAAGAAAAGGGCGAGAAGAGGGCGTGTTGGTGGATCAGAGGAATCGAGTGGAGGAGAATAAAGAGAAGAAGAAGAGAAAGAAAGAAGGAAGCGAAAGAAGTTGATGTTAAGCTACGGAGTATAAAGAGAGAGAGAGAGTCACGGAGGCCTACAGCTACTGATTGTACGGGACATGCCCATTACAGTCCTTTTCTAAATGGCTATCTTCATGTCCAGTACACAGATTGACTTGATTCTGGGAAATTTGAGAGATTTCACCCCAAAGTAATAGATGGATCGCATGAATGAAGCTGTGAAGTGAAGCTGTCCTCAAATTGCGGCAATTCAACTTCCTCTTCTTCTTCTTCCTCCTCTTCCTCCGCCTTCCGCTTTCTCTCCTCCTCCTCCTCCTCCTCTTCCTCTTCCTCTTCTTCTTCTTACCTCTCCTTATCTCTCATTCTTATCCTCTTCCCTCTCATCTTCACTCCATCATTAATAAATAAAAGAAGGATGCGGTCTGATCCTTTGATAATACTACTGATGAATTGAATGTCTTTCCTTAGCATGCTTTTCTTGCCGCATCTTTCCTCGCTCTTCATCCTATGAAGCCGCGCGTCATTTCCCTCTCCCCCACTCCCCCAACTTATCCCTCCGCAAAAACGACTTAGCATTGTTCGAACCTCCCCATCTCCATCGAAACTCGATCTCCATAGCCCGCCATGTCGTTGATCGACAAGGGTCTCGCTTCGCCTCCCCCCGTTCACAATGTCCCTCTGCACGACCTTGAATCGTCCTCCAAAGCCGCCGATCGCCCTTACTCTTCTATGAGCAGCCGCTTCAATAGCCACAATTATAATGATCATTTCCAGGAATACTTCAGTCACTTCATGGAGTTGGCGGAGACGTTCTGTACCAAGGTGGCCATAGTCATCACTCCAAGTTTTCTACAACATTACGTGGGAGGAGCGCCTCGACCGACAGCTAAACCGCACGCGATCGCGGCTCTAGATGGGTTGCGCGGCTGGGCCTGTCTGCTCGTCTTTAACTTCCACTTTCTCTTCACTTACACCTGGAAGGTCGCATTAGGGTGGGGCTTTCATGGAGAGAACTTTGCGCTTTGGCAGTTGCCCATACTGCACATGCTTGTCTCGGGTCATATCATGGTGGCCATCTTCTTCGTCATCTCGGGCTACGTCCTTTCTTACAAGCCATTGAAGCTGATTCGCAATCGCGCCTGGGAACAAACGTTCACTACACTCGCCTCGGCTACTTTCCGACGGGCGCTACGTCTCTATATCCCGTCGATAGTGGGCATAACTCTTGTCTTTCTGGCCGTACGTTTGGGAGCCTACCATCCTTCCCACCGTGTCCTAGTGGAGGGTCGCACTATCCTGGGCACCAATGAGCAGCATCCACCCATCATGCGCTCCTTCACGAAACAGTTCTGGGACGGCTATTCAACTATCGCACATTTGATGGACCCCTTCAACTGGTCTCTCTACTATAACTATTACAACCCGCATCTGTGGACTATTCCGGTGGAATTCCGCAGCTCCATCGTCCTATTCCTCACCATCCTTGGCACTTCGCGCCTTACTACTCCTGTCCGCATGAGTCTTGTCAGTGGTCTCGTTTGGTTCTGCATGCGCTTCGGCCGCTGGGACGTGGTGCTGTTCCTTTCTGGGATGCTTCTCGCAGAGGCGGACCTCATTTACGGCACCTGGGAACAACGCCCAATTCCTGCCGGCACATCCTCAAGGGCGACGACAACCATCGACGAAATCCCCAAACCTCGACTGCGCCGCTTTCTTCCTGCCAAATCTCATTCCTACCACTACCCTGTCCTCTCCCGTCTGTCCGCGCGCCGAATTTCCTATCGCAATCTCTGGATCACCCTCTTTGTTATCGGTCTCTTTCTGGGTTCCACCCCAAATACCGGCTACAAGTGGACGCCCTTCTATATGTGGACCTGGAAGATCACCCCCAAAACCTACCCAGAGCCGCACCGCTTCCCTCAAACCATAGGCGCCATCCTCATCGTCGCTAGCATCAACCACTCCCCGGAGATCCAACGCCTCTTTACCAACCGCCTGTCGCAATACCTCGGTCAGATCTCTTTCGCTTTCTATATCGTGCATGGCCCCATCCTGCACGGTCTCGGGTACGCCCTCATGCCCCGGCTGTGGGCGATCACGGGTCGGGCGACGAACTTTCAGGCAGGACTCGGGTATCTCATGGGATGGATGATCTGCTTACCTATTGCCTTATGGGCAGGGGATCTGTTCTGGCGGGCAGTAGACATTCCCAGCGTCAGATTTGCACGATGGGTGGAGGAGAAAGTCATTGTCAAGGGGCCCATATCTGTGTCTGGGCCCGCAGCCGTGAGCAGTGGCGAGCGACGGGATTGAGCTCGACTGCCTCCATCTCTGGCTGCTTTTTGCTACTCTTTTGATTGAAACATATATTGCCTGCAGTGCTAGGATTTCAGGTTAGCGGGCGTCACCTCAAGTGGGACTCATAGACATTAGCCACGGGTTTGGCTGTACATATTAAGTCCATGACCTCATCAAAATTTCTGCTTCTTTTACCTAATTTCCAATGCGATGTCTGCGTTCGTTGATTCGAGCTTTGGTTGAACTCGAGATATGTAGGTAGATCGGAGAGGATACGCCCAGCACACTTCGCGCAGTCCTGTCAAATCCAGGAGACATTTAAAAAGGTATCGTTCGTTCATTCATTTACTCATACCATGCCATATATCAGAGCTCGCTGCCGCGCACTATCTGGGACTTCCGTGCGCGCGAGATATCATCTCAATCATGCATCAGGGTCCTCTCCATCCCAACAAGAACAGGTACCAAAACCACAACATCAAGGGGGGGTCAGTCATAGTCTGAGACAAAAGAAGAAAAAGCAAGTAAGCAGACAGGCAGGCAAACAACACGTGAGATGCAAATGACGGATCTGGCAAAAAAGTCTAGCCGATTTATGAAAAAAGCTATTCACAGAGCGACTCCCCAAAGCCCCCGCCCGCCGCAAACGCCTAGCCAGTCGCGCGGATGCCCGGATGCCGTGGTCCCGCCCTGCGGCGACCAGCTGATGTTCGACACCTCGTAGTCACACTGCCAGGCGGCGGCCGGGCCACGCTCGCTCGTCGGCGTCGCTGTCGGGGCGCCCGGTGGGTGGGACCCCGGCGGAACGGGGGCTGCGTTGTGTTGGTTGATCAAGTCCCAGAGGAGGACGAAGCAGTCATCGGCTCCCGAGGCGAGCACCCCGCGACGATTGGGGGACCATTCCACGGAGTTGATGGACGAGGCGTGGCCTTTCAGCTCCAGCAGAGCTTGTCCGGGCTGCCGCACATCGAGTACGCGGACAATGTTCGAGTCTTGAGAGAATGTGGCTAGGAGGTGCGAGTCATGTGGCGATGCTGCGATGGTGAGTTGGTGTGTCAATCAAGATGAAATAGACAACTTGGCATACCTGCAATGCGTAGTAGAGGAGGGGGCCATGCGGACTGTGCAGGCGCGGAAGGACTACCATTTCCGGGACTCATCACTGGACATATTGTGGTAAGCAGAGCGGATTTCATGGTCGTCAGCATGCAAGGGTGGCCTTACATTTCTCGTTCTTCTCTGTGGGCTCGTAGATGATGGTACTATGCTCCAGACTACGAAGATCAAACATGCGAACACTACCGTCGGCACCGCAACTGACAAAGACATCAACGCTGTTGGCGCAGAATCGTACGTCGTACACCTCCTTATCGTGCGCAATGAGCTGCGTTTTGGCGGTAAGGGTGGGGATGTCCCAAATCGTGCACGTGGTATCAATACTCGAGGTGATTATGAGGCTGGGAGAAATGGTGTTCCAGTCCAGAGACGTGATTGGGGCCGTATGCTCCGGAGACTTCGAGTTTGACAGCAAGGCCAACGGTTGCAGCTTCGCAGTCGGTGCGGTTTGGTTGTTCGACCGAGTGATTGTGTTCGACGCTGGCGCTGGTTGCGACGCAGGCAGCGACCACAGCCGGAGATGATCGCCAGACGTCGCCAGTAAGTCTGTAGACTGTTTTTGCGACGAGGGCGGCTCCCAGAGAATTCGCGTTACGGGATACGAGTGGGTGGCTTCCGCAGTCTTTACATACTCCAATTTGATGTCTCCGGCGGCCGCATCAGGGGTATCCGGATCGGGAGCGGTCCAGTGCGTATCAACAATTTGAATCTGCCATCAAATTAGCACCAGACCTTACATATCCAACCGAGATTCGGCATCGTACATAGTTGTGGTTGTCTTCCAAGTAACTTCCCATGGCAATCTTGCCTCCAAAAGAAGCAGAGTTGCCGGGCACCGGCCACTTACACCAGTCCACTGCATATATGGGCCACGGCGCTATATAGTTGCTATTAGTAGGGACCTGATTGTCGCCATTGTTGATTGAGTTCATTCCAGTGGTCATCATAGTGTCGCTCAACAGGTCCCCGGTTGGCCGGATATCAGCAAGGCCCAAGGGGGAGTATTTGGCTCCTAACGGCGTCTGCGGCGGGTATCCAGCACTCGGCGACGAGCCTGGCTGTTTGTATTTGGGTTGATCAAAGCCCGCTGGGCTGGATCTTGAATGTCCGTGAGAATTAACCATGCTAGACCGGGGATTTGTGGACTGCTGCGCCGCAGACTGCGGTTGCTGCGGTTGTTGCGACTGCTGCGGCTGTGACGACGGTGCCGTGGGCGGCTGCATTGGGGTCGACAGCTGAGGGAGAGTTGGGAGCACTGAGGGGGCTGTGTTCATGGACACTGCCGGTGGACGGTTGGAGTTGCCCGGCTGCAGTGCTCCCGGAAGGTGACCGCCAGCAGCACTGTTGCCGCCTCCAAATTGAGCAGGCTGTGAACCGGAAGGATGTACACTGATTGAAGGAACGTGATTTTCGGCGCCCGTCGTGAGCTCGTGGGACATGGACTGTCGCTGCAGGTTGGGGGCACCGGACGGGATATGCAGCTCCTCCGGGCGCCCGTACGTTGTGGCCCGGCGAGGGTCGAAGGGCTGGGTCGGATTTGACATGGTGAGCGCGATTATCTCGAGTAGCTTCGGTGCGTTATATCCTAAATCTCCGCAAGCACGCTCGATCAAAGCTCCTATCAAGCAAGAGTCGAGTGTATAAAGTTGATGATGGCGTTATCAGGTTGCGAGAATTAGCTAGAGAGGGGGGGCGGGGGGGGAGGTTGAGGGCGCTAGGAGCTCCGACTGTACCAGAGATGGTGCACGCTCTAGTTCATGTCAGCAGGGAACAAGCACGCAAAGCAATTCACAACAACATTGTGAAGCTTCAACGCGGTCAATCGAAGGGCCTGAATCGACCAAGGAGGCGTCAAACGAAGGAATAGAAGCAGTTCAAGCAACGGGCGAAGCAGGGGAAGCAGGGGAGATGGGGAGGGAGAGACACAAGAGGGAAGGGAAAGTCACGGGAGAGTCTCGTGCGGGCTGAGTCAGCCGATCGCGGGGAAAATGAATGCCCCTCTGCGGCCGTCATTATTATTTATTCTTCCTGTGAACTACTACCACTACTACTACTACTACAACAACAACAACAACAACAACAACAACAACAACAACAACAACAACAACAACAACAACAACAACAGCAAAGGCCCGACTGTCCTTGGGTTGACTGTCAGCTTGGGTCCGTTCTTGTATCAACCTCTTTACTACGTCTGTTCACTTCTGCATGGACTATTGATCATTGCTCTCTACAGACAACCCAACCAAGCTATCACTGACCATCGGTTCCCCCCGCATATAAGAACAAGATGGCGTCCGTTTCGACCTCGGCCCTGCTATTGCTGCCACCTCCCCCGGCGGCCGAATTCGACCAACTCAAGTACGCATACGAGATCATCTTGTCGACTGTCTGCTCTACCCTACATCTAAAACTAGAGGGGACCGACCGTGTGGCTACCCTCGATGTTGCGCTTTCCCTCCCCGGCTTACTCGCCCCGTCCTCCCGACCCCGCACCAGAGCATTTGCAAGCTTGCAGTCGATACTGGAGGGGATCTACCGGTTGATAGGAATCGTATGTATCGAACACAGGATTGAGCTGGATATGCCCGGAGGTATCGATGCACGAGTTATACTTCTCGATTGCGATGTGGCTCGGAGCACGGAAAAGAACCCGGCAGTTCCGCGCGATGGGCCGATCGTTGACCTGCGAACGCTGGCGGAGTCAGGACGACCATGGAATTCAGTTTACTACCCTGATAATCAGATAGGACTAAATCTCGCCGCCTCCTTCAGTAGCTTTTATCCTCCTGTGGCGGAGCTGAAATCTCCCGGCTCTGGTTTATTGCATGCCATTCCAGACGCACCTCATTGGACTCCATCAGAGTCAGTTATGACCTTGACCGCTCTCAATGAAGCAACAGCGCCCTACACAGTGGCTGTAGGAGGCACATTCGACCACTTTCACATCGGACACAAACTCTTACTGACTGCGACAGCACTGGTCTTGCAGCCTGCAGAGGATGCTGATGCAGGCAAAGAACGAGTCCTCATCGTGGGAGTGACCGGCGATGAATTGTTGGTAAAGAAGAAATATCCCGAGTTTTTGGAAAGCTGGGAAGAACGCTGCCATAGCACAGGCGCTTTCTTGACAGCCATCATGGATTTCCGAGCCCCAGGAACCAGTAAACCTCAGCTCGAGAAAGCCTTGGAGCCTGGTCCCACCGGGAAGTCTATCCTGATGAAGATACGGCCCGACCTCGTTTTTAGATTGGTCGAGATAAAGGATCCGTTTGGTCCTACCATCACGGAGGAGGATATCGGCGCCCTTGTGGTCTCGAAGGAGACTCGATCGGGGGGAGCTGCAGTCAATGATGCACGCACAAGGAAAGGATGGGCGCCGCTGGCCGTATTCGAGGTTGATGTTCTGCATACGACCGAAGTGCCTCCGGATGACGCAGAGGACTTCGCATCCAAAATAAGCAGCACGGATATCAGGCGGCGGCGGATGGAGAAGGCTTTGCAATGAATGATAGGCGCGAAAGTACCCGAGATACGCGATCTTGATGCGGGAAATTAGTGGTGATCTGAGCCAATCGTCCCCGTGTTGGTGGAGAGCGGGCAAAAGAGTATTCATAGGTCTGTTCGACCACAAGATGAAGATTGAGGTCTAGATGACCAACCCCGAGGACAGTTGTACAGCGTGAGATCTGACGTACCTCCAACTATCTATCTAGCTCCGACCGGAGCTCGACAAATCAAGATAGGGGGTGGGGAACAGCGGGCGCGGAGCGATTTTTCTGGCCTTTGGTGGTGTAATTCCTATGTATTGCATATAGCGTTGTTTGGTCCTGTGCGCTACTCTTTCTCTCATTTCCTCTCTCCCTCCCTCTCTCTCTTTGTCTAATCCTGCTGGATTAGACCACTATTGCTCATTGTTTTCTATTCTTTGTCGTCCTTGAACATGCTTGTCTGGCCAGGCCAACACAGACCTCAAGGGAAAGAGAACGAAACAGCGACAACCAACCAGCGCCCATCGCAGTGTTTGGGCTTGCGCCTGGGACCCGGGGACTACTGGACTACGGCGTTTTAAGTGCTGCTTAAGTGCCGGTGATCCTTTCCTTTCCCCCCCCCCCTCCCCTCCCTCTTTACTCTCCCTCCCTCCTTTGCCAACTGCTGCAAAAAGATTCGAGCAATTTGACATCCCACGCGATGAACCTACTACTTCTGCTAGTCGAACCGAACGGCCACTGCCATTGTTGGCCAATCTCCCATCTCGAAGATCCACTTCTTTTCTTCAATTCTGCATCTTGACAGCAACCGCCAACCATTCATGTTCTCTCCTCTCTTCCCACCCACGTCAATTCCAACCCCCCCTGGTCTATTTGAATCGTCCGCGACGTAGTCATGCCGCAGGGACGATGAAGCTTGCAACGACAGGCCGCTATGACTCGCGATTGTTTCCCGGCGGGGTTTCCTTGCAGCTGGGCGTCTGCACGTATTTGACTCTTGCTGTCGCATCATTACCCACCCCCTCCTTCGCTCTCTCCCTGCCAATCCTCCTCCTCCTCGACCAGCTATCCTGCAGGATTGCGCTGGATAACCGCAGCTTCGTTCGGTCATGTGACTCCGGTATACACCACCCCGGTCGGCCATCAGTGAGTCGTCTGATCCGCCCGGTGCTTCTGCAGGCCCTGAATGCGATAATGACCACCCGGTGGGTTGGATGAAAGTGAGCTTGCGGTGGGACGCTCTCAATCCCTGGTCAGACACGTTCAACCTGCTGTTGCTGCACGCGCGCTGGTTGTGGTCCGCCGTCATCTTCTGCAGATGACAGAGAAGGACTGGGTGTGTGCCTCCAACTGGACGAAGGGATGTATCACTTTCGTGCTTCCTTTTCGTCACTCACTTGTTTTCCCCCTTCTTCAGGGATTTTTCTCGTCCTCATTTCTTTTTCTCTCCCAAGTATTAAATTGTCGCTGCTGTCATCCGTCTTTCTCGTTTTGTTTTTGCTTATTTTATCTGTGACGCCTCTCTTCCTTATTAAAACAATCATCGCCCCCCTTTACGTACCCTTAATCTCGTGGACGCTGCGACATTTCAGAATCTCGTCATTCGCGACCTCTGCTCCAGATTTTGAATTGGGATTCCATGTTGGTGCGAGTGGCCCAGGCAGCCGATCACGCTGCTGCTTCGCTGTGCGACAAACATGGACCAACCGCGGCATATTGACGACTTGGCGGACGAGCTCATTCAGAACATCCTTTCCTTCTTGTTGGGCTTCGATTATCTCTCGCTCGAAACCTCCCCAACGAGTTCGCATGACTCCTCCACTCCGCTCAAAGCCCAATCCTCTCATGTATATGGTGAGAAGTCTGAGTTGGACCGATTCCGACTCGTATGCCGACGGTTCATGCGCATCGGCACGCCGCAGAAATTCCCTCGCTTTGTACTGCGGTTCTCGTCTGAGGGATTTCGAAGGCTGGACGAATTTCTGAGCATGCAGCTAGCCTCCCATGTTCGAAATTTTACGTACATGGTGCGACCTTTCTACCAAGGAAGCGGTACCGTCTCTGAAAAACCTCCCATGACTGGGGTTCGGGAAATGCTGATAACTGTCTTAGGCTGGCCCACTGTTTCGGAGACGGTTGACACAGACAATCTTCCTCTAGTATCAACCCATCGACGTCGCCTTCGCGATCAGAAATGCATCATCGAGGCGAATCACGACCTGCTTTTCTTGCGCCGCGCGATAGGGGCATTCACATCTCTCCAGCAGGTTAAGCTGCTGCGATTACAGGACGAGGCGGACGAGCAAATGCTGGATTGGATTCACGACCACTCGCTGGAAGGAACAACCCGTTTAGACTGGGAGCCAGCATGTACTCGAGCCGTTACCAATTTGGGCATCTCTCTCTTGGAATCGAATTGTGAGGCCATTCGTTTCGTGGGGCCGCAGATCAGCCCCGAGGCGACCATGAAATTGTTGCAAGCTCCATCGACCAGTCTTGCCGCACTGGGGGCTCGATTGACGAGCCTAGATATTACATTCTCCTCTACTATGGATCTGTCCACGCGCATGCATAGCTTATCGAATGTTTTTTATGACTTTTTCATGGCCGCCAAAAATCTCACCGCGATTCATCTAGGCTTTCCAGCCCATGCGCCGCTCAGCCTGCCGCTCGAACAGATTTTCCATCGTCTTCAATGGAAACGACTTCGCACGCTAAGCATCCAAGGCTGGCGTTTGAGCTCGGAAGAGGTGATTGCGCTCATCCGCCGCCACCGGCGACCGTTGCGAGACCTCCGACTCGCCAGCATCTACCTCCGCCCGGGTGGACGCTGGCGCGATATCCTGGTCCTGCTCCACGACGAGATGGACCATCTGGAGCGTCTCGATCTTCGGGAGATTGATTACGCGAGCCATTTCGACGCCCACGACCACCACCATCATACACCCACGACCATTAACGGCAACGGCGCGGGGAGCTCCCAAACCCCAACCCTCGCCCTCGTAGTGCAGCCCACGCTGCACTCCCCCCCGCGCGACGCCGTCTTAAATGTGGATTCACTCTCCTTTGCCCCACGCGGCAGCACACGACACTCCTTCGCAAGCGCAACACTGGAGCAACTGCGCACCTTCACCCCCGAGGACCTGGGCGACACGGGCGTCAGCGTGCGCCAGGACCAGTGGCTATTCTGGAAGGCGTGGGTGCTGTCTAGTCAACGAAGTAATGTCCATTCGAGGGTTTAGCCCCTGAATCCCATGTCATGTCGTTTTCATGAAAATGCGTTTCGTCTTCTGCCCGCTTTATAGCCCTTGTCATTTTTCCTTCTGTCTTTCCACTGCAACTGTATGTATGTCAGGGGCGTAGGTAGCATTGATGAATTGGGGGTTTCGATATAGTATTGTCAGACCATTAGAAGACCTGGTTGGACCCTCTTGTGTTTGTTTTGATTAACCTCTACTCCGTACTAGTGTCCACTTTCATATCCTGCAAACAGAATGTGGTTCAGTGCGTGCCATGAACCAACCTTTTTTCACCCCAAACTAACTTATCATTATACACACCCAGTTAAGAGCAAAACATCAGTCGTGCACGTGCATCATTCATCATTACTACCAACTTTCCCTTTCCACTTTTTTCCCCTTTCCTTCCCACCACTGAGAAAGACCCCGTCCATACAGAACGAAAATACAATATATACTGGGGAAGAGGACGAAGCCAAAATCAGTCATCGACCATCTCGCTACCTTGAACCGGAAATCTTAAGAGTATGCCTGAAGGGGGAACGAGCCAGCCCTCTGGGGCGAGAGAAGAGTGGCTTTACTCCACCCCACTTCCGACCCCATTCAAACTCACCGCCGCACTGCCAGGTTTGCTGGCGCCATTATTAAGACCATTACTACTGCCGTTGGTGGTGGTCGGATTGGCGGTGCGTTCTCTCAGGCGTCGACCCTCCATTAACCCGCGCAGACCACGCTTCTGCAAGCCGATGACGCTGCTAAGATCGCCGGTCCAGATCTCGCGCTCGGGATGGAGCTCGGCGTCCGTGTTGCGGCGGTGATGTGACGAGGAGCGGGCGCGGCCGGAGGAGTCGCCGCCACCATACTCCGAGTCGGACTGGTCGAAGCTGGTGTTGGTCGAGGCGGAGGCGGTGCTGGCGTTGCTGATGGAGTCTTCGCGGTCTCGTTCGCGCTCGAGTTCCAGTTCGCGTTCTCGTTCTCGTTCCCGCTCGCGTTCACGCGCGCGCTCGCGGTCGCTGTGGCGTTGGCGACGGCTGAAGATATTGGTGTTGATGCGGAGAGGGATGCCGCGCGAGGTGGAGGGGGCTCCCACGCCGCTGGCGCTGCTGGCCGTCGAGAGCGCGGCGGACGCAGTGGTACCGTGCTCTGTGTCGGACGAGTCGGAGGTGAGGTGGCTTTGGGCTCCGGAGGAGGGTTGCGTAGTGCCAGTGGTGTTGGTATTCATGGTAGTCAAGCCAGAAGAATCCTGCCCTGCGGCGGTGGCGGCCGCGTGGGCTCCGTTGAGAGTTTCCAGGGTACCACCCAGCCCGCTGGCGAACCCAGTGCCGCGGCCTCCTCCCGCGGCCATGGCAGCCGCATTGAAGACGGCCGCGGCGTTGCGGCCATCGAGCATCTGATGAAGGCGTTCGACTGTGGCTTCGAGAAGGCCGTCGACTTGGTAAGGGCGCGCGAGTTGAAGGAGGGAGCAGAGAATTTGAGGGGTGCAGAGGGAGGAGCCAACCGCGGGGAGGGAGGATGTGTAGAGATAGTAGACGAGGACTTGGAGGGTGAGGTAGGTATGAGGTAGATAAAGGACACGGGGACGAGCGGTAGGCGATAGGGAATGGGCGGAGGGTATCTCGAGGTTCGCTAGTAAGGATCTGGAGGTGACGGAGCGGTTACTGACAAGCGTACTGGCATTGGAGTAGTTGCTGTGCTGGCCGATCGATGGGGTGATAGTTATGCTGGAGTTGCGGCTGGGTAACATGGCCATCGCAGGACGAAGCGTAGCCGAATCAGAGACCCCCCGATCGCAGGATTCGCGAAGCAGCTGAATGAAGTAAGGGCCCCATCTCCGCGTCAGTATGCGCGAGTTTACGGGGATTCGCTCCCCTCCCACAGCTTGAAGCTCCATATCTGCCATCTCGGGTAGCGAGTGGGCGAGACGTCCTAACTCATCCGAGGCCGGAGAAAATGGCCGTCCACCGGAGGTCAATTTGGTGAGCTTTGACTGGAGAGAAGCCGGAACAGACGGTGCGCTGTAGGAAACGTAGCCCGAGGTGGGCGCTGTCCGGCATGCATTGTTGTAGAGACCAAAGGCCTCCAACTCCACCATACACACATGCGAGAAATTGATACGCCGGTGGTTGTAATCTTCCACCAAACTGCGTTTCCGATGGCCCAGGATCACAAAAGTATTTCTTCTCGACCAGAGAACACCTCGGTTCCAACTACCCTGGCCAAAGACCGAACCTCCCGCGTCGATACGGCCCCAAGTGAGGGTCTTCAAGTCCAGTGCCCAAAGTGCATATTCCTGCTTTGACGAAGTCAAATAAGTGCCACTGACAACGAAATGACCGTTAATTATACCTCCATTGGGAAACCTCAATCCTGGAGGCGATGCCTGACTTTGCATGGGTTTCTCGACCAAGCGACCGTCAGGCAAACGTACTTGTAGCTCCAGCTTCACGTCCAAGAAGTTATAGTTCGAGTATATCAGCATAGGACAACCCTCCACCTGGGAGTCCTCAATGGGCTCCTGCGCATCTTGATTCTCGGCTGCGGAGCCGATCTCAGAGACACTCATACCGAGCAGCGGAGCAACCACGCTGCGATAAGCACCACAGCTGCGGCCAAGTGTGCTGGTGCTCATCCACTTCAGACTTCGAAGGTTGAAGACGCTGATCTGCTCGATATAATGATTGGAGCTATCCTGTCCTCCTACCACGACCATCTCGGCCCCTCCGAACCCATCAATATCCACCCCGATCGTGCCCTGGTGCGGGTTTGACGATGCTGGATTGTGATGTATGGCGGAGAGAGGCGCGGTGGCCGAGGTAAAATGGGCGCTCGAAGGCAGAATTGTAGCACAGTGCGCATACCGACCCTGAGGCGAGTCAATGGCCGGCACACGGGTCCAAGTTCGGGTAGGCACGTCGAAGATGTGGATATCGGACATAACCACGACTTCTGGCTGAGCCTCCTGGCCCCCGGCCCCGCTCGCAGCGGCAGCGTCCTTGGACACATTGAGGGCAGGTGACATACCGCCATAGCACACCAGTTTATGGTCTCCCAAGGCGCAAACACTGTGAAAGTACCGCGGGCGGGGAATGTCGCCGGTCGCTTCAATCTTGGTCCAGTGACGCCGAATCAAGTCCAGCTCGTATATGTCCGACGTCAACTGCGGACGACTCTTTGAGAGCACCCGACCGCCAAACACGTATAACTTATCGCCCAAGATGGTTGTCGTCGCCCCCACAAGCGGGTGTGGTTCTCTACCGGTGGTCCGACGGACATTGCAGACCAGACCTGACAAGTTGATCGGCCCCGAGTTGGAGGCTTGCGGCTGAGGCTGCGGTTGCGATTGGGTTTGTTGATATCGAGGAGAGATGCCCGTCGCAGAAGGGTCGTCTCTGCCTGTATCGAGGAAGCCCAAGCTCGACTGGCTTCGGGACATCATTTTGAGGAAGATTGGCGAGGTCCGTCGACTCTCAGTTCGCGAAGAGAATTAGGGGAACCCGTCCGGTGGTACTCTGTCGAAATCGAAGATCGTGACTCTTTGTGCGTGTTGTAGGAAAGAGGGCGGTCCGGTGGTGATAGTCAGGGTCAGGAATTGCTTTTCCGGGGATATGGCGTAGAAAGAGAGGAGAGGGCAGATTCGAGGCGACCGAGGATCATCACAGTCGTAAAAGAGGGTAAGACTGGCGCCACCCTTGCGTGCCACAGCAGCACAGACCTGGTAAAGAAAATTTGACAGCAACGCTGAGCAACGCTGAAGGAAAGCGGTCGGGTGATCTTCGATGTCTAATTGGGACTGGGGCAGTGCGACCGGAGAAGGGATGATCAGGGGGGAAGAGAGGGGGTGGAGGGTTTCGGAGGGGGACAGGCGGGCGGAAAGCGAAATCGATCGGTGACTGTCCCCGCTGCGGAGGGGAAACGAAACAAGGTAGGTGAATTTAATCAGATTCCAATCGATAAGACATTCAGAATAAACAAAAAGAACTTGTCAAGATGCAGCAATCATCATCCCAAAAGTCAGCACAAGAGGTTGACTCAATAGGTAGAGAGGAATAGGGAAAGAAAAGTCAGCGAAAAAGGGGGGAAAGAAAAAGGAGGGAAGACCAGAAAGGAGGTGCAAATACCAGGAAGGAAAGCGGTCTGTCCTGGAGTGCAAACTCCGGTCCAGGCACCCCAAAGAATGCATAAACTATAAAAGTCAATGGCAGTTGATCGTTTTGCATTTTGCAACCAACGGACAGAAGCACCAGTCAGTTCCCCCCCCCCCACAATGCGGCTCCGCACTGTGGTTGACAATATCGACGGTTATTCAAAATTGAGTTACCACACAGTTCTGGCCATCACCTTATGCTCAGTAGATGACTCAGGCACAATGGAGGATCCTACACGGGATATATGAATGACAGCTGGTTTAAGCCCCCACACCAGGAGAATGACATACACAACGTCCTACTAAGTTAACTATACTCTTTTGTATTGCCACCCGGAGGGCCCCAGCCGGCTAACCATGGCACCGAGTCTACCAACACGACAGCCTGCAGGACCAGTACAGACCCCAGTGGGTCCCTGCATCAAAAGCCATCACCAATGCAGCCAACGCGAATTACTTCTTGCAACTTCATTTGCTACCTTGCGGGGTATAATGAATTATTATGTCTCTTTTTTTTTTCATTACTTTCGTATCATAGCGGTCTTTGTTCTCAAATCCAGTCCCTCCCTACGGCGGATCAAGACGTTCTCCATCTACTGCTTCAGCTTGTCCAGGTTGGTAAAACGAAGGTAGCTGTGGGGCCGGTCAGTACAAAAGTCCTTTCGGGATGAGGATTAGAAGGAACTCACGGCTTGACAACGCGGATGTCGCTGAACTTCTTCTGAGCATCCTCGGTGGAGACGGGAGGGGGGATGACAACATCGTCACCAGGAGTCCAGTTGATGGGGCAGGTGACACCGTGCTTGTCGGTGGTCTGAAGTGCATCAATGACACGGAGGACCTCGGCGGTGTTACGACCGGTGGAGGCGGGGTAGGTCATGATGAGACGGATCTTCTTCTTGGGGTCGATGATGAAGACGGAGCGGATGGTGAGAGCCTGGCCTTGGGGTTTGTTAGCGAATACCCTGCCGAACACAGTCAAGAAAATAGCCTGGACTGCACTTACCCTTGGAGTCGACGTTGGTGGTGTCCTGGTAGTCGACCATGTCGTACAGGTAGGCCACCTTGCGCTCGGGGTCGGAGATGATGGGGAACTTGAGGTTGGAGCCGGTAACCTCATCAATGTCCTTGATCCAGGCGTGGTGGGACTCGGTGCCGTTGGCACTCAGACCAATCAGCTTGACACCACGAGCAGTGAACTCGGGCTCGAGTTTGGCAAAAGCACCGAGCTCAGTGGTACAGATGGGGGTGAAGTCATCCTAACGCGAATGGTTCAAGGGTCAGTTGATTTCTCATCCCGGTGGCGGTCCAGGGCTTGAGTTGACTCACAGGGTGGGAGAAGAGGACAGTCCAGCTGTCACCGATGAAGTCGTGGAAGGTGATGGGTCCGTTGGACGAGTCGGCCTCGAAGTTGGGGGCCTCAGAGCCGAGGCGAAGACTGTTGGGAAGAGATCGGATTAGTTCGCGTTTGATTATAAGCAGCAACAGCAGGACTTACGGAGGAGCACGATCCTGAGCCATTGTGAATGGTGGGGTAGAAGGAGAGATGATTGGAAGGAGAACGGACAGAAGAGTGATGAGAGGGCGTGAGTTGGGAGAAGAGAAAGAACCAACAAGGGAGGATGAAAGAGAGGATATATAGGCTCACATCCCCGAATTCGGGGGAGACTCATTTTCCCCGCCAGCTCAGTTCAGCTGCCCCTCCATGGTTCCAATTGAAGCTTGAAGGGAACTGCCCCCGATCACGCAATCTGCCACCGCTTCTGGGGCAGAACGCCATCATTGGCGGGGTATGAGCTCATTCACGGGGCATTTGATGGCTGACTTTGGCGCTTAGCCCTTTCGGGGAAGACAGGGGCTTATCAACATCTCGAACAAGAACCATAGGACTGACACCTGCAGTCCAGCCACTCTCAACTCGTACTACAAACTGCTTTCAATTGTCCACTCCGTACCGAAACACAATCCGATTAATTGCAAACAATCGCTGATAGGGATTTCATCTCGAAAGCACTCGATCTCAGACCTCCATCGCAATCCGGTCCGCGAACGCCCCATCCGGTCTGCGGGCTAGTCCGCGAGGATGTCCCACTTCGACCACCCGTCCGCTGTCCAACACCACAACTTGATCAAAGTCCAGTAGAGTGTGAAGTTGATGAGTGACCATGATCACCGTACAGCTTTGAAACAACTCGCGGACGAGCTTTTGCACGCGCGTGTCTGTCTCCGTGTCCAGGCTGCATATAGTACGTGGATTAGTGTCTCATCCTTGAAAAGCTGGGCAAGGTGAAAAGAGCGCGTGAAGCGAAAAGGAACGTACCTGCTTGTCGGCTCATCCAGAATGAGAATCTTGCTCTTCTTCAATAGAACCCGTGCCAGACAGAACAATTGCTTCTGACCTCCTGATAAAATGTTCTCGTCCAACTTACCTTCAAGCACCTGCTTGTCACAGCTGGAGCCCTTGGAATGTGCCGCCAATGCATCCCACAGTCCAACTGAGATTGCTAATGCACTGGCGAATCGAGGATCGGGAGGTACGGGAATGTCTTGTCCGTCGACCAGGATCTGACCAGACACAAGCTCATTGAGCCGAAGGAGAGAAAGTGCAAGGCTACTTTTACCGCTTTATGTAAGGAGCTTTGGTCAGCTAATCTCTCTATACGTGTATCACCCAAAACGATATTCAGAGGGATCAACACTTCCCTTCCAGTTCTACCACATAGCCCGATCTTCTCCCCACCACGGAAGTGAAGGCGAATGTCGTTCAGTACAGGCTTTGCTGTCTCAGAGGTCTCATAAGCAATGCTCGTGTTGACAACTCAGTTCCACCAGCTCCGGACCAATCTGCGAGTGGCTCGTGAGTCTCAATGGTTGGGTCTCCCTCCGTAGGTATGTCTTCAGCAAATGACTTGAACCGAGCAATAGCGCCTAGTGATGTTTCAATGAGCGTCCAATTCTGAATCAACTTCGATAGCACTTGACCTAGATTGACCATCATAAAAAAGAGCAATACCCATTAGACCTGAGTTGATATGATTGTAAACACTGACAGCTTTTTCAACCATGAGGACAGTCAAGGCAAGCGACTATTAAGTTCAGCACCAGTGAAAGCCAGCGTTGAATGCACAGAAGAAGATAGTATGGTTCCTGAGCTGTATCCAGCATAGCGAGCATCCTAGATACAGCCGTAGACGTCCATGAAAAAGCACGGATGGTGGTCACTCCCGTCAGGGACTCGATGAAGTGAGTGTATAGGGGGGTCTGGAGCTCAAGTCTGAGGGAAATCAGCATGAATTAATGGGGAAAATGCGATTGCCAAGGGATAAGAAGAGGCGGTAACAGGACAGGCCAAGTAAACAACTCATTCTAATAGCCTCAATTGACGAGACGTGCGCAGGTAAAATCGTTGGAGTAAGACCCAGCAGCACGATGAGCAATGGCAGAGCTGCAGCGAGATTAACGGCAGGGAAGCGATGGTAATGGCGCCTTGGGCGAGGGCACTGAAGTGCTCTACATTTGTCATGTCAATCACAACCTCGCTCCATCTTGTTCATATTTCGTATACTTGCGAAACCCCGTCGAGATAATTCCATGGGGCAATATCATGTCCACTAGCCGCATGTCCTGGCTGAATCGGGTGACTGAAGCTCGAGTTTCGATGTTTAATAGAAAGATAAGGGCGCACTTGAAGCTCTTAGTCCAGATCTCAAGTGAAGCGAACGGACTACGAATAACAAACTTTATGCAAGCGCGGAGTACAGTATATTGGAGATGCTTCGAAGCAGCAGGGACTATAATGACCCAAGTCCAGCTGATTGTTGGATCTATTGTCAGATCACAATCATCAGACAAAGATTGCAAGTGCAAGGGCGCTCGCTTTGACGGCAGTCAATGCTGCGTACACGCCGAGCCAGTATCCCAAGTGCAAGCCTGAAGCACTGTCGTTGCTGGCAGACCAACGCTCTACCCAGATGTCTACTCCTTTGTGAGCTTCTACAACATTGTTAAGGCATGAAGAGAAGTCGTGACTTACACATAAATCCGCCAATGGCTGCTTCGACGATCAAGAGAAGCAGGAAGACAGCAATCCGCATCCATCCCAGACTAGAGAAGTAAATTCTGCACACAGACTTGTCGTTCAATTGTCGATCGCTGACAGGAGAACTTGGGCCGGTCACAGAGCCTGCAGCTGACATGGGTTCTTCCTGCTGAACATGAGGGTGAGCTGCTTTGAATTCATCTATCTTCCTTGTTTGCAGATCGAGCTTCAGAATGTACCCTCCACTGCGGCCTCGAAGATCCGGATATATGCCTTGTTCACTAATCTCACCATTGTTACCTAGAACTATGATGTAATCTGCTTGCGATAAGTATTGAGTTGTGCTCGGTCAGCGCGTGCTTGATTTTGATCAGTGTGGGGGTAAGGCTCACTACTGTGGGTAGCCAGGAAGACCGTACAGCCCAGCTGGCGTAGCAGACCATTCGGACCGAACGTATTACTGAGCACCTGTCGAGAAGTGATATTGTCAAGACTACTAAGGACGTCATCGAAGCAAGCAAGCCGTTTGCGAGAATAGAGAGCTCGTGCAATGGCCTGTCAACGTTAGTCATTAATGTTCCAGTTTCTGTGGGGCACTTAAAGACGTACTATTCTTTGTCTCTGTCCTCCACTCAGTCTCGCTCCCTTGCTACCCACAAGCGTATGATCTCCAGCTGGCGTTCTTCTGAGATTCAAGTTGAGCGAACATGCTTTCACGACTGTACGATACCAGTCTTCGTCAATCGATGATGGAGGTTGATCGTCGACAATATTTTCCCGGATTGATGCATTGGCAAGCCACGGCGTTTGCTCGCAGAATGCAATGTCTGGATGGCTGATAGAGAGACTACCAGCCAGTAAAGGGGCCTCACTGGCAAGACCTTTCAAGAAGGTTGACTTACCGCTGCCAACGGGACCAACAATGGTAACGAGGTTCCCTCTCTCAGATTGCGCGAGAGTAAGTGTAGTGCCGGATTGTCAAGTATCGAGGAGTTCCACCCAAACCGCACATTTTCCCAAGAAATATGCTTAGCTTCTTGCTTTGAGAAGGGGTAAACCATAGGCGGCGAGAGAGTGGAAAGTTCAATTTCAGACAGATTGGAAGATGAAGTCACCGGGCATGGAAGCCATGCACCGACTTCCCTCTTTTCTATAGACATAATTTGAGCTTTCTATGTATCAGGAGAATAGAGCCTGGGTCATTTGCTTGGTTAGTCTTCAATCTGCTGCTTGCCTGGAAATTCAGAAGATTCACATACGAGGATCCAGATACGAAGACTGGAGGACAGGACTTTTAGTGATTATCTGTAAAGCTGGAAAAGTCGGAGTGATGACAGAAGCAGAAAGCAAGCTGCAGGGGCAATAGTCAAAAAGCTCGTCTGAAACAGAAGGGTGAAGTCGAAGCCTCCCCGACAGTCTGGCCGAATGACTGGACCAGACAGATTATCGCCGCGTAGCTCGATGGTGGATGCAGAACTCATGGCTGTACTCGCTTGAGTTGGGTTCTCGCGTCGCATTGTAAAGTCCAATCCGGCTGTCAACTTGTAAGGCATGAAGCAGCTGCACCGGTAGAGATGGGCTGTTCTAGCCTAGTATGATATGCTTATCAGGTTATCTTGCTCATTATCACTGGCGCAGCGGCGATGATCCCATCGAGGTGCAGGCTATCCCATGGAGGCACTGACTGGGATTGGTAGTTGGCAACTTGTTTTCCATCCGTCAGGGATCCAATGCCACCAGTCCAGATCTGGTGTTTCCGGTTCTCTAGGCACCTACTTACCTACTTCGGTACTCTGGGCTACTAGTACCCACTACCCTTTGTAGTCACTAATACCGGCAGCATTGCAGCTCGCCATACCCATCTTCATCCACTAGAAGCATTGGCACTACCATGTGGAGGCCGTTTGAGGGGGATACAAACAGAATTGCCGGCTAACGCGCCGAGAATCATGGAGAAAACGGGCTGATGGCCAGGATCAAGATGTGTCAGGACGCATACCATCACGGGCGGAAGATATATCTGACTTAACTTACCTTTCTGCCCTCAGTTACCAGGTCCGATGCGAGAGAATACAGACTGGCTACTTTTACGGTACTTCCCCCGCCCGAAAGATTGAGAAGTGGATTGAGCAGGAGGCCTTCTACAGGTATGTTCCCTTTGAGCGCTAGCACGGCTAGTATCCAAGCGACAGCAGAGAGCATGTACCCTAATGTTGGGCCGATGAGAACAGGTTTTCAACCGACCCTATGCAGATGGCAATTTGTGTCCAGCCGAGCATAAGTCGATGAGCTTACCTGTCGGTTAAGGCTGCGTAGGGCATTGCCACGCCCAGACCTGAGAGAACCTCTTCGAGTCTAGCTACGTAGCAGGGTGAGCAGCCGTCATCAGCGATCAAGACGATACATACCGGCCAGAGCTCTACGAGGGGAGCAGATTGAACTTGATCAGTTTTGCAGATGCCTTCGTCGATCAGGGAGGCTTGCTGGACATATCGACAACAGAGACTGTCTTCAACCGATCGCGTCAAAAGCACGTTAAGCGAAGCAGTGGAGCCTGCCAGGCAGAAGATGCAGGTGGAGAGAAGGAAACTGGAAAGAAGGACGAGGATGTTGCTGGGTCATGTTGTGGCTGTCGACCAGGAAGCGGGATTGTTTCTCCAGGTATTATTCTTGGATGAGAGTCGAGCTTCTGTGATGAGAATAGAAAGAGAAGAAGACATGAGCGTGGCTCTCAGGCAGCATGTTATCAACCGATCGCCTACTTAATGGCGGCGCGATGGCAGTGTGGTGGATTGAGTCACTGCTTGTGCTGCTTAGTTATTGCAAGCCAATATCAGTCTAGTGTTTTCATTCAACACACGCGGAATGTGCCCCCAAGTCCATTACTATGTACTTAGTATGGCTGAAGTACTATGCCATGGTGGAGATATGTAGAGATCATCTAGATTAAAGCCACCGTCAGTTCCGATTGCAGTGTGCACTGGCAATGACCGGAATTATAATTCAACTAACCTTGTAACTATCTTGCTTCACGACCAGGCAAGTCTACCCTTGTTCTGGAGTCATCAACACAAGGGCTGACAGTCAGGGAATTCCGTTTGTTTGCTTTAGTCCTCTACTAATAGTATAGGGAGCGCGGGCGGGCGGTGAAACCGTGCAGTATCAGTTGGCGGGTGGATGTGTGGCTTACTTGCCTTGTGTAGTAGACGCGTCCGCTTGTGTCTCCCCGATCAATTACACCCCCGGTCTTTGCTCTCTATTTCCTCTCCTTACTCTGGATTCCTATTCTTATCCCTCTTACCCTCTTCTCAAATCGTTCTCTTTCTCTTTCCTCGTCAATATTCTGTCCTGGCTTTCTTCGCGCGTATCTACTCCCTTTTCTCCCGTGAGCACACCATGCCTCCCCAGAGGAAGCGGAAATCGGAGAGCGCGTCCATCGCTGAAGAGAGCGGTGCCCCTTCCGCTAAGAGAGTACGTGTCGCGTCTTAAAGCCCCTTCCCTCCTTCACACCACCCCGATTCGAGCTTCACACGTACGTCAGATGCGAGGAGAAGCGATCGATGAATTTTATTCGTGCCCGCCGCCCACCAATGGAAGCGTCCTTGGCTGCGCACCTGTTCCGCTCCCTTTGAACTAACACCTCGTTCTACTACGTGCAGGTTGCTCCAGATACGCCCAACGACGGCGAGAAGCGGAAGAGAGGTCGGCCCAGGAAATACCCCGAGGGTTCAACTCCCAAGAAGCCGGATGGCCCCAAGAGAGGTCGCGGTCGGCCTCGCAAAGACCCCAACTCATGTCAGTGCCTCCAGCACGATCCTCTGCTACCTACAATGCTGCAGTGCCCAGCTTACTGGGTGATGTACACCACACGCAGCAGTTTTTCGGTCCTTGGCTCCCAACTAAATACATTGCAGTACTTACTCCTTCTAAGCCCAAGGGCCCCAAGTCGGATGGCACTTATGGTCGGGGTCGGCCCAGGAAGACATCGCCTAAATCCACGCCGACCCGGAACGGCACCAGCAAGTCGACGCCCAAAGAGTCCAAGACAGAGCCCAAAGAATCCAAGACAGAGTCGTCAGAGGCCAAGACTACTACCTCGGAACCTTCATACTGGTTGATGAAGGCAGAACCCGAGTCTCGTATGGAGAAAGGTGTCGATGTCAAATTTTCTATCGATGATCTTCGCGACCGCACGGAACCAGAGGCTTGGGACGGTACGTCTGCCTCGCTCTCGATCACCAATCGTCCTGCATGCTAACATACCGACAGGCGTCCGTAACCCGACTGGTTAGTAGTGCTTGAGAGCTTCGACTCTATAGACTGACTAACGTTCCTCAATAACAGCGCAGAAGCACATGCGGGCGATGAAGAAGGGTGACCTGGCCTTCTTTTACCATTCCAACTGCAAGGTCCCTGGGATTGTGGGGATCATGGAGATCGTCCAGGAACACGCTGTGGATGGTGGGCACACTTTCCTTTCGGGTGTCACATGAGTGGCTGACTGGTTCGCTTCTAGAGTCGGCCTTTGATCCTGACCACCCTTACTACGACCCAAAGTCCAAGCGCGAGAGCCCCAGGTGGCACGCGGTCCGCGTGGAGTTCCGGCGCAAATTCAAGAACCCTGTGACGCTGAGCCAGCTCAAGCAACATATGGGGCCCGGCGGCCCGCTGACAAACCTTGAAATGTTGAAGCAGTCTCGGTTGAGCGTGTCCTCTGTTAGACCTTCGGAATGGTTTTATATCCTGGGGCTATCCGGGGAAAAGCTGTCTGAAGACGAGGACGCCGAGGCGACTGAGGAGACGCAAGAGCCCGAAGCGACTGAAGCGACCGAAGCGATCGAAGCGACTGAAGCGATTGATACGAACGAGAAAACCGAGTCTCCCAAGGAAACCTCTGCTGAGAATGCAAATGGGGAGCCGCAACCGAGTGAATAGATCTGGGATCGTACTCTTTTCTTTTCTTTTTCTTTTTCTCTTTTTTTATATTTTTTATCTTTTTTTTTTTTTTTTTTTTTTTTTTT